TGTCTCGGTTGCTGCCTCAGCGATATAATGCCTCAAGGAGGCAGCATCACCGCGGGTGCTGGTTATGGTCCACCGGATGTATCGCTCGCCGATGGCGTAGGACAGCCCGTAGCCGTCCGGAACGACTTCTCCGTAGCCCCAGCCGTCAAAGTAAGGCGAGCTCAGCTGGGATGTACTCAGCTCCCAGTGAGAGCTGCGAGAGAACGCCGGGTCGGTGTAAAGCGACGGCAATTCCTCGCCCTCTTTGAGCATGCGCTTGAGCCCAAACAGGTGGCGGTCGACGCCCTGTCCATCGGCTGCCCACGCCGAGTATGCCGAGTGTCTTGTGGCTGCTTTGCGGAACAGAGCCTCCCGTTGCACATCGCTGGCGTTCGGGTCAAGCATGGCTTCAGCCCAGGCGCGTGTCTCGTTGCTGGCCGAACGGATCACTTCAGTCCGTCCGAGCTGGTATTTGCGAGTTTGTGCACTCTCGTACGTGACACCGGGTCGGCCGAACATCTTGTGGAAAGCCAATTGCTTCACAAGCTGGGCCCAGGCGTCGGGGGACGCGCTGAAGCGCTTGGCAAGGTCCTTGCCGTAGCCCTCGTAGTGCAGCACGTGCAATTCGTGGTCGCCCACCAGCTTGTCAAAGCGTTTCTCTGCACCCGAGATCAGGTCACGCGTCGCGGCGTTCAGTTCGAAATGCAATTCGCTGGGCTCAGGAAGAGCCTCTCCAGTCGGTGTACCCAGATCAGCCTTGCCCAGGGCAAGAGTAGCGAGAACGAACTCGTTCATTCGCAAAGTGGGGGTGCCATCCATGCAGGAGTGTTCTCCAAGGAATCCAGACCGGCCGTTGTCAAAGACAATCACTAGGCGCTGTCAGTGGGAACAGACAGGGAATCCAAGTCAAACATGCGCACGCTGGTGTTTGTCGTAGAAACGGTTCCGACCATCACCGACCCAGCAAGCAGTCGAGATCTCCTCCCGAGTGACAGGTTTCGTATCGTCCAGGCACACGACGATCATGGCGCTCTCGATCGCCTGCAGACTGGCTGCATTTGATGAGGAGGCGGCGAGCAGAGCCTCCCGGGCATCTGTCCACAGGTCGCGATTGTCCGAAGTCAGAACACCAACGGGGGTGGCTGGTGTCTCTCCCGCCAATTCGATGACACGTTCGATTTGCCTTTGAGGAAGAACATTCAGGACGGTCTGCGGGGTAAGAGAGTTAGACTCGCTTACGTTTGTAATTCCGCTGCTGAGAGCTCGGCGCCGGACGCATGCGCAAGCGGCACTTTGAAGAACTTGTTCTTGCGGACGAACACGACATGGTTGTGAGTCGCTGCATCAAACTTTTCCGCGGTATCAGACGGCTTGACTGGGTATCGGCTCGAATGGAATCTGTCTTTGCATAAGCACGGGTAGAGACTAACCAGTGGTACTGGGCCGACTCACAACCACTTGTACGATGCCATACAGAGGGGCGCACCGCGAATCTTCTCAGGCTCCAACGAGCCGCTCTCGACGAGATTCCTGAACGGAAGCATAGCCTTGATTAGGCTAGCAGCGCGCTCAGCGGGCTTCGTGCGCAAACGGTCGTCAACATGGACGTAGAAGTAGCTGACGAAAACGACGACGGGATCGCGATATCCCATATACGCAACGTCGTTCCACCAGTCGCTGAGCCAGTTGGGCCTCCCTGGCTCCGCAGCGCGCGCCTGGAGCCGTTTCTGCAGCTCAGCTGCGAGCGGCGACGCCACGAACGCATTCACGGCGGACTCCGTCTCGGCGTATTCCGTCGGGGTAAGATGTGGGCGGGCGCTCTCGAGGTATTTGGCGGCGGTCGAGGAGATTTCGGGGACAGGGAGGTGGGGGAGGGAGGCCTGGAATCTGAGCATCGGGCCCGCATTTGGATCTATGGAATATCCCTTGGGAGGGACCTCGGTGGACGATTTGCGGACAGCAGGCATGATAAAGGAAGGTCTAGGAAAGCGAGATGCCAGTCTAAGCATCCCAGAGAAGAAGGGCAGAGGCAGGCGCACTGGTTCTAGGCAGACTCTTAAATTCGACCGGCCCCGGTTACTCCTAGCCGCCCCGTGATTTCCCCGCCCACAAGCGACATCCCCCGCCGCATTCTTCGGATTATGTGCCGAGTCCTTCTGTCACGCTGTTGCTCGTGCTGCGAGCATCAGATTCGCAAACAACGCGCAAACAACGCGCTCTCGAGTCCACGGCTTTCATGTCCCAGTCTGCGGCTGCAGCACCCGACATCAACATCATCCTGCCAACTCCTCCGCGCTCCAGCCATTTTCGACTTCTGTATAGGGGTGCTCTTTCCCTTCCCGACACCCACCTGGTACTGGATGGCCTGACGTTTGTGGCTCGGGTCGACACCCCGTCGTCGACTCTGCTCGACAGCCCGCTGGCCCTCGCGCTCGAGACCATGCGTGGAAGACCCAGCCTACGATGGATTGGGCTAACCAAGCTGTCGAGTATATTCATGGATGAGACGGGCGGGATCACGATGTACGTATATGTGTCGTGCCGTGAGTAGCATTCATTCACGCGCCCAATGTAGGGACATGCATCCGGATGCCACGCTGACCAGAATATACTTCGAAAACATTTTTTGTTTAGAGCCCGCCTCATGTGAGACCGGAATCACCGTTGCCTTGGGAGACACAGGTGAGCGAGTACTGTTCCCCACGAGCCGACGGCCCTTCCAACCCATCCTGCAGACGGCGCCGACGTGACTCGGATGGTGATATTTGCCCGAGCCCCTTCACCTTCTAGCAACTCCACCGAATTGCAACTCGTTGCAGCCCGGATCACCCCTGCACCGGTCCCATCGACGCGTCTACGTCTTCCCCGTCCTGATGATCCAACTCCCCGGCGCCCACCGTTTCAGTTCCTGTCGCGAACGTCGAGCTCAACGTCTTTCGGCAATGCGAAGAAGCGCACCCAGAGCGTCCCCAGCAGTTTGCGTCTGGGATCGCCGCCGGGAACGCTGTTCAAAATCCCCGAGATGCCTCCGGCGGGTGGATCCAGCTCAGGTTCTAGTTCACATATGGGTGACGTGATGAACGACGATGACGACGATGTGTTCAATGCACCGGCGCCGGTGGTGGAGAACAAGGGCAAGAGGAAACGAGAGGAGACTGAGGTTGAAAACCAGATCGAGAAGGCGAACAAGACTGTGCGTGTCTCGTCGCGTCCACACTTCAAAAGGCTGTTTGAACATTATCTGCAGATCATCAAGCAATCCGCGATGCACATGATGCCAATTCCCAAGACGCACCCCGAATACCGTGAGATCTATGGGGCTGTGTACAAGGGGGTGTGCTTTGCACTGGTATGCCGCTCTCAAACATCGCACAGGATGTACCTGACCCTATCTGCGCCCAGCGTTCGGACATGAAAACAACAGCTGTGGATTTGAAAGTAGTTGAGCGCTTTGTGAAAGCACATACGAACATGTACACATCAAAAGCACCATGAATGGGTTATAGCAAGACAGATTACACTAGGATATACATAAGTACAAGAACATCTAGTAGCAACCAAAACGAAATCCAACGCGTCAAGTATGCAGTATCATCACCGCCAACTGGACCCAAAGCGGATATTGTTGGCGTGGATCATGGGATTAGTCACACGAGGAACCTGATACGAGAGCAGCGTAAGGAACAGTTTGAAGGTCCCATCCATGAACAGCACAGGACGAACACCGCCCCACATCCGGGTTCCGCCGAGCACGTCAATGCGCGTAAAATTTCGCAGAGACACGCCGACGATGCTGTACGCGTCGGCCGCACGCTGGATCGCGGCCTGGCCAAGCACGAAAAAAGGCGCGGGGTTGACGGGCGACTCAGATCGCTTGACCCTCTCCAGGTCGTGCCGCGTGAGAGGCCGGTTCAGGTACTCGTGGACCGCGTCCATCACGTTCAGGATCGTGCAGCCGCCGCCGTTCTCGACCATGATGGGGCCCCATATCCGCATCCAGTATGCCAGCTGCGGGTTGTTGTCCTCGTCCGCCCCGATCCACAGCTTCGGGGCGTTCGGGTACACAGCCAACTCCTGGAAGTCGACTCTCGTGAGGACGCCCCGGCCGGTGTGCAGCCGTGCCTGCTCTGGCCGGTGCAGGACATCCCACTGGATCACAGGGACCGTCGGGTTCAACGGATTCGGGATCAGACTCGGATGCATATGCAAGGGGACGGCCGTTCCGAAGGGCATAGGAGGGAATGTGCCGGGGGCCCAGTGGGGAGTGTCCGCCGGGATCGTGACCATGTTGTCGCTGTTGGGCAGCGTGTGCACCTGGGGCCAGATAGGTGTATCGCCGAGTGTCATGGGCGGCGGCTGGCTCCACACATGTTCAGCCCAAGCATTTGCGGAGGGTCTGTTCATGTCCAAGTCGGGACATGGAGCGAGGAACGGCGTAGCGTTGCTGGGCAGAGTAGGGCCAATCGGGTGAAGCGGCCGCCGCACAGGCGGGGCTGGGAAAGAGGGCATCGGACGTGCAATTCACGAGCCAGCAGGAGAAGAACAACGTACTGTAAGGGTTCGTGAAACAGTGTGGCACCGTCAGTGGTGTCTCAAGAACGCTCTGCATCTTAGTGCACGGGTCGAGAGGGAGTCGCGGTCTGAAAGAACCTCGAACTTATCGATCCAAGATCCTTTTCAGGCAGCAATGTTCCTAGAAATACTTCTACGGAGAACACGAAGCCGGGAGAACCGGATCGGCTTGATGAGTGGACCTGTGCTATAGCAGGAGGGCGTCTCTTGGACAGGTGTTAGGGCCATTTATAGGAACTGTGGACAATGGCTGGCAGTTGCCACACGAGAACAAGTAGTTCTGAAGGGGCTTGACAACGTGGATATAAAGGGACAAGAACCAGCGAGTTGGGAGAACAAGAAAGGCAACAGTTGCGTAACATGGGCTGTACACGTCGTCAGCACCATGACGAGTTCATGTGTCACAGATCCACGTGAGGTGATGGTGCGCGTTAGAACAAGAATGCATCCAATTGCGTACAAATACACATTACGAGGTTACTGGTTCTTACAGCTGCTTATATACATCTCAGATAGATCAAGAAAACAAGTGTCTGTTCAGAACCAAGCCATGTAGCTTGTCTCGGCAAGTTCCGCCGTCAACGCGCCGTGATCGAAGTTGAATGAGTCGCTGGCGTCTATGCGAGGTTCCGAAGGCATGAAAGGAGTCGGTTGGGCAGAGGCGAATGTGTCCTCCGAGGTAGAACCCTCGTCGGCCCGATATCGCTCGTGTATTCCAATGCCCAATGTCCCGAAGTGGTAAACGTCTGGCAGCCAGGACTCGTTTGGAGCATGGACGGCGTCCTTGAGTGGGGGCCCGTGTGTTTTGGCGAAGGTCATCTCTTCCGCATAGCGCGCAAGAGTGGGATGTGCGCCGCGGAATGCGGCCGGGAGCTGGGTGCGGATGCTGCTCGTCGAGGGGAGGGTGACAGAGTTGGAGACTTGCGAGCAAGCTCGACGGGCTTTGTCGGCGAGTTTTTCCATGACAGGCTGTGAATAAATCAGTGAGTTGGCGCCAAGGCACATGCTTGTTGCATGCTCACAAGAGATTTGGCACTGAATGGCAGCAGGGTGGCCGCCCGTCGGAACAATCGACAAACTCGATCGAGATCCTGCACTGCATATGATGCCAGAGAAGTCGCCGGCGCCCTCGACACAAACAGGGACAGAGTGACCGTCGCAGAAAATGCGTTGAACCAAAAATGCAGAAAACGCGCACAGAGCTGAGGTTCCAGATCGAAGAGCGTTTCGATGGTCCCTATGAGTGACGAGGCCCCCAGATAAGTGGCTAGAACAGAGGGAGCGTAGCGATGCTGCAGGTCAGTGAACGATCCGCTCAGTGCTTCTTGGAAGCAGCGCCGATGTAGCTGCAAAAGAGCTGCTTGTCAATCAGCAAAGCCGTACATAATATCCCGAGTCTCAGAACGTACCGATGTCGCGGCCTGAAGCTACCACCGACCGCTGCATGACCAAGAAGCGCGCGTTCGCACCCGAATCAGAAAAGGCCTGGAAGTCTCGCACGCGCGCATCCAGTAGCAGGATATTCGCATAGTCAGGTGGACTGACTGATGCGACGACTTCTAAAACGGGACTCAGGCATCGCGTGAAGAAGAGATTCTTCCATTCGTGATCTGTGCCGAGTCAATTAGCGTCCAGACGGCGTGATGGAAGCGTACAAAGAATCTCGTCCTTGGGAACCTGCACGCTTTCTACGTAGGCCGGGGGTTTGGTGTCCACGTGAGCAAGAGACAGAGACGGGGGGCGACCCAGTGAAAGACTCTGCAGAGAACCGTAAGACTGGTAAGGGTGAGTGATCACGAGAGAGACTGACCATGCGACAGTCCAAGTTCAAAAGTTCCTGTTGGGCGTTCATTTAGGAGCTCCGGCCCGGCGAAGACGTGAAACGAACCCAAAATATGGCACATCTCCGTTCTTTCTCCTCTGGGATCATCTTCAAACGCGAACCTTCGCGGTCTACGATTGCCTACAATTAGTGATGTTGGCCTGCCGACAAAGAGATACCCACGAAGCCCGAGCTGCGTGGGACGTTTAGTGGCGCGTGCGTCCGACAGCGGAAACACTTACCCCCTGCGCAAGCTTTGCGACGAATCCCATCAGATTCCAAGCATACCCGACAGCTTTGCGATTGTCAGAAAAGACGAGATGATACCAGATCATGAAGAACAGCGCGTGCAGCTCGTCAAAGTCTGGCTCTTCCATGAGCGGAATCTCGCACACAGCTGCCCGAGCAAGGTGATGGTAGGCTTCCCCGTGAAGCGAGCCCAGGGGCTGCGAAAGATCGACCAGCGAGCCAATAGAGAGAACCATGAGAAGCAGAGCAAGGCGGCGGGGCGAGAGCTCTCCGATGGGCGTCGTATAGACGCTGTGTATCAGCAAATCAATAAAAGTTCGCGAGGGATCGAGGTTATATCTGGTCCTCGTCAGCAGCCTGCGAGGCCCTGAACATGCGAGACATACTGCCATAGCGCGTTCCGGCGCGCCTCCTCGCACAACGCTTGAGCTTCAGCACGAGGAGGAAGTGCGTCCCGGATTCGTTGCCGGATTTTGAGATCCACTGACCACGGGAATGGAAAAGTGACCGAAAGTTGTAGAATATCAGGCGCCACGACCGGCCCTGCATTCGGGTCCAGCGTCAACGCGGCATTGGCAACATAGAGCTCTTGCGAAGTCTTGATCCGTCGCAGGTCCGAAGTGAGTAGCGGATGATCTGATTGCACACCCTCAAGCCCGTCCTCGAGCTGGCGAACGCGATCGCTGAGACGAGCAATCGTCTGGTGCAGTTGTTCGGTATTTGCCAAGATGAAACGGCTCCCTGAGACGTTGCTCAGAAGCGAATGGAAGAGGGTCGGGAGAAGAAAAGCGGGAGAACACGACATACCACGTCCGCTTTGTAAAGCACCTGGTGACAAATGCGTCAGTCGAGTCTACTTCGAGAAGACCGGCACACAGACCTTCAGGACCTGTTTCAGATGCCGTGCATCAGAGTAAGCTCGACAGTGAAAGGCAAGCGGACTTGCAAATTTCTGCGCAACCGCCTAGAGGAAGCCGAGGTCAGATTGAAGGCATTCTCCACGACAGGCCCACGTACGTTTACAGCAACTCTAAAAACACGTCAGTTGGCACACAAGATAACTGGGCAACGTGCTTACCTGGCAAGGAAAGACCCGATCACACTGAAAACGCGTCAGTCCACGCAGCACAACAAGTCGCGTTCACAAACACCTTCAATTTCAACCTAAGATCCAGGCTTCAGAACGTCTCAACACAACAGCTGGTCATCCGCACGCACCTTCTGCACTCCCGACAGCTCAATTTCCTGTGTTTGTCCTTCTCGTTGCTTGCCGGGGACGGGAGCGGCTGTTCCCCACTGCGAGACCTCTTCGATGGCCGTTCGGCGTCCTCGTCTGGCAGATCGTGTGTGGGGAAGTTGAGATTACTGCCCAACATCATGGTGGGCAAAAGAAAGGGTAGGTTTGTTGTTTGCGTCGGTTTCAGGCACAGACGTTGGGCTCATCGTTAAGCTCACAAAATCGCTCCGCTCTGGTCGGACTTCCTTGCGGCTCGACCAATATCAATCATCATGGGATTCTCAAACGCCATACGGTCATGCCATTTCCTAAAACATGAACAAGTCTCACGCGATGCTCGGACCCTGCGCTTTCTGAACACAGCTTCATGCGCTGCTGGGACTGAGTCTGCCTTAACAGACTATTCGGGATACTGACGGTGGCGTCGAGAGGGCCCATCCTGGGTCTGGACCGCGAGAGCGACAAGCTGTTTATATTACAATATCTTGGTACAAGTTGCTGCACTCGATTCCTGTCGTCGGCGAACTTGTCCGTGGATCTCACGTTGAATAGTCGGCTTTCAATGAGACACGACCGGCACGCTCATCACGGAAGTTTACTGGGCCAGATGAATTGTGTGCTCGGTACGGAGATCAAACATCGGTGCAACATGAATGCGTGATGAGACGGAAATAGGGATCTTCCCAGGGAATGAATCCGAGAGGGTCGGTTGCCGGCCCAGTCGATAGACAGACAGACGGCGTGCGTGCATCGCGGACACCAGTTTGCACAGGAGGGAAAACAAAAGCTTGGCAAATGTTGCCGAATGGACTGCAAGTCCGTACGGTCTTTGTCGGGAAGCTGTGTGCGAGATCTTGAGGTAGTCGGAACTGGAAACCCCAGTTATCAGGAGGTTGCAGACAGACCAATGACCAGGTAAGCCGCAGAATGTACATCCCAGCCTTCAGAGACGCTTCAACCGTTTCATATCCCCTCGGCATCCCGGATTTACCCATGGCGTTGGAGAAGAGGTAACGCCATGAGCATTTGGAATGATGGGCAGGTCGACGTGGGCCGGTGGAGAAGCACCATCAGTCCGAGGCAGCCCAAGGGATAGCTCCGCAGCCGAGTCGCAGGGAGCGCGGTGCATTTCCGAGTGCAGAAAAAGAGCTGGGTGACAAAGCGGCTGATCATACTAGCCTGCAGTGCGAGTGGACCACTCGCCACCAACAAGCCATTCCCGATGCATAGATTCACAAGAAATGGTGGAGACGTGTAATCGGAGCCGGCTAGCAACGAACAGAGACAGAAACATAGAGCAGGCAGAGATTTATGGAGTGATTTGACAGCCATCGTTGCAGAACATGTATCATACTGGAGCGACTGGACTGGAAGGACGGAGACGAAAGAGGTGCATGCACACCACCGCCACAGTACAGCAACGGATCATGTTGATTTGATGTGCCGATCTGGATCATCTGATCAATGAAAGGGATGGCGTTTCCTCTTTAGGTGAATCGGTTACGTCAGCCTATCGTCTCTGCCCCCCACAACAACACTCTTGCGACTTTGGTCGCTCCTCCATGGCGCGCGCAATACGAGAAGTATGGGCGCCAAATCTCGAGGCAGAAATGCGCCTTATTCGAGAATTAATCGACAGCTATCCCTATGTCGCAATGGTGCGAAACTCAAAGCGATGCTGCTGTCCTTCTTCCTGCTCACTTGTGCACTGCTTCGGGAACAGGACACAGAATTCCCCGGGGTCGTGGCTCGCCCTATGGGCACGTTCAAAACGTCGTCGGATTATCACTACCAAACGATGCGCTGTAATGTCGACCTTCTCAAGATCATTCAAGTAGGATTACACTCGCGGACGAGAATGGTGCGGGTCCGCCGGAAGCATCGACGTGGCAGTTCAATTTTCGGTTCAGCATAAAGTGATTCGTCTAATCTTTGTCTCTTTTACATCGCTGATGGCCTTGTTCCACAGCGAAGACATGTACGCGCCAGACTCGATAGACCTACTACAAAAGTCCGGTATCGACTTCCAACGTCACGACGAGATCGGAATCTCTCCCAACGACTTCGCCGAACTCATGATATCGTCCGGATTGGTGTTGTCGGATGAGACGAAGTGGATATCATTCCATAGGTGGGTCATGCATGTACCCAGTCCTTACGTGGTCCCTTTACGTGTCCAGTGGCTACGACTTTGGCTATTTTGTCAAGCTCCTGACAAATGCGTCCCTGCCAACCACAGAAGAGGATTTCTTCGATCTTCTCTCGACCTGGTTCCCCACCGTGTATGACATCAAGTACATGATGAGGGCATCGAACGCATTAAAGGGCGGATTACAGCAGGTGGCGGATGATCTTGGAGTGCGCCCAACATATTTCTTCGTAGTATCCACCCGCCTGATCTTTTCCTAGGTCACCCGTATTGGGCCGTCTCACCAAGCTGGATCCGATTCCTTATTGACAGCAAGCACGTTCTTCAAAATGGTGGAAATCTATTTTCAGAACCAAGTGAACGACGCAGAGTACTCGGGGAAGCTATATGGCCTGGGTCAAACAGTGACAAATGGGATGATTGCTGAATCAGGACGAGGGGGCATGACGATTGCTGAGCGGGAGGACCGGGCCATCGCGCGCGAGACGCACAACCAGACACCGGGTCCCGGATCCAGTCAGAATGGTGTTGGCATGGGCCTGACAAATGGCGGCTTGTCGAGTCAGATGGCCAACTCCTCGTATTCGGTAATGGGAGCCGCTCCTTATCTTCGTCAGGCGATGGTTGGAGGAAGATGACCGATGTTCCGTCTGTATTCCATTTGTATGATTGAAGGTGTATGAATAATTATTATATCTAAAGTAACAGGGAACCCAACTTCTTATGCCATTTCGACCTAAGCCGGTCAACATGAGCGCACCGCATGGAAGTCGACAGATGTAAGAGAGCTCACGTAGTTGCTAGGAAATATGCCCTTGGCTCCGTGAGAGTTGACTCCTACGCATGCCATCAGCGTCTGGTGCGGCGGTCTTCGACTGCGACAGACTTGCCTTCCCACCAGCCATCTCCGTAATGTTGTCCTCCGCTTGGGCCTTCTGTGAGCTCGATCAACTCACCCTCAGCGACTGATAACTCGTCCGGGCCGTTTGCCGAATACGGATAGACCCCTCGCACTGCGACATTCGTTGGTCGTCTTGACATGTAGAAGATCACGCACCATACTTTCCGCTACCCTCGGCTGAGCTCGTAGCATCCTCGTACGAGATGTAGGATGCCGGGACGAGACCCGCACTCTGGCCGTCCGAGACTTTGACCCAGCCCGACCCATCGGTGTCTGGCTCCAGAACTTGCACAGAGGCCCCCTCTGGTCCGCGTCAAGGACGGTTCATCAGAAGAGCGAGGACCGCACCAGACACATGCAACTCAAACTCGGACGTTGGCGTAAAGTCAAACAAAACTCGAGCAGTCTGATATGTCTCCTCGTAAGTTTCCTCAGCCACCGACTGGACGAAGGCAGATGGCGTGGGCGGTGCTAAGGAAGTATGTTAACGATACGTGCATCTTATTAAGAGAGCACACCGACCTGGGCTGACGCGAGACGTGCTCCTCATGACAGAACCAGTCGCATGCTTGCAATTTGCTGGAACCTGTATCCTTGTCTGGGCATGCCGTGGACTTGGCACTCGCGGACGGACCTTAAGCTCGCATTTAGAATGGACTGAGATTCCGCATGCTTTGCAGGTCTTGCCTTGTTTACTGAGGCCCCAAATTGATGACTGGATGGCAGCGTCAGCATCGGGAAATGCGGTCTGGGGCCAGATCGCACCTTGCAGTAAGCACACTGTGTGGGTATGGAAAACGAGGAGCTCTTGAACGAGTGAGGCTGTTGGTCTCCCTCGTCGTCTGCAATGTGTGCTTAGACCGACTTCCGATTGCGATAGTTCGACTGTTCTGACCACCAATAACGGCCGAAATGACCTCCGCTTCCGTTTTCAGGATACGTTCCGACGTTGCGTATGACGTGAGCTGATGATTCGCTTCTAAATAGCTCTGCCTTCAGTCAGCCACGCGTCAACGCTAGCGAGATGAGCTGTCCTGCCTCTGAAATGTCCTCTGCCTTTCCAAGTGAATGATCCGTGTCGTAAGCCACAAACAGCCCTTGAAGTTGATCTTGCTCTCGTCCTGAATACTTCATCAAATCTCTGCGCACCCTTGGCACGGCAAATGGCATACGTTTTCCGTCAATCACCGGCGCTAGCTCCTTGAGTTTTGACCTGCATCTGCTCAGTTTATTTTGAAGGAAGACCTTCGGTGCAGGCTCGATGCTCATTTCTTCCTGGCAGAAGTTTCAGACCCAAAATTGGCGGGTTTCACTTGCCATACAGTGTCATAGTGAGTTACACACGGCTCGAACTTCCAGTCGACAGGTGGTGTGAACGAGCGGATGTTGTACTCAATGAACAGATTCTGGTCCTGAGCAGGATCGATTGCCTCAATCGCAACTTCGACACCAGCTAGCCGGCCCTTGAGAGTGTCGAGATGCGCTATCTCCAAGGCCTGTGAATGGCTCAGGATTTCGGCAAATCGTCTGACAAGACGGCCTTGGAGGATCTCTGGGTCGATGCGATCAACAACTTTGAGTGTTGAGCCACGGCATCACCCACGGAATTGCTGGAACGCCAATTAGCTTCCGAATAAGAGGATGGAGCCGAGAAAAAATCACATCCTCGAGAGCAGGCAGATCCTCGTCATAGAACTTGGCCTTGACGGCATTGGCAACACGAGTCGAGATGATGTATACGCTAAAAGACTTTCAGCGTCGTTCGATGATACAACGGTGGAAGCTGAACTACTTTTTGCTGTTGAGCATGTCCACGCGCTGCTGTTCGGCTTGTCTTGCTGCCCTTTCCGCGTGTCGGTCATCACTGGCACGAACCTGGCACGCTCTCAGTCGCATGTCCGCTAGCGTGACACGAGGAACCGGACGCACCTGCTTCTGGCGGACACTTTCGACTTCAGAACATTCGTCGTCATACTTTAAGTGTTTTTTTAAGTTGCAGACTTTGCATGCCTCACGATAGGCATTACCTTTTGCTTTGCCTGAGTCGTCGGCCCATTGTCAGTCAAAAACAAAGTTGGAGAAGCATGAACTCGCTTTCAGGCGCTCGTTGAATGACCGATCGCGTTCGTTGACCAGCTTTTGGAAGAATGCCATTTCCTGGGAACTGTCCGATGAGAACCATGCACGACTGGCGTGCGCCACGCGTCGAGCCGTACCCGCTTCTTCAGCTCCTCCTTCGCTCTTTCGACATTCTTCAGTACGTCCACCACTTGCGTTGTCAGGGCATCGGCTAGGTTGACGTGGTCTTGAGCTGAGTTGTTCATGGACGAGATTAATTCGTTGAACGCCGCGTTGAGTGTGCTGATCGATGCTTTGAGTGTCATTGAATTGAGAAGGAAAGCAAGCGGAGTACTTTCTATCCAGAACCGTCGGATCGAACGACCTCGTTGGCTCGTCACCGACGACGAAGGCAGGGAGAGACTTGGCCCTCTTCTCAGATGCACGTTTACTCAAGGCCTGAAGTTTCGTGGCGTATTCACGTTCCAGTGCGGCGCGATCTTTGTAGACTTCGCGGACCTGACGAGTTGGAGGAGTCTGCGTGCAAGGAAGAGCTTGTCAGCGTTACCTCCGTCAGAAGATGCAGATGAGCGTCGAGCAAGGACGCGATATTATCGACCTGATCCTGCAGTGAAATGCGATGAGCCACTGCTGATTCTTCTACGGCACGTTATTACTGGCAAAGCTTGACCGAACATCTGTACGGTCATCGGATTCGATACGTCGTGGAGAGCAACACTAGCAAGTACGAGCACCGTGACAGGGGCTGTGTCGTTGCGTCATAGTAGTAGTGCACTAACTAAGCCGCAGTACACTTGCGCCGATGATTCGTTCGATGCCACGCGCCGGGCGTGGGACGGGTTCAGAAGGTTGAACCTGACACCTGGACTGGATTCCAACCTGAAAGCTGTGGTACAAACAGGCTATGTAAAGCAACTTGAACAACTATGCAATGGAAACACCGTTCGGCACTCGGCTGGGATTATGAATGCTGGATCCGGAGCACCAGGCAAGGTCCGAGCCTTTTCCCATCAGAAAGATATGTTACTGCGAGGGCCAAAGCCGATCGTACTCCACATCAAGCCATAGAACATGGCGTGCAAGGCGACTATCGCCTCCATGCAAGCTAGAAGGCGAAGCTGGGGCCCAGACTCAATGCAGGTACCGCGAGGGACCAGAGCGTCGCATTAACTAGTGCCATAATAATGTCTTCACTTCTCCCTTCTTGTCGGAACAGCTGGGGAACTCGGAGAAGACATCGAGGACTGGAATCCCGGCGGAAAAGAAGGTTGGGGCGCAAGGCGGACGAAGACCAATGGCAGTCATCAATTGAGCCAAATTCGGCAGCCAGACGGGGAGACACCTGTCGTCGAGCAAGCGTGTTCCCAGTCTAGAGTGAGAAAACAGTGAAAGATTTGTGTAGTGGGCGCTTAGATCAAACGGACGCTGTGTGACAAGACCGTGACAAGCGATCATTTCCACGTTTGCATTTCCCCATCCCTTGATGTCCACCATAAACCTAAATGGATGCTCAGCTGCCAGCATCTTCGCAAGGCCGCGGGTTCCTTAGCACACATCGAGGCTCCTTCATATTCCGCTAGTCGCTTTTCTTCCGCCGAAAACACCCCAAAATAATCACTTTGGTGCCCGTGGCCAAAAACGTGAATGTCGCCCTTCATTCTAGTTGTCTCCGTCGTCAAGCGCGCCTGCCAAACTTTTTTTTCGACAGTCTTTGCGGTATCCATGGAATGGGATGGAACGCGCTGACACAGAGGCGATTCTGTCACTTTAGGGTTCACGAGTCCTTGAGCGTCGCGACCTTGAGTATTCGTACCCATTTGGTCCGAGACTCTTTCATAAGCCGAGTGTCTCGCGGGCATATAAAGGGCACGGCTCCACCTATCGTCTGGGTAGGATCTCGGTCCCCCTCTGCCCCCCGTTCTCCCTCTCATCGCCATGTCCCGTGCTGCGCTGTTCATCGTCTTCATGCTCTGTGTGGTGATGCTGTGCGCCATGCCCGTCCCACAGGACGCCGTCGCCGACATGGACAAACGGACGACGCACGTCGGAAGGGTTCGTCCCCTCCATCTAATCTTATCTTCCCCATTCCGACTGCTATTAGGGAACATGGTATCATCCCAATGCAGACCAAGGTGAGGGCGCTTGATTCTGCGATTATGCTCGATGCGAGCCGTTCTCCAGGCAATTGTGGCTACTGGGATCAGGACTCGAGCCCTGTCGTGGCCATTTCCTTGCAACGATATAACGCTAACAACGGAGACAACTGCAATCAGGTCAGCCACCACCCTGGCTCAGTTTTCTCTACGACTCACCACCCGTCACCAGTGGATCGAGATAACTAACACTGCGAATGGGAAAGTGGCGTACGGCCAGACGCGTGATAGTTGTGTCTCTTGCGATGAATCTTCCCTAGGTGTGTTATCTTTGAACGAAAGGATGTATTTCCTCATATGCCCGCAGACATGTCGCCATCTTTATTCGAGCAGCTGGCTCCGCTCTCTACTGGGGAGCTGCGAATTTCGTGGCATTTCATGAATGCCGCATGGTCTCCTTGATGGCTCCAGATATTTGTGTTGAACAGAGTGCGAATGTATACCAGAGAGGATGCCCGGAGCATCATCGACACGTAGAAGACTCGAATGGAAGATTGCTGAATATTGGACGTCAAGGAATTCATTGATTGTGGTACATGGCTACAGATGAAATCGTGATTGGGCGTAAGCAGAGCTTAGAACATGGCTAGCAGAGATGCGGCCATCATCGAAAAGATGGCCGAGGACAAGAAGGCAGGATCGCGTGACTTCCGTGCCGCGCCTGATCTGAGCGAAGGCGAAGGTGAAACCGAAGGTGGAAGCGAAGCGGAAGGGAAAGATGAAGATGAAGGCGAAGATGATGATGAAGGTGAAGAGGAAGATGAAGGCGAAGAGGGAGATGAGGCAATATCGGTAGACAAAGTCGCCGACGGCGCTGCAGGCGAAGGAGCAGTGGAACTGGGGATAGGGGAGGCAACAGCAGATGACAGGGTTGAGGGAACGGGCAAGGTACCAATGTCAGGTGTGGTCCTGCTCGCTGTCGTACTCGCAGCCACTGTCGCAACAGCGGATGCAGTCTTGCCGGGGCCGACGGAGGACGCACTCCCCTGAATGGTGAATTGCGGGCTGATGTTGCCTGTCGCGGAAACACGCGTGAGGATCATCGGTATTCGCTGGACCGGAAGGCTCACCCGAATCACCGAACAGTGCGATAATGTAGGTCGATCTCGCCACTACATGGGGAACAGTGATGTTCACTTGCTCATCGGTCAAGTTGAAGCCGCTGGCCAAGATATCAGCTGCGTAGGTGAGCCCAATGCCGCTGAGAGCGCGCTGAGACTCACCGAGGTTCTCGCTGCCGTTCGACGATAAGTGGCCTAGCATGATCAGACCCTTAGCGCCTGAACATCGTCAGTCAATGCTCCCTGACTTCTCAGCCGAACCATTCGTTATACCTGCAGGGATCCCGGTCGCATTCCTGAGATCTAGTGAGACTGGGCGCGGCGCAGTAGCACCGAAGAGTACTTGCCACGTAACTGTCTCAATCTGTCCGACGGTCCAAACCGTATCAGCCTTCGGCGATGTGATAGGGGGAGCGTAGACCGTCCGACTGCTCAAGGGAGCTCCGAATGCGAAACTAGCAAAGAGAAGAATGTATAGAGACATGAACGGGGTCATAACAGCGGACAAGAAGAGCGACTCCGAACCGGAGGGCAAGGTCAAGTCAGACGACAGGCTCTCCTGTTCATCGCTGTAGGATCGACATCAGTTTCGATGATAAGCGCAAGTCACCTGACGCATATCTTTGTTCGGAACAAATTGGATCCGTGGGACAAAACGGCGATTTCAATTACAAGTGTCTGTATGGTAGCAATAGGAGTACATGTGTTGTGTGATGGCCTGTGATGGCATTACAAGTCCGTGGTAGATGAGATTAGAGGTTGCGCTCGTAAAAGTCGTTTATGTGTGACGCGCTTCGTTCTTCACTTTGTGATCGTGAACATGGGCCCGGTGTTGCCAGAATCTCCGAAGACTGAGGAAAAGTCAGAGCCCATACATTCCACGACAAAGACCAGAGGTCGTACGTACCGAGGATCTGATAGTCATGTCCTGGAGTGATATGGTGGGGAACCACAATTTCGTGATGCCCTTCGAAAATGGAGAAGTTCTGGGCAAGAGGATTCTCTAGATCGATCATGAGTGGAGGATGAGCAGCAAAAGATCTCGACTTGCCCAAATCAATCATACGGTGGTTTTTGACGAGGACTATCATGCCAATCGAGTTCGTGACGTGCGCAGGCGCGTTCGACAGATCCCATGTGACGTTATGACGCTGACCGATTTTCCAAACAGTCCCCTGTCGAGGATAGAGAACCGGGGGTGAAAAGACATCTCGTTGCACAACGGTGGGCGCGCAGGAAACAAGAGAGAAGAAAGCGAGAGCAGAAAACAGATACATCGTAAAGAGCAGGAAAGCTGGTGGAGTGGAAGACGGGAGCAAAGGGAAGAAAAGGCTCTGAAGAAATCGAGCGCAGGCAAGGGGTTTTATAGGCTTACCACCGAATGACCCTGCTTCTACGGCAATATGTCGATGTCGTGTCAACATTCACGCAGCTGAAACGGCGAGCAATAGCGGCTGTGGCACAACCGTTAACATGTGTTCACACTCCAAACTTTACAATTACCTTCTTCGGGCCCATCTGGACGTGAACAGCCGCTATCCGCCGAGGCTGAAGCTTGAAGGCTGGGTACATCAGCATTTGGCATTCTATACCCTTCTTTCAGCCCCGACTATTACAGCACGAGGCCGGCTTCTCGACGGTGCCGTCCCTGGCCGATATTCACAAGGGTTCTTAGCCTTCGCTATCTCGTCGCTGGCATACTTCAAGCTCATTTGTGGGACGTAGTGTGAGACCTTCATCGGTGTTTCAACGGCAAACCACTTGCGGACCGTAATGGCGATTTTTCAACGGGCTAGTGCCAGAACAGTCACCGGAGATGTTTCCGCCGTTGGCTTACGGTACCGCAGTCGGCGACAACAACCCGGAGGAACGCAGCACCGGTGCAAGGGAATGAATCACTCCGTAAGGACTGACTGCAACCTCTCGAGCGCGCACTCCAGATTCGGATCGCCGTAAGAAGATTCTGGGAAGCGTTTGCTGGGTCCAAGCGCGAACCTGATCTCGCGTTTCGCTCCCTTGTTTCCAGTTAAAGAGGGAGGAGATGCTGTTCGGCCGCGCTTACGCTCAGCGGATTTCAGGAAACGTAACAGTTTAAACGGAAAGCTCACCACACTTTCTAGGGGCACAATGGCCTCGTCTTTAACTGCGCCTTAGCTACACGGTCATCGGGGAGGGTTATTGGTAATGGACACCTGTAATCGTTAGGCGATACATGCGCGCGGTTCATTCCGGATAAGCCTGCTCCCCGATACAGTTCTTAGTCGAAGGCCAGCGTATCAGAGCGTTCGCAACATGTAGCATAGATGAGAATGCCTCGATATTGAATTCATGGCGCGGGTGTTCAGGAAGTAGAAACGGTCACGGTGAAGTCACGTTTATCATTCGCGAGGTCGACACGTCAATATGCATCAATATTTGTACTGATGGATTGACACGCGAGGATGATCATGCCAGGCGCGTTGGGTCACCCGTGACAGTCACACTCTGCTGTCGCGACCCTCTCTGCCTTCCCTCCACCCTTGCCTCTCAGTGCTACCTTTCATCATCCTCAACTCGCTCTTTGGTCTGCAAAATGTCTCTGTCACCGACCCCAAGTCTTCTCACACCCCCGCACACTGCCCATCGAGAGAAGGAGAATCGCGTAGCTACTCTTGGACGTTTTCACGTCTACTGGTCCTCGCAAGACCAGGTTCGGACTATCAACAACAGCATACCAACCACTCCAACCAAGAGAGAGTTAAGGAGGCTTCCAAGCAAGTCGATTTTGAAGAAGTGCCCCCAGTCGGCTTTGCCCCTCTTCGACACTTTCCAGCGCGAGACAACGCCTGAACCCTCACAACCCGCGTCCGACTCCAATTACCTCTCATCGCCTGTCAATACCATCATTGACCCTTCTGCATCCATTGAGCACCTGATTCGCGCGTATTCCGTCCTCACTGCGCGCGTCAAGGCTCACGTCACTCTGACTGCTGACCGCGACGCGCCATGGCCGATTCTTGCCCCACTACGCCAGAACAGGGTCATGCTCGAAAAATCCATCATTCGGGATCTCGCCCGGTGCCTCGTCGATCCACAGAGCATGCCGCAGACTGCAGAGGACGTAGAGGAGGAAGAGTCTTTGAGACAGGAGAATAGAGAGGAACGGGACATTCAGTCTCTTCTTCCCTCACCGAAGAGAAGTCCGACAAAGAAGAGACGCGGAACAACGGCTAAGAAAGCAAAATATGGGCGAGATTTGTGCACTGTATGCCACTCGGTCATGAAGCTTTTGACTACACTCTTCACTCTGCCTGCTGCATATAATGTATTCAACGTGTGTCCTGTCTCATGACTTCGCTTTGCCTCTCTTAATCCTGCTTAGCGTCGCAACTGCGTTCTATCATGACTGCGGTCCTGGCTATCCCTCTCGCCGACGAGCTGCCGACACCCAACGCTCGGAAGACTTACGCTCTGGCCATTTGGCTCCTTCAAGCTCAGCGTCTTCCCATCTGTGTCTTGGAATCTGGCGCAGATCGTATCGTTTTCGCTCTTCGGCGTGCTATCGAAGGAGAGCTGGGGAAGGAAGGCAAGAAAGGTTCAGCGAGCGACGGCCTCAAGGTGAGTCTATGCTTTGAGTTGCCGTGTCGAAGCAAGCTCAATGACAATATCAGGCGATCCACGATCTTTCCGTGATTCAGCCTGCAGTTTTTGTCCCCAAATTCGAAGCATTGCTGCCTTCTGTTCTTGCCAATCTGCTTGCTCCGACGCTGGTTATCCGAACCCAGGCATGCCATGCACTAGGGGGCTTCGCACGAGGATTGTCGACACTTCCGTCGTCCAGCCTGCACACTCGCGTCTCTGCCATCACCATCACTCATCTTCTCACTGCTTCGCCTTCGACTCCGCGTAAATCGCCCATGAAACAAGCATCTCCGGAAACTACATCGGCACTTTCCCGCACTATCCGTACGACACTGCAAGCGACGGAAGTACAACAGGTGGCCCAAGGTCCTGTCTGGGGCTTGAGCGTTCTTGCGGCTCTCATTGTGCTCGCCAACTCGGCCATCTACACGAATGATCGCGCTCGGAAGAACTTCAAGAGTTTTTTAAACCTGGGTCTGAAACATCAGAAGAGCACGATCCGAGCTTTGACTTCTGCAGTCTGGCGAGTTGCCATGTGGGCTTATTGTCAGCCTGTTCTGCCAACCGATGGCGATGGCGAATCGGAAATTGATGGCGACGGCGAAAATCCAGAGCCAGCGACAGACATCGAATCGAGTCGGGAGTCGTTCTGGAAGGACACCATCTCGACTGTTGTGGAGATGGGGACGGGGGTGTCGACCATCGCGGCACTATTGGAAGACACCGATAGCACCGCAGATGACATGTTTGAGAGAATCACAACCATCTTCCGGGCGATGACGGGCAAGGGTGGCGAATCGCTCGAGGCGGCGATCGACACTCTGGAGCGCATGGTTTGCTTCGAACCGGCGCCCAGCCATTGGCGGTGGAACAGAATGCTCCCACGGGGGCTTTTCTCCGCTTCACCAGGCTTGTTGACGGCTGATTTCAACGCTTTGGAAGGCCCGGTCCGAGCTGTCAACGGGCAGTGCCCTGATCTCGATGATGTCCGCCCATTGTCGCGCGAGGAGATCATCGATCCTGTGGTCTTCGACGCCGTCATCCGGTTGTGGAAGGAGTGTATCGAGTGTATCAGCTTGCGGGATAGCGATGGGTGTCCGGTCTGTATCATTCTTGTGTTTGCGTTCACAACTGACTGGAGATCAGGAAAAGATTTTGTCCATCTGGGAAAACGTCATCCAGCCGAATGTGCTTGCTTTGCAAGGTGCGTTGATGCCCTTCTCTGTGTCTATCTCAGACAATTGATTTGTGTAGCAGATGGTGACGAAGACGAATTGACTGAGTTCGCCAACCGTGCCGTCAGCATCATCGTCGACGACCTCCTGTTCGACAGCAATATCGATGTTACGCTCAAGCCGAGTCGCTCCATCGCTAACGTCCCTGACGGCAAGAACGAATTGTCTAATGCAACGCTCAAGCTCAAGATCGGACGCGAGTTATGGAACTGTTTACGCAAGTTCATCACACACGACCAGTTGGTTTCTGCCGGCGGCAGCATGATCATGTGTCTCATGCAAGGAGAGGACGAGTTCACAGACTCGAGCGTCGCTTCGCGCAGGATATGGGCCACATTTTGCGCGGATGTCCTTGTTTTGTGTTCGTCGGAGGATTTGGAGGCTTTCTGGAATTACCGGAAATGGAAATGGGCACCGAGTGTGCGACAGCTTGTCTGGACGTGCCTTGTGAAGCGTTGGATGGACGAGGGCTCAGCTGCATTCGATTTGGAGGTGACAGGCACTCTGATCTCGATGCCGTTCATGTAAGTCAAACGCAGTGATTCAGGGTGCATAGGCTAATTCTACTATAGGCCGGAGAAGACTTGGGACTTTGAGAACCAAGACTGTCAGCTTTGGGAGGTGTATCTTGGACTTGTGCTGAGTCAGGCGCTGGACCAAGGGCTGGATACGAACGACGTGTTGGAGCAGCTCTCCAGGAGCATCATCAAAGAACACATCCCTATATCAACTACCGCTTCTCGAATCGCGGACATTCTGTTATCCCATCTGAAGCTCGACGCGGCAATCCAAGTGCCCGATACACTGTTTGAATTTGTCAACGACACGCTTCGGTCGAGCTATCCCCCCGAGCCGCGGAACAAGCTGCAGTCGCTGTGGACTCTGCGCTCCGTCGGAAAGGCGATTGACCAATGCGATGTGGAGCACTTGGTCGCGCTTCTCGGAGTACTTGCAGAAGGCTTGTCTGTTTGGCTGGTCGACGAGCATAGGGCCTTGAGTGATGACGAGTACGGTTATGACGTGCGTGCAGCCTTTCTTACCCCATCGCGAGGACGCTAACGACGCTCCAGCTCGTCACATTGTATGAGAACCTGCTAGTGAAGATCGCCGAACTTCCAAGCGAGCTTTCGACGCTGAAATCGGTTGAGTCTATCCTGGTGGCAGTGTTCATGCGACCTGAAGGGACTCCCGCCCCCATGCGAAACGCATTTGCAGAATTCTGGTCCGCCAACTACGCTCAAATGGCTGCGCCCAAGAATGGCTGGCCAACTGAGATTCAGACTTGTCTGGACAATTTCACTCAACCGGCGATAGAACCCTGGAGCCAGCTGAAGTTGTCGCCTGCATTCGAGAGCGCATCGTCGGGTCCGAAGATCGCTGTTACTAGTGCTTTCACCAAGGTACCGGCCGGGAGTCCCTTCAAGCTTCGCGTCGCCCGTTTCCGATCTGTGTCGGTTGAGCCTGACGACGAGGATGGCCTTCCCGTGACTGTGCCCAGCACACCTGTGACATCGCGATCTCAGCCTTGTACTCCGTCTCGTCCCCACAAACAAACGTCTTCCCCTTGCCCCTCAACTCCAGAATCCCCCATCTTTGCGTATCAGCCTCCGAGCACGCCTAGTACACCCAAGCGCGTCACGGATGCGGGATCACCGAGCAAACGCAGGAAGCTGGACAACAAGGAGAACGAGTCTCCGCGGGTATTGGTCGCTTCTGTCATGGATCGGATAGCCGCGGTGATTGGCAAGCCTGTCTCCCCATCGAAGAAGCGGGCTCGCGCCTCTGACGAGCTCGAGGACGAGCGAGCTGTTGAGCTGAGCCTGATCCAGTTGTCGGGTAGTCCGGCAGCTAGCAAAAAGCAGAAACGGTTGTCGTTCGATGGAGTCGAGGTCTCAAAAATGCAAGACGTCTACGGCGAGATTGTAGCGCGGGAAACCGCGCCAGTGTCACGCACCCTCAAGCGACGACGCGACGATCTGTTCAGCGGTCAGTGTCTATTCGTGGTGACAGCTTTTTCGCATGTTCTGACATCGGATTTTTTAGATGCTCCCAAACCCTCGTCGTCTGATGATGATGCCTTCTTTGGGCAGGTCACACCCCACCATGTTATCTCGCCAGCGCTTCGGACGAAGCTGAGACATGACGACCCACCAAGCAGCGACGATTCGAGTGTTTTCTCGAGTCCAGTCAAGAGCATGATCTCCCGACGTCTGCAGAGATCTGTGTCTGCTGGAAAATTAACTTGAAATTCAATTTATTACTGTAGCATTTGCATCAAATCTCGTTTGTTGTGTCTGTGCGAAGAATTGACAAAGATACTGAGCCCATCTGTCGTCGGCAGAATGTGGTGCGTACCAAGATAACGAATTCGAGGTTGGCGATTTGTTATACGAATGCGGATTGAGTGTCTAAGAGAATGCGGTCTAGGCCGCCTTGCTTCCCCGCACTCCGAGGACTTCTGATTCCGAGCACAGCGAATCAGGTTCGCTGCTTCTGAGGACCCACCAAAGATTCTTAGCAGAGACTCTATGTCTCGGGGCAGGGTCCAAGAGCTTGCAACTGCACGTATCCCAAATGAAGTCTTTTTGCACAGTGCTGACGTCCGGATATTATCGGAACACGCCGGGGTGCGATCGTGTGCATCGAGATTCGCCAGTTGTGCAGTACGTCATCCCTGATCGATGATCAAGCCAGTTTGTTGGTCGCCCCGATGCCAGGCCCGATCGGCTTCTGTCGCCATCGCTAAACCAGCTCATATTTATTTGCCAGGATCCTTGGTTGAGTCCTCGCGCCCCCCGCATCACACTCTGCCCCTTTACCCCCATCGCGCGACTTAGCCATGTCTCAACAACTGCTGGACACGCCCTCGAAGCACGCATTTTCGCTCTCCGGGCTCTTTGACACCGCGTGGAACAAGCTGTCTGAGACTGCCTTCAGGACCGGATGGCGCCCTGTGGCAAAACTGTCCGAGGCGGCGGTCGTTGCGTGCGTCGCGGTCCCTCGCGTGTGGTTCGAGGAGAATTGACTCTCGATGGACTAGGCTCATGCAAAAGATCACCCACGGGCAGCTGCGCGTGTTAACTTATTCCCATATCTATTCGTTCCCGACCGTGGCCGCCGATGGATCCGACGACGACTCCAGTCCTAAAGCTGAGCTTCGGGTGACGAGTGACTCGTTGTGGATACGGTTGGCGCTTATGGGCGATCTGGGGTTCGCAGAGGCGTACATGTACGGGGAAGTGGACTGTGACGACCTTGTTTCGCTGTTCAGTGTCAGTCCGCTTCTTGGATGAGCTCGGCCGCACCAACTCATCTGCTTTCATACAGATCTTCCTGGCCAACCGCCAAAACTTGTCCAACCTCGATTCGAGAGCGTCGTACCTGTTCACACTACCCCAGAAACTGACCTCGTACCGATTCCTGAACACGATAGGGAATTCCCGGTCAAATATCTCAGGTCATTACCGGTTCTTATTCGCGTCGAGACTCAGCTTATGTTTTGCAGCACATTACGATATCTCGAACGACATGTTTTCCGGTTTCCTGTCACACGACATGACCTGTGCGTAGACGGAAACCCCCTTCTGTGTTTGTATTGAGTGGAGCCCAGACTCGTGTGCGATCTTCGAGGACTTGGATGGGGATATGAAAGATGGAGTTGAGCGGAGTGGCTGGAGCGGCGGACAGGAGCTGCACAGGCTGGGCAAGCGCGCGGCGAGCAACCCGGTTGATCCCACCGTCGATTCGGACGTGGACGAGCTCTACGATGCGCAAATACGCAAACTCCGCCATGTCATCAAGAAAGCGAAGATCCAGCCCGGAAACCGGGTGCTGGAAATTGGCTCGGGGTGGGGCTCCATGGCCATCCTCACCGCGCAGACTGTCGAAGGCGCCGCGATTGACACCCTCACTTTGTCTGTGCAGCAGCAGCAACTCGCTCAGGAGCGAATTGCGGCGGCGGGTCTCTCGGATCGCATCACCGTGCACCTGATGGACTACCGAAATATGCCGGCAGATTGGCAGGGCGCGTTCGACCGTGTGGTGAGCATCGAGATGATCGAGGCCGTCGGATCCGAGTTCCTGGCCGGGTACTGGAAGACACTGGACTGGGCTTTGAAGCCCGTCGACGCAGTGGGCTGTGTCCAGGTTATCACGATACCCGAGGCACGTTTTGAGCGCTACATGCAGGAGATTGACTTTATCCGCAAGTGGAGTGAGTGTTTCTTGTCTCTCTCTGTATCCGGCATCTGATTCCGGGGACCAGTTTTCCCGGGCGGGTTCTTACCTACATTGACGTTCCTGCTCCAAACGATGCAAGAGGGATCTGGTGGGCGGCTGACAGTGGACAATGTCTCGAATATCGGTCCGCACTATGCGAGGACGCTGCGAGAATGGCGGCGCCGGTTCCTGCACCGGTTCGACAGCGTAATCGTGCCTGCGCTCAAGCGGGAATACCCGACGGTGATGAACGGACCCCGGGGCAAAGAGGAGATTGAGGTGTTCAAGCGCAAGTGGATATGTGAGTGGGCCCTGTTCCTGCGGTTAGAGCTGCTTTGCTTACGTAGGTCCCCGCAGATTACTAGTAGGAGTCTTCGTCTCTCGCGTCGCCCTGTGTCTCTAATCCATCCGCTCCAGCTGCTATTGCGAGGTCGGCTTCTCGTCGCGAACCCTGGGTGGTCCGTGTCCTCTTCTTCTCTCGCCATCATTTACGACGCTGACGGTTGCTCAGACCATATCGTGACATTCACTCGCGAGGGATGTGCTGATTACGGGTGTACCATCTATGAATAAAAAGATGGTACACATTTTGGATTATTAATTGTGGTATCGATGTACTATACTTATAAAATGTAACACGAGCAGCAGCATGAGCGTGTCGTATTGGACACGCGGCTAAAGATACATTACATTCGCAGCAGGTTGATACATAGGAATACATGACAGCAGGCTTTCAGGTCTGCCGGGCCCTTCGTCCGATCTGCTCGTTCAGCTTGGCTCCAATCTGATGCAGGAGATGCGACGCCTGCAAGAGAACATCCAGCTGAGGCTGGGACGTATCTTCCTCGACGACTGCATAGGCCTGCTGCAGAGCAAGCAAACGCGCAGACGTCGTGGCTTGTTGTAGAGGAGCTGGAGATTGTGGGAGAAGTTGCTGCACAGTCTGCGCTCGTCGCAGAACAGATCTGTCGGCGTTCACGTCCGGTTGGCTTGTCTCTGGTATCTCCAGATCTGGACCGGGGTCATTATGTTGTCGTCACCCACCGACAGGAATGGGACTCACTTAATTCGTCGACCTGTTCCACCTCTTCAGCAGCGACGCGGCCGTTCTCCCAACTCTTGTAATCCTCCTCCTCCTGCTCCTCATCCAGGTCCGACGACGCCGCGACTCTGGATCGGAGCGACGGTGATGGCGTGGGCAGTGAGTTTGACATCTGCTGCTGCTCAAACCGGGAGCGTTTGGAAGGCGGCGTGCGCAGAGACGCATCAGGCCCCTCGCGATCCCCTCCTCCCGACCGCTCCGAAGCCGAAACAGAGAACGTGTGCGATCCGCTGGGACCAGATCTGGTCTTGCGCCGTTTCGCTGATGGAAGTTCACGTTGCTCCAGGTCGTGCTTCGGCGATGGCCGCTCAGCGAGGACGCTGCTCTCCACGATGTCCATTGAGCTGTCTGCCCAGCTTGTCGGGTATCCTCGGCCGGATTGTATGTGGGGTGAGTTCTGGTTCATCTCGCTCCAGCTTGAGTACTCTTGTAAGTGATCCAGTGCAGTGGAGGGCCGAGGCGTGCTCGACCCCGTGCGCATAATAGACAGAGCCATCGAGCGGTCCTTGCGATCCACGACACACTGTGGTCGATGCAAAGTCTCTTCAGAAACCCCCTTGCCTTCATCTGGGCCGTAATCCAACGAGCTAGCCGTGAGCTGAGATTGTGGCGTACGAAGGCTGTCCTGTGACAGATGAGACGAGTAGCAAGACGGTAGACGCAAACCAAGTGGCGCACCATCTGCGAATCCGTCACACTCCCGGCCAGACTCCCGGCAAACACGTCCCTGTACGCCTTGAGACAAGTCTGGATGGTTTCTGGAACCAAATGGAACAAGTCTCTTCGCTTGTCGTACGTCTTGCGCCAAAACACCTCGAATGCATCGGCATCTGCTAGGGTGGAAAGAAACCGTGAGAGCGTAACGAGATGATCTGTCGATGGCTCCATATGATGCAGCCTCGACAAAGGGGCAGCGAAAAGACACTCAGCCTGGCATGTAGAGTGAGTCTGGATAGTGTCACTGGAATGGAGTACGTACAACATCAATCCGGATGTCTTCCGTCAACAGATGTTCCTCGTCTTCCAGCCACGTGCAGATGCTGGGCTCCAGCTCAAGAAGCAACGGCAATGCCAGCGCCAAAGGCACAGCCAGAAACAAGTCCTTCACCCTCTGCACCAACAACAGAGAAGTAGGATGCAATGCCATGTCGGGATACAGATCTCTGAGAGTCGTACGTAGAATTCGAACGATCTGTTCTGGTAGATGGTCGAGATCGGAAAACACAACGTGAGAGAATAAGGTCAACAGAGGGATCATCGTCTCCGCATGCCTGTGTTCCAGAGACCTTAGCATTGGTCTGTTAGGGATAAGTAGCAACGGACCGATGCTCCTTGACCAAAATCCGCTCGACAACCTCAGTCTTGCTCAACGGTGCGGAAAGCATGAATGAAGCCGAGAGAAGATCATTCCAAATATCCATATCAGGTTCCCAAGCACTGGAACACGATGTTAGATGTCGTCAAAAAAAAATTGTGGTGCTCACCCAAATGACATGCGGAGAAGCTGAATCGTATCAGAAGCAGGACTGGTATCCTGTATCGAGCTCGCCGCTACAGTCCAGAGCTGCTTCTGAATCTGCAGCGGAATTCCGCCAGTAGCAAAATGCTCCTGCATTATTTCCACTCTCTCCGGGACGCCAAAACGGATCAACCGCGAGCACAGAACGACCCAGGCGTCTTGGGACGGAGACGGATCCCACCGCAGCTGGAACGCAGCCTCCAATACAACTCGCCCTGAAGACAAGAGCCTGTCGCGTTGGAAAGTATTGGTCATCGCCTGCCACATCTTGTCGACAGTCTGCAGCCTCTGCAGCTGCAGACCCGTAAATTCGGTTGCGACGATGAAAGAGCAGATCACGTCCGCGAACCGCTTAAAATATATTTCGTCGGTTCCGCGATTGAGTGATTCCTCAGTCGAGTCGGAGGGCGCCAGCAAGAGAGACTGCCAACCATGTAGCAGATCCCGTCGGTACTCTTCCAGGGAAAGGTATGGCTGGTGTAACTTGAGTTGAGCAAGTTTGGGATCAAGGCATATGTTCATCGCATGGGTCCAACGCTTTGCTATGCTCTCCCAATGCAGCAAGATCTCTGCGTCAGACAATCGACGTAGCTGGCTCAGCTCCAATCGCGGCAGGGCAGCGACGACGTTTTTGGCATGCGACTGGGACGCCTGCAAAAGACTACCGTCGAAGAGCTGTGGGACAAGTAACTCCACGGACCCTCCAGTTGATGACGCATCCGATGGCCACAGCAGCTGGGTCAAAAGGCCGATCCCATCGAGCTGCAGATGCCGACTTCTGTCCGACATGAGATCCTTCAAGACTATCAGAGATTCAGCTATCGGATCCAAGCCCCCGAAAGCCTCTTGTGAGGTGAGCAGAGTCAGGACCAGAGCTAATCCCAAACCGCCTCTCAGATCTTGCTTGACTGTCCGCAGTGCGCTTGCCTTGTCCTTTCCCACAGCCTTGAAGCGCGAGAAGATCCATATGATGCACCGCCAGACGCAGGGATGGAGCGCAGAAACCCACTCCTCCTTGTGCTGGAAGGTCACATACAGCGATTGCAGCGTCAACTTGAGGGCACGAGGGTCGGAAAAGTACGCGTCGTCCATGAGGATGATGACGCTCGCGATGAGCTGCATAACCCAACACGGGCCTTCGGCCGGATGGGTCCACTCAGAAGCAGACAAAGAGGCTGAGATCAAGCTGAGAATACGCCCGGAATCAGGAACCCCAGCGGATTTTAGCATTCCGATCTCGATGAATTCGGAAAGCAACGAGGAAAAGCCAGTTATTTCTGCGTTGGAAATGGCCCCATTGATTCTAGCGAGAGCGAATGCCCCAAGCGCATGATTCGCATGGAGCCGAACGTCGCATAAGTCCGATATCAGACAATGCAAGACGGATGGAAATATAGATGACAGGGGTGCCGTGAAAACGGCTGGATGCTGCTTCAGGAGACGGGTGCAGGCCTACGAAGCTTAGCTTGAGATGCTGTAATTAAGAAAATATTTACCTTCAGGCCATCCAATATGGCTGACTCCGTCCCTATCTCTCCCTCTAAAGCGCGCTTCAAGACAGTCACAATCTGGTGCTTGGCCGGTGATATTACACCGGTCGGTAGATTCTGGATCGACAGAATCCATACGACCATTGTCCAGTGGCGGCAGGATGATGATGAAAAGCTGCGTCGCGCAGAACCGAGGGCAAGAAGTCCGTTCAGGAGGGCATTGAGGCTGTCGTCTGGGAATCGATGTGAGAAATGAGGCTAACGCTGCCGGAGAAGACTCACTTGAAAATACAGAATACAGAGCCGGAAACACAAATATATCGGCAATGAGCCGAAGGGAATAATCTACAAGCAGCGTGAAATCGCGTGCAATGCGTGCAACTTCCTCGTCCACCTCCACGTCTGTGTGAATAGAGGACGCATATATATCCTCCGGTACCCTTCTGACATGGACCGACGGATCATCGCACAATTGGCTCAAATCCCTCTTCATTACATCTGAGAGTCCAGTCGAGACATCTTGCAACTCAGCCAGCGCGGGTGGAAGCTCTTCCGGTGCCGCGTGTACTATCCTTCGGATATGGGCTCGAATCCTCTGAGATATGACGTTGTATGCTTCAGTCCTGTCCAAAACAGAAACATTCGTGTCGGACTTGAGCGAATCTAATAGAGTGTAGATTGGCGATGTGAGGTAGGTCGAGAATTGTAGAGCATCAGAGCTTGTCACGGCCGAGGGCGAAGAGGCGGGAGGGCTGGTGGAGAACACAAGCTGAGAGTCCTTGACGGATTCATAAGGGATCTTCTTCATGGCCTTTCACGAGCAGGAACGCGTCGCATGATCCTCCTATTGAGGGACAAGTGGACGGTGGTAGGCAGAAGAAGACAACTCGCAACTACAACGCTATTGATCGGAGTGATCGATTGATGAGTGTCAATTGTTGACGGCGGCGGGTGACTCCTCCAGTGAAGCATCGAACCTGGTCGGACTTGCCAGCCATTTGTTCCCCATCATCCTCGCAAGCATTTCGTTGAAACAGCACTGCGGGCAAGTCTTTTTGCGGCGCAAGGTCTTCCTCGGTTTTTGCGTAGCTAGCACTGACGAACTTGGAATTCGCCATCCTCCCGTGGAAGACGGTCTCAGTTCTCCTCATGCAAGCCCCTCTCGTCATTTAAAGCACGAATGCTGAGAACTCCACCCACTGTCTATCTTACTCCCAGCCTTCATCCTCACTTATCTTCCTTCTGCCTTTGCCTTTCCTTCTCAAGAACTCAAGCTGGCTATGAAGTTCTCGTTATCCTCTTATTCTGCTCTCGGCCTTCTGCTGGCGGTGTCTTCTCTGAATGCGCTGTACCTTCCGCCGTCCGAGGATCAAGCCCCTTTCTCAGTCAACACTCTCGCCCGTCGTGTGGTCTACTCTCCACCCATCATCAGCCCCGGCAGTGGAACGATCTGGAAGCTAGGCAGCGACGAAGTGGTTACGTGGTGAGTCAACTGCAGGCCTGACATGTTCCTCACTTCTGACTGGACGTCTGTCACAGGTCTACGGCGGACATCCCCAGCGACGTGACCAACTCCAAGGGCAAGATTCTATTGGGTTACCTCGAGGAGGGCAGCTCCAACGAGCATCTTGACGTTGGTGGGTAGAGCAGTGCCGACTTCCTAGGGTCTAGTAACTCAACGTTAATTAATTGTCCGCAGAACATCCGCTCGCTCAAGGATTTGATATCCACGACGGTCAAGCTCATGTTCAGGTCCCCGCCGATATACCGCCCAAAAGCAGTTACATTGTCGTGCTGATGGGCGACAGCGGAAATCGGAGCCCGCCGTTCACGATCAGCTGAAGATGCTCTCTTATCCCATGTCCTTATGTTATTGCAATCCAATGCTACCCCTTGACTTCTCTTCTTGTCGTTCCTATCGTGGGAGCTCTGCGGGGCCGACTGGCATTATCACCAAATTAGGAAATGAAAGTTCCTCATCCAGCAGCGCCATCAGAAGGCATTGAGCTCGCGAAAGTCTGGGGCGGGCGAGAATGCGGGCGATTCATAATGCAGGTGCGGTATTCACTGCACCGGCGAACGTTGTCACGCTCAAAGAATGAACCCTGAAACTTTACTGCGCGAAGTCGAAGCGGAGTGGTGCTTGCTTTGGTAATGACAGGCGGCACCAGGCCTATATAAGCTCTGTGTGCATGCACTCACTTTCCCCACCTACCACACTCCCGCATCCCTGTTCTCAGTGCTCCACCCAGCTTTATAGTATCCTCCTTCTGTCTGTCCTTCCCTCCCATTCGCCATGATCTTCTCCGTCATCGTCTCCTTCCTCGCTCTGGTCGGCTCTGCCGCTAGCACGCCCATCATCAAACCCCAGGAACTCATCGTCATCAGACCCCATATCACCTCGCCCACTGAGGCAGTCAAATGGGCTCCTGGGTCCGTCCAAAACATCACTTGGGGTACGCCGCACGCTTGTCTAAGCGTTCTCGTCCATTAACGCGTCGACAGAAACCGACCAGATCCCGCCCAATCTAATGAACTCACATGGCTCGATGCTCCTCGGTTACATCACGAGATATACCGACGACGACGGTGTGCGGCGCACGAACGAGAACCTAAACCTCTGTGCGCGCCTCCCCACCCGCTTTTGCGTATTGTGTTATAGAACGCTTCATTTTTGTAGCTGTTCCTCTGGCCACGAACTTTACCATCGGAAAGGGATGGCACACCATCACTGTCCCTGATGTGCCGCCTCGGGACAGTTACATTGTTGCTCTCTTGGGCGATTCGTGCGTCCTTCCAAGCTCCAATACATCCTTCTAGATTCTAATGCGTTGATGCTCGGTAGGGGTAACATCTCCCCGCAATTCAAGATCCGCGCATGATTTACTCCACTCGCGATTCGTGCTCCACCTCCCCACCTTCCCGTCCACGTCTTGACCTATGACACTCAGCCATCCATTCGCTTTGTCCGGACTCGCATTTTTGCATGTACTGTACTACTACTTGACCTAATCGCTCGGCTGCAATGCATCAGGTTGTGTTTACTGCCGCTTCGAGTATATGGCGGCTTTATGGGTCGCCCGCAATGACCCCGCCACATGCTTGTATGAATCCACCATGAGAGCCAAGGGGATGGCGACCCAACTATCAAGTCCACGTGTAGCGCATTAGCGCGGAGCTGGGCCAGGGAGTTGGTACGTACATGATATTCATGAGCTAGGGATCAGATTTAGGTCAGTTGAAGAATGGAAAGCGACATGTGGCGGCGTACGACTAAGTAAACCCAGAGATAGAGGACATTTGAAGTGTTCAGGTTGGGGGATCCTGTAAGCCATTCGGGGCAAAAGGTCATCCATCCGCCTAGGGCGCGACACATGAGGATCGTAGGGCGAAGAGGACTAGCTCGAGTTGCATACCATACAGTTCCGCGGTGGAAAGAACGATGATCCAGTAATGCCGGGCGGGATCATCACTGACCAGTTGTTTGAGGATGTAGCAGCACATGGGTCCTGCCCCGAGAACCGTCAGCAGCTCTAGGGATACCACTGTTGCGTCTGCTGTTCCCCAGCGGTAATCTGCAGCAGCGTATTCGCGCCCTTGCGTTCGAGTAAGGTGAGAGAGAGAAATGGAGGAAATGGAGGGAAGACCAACACATCTCGGCGAATGGGCCAGCGCTCGCGTTGACGGAGCGACCGAAGACCGACAGCCAAAGGAAGGATCCTTCGAAGACGAAATGAATCATGGCATCAAAAGCCAGCCATACAAATGTGACTGAAGGCTCTCATTAAGTGTGAAACGGGACTGGATCCAGAGGGACTACCAACATCGATTCATGGCAGATGCATTTTTCGGTAGGAAGATTTTGGAGCCAAAATGAGCAATGAAACCGATAGTCAGTACACCAAGGAGAGAGAAGAAAGAAGTAGCAGTGAATATAGGAGGTGAAGTGGACATGGTCGAGTGTTTTCTCAAAAGAGAGAGTGGTTCGACTACGGGGAGTTGCCGCTGAGACTCGTGACCGTGTCGCACGCACTGCCACTGACCGGATCAGAAGTTAATTTTGACCCCGCGTCCGTATCGAAGGTCTTCTTGCCAGCCACCAGCTTGTGGATTTCTACCCTTGCGTTTATGCGACTGCTGCCAGAGGCATGTGGATGCTCACGGCCCTCACTTTTTCCTGCCGCGTTCCATTCAGCATGTCACTCGTTATGCAATCAGCCACGCCTCATTCCCAGTCGACTTCTGTCAAAGTCGAGTGAGACATCGCCTGCGGCCCTCACGTCGATTAAGATGTCCCGGAGGATGCCCGGATCGATATCCTTCCATTGCTTGTGCTCGGCATTAGGTGCATCTCAGGTCCTTGATCTTCTGTGTCACCCGCCTTACAGCCGAAGTGTTTGAGCCGAAGTGACCGTTGGCTCTCGATTTCTGTCCACATTGTTCTAGTCCCTCATGCTGGAAATCAACTGGAGGGATTGCGACGCCGTGCTGAAACCATTTCCGATTTTGAAGGCCTAGAAATTGCGCTGTGCCGCGTGCGCATAGACGGCGAGGTGGACTGACCATGCGCGCCTGTTGATTCTTCTGCCAACAGTGATTCAAACTTGATTCATACTGCCCTGGGATCTTGACTGAAAGCAGATGGGTTCCTGGAGCTTTCAATGGAATATGTCACCTATCCGACCAAGCGTGTTATCGCCCGAGCTCAAATAGCAGGTCCGCACGCACGATCCAGGTTTCCCTTTGGTTTCCCCGTTCCGCAAGATGGTCTTTCTTTCGCTGTCCTTACTATCCTCACTCCTTCTGTTCTCCGAGGTCAAGGCGGCCAGCAGCAGTGCCTCTGCGGCTCCAACCAGTGCATCCTCTGCGGCTGCGAAAGCGACTGGCACGACGACTCCGACCCGGAACCCCAAACGCGGCGTCGCATACGCTGCCACGAATGGCACAGACATCAAGCAGGCCAATCTGACAGCGAGCGTCGTTTCTTGGGTCTACAACTGGGGTCTCGTTCCGCCGAGCAACCTCGAGCAGTCCGGGCTCGAATACATCCCGATGCAATGGGGTGCTGCCAATATCGAGAATCTGCAGGTGACCGTGAAAGGATTGGGCGCGAAGACAGTGCTGGTATGTGTCCTGACTGCCGCGGGCGGGCTGTCGAGATGCAAAGGACTGACATCCGCGACAGGCGTTCAACGAACCCGATTTTGCTGAGCAGAGTAACATGAACGCCACCTACGCGGCTCAGCTCTGGATGCAGTACATCGAGCCTCTGAAAGCCGATGGAGTCAGATTGGGTGCGCCGGCCATCTCGTCGGGATCCACGGGGCCACCGTGGCTGAGTCAGTTTATGGCGGCCTGCAGTCAATGTTCCATCGATTTCATTCCATTCCATTGGTACGGCGACGGAACGGGCGGATTCACAGATTACCTTTACTCTCTGCACGCCAACTATCCGAACCACACGCTGTGGGTAACCGAGTTTGCGGAGACGGCGCCAAATGACACCACCGTGGTGCAATTCCTGAATGACACCGTGACAATGCTGGACGGGCTGGACTGGGTTGAGAGATATTCCTGGTTCGGATTCTTTGTGGGTGTCACTTGCGTTTTCCGTCGTGATCGGTGTGCTGATGACATTTACAGAGGCCCGGCAACGGATCGCATTGGAGTGAGTTTGTCTGACTGGCTGACTTTTCTTCTATCAATCTGACCCTGCACGGCCAGATCTGCTCGATGTCAATGGTGACCTGAATGCTGCAGGCCAAGTCTACGTCGACGCTGTGAAGAAGCCTGCCAACTTCCTCCCGAACCCCACCGGCACGGCCACCTCCGGTCCAGTCAACACCGCCGCGGGACTGACCACGGTGTACGCCGCAAGCAACTCAATGCTGACCCCGGCATGGGCCACACAGACGGCCAGCGGCGGACGGAAAATAGCGGCGATGTCGCGCCTGGACGTTCCGATCGCTGCCGGCGTACTTTCACTACTAGCCGCCTTACTATAGACAAGCAGCACTCGATCGGACAGACACTCATTTGGATGTACACTCGTAATCTTATAATGCTCATTCTTGTACAACGACGAAACCCTCGTGAGCTTCCCCAATGGCGATCCTCAGGCCGGCCCAGATGCAGTCCGTCAGCACAGCCCCATTGGCACAGGCAAACACAAGGGTCGACGCGTAGAAAAAGTTGGCGTTGCCAGTACCCTGGTTAAGCCAGAGATGGTGGAAAAGCGGCATCAGTAGTGCCGCATGCAAGTGGAGCAATGTCGAAACGATAGGGTATCGCAGATCTGCGAGCAGGCAATCAGACGCAGGGAAAAAACAGAATGCACGTAATCCATACATGGGTATATTTCCGGGAATATGGATATCATGCTCAAAAACAGACCAGGATCCGCTAATGTGGGATAGGGCTTGAAAGTGCCGAGAACACCCAAAAGTATGAATGCTGCATATAATGGGTCGTATCTTCCGGTATCTGTCAGTTCAAGTTATCTCGATGGAAAAAAGCACACACTGAAATTTGATGCAGACCGGTGCAATATAGAGCAAGAGATGGAGCTGCTTCCGTTAACAGTGCATTCTGAATAGTAGTGCAAAATCGCTCACCGAGAACACCATGAGGAAAAACGGGCGAAAGTGATCGAACATTTCCGTGAAGAAATACCACCAGACTCCCGGATTTGGAGTGAGATCGGGCAAGGTAAGACTGCGGTATTCGGTTGAAAAACGCCACGAGCAAGTGGAATTAACGGCGTACACACCTAGCTCCCCAGGTCTGAGCCACCCAGCCGAAATTGCCAGCTACCAAGGTCGCCGTGAAGGTCAGGGCCGCGCTATACGCCAGGAATTCAACGAGAAGGCCCGACACCTTCTTCCAATCCCAGGAGCAAGGCCGCGGGGAAGCAAGTTGCGACACAGGACTGCCGACCGCAAGAAAGATGATGGGGGCCAGGACGACGACCGACGAGAGCGAAAGCTGGAGCAAGAAGGCCGAGGCGAGAAGCGCCGGGGACGGTTTTCCTGCAGGGATTGAATTTTTCGAATGCTTCGAATACGGTCGGACAGACCTCGGGCGGCAAACATCAACGCAACGAGTCCAAGCGCGTTCTCGAAAGCAGACGTGGACAGCGCTAGTGTCGGAAGGAACGTATACGGATTCAAAAGATACCTGATCAACGGAATGATCAGACAGATCTTGGAGGAGGAGGAGTGATAGTGCATACGCTGCAGCGATGAGACCGTCTCTCGAAGTCTCGGACACACGTTGACGCGCCCGGAAGGTTTGCACTAGAGCCCAAGCGCCGACGGCATCGCATAGAGTCCATATTATAGAGGATATTAGCCTCGAATTGGGGATTACGGTCGTGAACAGGGCAAGGAAGAGCGGGGACTTCAACCGATGAGTTCGGTACTTGAGTCGAACTGACCGCTCAACTCACATGCCGGAATACACCCCCGGAGTATGGGTCTATGCCCTTTTTGAATAGATACACGCCCTCCTGCACTATTCCCAGCTTTAGCAAATGAACCCGCCGAGCAAAATGTCGCGCACGGTTCAAGCATGATGTGGTCGGAGAGGACAGTTGGTGGTCGTATTTGAGCGCGTGCGAGACGTCGACCAGGGAGAGCAGGAGGCGGCATCCCACCAACGCCGGGAAGACAAGGCCGAAGTCGAGGCCGGTGGTCTTCATGAAGGGGAACGATGGGGAGAGAGAAAGCCGAAACTTGCAATATGCCCGTCACGGTGACCGCGTCGGTCTTTCTCACGGCTCTCTTTCTCCGGCCATGTCCCAATACACCGTCTCCGCGCAGGCCTATGTCAAGATGGTCTTTCATGCCGCCAAGCACCCCCACTGCTCGGTGAACGGTGTCTTGCTCGGGAAGGAAGAATCGACGGGCCTGGTCAACATCGTCGACGCGGTGCCTCTGCTGCACCACTGGACGAGCCTCAGTCCCATGATGGAGATCGGTCTTGACCTGGTACGCGCATTCGGGACTGCCATTCTGTGAACCAACACATCAGGAAAGGCAGGCCGGCACGCGGAATCGGCGGGTCTGAGTCTGGTCGGGTACTATCAGGCTGCGGACCGCGTTGACGACAACGTATTGGCACCGGTGGGCGAACGTGTCGTCAACAAATTGAGGGAGAGCTTCAAAAACGCCGTAGCGTTTGTGGTGCGTCGTCGATCTCGTGATACTGCAGGCCCACTCACCCCAGTGGTAGATTGACGGAGAAAAGCTCGGTTCTGGCGATACTGCCTTGATTGTACGTCTTGCGTGCGCTTGTTACGACAAGGGTCGACTCTGATTGTCGCATCTTCAAAAGCCGTATCTGTCGCAGGGCTCGAATTGGCGCCCATATACCACCGATCCTGCCTTCGGCCCTGGATCGCACTTCCAGCTGGCCTCCGCTGCCCTGCCGCAACAAACAATCACCTTCGTCCGTGAGCGAGGGCTGCACGAGATATTTGGAGACTTCGATGATCACCTTGAAGATGTCACCATTGGCAAGTTTGTCTGAGACAGCAACGGTGTTGCCCACTCATTCATCCTTTCAGACTGGCTACGGAATTCTGCTTGTATACCTTCGGAGATCTAATCTTATCTATGATGGGGCCCATCCCCCTGTTGTTCGCTTGATCTCTTCAACTTGGTCCGGGGACTGCGATCCTGATTTTACAAGTCATCCTCGACATGGAAATGTATTCTGTCAAGCGATTAGTCGAGATAGCTTGAATTGTGCAGCCCGTAGATATGTGCACGTGATCGCGATTTCCCTTATCAGCAACGTCAAGACTCGACATGCATCGCGCACTGACCATCCGTGGAGTCTTCGTACACACCCCGAAACTAGGCACGGCAGAGATTCTCAAAGACCATCTACTTGGTTAGTAGCTCCGATTTGGGCACGGAGTGGTTTGCCAACACCTTTTGCAGTCACCGACGAGACAGGCGTGATTACGCACTTTGACGATGCAAGCTCGTCTGCTTCGAACCAAATCCTGCAGTCTATTTTGAAATCTAGTGAATCCCTGATCACCATACCGCGGGGAAGTTTCATCACGCCGACATTTGTGGACCTGCATCTGCATGCGCCGCAGGTGCTATATCAAGGAAATGGGCTGCATCTGCCCTTGATGGAATGGTTGAACGAATACGCTTTCAAAGCAGAGGAGCGACTCGACTCGGACCCCGAATTGGCTCGATACGTCTACACCCGGCTTGCCAGTCGCCTGATACAGAGTGGCACCGGATCTGTGCTACTGTTTGGTACTATCAAAGCAGAAACCAAGTGCGCAGCCTCTTTTTCTTTTTGCTGAGCCAAGACGGCGGGTTTTGAATCGCCTTTGAATCACTTAGTCTGATTCTCGCGCAAGTCATGCAAGAGGCGGGAATACGCGCTTTCGTTGGGAAGTTATCTATGGATATCTCTTCTCGGCCGTCGTACCAGGAATCTTCGGCCGACGCCTCCTACAGTCTGCGCGCTCCTTCGTACAGGACTGCCGAGACATCACTGCCCGACTGCCAGATCACGAGCGTCTGGTAGAGCCCGTCTTGACTCCTCGATTTGTCCCGACCTGCTCCGCCGAACTTCTGACTGGACTGGGCGAGCTCTCGCAGGCTGAAAATTTGAAGATCCAAAGCCACATGGCCGAGTCGCTGGACCAGGTCGAATACGTGCGCAAGGAGCGTGGGGATGAAGACATGAACATCTTTGAGCAGGTCAGTTCGTGCGCAGTGTCATCATTTATTGTCTCAAGCGATTATCCAGCATGGTCTGTTGACTGCGAGGACCATCCAAGCCCATTGCACATTCTTAGGCACGGCATCCTTGAAACATGTCCACAAATGCGGCACGGCCATCGCCCACTGCCCCCTGTCCAATTCGTACTTCTCCGCCGAACCATTCCACCTCCGCGAGGCGTTGGATGAACAGGTCAAAGTTGGACTCGGGACAGACATCGCAGGCGGCTACAGCATCGACATCATGTCTGCGATGCGCCACGCCGTGTCTGTTTCTCGCATGCGCCATGGTGCCAAACAGCTTGCCAAGGAAACCGGCGACCAGTCACTGGCCATTGACTGGATGGAATCATTGTATTTGGCCACCAAAGGCGGCGCTGAAGCTCTGGGACTGGCTTCAGGTTGCTTTGCTGTCGGGGCCCCGTTCGATGCACAGCAAAGTGAGTCGACGGCACTGGAGAAAGCTCGTGACAAAATCTGACACTTTGCAGTCTGTCTTTGGGATGAAGGAGGCCGCGGCGTCGGAGCTCTCGATTTCGTCGACCTGGAGCGGGCATCAGAAGATGAGCGCCGGAGCTGGACACTGAAGATGGATGTTCTGGAGAAGTGGTGGTGTCTCGGAGCACATGAGAACAGGGTTGGAATGTGGATACAAGGGAATCAAATACATCAGTGCGCAAAATAACCAAACGAAACCAGAGTTGGAAAACCAAATTTCAATCAACATTATCCCGCGTGTAGCTCAACTGCCTCCAACTCCTCCCAACTCGGCAGATTGAGCACAGCCGGCAACTCGTTCCATGTTTTATCTCTTAGCCTTTTCACATCGGCAATGAAGGACTGCCGACACGGCTCGCACAGAGACGACTTGGGTTCTTCCGTGATCTCAGAGATCGCTTGAGACATGTAATGTATGGGCCCTGTTCTCGGGATCCATGAACGGCCCAGCCGAGAGGCAAGCCGCGTGAATCCGCGCGTGCATATGGACATTGTGCCGCACGTCGGCCATGGATTTCGCGTGTTGCAGAAGTCGCGCACGAAGTGCAGGATGATGTCTAGCCGCTTCTGGTGCATCAGCGTGTATTGCACGAGAACCGTCGGCGACAGCTCGGACGAGGGCTTGGACGGATGCTCCAACTTCAGTTTGGGGTGGTCCCCGCGCAAAAGACCCTCCAATTGGTACAGCGAAAGGAAGTATACAGCGGAAGGGACCACTATCCTCACGTCGGTTTCCTGAGCCAGATTGAGGACATGGAGAGGGTGTATCCACGGGTATGTCAAGCCGTCGAGTACGGGCGAACGGATCGCCGCGTCCACGAGATTATCGTGGCCCTGCAGTGTATGCGACCACGTCTGCGATAGGAATGTGATGGCTTGTTGGCGGAATTTGGCTATCTCGTATTTCGTCGATAGTCGGAGGATACCCGCTAGATGGAAAAAGTCAGCAGGTTTTCTATTGGCGAATTTTCTGTGCAGAGACATGAGATGGGCAATGGCAGGGAATGGAATGTGGCACCGACAACCCGTCATAGATAGCCTCAATGAGACTGGCCAGCTCTTGTGGTGGATCCCACATCCGCACGACCTGGCATCCCTCCGCGGTTTCAACCACCTCGCTCGGGGGCTGGGGGACCATGAACATAGACTCAAAGATTTCGGAATGTCGGGCCATGACGCTTCTATGGACTTTGAACGCTGTTGGCTTGTCGGAGTCGGCCGTCACCAGACACACATTCCCGTCCTCCATCCACGGCTGGGATGATGCCCGTCAGGATGATAACACGACCCCCGAAACCGTCCGCGGCGTCCACTCACTTCTCCCCGCGCAACTTGCTCTTTCATGAATCCGGCCACAAAGATGGAGACCAATGTCGCGCTCATGGTTGAGATCGAGGAGCAAGAGCCAGAGCAAAAGCAAGAGCAAGACGGGTGACCGGACTCGGATAAAGTGCTTCAACGCGCCGCTGATTGGTAAGCGTGAGGTGCTTGCCACAGTACTTCTCGGGCCGCTGCGTTGCCGCGAGCCGTGCCGCCACACCACCCTTGTCTAGACTGTGAAAGCCGAAATGACAGAGTCTCCGAGTGCGGGACCGCATTCAAGAACACCTTCTCGGGCTCAGCTCGGCAGGTAATTAATTCCAGAAACGCAATATCGTATATCTGCTGATCGCGCTCTTGAGTAGATCCCCCTCTCGTCTGACTATACCTCCCGCTTTGCGTCCTTCGCCCTCCCTCTCCACTCTCCGCGTCCACAGCTCGAACACATCCACCATGCCGGCCTCGGGTTCCGTCCCTACCATCTCGGTCACCGTCGCGCCGAGCCTCGCGCTGGACAGCACCGCGTCATCTGTCGTCAACCTGGATCTCAACGAGGGGATACTAATTCAGGACGCGGATGCGGACACTGATACTGCCGATGGCGAGGAGGTCACAGTGATGGGCATCGTGAACCGCTCGGACGAGGAGACGAAGCAGACCCTGCGGAATCAGCTCCGGACTCTCAGCCGAAGACCTTCCCGACCAGGTCCGTCCATCTGTGCTATTCACGTTCAAGTTGGAACTTTGCTGCAGATTTCTCGTCCTCGAGGTCGTACGAAAAAGCCAATGATTCCCAGATAGACGAGGTGGTGCATGAATCCGGTTCGTCGTCCCGCTCGTCTCCATTCCGTGTGTGCATGGGCTTACCGCTCAGGCTCTCGATACACCCCTCGAGAGTATTTCATCTTGACGGATGCGGGGAAACCGGTTTTTACCAAGTCCGCTATCTACTTCAGTCGTTCTGATGCTGGCTGACCCACCCGCGCAGCCGCCAGGAGGGGAAGACTCGGAGAGCCTCGCGTCTACCTTCGGGATCATGCAAGCCCTGATCTCCGTGTACATCGACGACGGCGACAAGATCCGCTGCATTAACTCGGGGAACACTCGCATCACCTTCTCCTTGCGGTCGCCGCTGTACTATCTATGCGTGTCTTCGTGGGGAGAGCCCGAGTCTGTAGTAAGGATCGCTTCTTCTTGCGTTTGTCCGTCGCCGATATCGATCAAGCAAGGCACGCTCCCATCTCGAGTACCTGCACCTGCAAATCCTGAGCATTGTCACCGGCGCGCAGCTCCGACGCGTATTCGAGCGGAGAACCAACTTCGACTTGAGGAGGCTGCTCAATGGTGCGCTGATTCCCCGGGCGGGGATCGCCCTTACCCGTCCACAGGAACGGAATCCTTCCTAACCTCGATGCTGTCGCGGCTGGAGTTTGACATGGCCATGGCGACCTCGTCGCTGCACTGCCTGCGACTGGAGGCCGGACTGAGGAAACGGGCGGGTGAAGCGCTCGTTCCGATCAAGATGAAGGACATTCTCTACGTCGTTCTCCTTGCTCGGGGACGCGTCATCAGCCTGGTCCGCCCAAGAAAACACTCGATTCATCCTGCCGGTGAGTCCAGTCTTCGATCACGTGCTCTCACTCGCCCTGAAATCCATTCCAGACATTCACATCCTGTTGAATACGATCCACGCCCCATCAATTCTAAACTCTCCAGCCTCAGCCTCGTGGCTTCCCATCTGCCTGCCTAAATTCAACCCATCGGGTTTCGTCAATGCATATATCTCATTCCCCAGGAAAGACGACGGGTTGGAAATGGAACAGAGCGGCGACGAGGAGGCTGTGACGCCCAAGGCACGCTACACATCGCATGTGCTGGACTCCGGGATCGCCCTGGTCTGTATCAGTGGCGGGGGCGACTTTGAAACAATCCGCAAATGGTGTGATTCCGTCACGGAGCGTCTGGAGAGTGATGGGACCCTCAATCACATCGTCAATGCCTTTCGTTCTGGACGAACCGAGTATTCTGTTTCTGAACTGGGTATCCCCGGTCTGCGACACTTCATGTACAAGTCGCGCTCACAAGTTCAAATTACATGTCCTGTGCTGGAAGACCCGTATGACAATCCTGACGAACGACGACGGTTCGAGTGTCCACCCTCTTGTTTCAGCCCAGAGATTGTCTGATCTTCTCCTTTCCAGATTAACGACTTTGTATCAAATTCTGTACGACAACATTCACGCCAAATCGGGGCAAGAAGCTCCGCTGAAACTGCAGTACTTGCGCTCAGAGCACGAGAGTGTCATGGGCTGGGTCAGTCCACGAGCTCTTCGCTGTTTCACCACTGACGTCCATCCAGATCACACAACCTTTTGAACTTTATGTTGCCCTTTCTCCCCGTCTCCCGAAGAGTGCGGCAGTGGGTGCTGCAAATGCTGTTGCGCGCTGGGTCAAGAAGGAGGAAAGCAGATTGTTCCTCAGAGATGCGCCCACTTTCTAGATCGCTTATTCCACATATTTATCAAAGCGGAAAATACATGTACACCTCATCACATACCATACTCTCAGCAGCGTACCCAGTCATCATCAGCCCTGGCTCTACTGTAACTCTATTGCGCATCACCGCAGACCACGTGACCCTAAATTTCACTCACTCTCACTTTCCATGTCGGGTCTCCTGCGGAGCGCGTTCTCAGCAGTCTCTGCCCCATGTTCTCGGCTCTCGGTGTTAAGGACCTCATCCAGGCTCGTTACTACGGTCGCTCGCACAGTACCTCCCGCACCAGTCCGCGCGCTCCTCCCTCGTCAGAAGTCCCCCTCTGACACCACTCACAGCGGCAATAAGGACGCCAGAAGAATTTCTGAAGGCCATCGGACGGTCCTCTGACACGAAAGTCACCTTGGAAAACTGGGATGAACTGTGGGGTCAGACCGGCGCGACGCTGAAGGCAGCGGGTGTGGATGTCAAGGGACGGAGGTGCGCTATTCGTTCGGCACCGAGCCTCATCTCTACTACGACTCAACCCTCACAAGGTATATCCTGCGATGTCTCGAGAGGTATCGACAAGGACTCCCCGTGGAGCAGTTCGCCCACGAAGTGAAGCCCAAGAAGACTATCCGAGGGTCCGTGTGCTTTCTCCCCCCGCCCGCCAACAAGTGCTGAATGTTTGATTGCGTGGCTGCAGGTGGGGCCCCAAAGTCAGAACGGCAAGCGGATTCGTTCCCGGCGCGACAGACATCAAATCAGCCCGGCGGTCCTCAAACGAAGGAAGGTCGCGTTCAAAGAGTATCGCGAGGTCCGTAAAGCGAGCAAGAGGCAGAAAAAACTGGCGTTCCGGGCGCAGACGCCGTGATGTTTCATACAGACAATACGACTATTTTGAAAACACTATAGGACAACATAAGATAAAACAGGCGGACGAACATGCACAAATGCAGACGGATACAGGTGATGAAATGAGCAGGAAGCACAGCGACTAATCCTGCTCCGGAGGAGTGGGACGCCCGACACAGCTGACATTGGAGTTGTCCAGATGTCTCTTCAGCGCATCACGACGGCTGAACGTCTTCATGCATCCCCCCACCCGCTGCTTGTCCAGGAAAGTGTACGCTGGTATGTCGTGATCGAGCCCGAAGGCGGATGCCTCCTCCAACAGGACTCCTTTGCATCGCCACCCTCCGCGCCCGGCGCCCTCGTCGTTCACGCGCTGGTGTGTCTTGAGATGCCGCTTGAAGTCAGGCAGGCGCTGGTTCGCCTGCACCCAGCCGCACACCCCGCAGATGAAGTCGCCGAACTCGTCTGAGCTCTCGACGCGCCGCATCTCGGCCGACGACGCCTGCTTGTTGCGCGATGGGGGAGGCAGTCTCTGCCGCTTTACAGGGCGTTCGGAGGAGGACGATGAGGCCGCAGGGGATGCGGCGAAGGACGGTGACGGTCGCCGACTGGAAAGCGCCGATGAGGACGACGACCTGCTCCGGGATCGCTTCTCGGCTTGCAGGCGCGGCGAGGGGATATATTCGTCATCGGATGCGTCGCCGGTACTGTCAATCTCCGACTGCTCGTCGGATAGGTGCGAGCGGGCGCGTTTTACAGGACGCGTCTGGAGGATATCGCGAGGGCAGGAGGTCGAGACTTGGGTTGGATGGAGAACTCGTACACTGGCGCGAAAATTTCCGGAGTCCTGCGTGGGATGTAAGGAGCATCGTCGTGGATTCTGGGAACTATTAGAGGAATGCTCGGACAAGCAAAGTTCGTTGTGACCGTACAGAGCGACGTCAATGCAGCCTGCGCCATTCATGTCAACCGACTCGACGTCCGATTCGGCGTCCGAGTCATTGTCTGAGCCCGGGTCATCGAAGGCCAGACACAAAGAAGATCCGGACGACAGGACAGAAAGAGTCGTGGAAGGGGTGCCATGGATCTCCTGCGCGTGGTCGTGCTCTTCGCTAATAGGGAACAGTTCGGCTGCATACTCCAGCTCGGCATAGGGATTTGCGTTGGAATGTAGATTCAGGTAGAGCGCGTCCATCGAGTCGCGGCGCGTGCAGTGAGACATGGCAGCGGGTAGCGGGCAGTAAGCGCGATGGGAGGGAAAGGTGTGCGATAAAGCGCAATCGCCTTCAATGGCCGTTATTATATACAACGGGCGTCGTCTTTGTGGGCGTCCATACCCTCGATAGCTGTCACATCGACCTTGCATCATGACTATTCATCCAAAAAAGGGCGAGACAAAGAGCCTTTTCTGACATATGGTCTAACGGCTGCGAGAGAACAAAAGAGGATGCGCGTTTCGTCACAAGCGTCTCCAGGCGTCAACAGCAATCTGGGACGCCGTCGCCAAGGGTATTGTTTTGAGACCATTGAAGAGGACAAGAGAAGAACAAGGGTCCGAGCGGGATCACGATCGACAGTCCTTTCCTAAAACGATCGGCATAGATGAGATTGCGCTTATCTAAGGCTTATCTAGGCGACCTGTTTTAACCACGAGTCTGCCTCGTTGCGTCGTATAATGGGAGGTGATAACACACAATGGAGTGGCAGTACACCGGCAACATACACCAAGAAGGCGCCGTCTTTTGTGCGTTGTGCATACATCAAGATGCTTCCTCATGCAATAGCACGTACTCTCTGGTAGATTGCCCGAACTTGATCACTAGGTAAAGCTGGGATCAGAACCTCTCAGTTGTAGAACTCCCTCATCAACTCACCATCGCTCGCTTTCAGCTCGTAGTAGCGTGAGGTCGGGATCGTCTCGTCATTGACAGAGGTCCCATTCGTCGACTCGAGGTCTATGATGAACGGCCTGCCAAGCATGAGAGACTCGTCGGTGAGGTCAATAAAGTCCCCCGTACTTGATCGTTGCTTTAGTCGCACCGAATTCGTCTTTCTGTTGGATGGTTCGATCTACAAATGACGGTAAGAAACGCGAGCGGAAGTGGGTACCAGACCGCACACTGGATCACTGCATGTTGTTTTGAACAGGAGGGATGGTCCACTGCGATATCGGCCACAAGACGGTCCCTGCCAATCAAATACGCGCTCTGGCGATGGATGTGAAGCAGTTCTTAAGACGCGGTCAGTCAACATCGGACAAATGCGCAGTTCAGATGCCTACCGACTTGGTCGCTGCCCTTGAATACATATAAGCGCCAGGCAAGCAGTGGCTTCCGTGCTTCTGGGGGTTCATTGTACTTCAAGACGGTGCTGTCCCCGTTCCCCGCCGTGACTGTATTCGTCTCAGCCGCAAGAAGCCCCGAAGGCTTGAAATTAGGCTGCGCCTTGCTGGAGGGCGACCGCGACCGCGACCGGGAACGAGAGCGTTGTGAAGAACGCGGCCGAGAAGATCGCCGGCGGGGAGACTCTGACCTCCGTCGTGAGCGCCCGTGATCCCTGTCCCTGTCCCCATCCCTTCTGCGGTCGTATCTGTCCCTGTCCTTAGCCCTTTCCTGCTCCCGATCACGCTCCGTGTAGTACTGGCCACCGTCTCTATTTCTCGAGGACGTGTAGTTCCTGTCGCTGTCGTAGGGCGGCGCTCTGCTGTCCTCGTAGCGGCATGATCTATTTCCCCGACCCGCGTCGTCTCTGTAGTCCCTGCGAGGCGAGCTTCTTCTGTCCATGGGTTGCAAGTTTTATGTCACTCTCGAGGCAGTTGGGGAGGAAGTCCCGTGACCAAAAAGCGTGATCCCTGATGTTACGCCATCACGTGTCTGGAGGTACGAAATGCTAGGCGCGTCGCGCATGAGACATGGACACAAACTATCATACTCGATATTCTCCGGTCAAATCAGCGAATTCAGAGATGGTAGCTATCTCGGTGCTTTTACAATCAAGTGAACCTCGCCGATCTGAGATCTGGAAGGAAAGATGACATCAGCGAGACATCAGGTAGACTCTTCGGAGAAGTGGAAAGTCTCGGCGGAACGGGTGAGTAAATGCGAAAAAACTCCATGGCCTGGGAGAGAGAGGGATATTTTCTCCATTGGGCCGCGGGGATGATAGGATAGGGATGATAGTCACCGTGCTTGGGAATGCTGCAGTCAGGATCGGAAGGTTCCAGGAATGTCACGGTACTGCCGTGTGGCGCTGATGGAGAACGGTCGGTGCAAGCCTTGTGGCCCGGGCTCTGATAGATAACTTGCGATGTCTGGCAAGGTCCGGACTCCAGGCCAGAACCATCTGCGAAGTACGGCGTGATCTCAATTTGTGGTTCCCAGTGGTACATACCAGCCTAAGCGCCTGATCGATCCCCCTCCGCTGCAAAACACTCAAGTGACACCGCCGAGACTCGTTTCTACTTACCTGATCGTTTCGGGGCTGCAATGCCGACGAGTCTCGCTCCTCACATGGGCAGCAGGCTAATATTGATCGTCCTGCCCATGGCGATACACGACGACGTCGATCTCAATAAATGCACGCATCCAAGTGGCGCATGCAAAAGTGGACGGGGGCCGGGTACGTCAGCTTCGCTGGGAATTTTGGATGAGAAGACTAGAGGGCTCTCTGAAACCACCTTGTTCCGCTGAGGACCTTGACAACATAAAAACTGCGAAGAGATGGTCGGATCAGCCTCTGGATTGCAGGGATCTCCCAGGAAAACGTCCGAGTTACTCGCTGGGAGTTTCAAGAAGGGGTACGTATCTATCTACTGTTCATCATGAACACGAGCTCCAGGGTCGGTTGCCCAAGCTCTCCAGAACACAAAACACAAGGAACCGTTTCAGGATATTTTCCGTGGTGAGGAGAATAGGATGTAATTGGTTAGATTAAAGAGAACCCACAGCGCGTCATAGGGAAAGTCCAGAGTACGGTCGACCCAATGGCACAGAAGTCGAACGGCAGCAAGTTGCAACATGAATGGACCATGAGAACATTTAACTTGATGAGTGCAGAGCTCCAGCGCAGCCGCACTGTTGTGGGTTTTGAAAGCAAAATGAGTGAAGACTGTCCAGGCTGTTGAGGCCGGGGTTTTTTGAGGCTTCTGAATTGAGTCGAACGTCAAGGCATCGGAAAAGGACAGCAATGATACAAATGACACTTGACTGACCAGCCGCCTACAGAGGCCAGTGACCAGCCTAAATTAACTTCCTGGTGGGATTATAGTTCTCGCCAGCGAGGTTGCCATGTCGAAAGAGGCTACGCAGGCAGGGGTCGGTGCTCGGACAGATCTGCCTGACACCCTGAATGGCCGAACCTCTATCAATTTTCGCTGCGATCCCATCCACGGTCCACGGGGCAAGCTCGAGGAGGATCTGCAGTGTTCGTCACCGTGTCCAAGGAGCGTAATGGACGAGTGAAATTTGACACAGATGCTAGTCGAGCGGGATGCTGTAAGAAGGGCAATTTGAACAGTGACATCAGTTGTGATGTGATGTGATGTCCAGTGACATTCCACCACTTCACAGTCGTTGTCAGGTCGAACGGACATTCGGACGCCAGCACCAGGCTGAGTGCAAGGAAGTAGCCACACATATCCCTGATATCTTGAATTCAGGTGCTGCCCATAAGAAGAATCTCGACGCGCAACACTCCTCGACACACATGTGGCGGCGTGATTCACCCATCAGTTGGGAGAGATACGGTTCAGGTTACACCCACGGTTTTATCGGCGTCAGGAGACAGTAGAAGCAGGCCGGCGTCCGACGCTCGTGAGGGTTCGTGGACAATCTAGATGTTTGGTGAGGCAAACAAACGTCAGGTACTTCTGCCCTCCTTTGCCACGCGAGAAGGTCTCAACGGGTCGCCACCTTACGACAGCGGGTGGAGATGAGATCCCTCGATCCTGCCTCCTCATAACAAATCAAACCTGCTAGCACTATTTATTCTCAGACTTCGCAGACGACGTCAAAAGCCTCGCTCAGTACCGACTGTCGACTATGTACCCCTCGAGCGTGCGATCGGGTAACGAAGGGCTCCAGTACCCGCCCCGACTGCCCCCTCATCGGCCCGAACCCACTCACCGCATGTATGAACATTCTGAACACCTTTCCCACCCGCGGAATCAAGCAGCCTACTCTGCCCTCTACAACCAAGTGCAGCGGGCGCCGTACTCCCCACCTCGATATGTTCCGAGTCCCACGATGACGCGTTTACCCATGGACCAATTCGACTATCCCGTGCCTCGAGGCCCGCCTACGGCAGTGACCAGTCGTCTGAGTGACATGGCGCGCATCGACACCTCCATGCAGTACCCGGCGCCCCTGTTGAGCAGCCAACCGGCTTCTGCCAGCTCTGTCGACCTGTCGGGGGACTCCGACCCTTGGTCTCCGTTGCGTGAATCCGCATCACGACAACGTAAATCACGTCGCGAAAAGCCGCATATCGAATTGGCGCCAGATCAGCCTCCGACGACTCAGGGCAAGTCGAGGCTGCGGGTGTATGTCGCGTGTCTCCAATGGTGTGCCTATCTTTTCTGCTCGTTTTCTGATTCCTCGTGCCTCAATTCTCACAGTCGGCAACGCAAGATCCGATGCGACGGGGCGAAACCGAACTGCTTCAACTGCAGCAAGCGGGCGACGGAGTCCAACGAGTGCACGTACGACGCATTGCCCAAGCGGCGAGGGCCCGACAAGACACCCGGAGCTCGGCAACGCATTGTCCGCCAGGACGGTGTCACGGAGGCCCCCAGACGTCGGCGACGTAGCGCGGGGACGCATACACGCTCGCCGGCGGACATCGGTGTCCGTTCGCACACTGCCGTCAGTCGTCGTCCTGTCTCGTTTTCGCCTCCCCCGTCAAGTGAACATACGCATTCCTCGGACGACTATCTTGCTGGGCACGAAGCGTCCGTGGATCATCCGTACGGCCGAGCTGGGGCTTCGAACCGACCGTCTTCATCGGACGGCGCGAATCTGGATCAGCTAATTTCGGGTGGCGAGGTAGGTAATGTTCTCGACAAACCGCTAACTGACAAGACTGATGTGTGTCAGATTTCCATTCTGTATGACAGCTCGGCGCGAGACGATGACGAGCGCGCTACTCCATCGGCCATCGCCACCACGCCGTCCCTGGACTTTACGCGGAAGACGTGGTGGGACAGTCTCCTGACGTTGTATATGTCGCCCCACCGCGGGCGGGCGGATTACCTCACGTCGACCCAGCGCGACCTGGCGTCGCAACGGGTGGTTTCTGATCTGCGTTTCCTTTTCCGGACTTGCAACTACTGGTTTTCGTTCCTTCACATACCGACATTCTTTACCAATCTGTACGACACGCGTAAACGCGATAACAAGCTGCAGCCTAGCTTTGTCCTGGCTGCTCTCGCGATGTCAACGTTCTGGCAGAGCTCAGAACTCGAAGCAGGGCGGCTTGGCCGAGGTGATTCTCCGATTGCCCGACATGTGACGCCCTTGTGCTGATATCGTTCTCAGATCGTGCACTGAGGTTCAGGGATGAGGTGCGTTCTTGCAATATTGCTTCGATTTGGAATATTTCTGATCGAATTCCAGGCTCAGAGCACTCTGGAGGCCAGCTTCAATGCTGGATGGGTCGACGAGGGGCTGGCTCAGGCAGCTTGGGTGAGCTGTCAAAATAACCTTTTTTTATGTGCTGGATCTGATTCCATTGGGAACAGCTTCTCGCTATGTTTGAGATATGTGCACATCCTGATCACTCGTCCGAGCGATCCGCGTCCTCGATGCTGATGCTCGATCGCATTATCCACATGATGTCCTTGACGATCCTAGATCTAGGAGATCCGCACACCTCCGTTTTTTCCCCGAATTCCGTCCCATCTGTCGTCCGTGCCAACGAGGACCCGTACTCGCGCGCGCTTTCCCGGCCCGTCTCCACAGGCTGTAACTGCCGGTCGATGACTCTCAAAGAGCAGTGGCCGCAGGCTGCCGAGCACACCCCGCTGTGGATCGACACTCCGGCTTGGAACACATCGTTCTCCGAGGCTGAAATCACGCGGGAATCCTGCCGACGACTTTGCTGGAGTGCGATGACGCTCGCGGCCGGCCACAGCGCCTACTCGAGTGCCACATCCAGCCATATTACCAATCTCTTCATCTCGGATCCGGCCAATGTGAGTAATGCCATCAGCGTGATTAGCGAGGCTAACCGCTGCCTCAGTATGCACTGCTGTTCTCTGGCGCAGCAGTCACACATTCGCCAGACACCATTTGGGCTCTGTTCGATCGCTGTTTCCTCCTCTGGCATGCCTGCATCAAAATGCGCAATGACCCCTCCGCTTCGATGACGGACAAGGGCCAGTTTGCGATCAATGCATGGTTGGAAGCAGACTCGATCGAAGATGCGCTCAATCGGCATACATGTCTCATTGAGCGTTCGTTCATCTTCCAGGGCCGGGAATACATCTTCAAGTACGTCGGGAAATTCCGAACAGAAACAAGCGACTCACCATTCTTCTCCAGCACACGCATGTGCATCACGTTTGAATTCCAGCGATTTGTCCCGCTCGTCTCGGCGTGAGTGAATTCCGTCGGATGCCCGCGCCGTCGTCAGCTGTCATTTGCAGAAATGTGAACGGTCTTTTCCACCGGCACAAGGCCGAGGAGTGGCGTAAGTCGTATCCCCATCCACGCTGATCTGTCACTGATCTTCGACAGTGCGGCACCAAGCCACGGTGGCCCGGAAATTCAAGGATCTGCACACTGTGACCGGCAACTCGAGCAACATCCTCACGCTCAGGCCATTCTATGTATTCTGGTTCATGGCCCAGGTGTCCAGGTCTGTGGCAGTCGGCGAGCGATATCTGTGACTCTGACATATCCTGATAGAGCGCTCACCTTTTGGCAATGCGACCCCGAGTTCGTCCTCGCGTTGGATGTGTCTAAAAGTCTGCTGTCGCCCATTGATTTCCTGACCGCGCTCTGGCCTTGCAAAGGTGTGACCGATCCCTTTTTTCTTTCCACGTCCCGTGACTCAACCTTGTAGAACAACGTGTACGGTACGAAAAACTGCGCAAGCGACTGTCCGCTGCGTGTGAGATGGCCGGTATCCAGCTCCCCCCGCCCCCGAATCTATCATTGCCTCCGTCCGCGTCACATATAGTCACATGATTTATCTTGTAGCCTCGTCTGGTATCGATTGTACTACGTTGCATGTATTTTTACTGGTATGTTCATCCTAATCATGTCGAGTATAGACGTAGTGGAGTAGTAGCATAAAACCTGACTGTATCTGGATTTGATTTCGATCACGCGACCTCCGCGGATCCCTCATTTGGGATGTAGCAGTGCGTAACGCGTGTAACTATTGTTCCTTTCAGTCCTCATGGCCCAAGATGCGGATTCGAGTCTCGTCGACGCTGCTCACATCCCCTCTGCCCCATTGCCCCACTCTTCCACTCTCGACGCGACCGTGGGCCCATCCACCCTGAAACGAAGAGCATCAGCCTCATTTAATGATACGCTCGACGAAGTGGCTGCCCGTCGGAAGCGCATGAAGGAAGAGCACACGCCTCATGATGTGGAACAGATATCCGTACCTGCATCTTCGGCAAAGCATCTAGACTGTGTGCTCGCGGACGAGCTCGCCCAGGAGCTGCAGTGTGGGTGTTGCTCCGAGCTGGTCTATCGACCGGTGACAGTCCTACCCTGCCAGCACTATTTCTGTGGGAGCTGCTGTTCACTGTGGATCCAGGTGAGTTTCGTCTCCCCCCCTGCACGATCGTCGCACCCCGTCTTCTCCGGGAGTTTGCGAAACAACGCTCACGCCACACCGCACTCTGTGTGCTTCCCCAGAACCAAGGCACCAATTGTCCTACCTGCCGACAACCGTCGACAGTCGTGACGCCCAACCGGCCTGTGCAATCCATCGTGGACGTGCTCCTGAGGGTGGCACCCCACAAAGCGCGCACAGAACGCGAACGGCAGCAAGCAGATGCGGTGTACCATGGCGGAAATCTGACTGTACGTACCGTGCTGCTGCCAGCGATACTTCCTTTGCTTCCCCGTCGTACATACATAACAGATTCCCGGTCCGCGCGAACAGTCGCCTGATCCCGATGTCAGCACCAGCGATTTCGCGCGCCCGTGCCCCAACTGCGCGCCGGGGAACCCCTTCGGCTGGCGCTGCCCGCAGCCCATCCCCGATCCTGTGGCGGATCCGGCGCACGCGTGGCCGCTGGAAGACGGGCCGCCGCCGGGCCACGCGATCTGCGGGTACTGCGAGAATCTGCTCGCGGTGGACTCGCCGCTGACGAGCCGGTGCGATTTCTGCTCGGTGCGATACTGCGGGATCGGGGTCCAGGGTCGGTGCATTGCTGCGGAGGTTCTGAGGCAGCAGCCCCACGGACTCTCGGACGTCGGGGATCTCATCCAATGTTCGGCGGTGTACGAGTCGTTCCACAGCAACACCGTGGAGGTTGATCTGATGCTCGATCATATCACGACGCAAGTGATTAGTCTGAGGCGGATCTATCGCGAAGTGAGCATTGAATGCAGTTGGCTTTTGTGCGCGCGTGTGTGTGCTGACGATTCCTGCAGATCGTGGCGCACATCCAAAGCCAACCGGCGGGTTTCCAGCCGTTAATCGACCTGGACTTATTCGGCGATGTTCCACGAGGCGCCGATGCCGCTGGCAGCAGCACACGCGCCCGGAACAAAATCTGCCGACACTGCGCAGCGGAAGTCTTCCTGTATGGCCTGCGTGATTGGTTTCTACGGGAACGGCAGAAAGGATCGGTCCAGGAAGTGAAGCGAATCGACTGTGTGGACGGAGTCGAGTGTTCGCGGCAGAGTGATCTCGGTGAGCACAGGTTTATATGTTTTCTTGCCGGTTCGTTTTTGCTGACTTGTTCAAGCGCACGCCAAAGAATGTATATGCGCAATCTTTATTTTGTGACGCTCCATGCTCAAATTTCCGCAGTCAACCACCTTATACTTCCCCCATCCACTAACGATCGCTCAACCAATGAAACTGCAGCACCGCCACCTATTACAGCGGCCACCCGGTTACCGTATTTCCCCGCTTTCGAGGATTCGAGTGAGGACGACGAGGACGACGAACAGGCCTTCTTCTCCGGAACTGCTGGTGGAATGGAAACTGACCCGTGAAACAACCTTACATTACTTACATACCGATTGCATAACTGGAAAGACATTCTCATTCTACGACGAGGTATCCGGATCCGCAAGCGCGAATAGTCTACAAAGTATGGAGCTGGTAGTAATAAGGATAAGTGGTCGATGCAATTGTGGATGTCAGAAAACGAATGACAGATGAGTACAAGATTGAGTTTAGTGGGATCGGGAGTCCTGCCCCGATCGTTTACAGCGAGAACCCCATTCTGCTGCTTCCGCCGGCAGCAACGACGCCGCCGTACATCGCCACCGGCTCCGCCTTCTTCTCGCGAGAGGAATTCGAGTTGCGTTCGGAGGCGTCTTCCTTGGCTTTCCTGGCGCGCTCCTTCAGCTGCCGCGCCAGCTCCTCCGTGCGCGCCTTGGCGGCGACCTTCTTCAGCCGCTTCTCCTCGGCCTTCTGCGACTTCGGGTCGAGCGACAGCCGGCTCGTCACGGCGGAGAGCGTCTCCGTGTCGGACGGGGTAGGAGACAGCGTCCGCGTGCGGTCCTGGAGCACGATCATGGGCTCCGTCCGCACTTTCAGCGCCGGCGGCGACATGGCGCGCTCGCTGCCGTCGTCCGTGTAGTGCTCGTCGATGCTGGGGAGCGCGAATGCCGTCTCGGGCGACATCGGCGGCGTCATTGGCGACGACAGATCCCGCCCGTGACTCGAGCTGGACAGTAGAGACGACCGGGACGAGGAGGTGATCAGCGACGGGGTCTCCAGTCCGCGGCGCGGCAGGTGGTACGGGATGAAACCGCCCGGGGAGAGCGAATCCGAGCCTGGCGATGTCGCCATGCTTGCAAAGTCGGACTCGGACTCGGACCAGGGCGAAACCGAGTGGGTCTCCGCTTCCTCCGGCTCGCTTTCGTATCCCGGATCACGCATGTACGGATGCATAAGCGACTCAAACATGCGGTCCATAAACGCCTGCTCCGTCAGACGTGTCCTGCCAGCTGTCCTGGGCGACATCGGAGTTGGCGGCGAGGCCGGCGCAGGCGACATGAGCTCAACGACTTCTTGGATCTCAGCCTCAGTGTGCAGCGAAACGTTGCTCGGCGTCCGCCGGTGGGATCCAACGGCGATCGGCGCAGGGGGGGTTCTGAGCCGCGACTTGGTGAAATCGGGCCGCGTGAACAGGTCATCGGCGTCGTCGCTGAACACAGGATAAGATGCATCTACGTCAAGGGTAAATGAGCTGCGATTACGCGATGATGCATGTCACGCACTGGAATAGCCGTATCCTCTGCCGTTGCTCATCCCACTGTCAGTCGTGCTTGTCGCCCATCGAGCATCCGAGGTACCCCGAGGTCGGGTCGTATGCCGAGACTCGCCGCCACCTCCAGACCTCTGATCGCGCTCCAAACCTGCCCCACTGCCGCCGCCACCTCCGCCACCCGAGTTTTCCTTCTCAGTTCTTCGGGATGGCTTCTTTTGGGTGTAAGACTGATGGGATCATCAATACATGAACCGTTCATTCCACAGAACACGGAGAACCTACCATGACAGTTTTCAGGGCCCTGATCTGCAGACTGCGGCAGCCGCAAAGCGTAGCAACTTCGTACACCCCGACGCTCGTGGAGTTCCCTAGCGCCCGGTGCATCGCGTGACGCACAGTGAGCTCAAGTGATCGAGCTTGTAGTTTGTGGAAATAACTAGAAGCTGCGACAGAACCGCCGGCGCTGTCTGCAAAGGGGTAAGCAGTGCTGTCGAGTAGAGATATTGGAGCAACGCCAGAGTGATCGGGTAAGGTTCAGAGAGGTGCAGGGCCCGAGGAGTCAATCGGGGATCGGGGCGTTGGCCATCAGGCAGGTTCCCAGGCAACGAAGGGAGGGACACATGCATCCCTCCAGCACTGGGCAGCGCCTCCATGGCACCCATCGCATTCTGAAGTAACTTGAGCCGCTGTTCTTTGAACCACGGCCACCGTTCCTCCAGCAGCTTTCTAGAACAGCGGATCTTCCGGCCGTCGTCACAGATAACCTCAAAGTCTGCGAGGACGCCTTCTTCTAGGGCCGCCAATCCCATTTCCTGCATCGGCACGTCCAATCGAAGAGAAGGCGGTTGGTAGATCCCAAAAGCTTCTAGATCGACGACAGCGACGTGCTCCCAGCTGAGTAGCCGCCGGTTGTAATCATCGACCAGATTTCCGTTCCGATTCCCAAACACGAAAAATCGGTTGCCCTCCGGCCACAGACATCCCCGGAACCACGACCCCGACTCGACGGCTTTTCCGGGATCAATGCGAGACCAAGCCATCGTCGTCAAATCGAGGACCCAGATAGAAAACGACTGATATGAATGGGCGAGATAGATGCCGGCAATGATGAGGTGATTCCCCAAAATAGCTCCCGAGGGGAAACGCAACCCGGGGGGTAGGGAAGGCCCAGTCATGGCTGCAGAACGGTCTGTGACGTTGAAGCCAGTGTCCGGGAGCGGAGAGAAGATTTCGAGCTCCCGTTTGACATCTGTGAACTGCGTGACCGTGAGCGGAAGAAGGCGTGAGATACTATTGAAACCCACGTTATAGTTACTGTAGAGGTAAATGTCGCTCGGATGCTCGTCATTTGGCGCGGCGGAGTGCGGCAGATGCACAAGGTTCTCTGTCGGCGTCGAATCTTGGTCGAGTTCTGGCTGCGTCTGTCCAGGGACCTGGAATCGGGGACCCGCTTGGATCGGCGTCGTAGTCTTGTCCCTCTCCCTGCGCATTTCGTCCTTAGGATTCCGCACCACTTGCGAAGCGCTGACAGCCACACTCCTATAGGATCCGCAGTGTCTAGGGTAATCCCTGCGCTCGCACCACGTCTTGGCAAGAAGATCGTAAACACAAACATCGTCCAACCAGGTGTTGTAAAAGTCCTGCCCGCCGATGATGAAAAGTCGGTCGCCTGTGACCGAGGAGAGTTGTGCGTATCGGGCACGAGGTGTCAGAGGGGATGCTGGGGGAGGGGAGGGGCCTGCTGGCAACCAATGAAAGGTCGAAAGATCGAAGAACCGGACGTCATTGAGTACGCAGAGCTCGTCAGGATTGGGGGAGTCTGGTTCATTAGACATGCCGCCGAACAAGATAAGCTGATTGTTCCCTAGGTCTCCGGTAAGCCACATGGGTTGCAAAAACGTATATGAACACACATGTGTCCACGCTATGAAAGTACCGCGGGCGGGGGATATCGTCCTCGGGGAAGGGAGGAACAATCTCCCAGTTGTACGTCTCGAGGTCGAACACGTATAGGTCGGCCACCATCCGCCGCTCTGTCACAAGCCGACCACCCTATACTGTTGTCAGGAACATGTCCGCAGAGTCGAGTAGAGAAGGGATTTGGCGCACAAATAGATACATCTTGCTCCCCACTACCGTCGTCGACGCGCCCTGCTTTCGTGAGTCCTTGGCTGGGGTGAAATGGGGGGCCCACATACGACCAACTTTGGGGGCACATGCCCCGTGGTCTTGCGACAAAACGTTGTGAGGTCGTAGATGGAGTGTAGCTCGGCTGGCATGGTGCCAGAGACGGCAGAGAGTACTGAGGAGGGGGATGTGGACGAGAGGGGAGATGTGAAAGCCGGTGAGGAGAAACGGAATCAAGTCCTGAATGGGGCAGTGTTATAGGCTTGGAACTAACCGATCAATCGTTTGCCCGATCTCGCTGATAAAACCGTTGATTCCTTCAGGCGATTACGGGTTTCTTGAGTGCGCTAGAAAAGCGGCGCCGATGCTGGATTCGTTTAACCTCTTCTAGAGTGTCTGAGATCACACGTAACGAGGTCTTCAATTTCGACCTTGCGGAGTTGCCGATGATAAAAATACGGAGAGCACACAGATCTGATTGGAAATTGAGATTATCTATTTGCAAGGAACCGCCCCAGGCCCGTCGGCTAGGATAATTTCAGGCACTCCGACATGTTGTGGGCAGACTGCTCAGACGGACGTCTTGAGAGTGAGGCCTCGGAGAGTTTCGAAGTTGTGTGAGACGCACGTCGAAAGGCACCTCGCGCGCATCCGCAGGCCTCGCTCCTTTGGAAGAACGCACACATGGAATTCCACAGTCCAATTGAGACCGTCACACGATGCGGCGGCAAATACCGAATGCTTTGCTCTTGCCAAATCAGGGTTTCGTCTCAAACTCGTGCAGTGGCGCGCATCTCCTGCCTCATCCGCCGCTACCGAACCAGATCGGCTACCACCACTCCAGCAAAAATGGACGTCGTCATACCTGCCCCACAGCAGGACCAATCTACCCCGACCATCTCTGCCACTGCCTCGACGATCCATGTGCTTCCGCACACACAGTACTCCGCGCCTCCCGTCTCACCGGCTTCCGTCCTTCCTTACCCTTGGATCAGTTCCGAGCATGGTTCGCCGAAGCAGCGAAAGAGGTACCTGAGCCCGAGGCCATGACTCTCTGCACCATCGCCCAGGGGTCTGACTCGATTGGACTTGGCATCCCCTCTGCACGCATCGTGCTCCTGAAGCGCGCAGACCCGCGCGGATTCGTGTTCTTCACCAACTACACATCGGCAAAATCCGAATGCCTATCTAATCACCCTTTCGCGGCCCTCGTATTCTATTGGCACCCCTTACATCGTTCAGTCCGTGTCCAGGGCAAAGTGGAACGGCTGCCGTCGGGAGAGAATGCCGAGTATTTCAACTCGCGGCCCCTAGGCAGCCGGCTTGGTGCTTGGGCGAGTCCTCAAAGTAAACCCGTAGGAGAGGGGGAACTCGAGGGACGTGTCGAGGAGGTCAAAGCCAAATTCGGCGTGACCGAAGATACCACGGATGCAGAGATCCCGTGCCCTGAATTCTGGGGCGGATGGCGTGTGGTGCCCACGTGAGTCGCTTGCCCTTGCGTATGCCTATCACTGACGAAGGCATGCGCAGGACCATTGAATTCTGGTCCGGCCGCCCTTCGCGCCTACATGATCGCATCGTCTACTCGCGGGCAGACATTGAAAGCGAGGATTGGAAGGTGGAACGGCTCGCGCCCTGAGTAGCCGATGTAATTGTGCTCAATCACCCGTCTCTTCTCTGGACGTTTGCCGATATCCACTGTCATGCCCTCCCGCTCTATTACGATAGGCGCCGGCTCACCAGGGACCGACGCATGGCTCACAGCAAGAAGCACTCCGGCATTGCGGATCTGAGAGTGAGGCTCTAAGAATGAAAGTTCTCTTTGCTTTTTGGTGATGTGTTGTGTCCCCTGTAAATCCGCCAGTCTTGCGCAGTTGCCTTGGTCGTCGCCCCGATTATAGCTCCAGTCGTGAGCCTCGACAGTTAGTTCGAAAATATACTCATTGGCGCAGGCGCTCGATTACCATTAGGAGCGAGCATCGTCATATATCCACATATATTCCGAATCTATACCAGGACGACCTATCACAGTTGGTGTACATGCGTGACGCCCGTCAATCTTTCTGTCTTTCCGGTCTAGCCACTTCGAGACTTGTCGTCCCCATGTGTCGTCCACCTGCGTCCAAGGGACAGCATTGGTCAGTGACTTGCCCTGTTATCTATATTCGATCCAACTGTTCTTCGGTTATACTGCTGTGGCGCTATTAGCGTCCCTATCCGGTTCAGAGCACCTGGTAGACCCGGAATCACATGAAATGAATTTTCCATCATTCACGGTGATCAGCAATAAACACCCCCCGAAGTGTCGGTCCGCAGTGTGCAGAAGCAGTGGGGAAAGTCCTGAGAGAAGTTCTGTCAAGATTCGGGGCGGGAAGTGTTCCTTGATTCCCTTGGACTCGATCATTCTGAATCTGAACCTAATGCCAGCCGCTCAATGCTCAAGTCATGAGTCATTCATTGTCCAGGTCCTGCTGATCAGGCGCTCTAGCTGAGACGAGCGCTGGCAACATGTCAGTTGCAATATCAAGTCGTCCCGTTACCTTCGCGACGTCCGTCCTCGACTCCTCGCGCGTCGGACTGTGCGATGTCTGTCAAGCACGGTATCGAACTATAATGATCACATTGTGTCAAAATCTTGATTCCATTGGCAAGACAGGACATAGAGTGCTTTAATACTCTATCAGTCGTGGGGGGTAATTGCGATGGTGTGCAGACAGGGGACTTACTGCGCAGATGTTTCAAGTACTTGGATCCTTGATACTGATGATCCTCAGTAGATGCGAAAGGACACGCGGTAACGTGACCCACGTGTGGTGTGGGCACGCGGCTTTCATCCACCTTTTGTTTTGGCGCGTTTGGGTACGTGTCTCTCGGTGTCGCCATCCAGCAGGAGATCCAATAGCTCTTGCCCCTGCAGAGCTCTGACGTACTCCCTGAGGAAAGGCTCGTAGTCATGTGTCCGTTTAACATGCTCTGTCTGGGTTTGTCAGGGCAGAGATGTGGTGCAGACAGACAGATCCTACATTAGCTCTCCTTGTCTTCAGCACCTCGTCCTCGAGTGCAATCTTGGCTAACAAGGCATCGCTGACACATTGCTCCCAAGCTCTTGGCAGCGCACGGACAGGCATTTCCATGATTTCTATGTCTCGGGTCATCCGTCGGCTGCCAAAATCCAGGGCAAAAGTACGACCGGGCTCAGCCGAGCCGTCAGGAGATTCGAAAACAGATTGGACCTGCTGTAACAGGACTGTGTCGACGCCGGATTGCCAACCGGACTGATCGCTGGTCAACCGACGCTCGAGAGCGACACGATCTCGTTTGAGGAATTCGAGATGGTCATTGGCTTTTTCGTATAGGCCGTCTACGAGAGCGAGAAGGCTGAAACGGATGTTTGCGCCGCTGGCAGCCCCACCGTATTTCTGCATCTTCATCCGAAGAGCTGGTCGCACGACGTCCATCCACGTTCCCGAGTCGGTGCCCTCCTCCCCAGGTTCAGGCAATTCACCAACTTCGAGGGGACCAGACTTGAGTCCGTCCAGCTCCCATACTTTACCAAACGCGGGCACATACCCTATGAAATGGTACACTTCCTCGGTCTCCACTTCTTTCTTGGGCTTGACCGGCGATCCGGTTTTCACGGGTCGCCCCTTGCTTGTCTTGGGATCCCCGTGTTCTTTCTTCTTCGCCGCGGCCAACGTTGTGCTGGCAAGATTGTGCAGGGCCCCGCGGATATCTGATGGACTGGGAATACCTCAGATGATCCGAACAGTACAGAGACTAGGGGAGAGAGCACACCGTGCAAGACCAGTATGGGCACTTCGGATGAAGGATGAACTCGAAATGGCCAATCCCTTCATCTTCGAGACTGATTTAGATTCCATGGACGATGCTCAATTCGATCCACCTACTCACCACAGGGGACATAGTCTCGGTATCCCTCCGGAACCATTCCAGCTGCCCATCAAGCTGCACTTCCGGGCAGTTCAAGGCGACATTGAGAATTGCGAGTGAGGCGCAAGCGTCGTCACTCAGTTGATTGGCGAACCAGACTTTCGTGGCCAACGGGTCAGCAAAGTCAGCAGGGCGATGCACATCTTTGCCCCAGAGAAAGCAGAAGATCAGCCCGCGTGGGCGCAGGTGGTCTACCGCCCATGGCTCTATGTCGTAAAGCTCAACGAGCTCGAGACCGCGAATCCCAAGCCGACGCGTCAGCGAGGTGAACACCCCGGGATCAGATTCCAGAACAGCAAAAGGTCCGCCGACCAGGTCCTCCGGTGACGACGATTCCGGCGCGTCGCGGTCAGCATTGCCTTGTAATAGCGGACCTGGTGAGTGGTGCTGCATGAACGAGACCGTGATGGCGTCAGACATATTCTAGACTTGGCGGTGGCTGTGAATTGGCCGCGCCCAATTTCGAACCTCAAATCCCTCTCTCTGACTCCCCAACATCATCTACTCTGTTATCTCAACATCCTTCTCAATCGCCAGCATCCCTGCCGAACGTGACTGATTATCAGGACATTTGCACACAGTCGAATAGTAGCTGATAATGTCAAACACAAATGTGCGTTCGGTAACGTTATGGATTTGTTATACGGACCCTGAGTGCCTCTTTGCTTTATATAGAAGAATGCTGTTGAAGTGAGCTCTCATGTCTTACAGTTCTCGTCCCAGACCGAGTCCTCGCTCTTCCACCCAACAGTCACTCACCGATCTCAAACAGCTCGACAATCAAGCTTCCCAGCTCATCATTAATGCACTCGAACGCACCAGCTCCGCCCAACCGAAGGCTTCTTCCGACAACAAGGGCTCATTTAGCAAAATGTCGTTTAGCTCGATGATGGGAGGGCTGAGCTCGAGTTTGTCGCTGAGCAGGACGTCCACCAACACTTCGGTGGACACCGAGCGTGGTCGCAGCACGCTGAGCGCTGTGAGCCAGCCGCGCTCTTCATCGCATGTTCCTCCGTCCTCCGAGGATCCTTCGCGCAGCCGGTCGCGCGCTCGTTCTCAATCTCCATTCACATTCCGTCGGTTTCGCCAGCAGCGCGAACCGTCGCCGACTCCTCAAGCCCTTCCTCTAACCCACTCCGATGTGGACCTGCACGAACCACTGACCGTCCGTCCACGAACCGCCTTCTCCGACGACGCAGACGACTCGGGAGACGAGACCGCCAACGAAAGCGAAGTCGACGATGAGGATGAATGGAGCGAAGACGACGATAACGGGTTCGATCCCGTCACAGAGCGCAACACCGAGCACAACTCTATTGTAACTCCCGCTGTACCCGAAGAGCAGGACATCTATGCCGATCCGCTTGGCGAGGGCGTGAACGTAATCCTTCCCCCCGAGCCTTACTTCCCGAGTACACTCAATTCTGGGTCTTCTTCGGGAGCGGGAAAGCGGAATCCCCGCCGACGCAAGTCGACTAGACACCACGAGCCTCTTCCGTTGCAGACCTCTCGCCCAATCTTCCAGCGCGATCGCTGCACAATCACCGTCACCCAGGGAAACCCCGATGTCGCGCTGGAGACGCGCAGGGGAAAGCGATACATCGTCGCGAGCGATTTGAGTGAGGAAAGTCGGTACGCGGTCGAGTGGGGGATCGGTACTGTGATACGCGACGGCGACGAAATGATGATCGTGAACGTGATGGAGAACGAGGGTAAAGGCAAGTGCAGCGGATTAGTACCCATGTCTAAATCTTATCGCTTTCAGTCGATCCCCCCATTCCGAATGCTGCAGACCGAGCAGTCAAGCTGCGCAGCCAACAGGAGGTAGGTCTTCTCTACTGGCTAAGAGTGATTACTGAGCATATCCCCGCTAGCGACAAGGCCTGGCATATATCCTGTGCCGTCAAGCGACGAGCCTGCTGCAGCGGACGAAACTGAACGTAACGGTCGTGTGCCAGGCTTGGCATGCTAAGAATGCTCGACATATGATTTTAGGTGCGTCTTGTGATGCCGCGGCTCGTCGGACGCCGAGTTAACATCGAATTGGCAGATATCGTCGACTATTACGAGCCTAGCATGTTGATCGTGGGGTCACGAGGACTGGGTCAACTCAAAGGGTGCGTGAATAACCTGCTCCTCCCCGCTGATCTCAACTAGCCTCCAGCATCCTTCTTGGATCGACCTCGCATTATCTGATTGAGAAATGCTCTGTCCCGGTGATGGTGGCTCGCCGACGACTGAAGCGACCCCCTCGTAGATCTGCGCATCTGTCCACTTCGCGCAGACATGTTTCGCTGGCCGAAGCCGGGATCGATCGTGTTGCCGCCAAAGTCGACGCGGACGTCCAAGTCATGCGTGACGAGTTGCAGCGCGACGACGACAGACGGGAGGCTCACAAGGATCATGAGGAAGTTGAGGTTGATGAGGAACTGGAAGACGATGCCGGGGAGGAAACTGAAGCTGGGACTAAGGTCGCTGGTTGAAGAGGTTGGACGATCATCGATAGACCGAGTTGATACGGATGAACTTCACGAATGGATACTTACTTATTTAGTCAATGATATTGCAGGCCTCCCTACAGTCAAATACAAACTTTATGCAGTACATTGTGGTTACATTAGCTCAGGCGACAGCCTTGCTGTTGGCGGTCAAGATCTTGTTCAGGCCATCGCGCTTCAAACAAGCCTCATACTTGAAGCTGGCGGCAATCTTGTCCAACTCGTCCAAGTCTTTGCCTGCAATTGTGGGTCAGAAAAAAATCGACGGCCCACAACAAATCAACTCGACCTCGGAAGTGCTCTGCCCATTCTTTGACGAGAAACTCGCTGACCAGAATGTTTCTCGACAGTCGGGCGACACGATCCGACAAGCGCCAGACGGGAGCAGGGTACAGATCCCGGAATTCAGGGGGGATTTCTTGGAGAATGTGATCAAGAATGGGCTGGTAGACTTGCTTGACAGCGACGTCGTCAGCACCCCAAGCATCGACAGCAAGTCGATGCTTCTTCGCAAGGAAGTTTCGGAATAAAGCCATGTATGGAGCTTCGGTGTCAACATAGACCATGCCCTGGAATCCGATATCTTTGTAGAGCCAGATTGACCAACTGAGGCGATCCTTGTGTTATGTAAGACACGAGCGAAACAAGCAAGTGTACAGGCGGACCTTGTTGTAGATGTCAAGCTGGTCCTTGAGCACCTGAATGCGCTCGGCATTGATTCTCTCCGTTTCCTGGCCTTCGTATTGTTTGCGGGCGTAGACTGGGCCCCACTCTCCGTTCCAGACACACAGTCCCCGCTGATCCATCCATTCACGTTTCTTCTCGTAACTTCTCTTCAGGCGGTGCAATTGCTGGTCGTTGCCGACATATTGTTCCGGTGAAGCAGGGAAGCCAAACACGGAGTAGTCGTGGATAGAGTACGCTGTGTTGTCCCACTTCTGGTGGGCATCTCCAAAGTGCGAGAAGTCCGACGCGAAAGTGTTTCCGTCGAAGAAGATCACATGCTCGCTGTCGATGGCTCGGATCGCAGAGTGGACGCGATGGTAAAAGTCAATCAGCCGACTTTGGGTAGGATCAGTCGGCTCGTTCAGAGGATTGTACCCGGCAATCCATTTGTTTCCTTTATAGTGCTCCGCGAGCTTCTCCCACAGCCAAATAGTGCGATCCTGGAAGTCCTTGTGCACCCAGACTAGACGGCGAACTCTTTCAACCGATCCAAAAAGTTAAACGCCATCACATACAATTGGCTATGTGACCACCGTGATCCGAATGCCAATCGGTATTCTGTCCTGCCGGAGGTTGAGTCGATACTCAATGATAAGACAACTGGCACTCACCTCCTGGGGCGGTATGCAAATCAAGAATCGTGTAGATTCCGTGCGCCGCGCAGAGATCGATGACCCGATCCAGGTGCTTGAAGCCGGATTCTTTCAAAACGCGAGGGTTCATGTCATCTACCAGAAATAGGTGAGAAACCTCAGCGCCGATTTCAGGACTCGATCGCACCCTCGAAATGGTGATAGTTGAAGGGAAGCCGAATGCAGTTCAGTCCCAATTCACTGAAGAACTTGGCGTCGGCGTCCTGGAAGAAGTATTCGAGGAACTGTGAAGATCTAGGGGTCAACCGGAGCGGCCGGGACTGGACAGGGAGAAAGTACGAACCTTGTCGAAAAAGAACTCAGATTTTTCCGGTCCAACCACCTCTCCGAGAGCCTGGCGGATTTGGAACTCGCAGCCCGGATAGCCTGCAAGCCTATGTCCCAGAAGGGGATCCCGGTCGATCGACAGAACATACCCGAGATAAAGTTCTCCATGTTCATCCATCCTCCCAGTCCGGCACCGCGCAGAATGGTTTCCTTTCCTTCTTCGTCAACAAGTTTCGTGCCGTCAACTTTGAGGAGAGACATGGCGTGGGTTCAAGAGGAGCTGGAACGGATCTCGTGGCATCGCAGACTGATCAGAGGTACATAAACTATCAGTAGGTCTGAGGTAAGTCCGACGATTTCCCGCAGAACGAGCTCGGACCGACAGCGAAGCGGTCCGGTTGAGAACGTTAGGCCGATTTTCTGCACGAGTGGAAAGAACGCGTCTAGTACTCTCAGCACATCCTTGGGTTTGATCATGCTTGTATTATCCATATCGGAATATTGAGTGCCAGCGAATGACGTTGAGAGGAGGGGAGTGCCTGAGCGCGTCCGTGGCGGTGCAAGGAGCACGGGTATCGTGATGTGACGGTAACGCGTTAACCTGTGACCGAACGCGCCACCATTGCCCCCTGGTGCTGCGAGTCCCACTCAGCCCAGGTCTTGGGACAGCAGCCCGATTCTATCTCAAAACATCCCTTGGAACTGTTTCGATCACCTCTCAGCGCTAATTGCAACTTAAAAGTTGTCATGTGGACTGTCTATGGGAAATTCGTCGACGGAGACGATGTCGAACGAGAAGTCCCTTCCACTCATGGTGCATATTCCCGCGCGCGATCAACTCAAACTTTGAGACTGAGACTGCTGCAGAGACAAAACTGCTGAAAACTGGGAAATCGTACATGGTTGGCCGTAAAAGCCCTGCCCCGCTGTGTATCAATTCAAAACGAGTGTCAAGAACGCATGTGGAGTTTGTTGTCGACAGTTTCACGGCTGACGATGTGGTAAGCTGAGATATCTATTCTCTATCCACGATGACGGACAACTCCCGAAGACAAATCCTGTAACGAAGCCGAGACTGCGGGGCAAAAATCTAGCGCTCAAACCACTAACCGTTGAACGCGCAGGGGGGAATCAGATAATCGCACCACAAACAACATTGGACCTGCTGGACGGTGACATTCTCGTCCTCTCGTCGCACGACAAGATTCGGTGAGCTCTCATGACCAGCCTTGATACGAGCTATCTTGATACATTTAGTGTGACTTGGACCGAAGTTTGCTGCTATGAAAATCCTCCTCGCACGAAGAGCTCTTTCTTCAATGCTTGCGCCTCACTGGGTGCGTCTGTTGCCTATCTTCCTAGTCGTTAACTCAGCTCTGCAGGACTACATGTTGTGCATACCCAACCCAGCACGACAACCCACTATCTAACTCACGAACTCGCTGCCATTCCTCCGCAAGCGGTCTCACTCGTGCACGGCTCTCACTTCGTGACACCTAACTGGCTTGACGAGATACTTCGTCTGGGAGATCTGCCCAAAAACTCGGATCCATCGAAAGGAGTTGCACTCGAGCAAGCCTTTGTCCTGCCTCCCACGACCAAATATTGGCCTTCATTTGGATCTGACTTACCGGCTGCATACAAAAGTTTTGGTACATGGGCCCCGAACGAAGCTCGGATGCACATGTTCTCTAAACACTGGTTTCTTTGCGTTGGCGAGAAAGAGCGAGAGATCAGCGGGGAGATGAGAGAGCTGATTGACAGGGCGCAAGGCAAGGTCAGCACGTTCAATGTGGAGCAGGGGGAAGATAAATGGAGGAAGACGCTGGTTAGACTACAGGCGAAACAGAATGTGAACCTTGTTCTGTTGGGAAACACGTCTGCGTGCGAAGCTGCGGTTGGCAGGAGCAACTGGCAAGAGCTTGTTTCAGTGGCAGATGCGTATGTGTCTGGTTCTCCCTTCCTCAGTGCAACGTCTCATCGTGACAGATTCCGGCTTCGATTTCACTCGCATGATGATCTCATTCGAGCCATTCTGGATGCGAACACCAAGATATTCAGCGAGGAGCGAGAGATTCAAGCTTCTGGTGCGTTCCACCGTGGCTTTGAGTGTCTACTGATGGGAACATCTGGCCGTAGCATCCTCTTTGCCCGAGATCGTGTATAACACATTAGAGGACGAGAAGTCCATTGCATCAGAGATCGAATCTGCTCCACCCCCTGTGCGCAGACTCATTCGACGAACTGCGTCGCGACAAGCATCTCAGGAGCCGGTCCCGGCCGCCGCTGAGACGGCACCTCCCCCACCTCCCAAGAAGGCGAGTCAGGATCCTACCAACCGATCACGAGCACGCTGAGTCCTGACGACACTCCAGCTGACACGACGGGTGCAAGTACCAATGCTTACGGGACTGGATGATTCCTCCTTCGTCATAGACTCGATGACGCAGAGCTCGGCCGCTCCAATATCCATTCCTGAGCCGGCTCCGGCTGTGAGATCCAACCATTTGTTCCCTCCAGCATCAAAGCTGAAAGTTGTCAGAAACCACGCTCGAAGCTCAAACGGCGAGTTGGCACGGTCTCGACCATTGAGGCGGAGTCCGACATCAGTCTTGCGGTGGCCGGTATCGAGAGTGTGGCCGCCGAAGAACCGCCTCTCAAAAAGTTCAAGGCTCTCTTCGAAGCCAGCAATCCTTCGAATGACTTTGATAGCATTGACCAGAGTGGGGCATTCGATGAAGATGGTCTGCTGTTGTCCGATTCGCAGACACAATCGGTCACTCAAACTCAAACGGCCGGCCGGTCTGGTCGGCATCCGACTGCTCTCAGATCCCTCCCAGAAGAGGATGAAGAATCACAACCGGTTACTGTTAGCAGAAAACGGAAGGAGCGATCCGCCGATGCGGACGATGAAGAAATGGCCGGTATTGCGGCCGAATTAAATAATCCCTCAGGCGGCAGTATCAGAGGCAGCACCCCCGCTCTGAAAAAGCGAGCTACTGGGAGCAATGCGGTACAACCTGCGACTGCAAAAACACCGTTACCGACGACGAAACTGGGCAAGAAACCATCTGCTGCAGCGGCGGCCGGGGCTGCGGCCGGTCAACCGGATACAGATGAAGCATTTCTCCAAGCGATCGCCTCGACAAGGCGAGGGAAAAAGACGGAAGACGAGTTCGATCGTGACTTCAACAAGCTCAAGATCAAGGCCGACGTCAAGGGTGCAGCTGAGATTGAGCGGCCAGCCTGGGAGATTGTCGATTCGTTTGGTGACGAGACCGATCTGCGCGGCAACTTTATGGTCATTCAAGACCTGGAGGTCTACAAACTACAGGGCGAGGGCAGGAAACAAGCCACAGTGACTAATCCACTTTGGGAAGGAAAACCAGACTTCAAGAAGTTCAAGCAGGTGTGTCACACATGTCTCCTCTGTACTGCATGGTATGGAAAGATTCTAGAAAGCAAATAAGAGCAGCACCGCTGCTTTGGGGAAGAAATTTGTGGACCTCGTCATCAGCGAAGACAGCTATAGAAGTACGTTTTCCGACCAGCGTCTTGTGAGTTCCTACTGACTCGACTGGTGCAGTCGGCGACGACGACTTCCAGAACGAGTTTTCTTTCCAAGACCATGAGGCCTCGAAAATCAAGCAGAAGGGTAGAGAGGTCTTTGACCATGATGAAGCCCTATCAGATCAGTCAAGCGTCGTTGAACCACCAAAGAAAAGGGGGACCCAACCTCCGAAGCAAGCCTCGAGTAGGACAGCACGGACAGCATCAAGGACGCCGGCTCCACTGTTTCTCGAGGACTCCGACGAAGAGCAACAGTTCAAACCGACGACCAGAGGCAAAGCCAAGGCCGAGCCCTTCGAAGCTACGCTGGACATGGATGACGACATGGATGTTGATCAAACATTGCGGTCTGCCTCGCTCAGGCCCTCCAGACAATCCGCCCAGGCAAGAGGTGCAAAGAGGAAGGTCGTTTCAGAGTCTGAGATGAAGAGCACAGCGACAGCAGCTCAGACGCCGGAAATAGAAGGGGTAAGAACAGAAAGAAACGAGCTCGGCGATGACAGAGATTACAATCTACTTTATGAGTTTTGAATCGTCGCCATTTGGCCTTGCAACGCTGATCACATGACCGTGATTCACTCACTTCGCACCATCATGAGCGCCGAGGCCGACGCACTGTTAGCTCTTCGTCAAGCTATCAAGACGAAGAGCACCATAACGTACTCCAAAAATGGGGAACCAGTCTCCACACTTCTCGACGCGACTCACATCAACATCCCACCCTCCAGCCAGTTCCCGAAATCGACACCAACGAGATACCGCAATCCTGCGTCTACGAACGACTTCTTCTCCATTGAAGCGATATATCTAGTCTGGCTACTACGAGATGCAACTCTCGTAGATTACATGACGCGGGTCAGGGAAAATGGGGTGGCGGTGGGGTCTGTGAGTGTCACAGAGCGGAAAAGCGTGTTGGATTGGTTAGAGGGAACAGTGGGGGACAATGAGCGGATAGTGCCTCTTTCCAGTACGTGCAGACTGGCCCCATCGACTGTGAGCCGACCGTCTTGCAGCGGAAAGTACGACGCCTCCGGGTTCGCCGCCCTCTTCATCGAAAACACTGTCCACTACGCCATCGCTCAAGACGACTGGAACTACTTCGAGTTCACCGACGAAGAGGCGATATACGGCGGACCACCGAGATCTTGAGGTCGTCAAGAAGATCAAACAGAATGAAATTGAGCTGAGGGACCGGAATTCGGTGCTGAGGGGAACGAAACCAACTGTGGGTCGCATCCATCGCTTACTTCCACCAGCTCTACAACGCTCCCCCAGAACTTTTCCAATGTCCGGACAGTCTATGCTGAGAAGCTCAAGAAGCTACGAGAGTCCAGCCGTTCGGGAGCCAGTGCGACGCCCGTGAGCGCGTCCGATTCGAAAGTTCTGGCCAAGAAAGCTCGGAACAACTACCCCATAATCATGATATCCTCATCCCCCACCGCTCTTATTACAATGCACAACGTCAAAAAGTTCCTGCAGGAGTCGACGTGCGAACTGTTACTGATACTGCTGTGCTGACCGCTGACTGGGGCATATTGCAGATTTGAACCATCCCAAGACGCTCGGGCAAGAGCAGCTGCCGAGGGTAACCCACGTCCAGAGGACTTGATCCCGATCTACCGCAAACGTACGGTGATCGACTCGTCCGGCAAAGAGCACGAGATCCAGAGCCGGTACTTTGTGGTGGACAGTGTGGAAGCGCTGAGCAAGTTTGGGCCCGACGCATGGGAGCGTGTGGTGTGTGTGATGACGACGGGCCAGGCGTGGCAGTTCAGGCCATACAAGTGGACGGAGCCGATCTCATTATTCCACCATGGTATGTGGTGCAATGTGTCATGGATGAACTAACAGACTGATGGGTTGCGGCAGTGAAAGGGATCTATGTCTCATGGGCCAACGACCCTCCCAATGGGAAGATTAAAGACTGGAACGTGACGGAACTGAAGATCGATCCCATGCGCAGACACGTCGATAAGTCTGTCGTAGCGCAATTGTGGAAGATCTTGGATGGTTGGACGGCAATCAACAAGCCTGGTTTGATCCAAGGCTAGATCTCTGTCTGCTCTCATTGTACAGTCCATCTGTTGTCTGCTCTGAATCTTGTCTGTATACTTGATAGAGAGCCGTCAATGGCGCGCGTGTTGATACTGTGTCACATAGTACCCTAGCCCGGAGGTCGCCGATTGTGACGACGGACTGGGATATGTGGTTGAATCCACATCAGGGCCCTACGCAGTGGGAGTCAGAAAACATAGGCAGGCGGAACCGAAGCACTGACGAAGTCCACCACGAATGGACGGCTCTGGGTGACTGCAAACAAGCGAGAGCTTTCTAGTGCCAATGCGTAGACGGGAGACGCGTCGTTGAATGGTGCGTGGAAACTGAAACCTTTGTTTGCAGAGCGCACATCCCAGAAAGAGACCAGGCTGTGTCGGGCGGAGCCAGCCGCTACGTAACAGCCCGACCCGCCGCCACAGCCCACGGAGTAGATGGGCTCGTCAGAGAAAGAATTAGACAGCGTCATCACAGGCCGCAGTCGGCCGTCGCGGTCACGGTCGGAAGACCGGAGATCGTGTACTGAGAGAGTGCCGTCGTACCACCCGGAGACGACCGAAGATGCAGCCCAGACGGAACAGGGTGGTCCCTGGCATATATCGAAGACAGCCAATCCTCGTCTGGCGATCGAGTCCTGTTGTGCGAGGACCAGACTGGGTATGAAACCTGAAGGCGAGAGCGAGTAGATGCTCAGTGGCTTAGCATCAGTGCTGGTCCCGAAAGCTGCATAGGGACTCGATGCGCGCGAGTTGAGGTGACACTTCCAGCTTCGTGTTTGTGACGAAATTTCGAACGAGGAAGCTGTCTGGCACAGAGCAGTATCGATGAGACGCGCAGATCCGTTGGCCGAAAGAGCCAACAAGAGATCGTCGCTGGCCGATAAGCTTTCTACAAAGTCTTTGGGTGGCAAATCGATGTCGTGACGCGTTCTCTGGCCGGAGACGGCGAGAAATTCAAGGGAGCCGTTCTGCAATCCTATGCAGATTCCGTCGTCTGGAACACACGCCATAGCTGTGACATACTGCCCGGGATCGTCCTTCAATTTGAGATGGGTCTCGGACTCTACCCTCGGGTTCTTGTTCGCGAGAAACCGAAGGAATGGAGGGTGTGTCCAGCCGCAATGATGAGACGCGACGAGCTCAGGGCCAGTCGCGGCCGTTTTCTCCCTAACCATGGATCCGATAGCGGTCGGGCGACAAATTTCCGCTGGTCCCATCTTCGGTCTGTCAGAACGTCATATCGCACTCGGACTGAAGGCTGCCACAGGTCACGCGACCTGCTGAGGCTGAGAGACGGTCTTTGGTTGTTGCGTAAGTAGGCGGCCCATCCAAATTCATAAACCTGAAGTTATGCATGGGCTGATTAAGAGGAGGTTTGATGAAACTCACCAGCGACTGTAGCAATTTGCAAGTCCGGGCTATGGAATCAAGTTCCCAGTATCCGAGGTCGCAGAGGATGAGGATAAGAAGATCGTTAGGTAGTTCTAAGAGGGATTCCATATCCAATCGCCTGCTCGTCCTCAACGTTAAAGTGTCTATCGCTCCGGAACCGAATTGACTCGACGGCGCGACAACTTGTCTGCTCTGGTAGATGTCAGCACAGCCATCTCTGATTTGTGCGACACTTGATACACGTCGTCACAGCCACCGCAACTTGTGACGGCGATCCCCACAGTACTGGGACGTTTGCCTAGCATGCAACGACTCAACTCGCGGGTGCTTGCACGGCGCGTCCGCAGTGCGTGTAGCTATAAAACTAAACCTCTCTCCGGGCCTCACCTCTCTTCCAGAGCTTGGCAGTCCTCGTCACTACCACGACGAATCGTTTGGGTTCCGCAAACCGCGTGATTTCGTGTTCCCGGACTGTAGCTTGCTTTCATGAAGATTTTTTGTCACGGCTGACTCGGATTCCAGACACAGAAGCACAGTTGCAAAACAGGGCCGAGAATGCGACGCTCCTGCGCTACGTCGACTCGGTTCGAACACATGGCCACCGGGCTGCGCGTATTGATCCTCTCGACCTCATCCACCGGGACGAGGTCGCGGCACTCGATCCGCGTAGATACGGTCTCCTGGACGAACAGCAGAAATTTAACGTCAATGGTATCCTGTGGACGCGGCCGATCGACGAGACTCACCGAGAGGACGCGGAAGAGTGGTGGACTTTGGCGCAGATCACGGACCATCTGCGGCGGATCTACACGGGCCCCATCGCATACGAGTACATGCACTCTCCGTCCAAGACCGAGAGGCTGTGGTTCTCACACACGCTGGAGTCGACACACATTGCGTCGACCCGCACACCCATGCCCAAACAATTCAAAGAACGCATCCACGGCCTGCTTGCGAGGAGCGAGGTGCTCGACAACTTCCTGCAGCTCAAGTTCCCGAACCTCAAACGCGTGCGTGGCCACGTAGATCTTTCTGTTTGCGAGTGTATCTTGAGAGCGAGCGCAGTACGGCCTGGAAGGCGGTGAATCCATGCTGCCTGCGCTGGACTCGCTGTTCTCTGCTGCAGCCAAAGGTGCGGTTGCACGTATGTTTGAATTTCAAAGCTGATTGTTCTGCAGACGGCGTTTCTTCCGTTCTTATTGGCATGCCCCATCGAGGCCGACTCAACTTACTGACGGATCTATTGAAATTTGCCCCCGCTGCCCTATTCCACAAGATCAAGGGTGGCGCTGAAGTCCCGGAGGATCTCGGTGCGGAAGGCGACGTCCTCAGTCATCTCGGTCCGTTCCTTTCTCGAGTGATAGCCTGTTCGTATTTAGGACCTATCTTCAGCTGTGTCGACCGCGTTGGAATACGATGGCGCATCAGAACCTATTCAAGTATCTCTGCTCCCTAATCCGTCACATTTGGAGGCTATCAACCCTGTTGCTTTGGGTAACACGCGGGCCAAACAGTACTCACTTCTGAAGACGTCGCCGAATGATTGCACCTTGGGAGACAAAGTGATGTGTGTTCAGCTTCATGGCGATGCCAGTTTCAGTGGCCAGGGCGTCGTGATGGAAAGTTTGGGACTGAGTAACTTGCCGCACTTCACTAGCGGTGGCAGTGTTCACATCGTAGTCGAGTGAGTGCTTTGACTTGGTGTGAATCGGGATTCCCTGCTCATATCAGACAGCAACAAGTGACTAATACATTCTCTCGCTGTCTTCCGTGTCTCTGATGTTCTGAAGTATCGGATACACAACACCGGCAACTGGAGCTCGTTCATCGCAGTATTGCTCAGACATCGGGAAAGGGATCAATACCCCGGTCTTGCATGTCAATGGCGACTATCCCGAAGGTGATTCTGGATTATTCTGCTGAGCGATAATCGCCTCACCTTTTGCAGACGTGGTCAGGGCGATGACCTTAGCATTCCAGTACCGCAACTACTTCCGTAAGGTATCGGACTTCATTTTTGGACAGTGCGCAGAATTCAGTCTTTTCAGGATATTATCGTCGATCTTTTGGTTTATCGTCGCTGGTGCGTTCATCCAAGTCGTTCTGGATCTACTAGTTAGTGTCACTAAAGGGGTCACAATGAGCTGGATATCCCCAATCTCACTAGTCCACTGATGTACGAGAAGATATCTTCTCGCAGGTCTGTTCCTCAGCTGTACGAAGAGAAGCTTATCGTTCGTCACCGCAAATGTGTTTTACCATCTCTGACTCTTTGATCCAGGCCGACGAGACATTCGACCCGAGCGAAATCCACGAGGTCCGATCTGCCTACAGGGCTGAGCTCGATGCTGCGTTGACCAGTGTGCCTTCTTTTGTCCCGTCCGCGACGATGCTCGAAAAGCAGTGGAGCGGCATGATCTGGCCGTCCAGTGCAGATGCCGACAAGGAACCCAGCACCGGATTTGACGCCCAAGAATTAGCTGATATCGGCCGAAACTCTGTGGCTATCCCAAATGGCTTCGTGCGTTGCCGCAGCCAAGAGTATCGAACGACTTCCTCAACTCGATATCACAGGAAATACACCCCAAACTGCAGCGGCACGTGAAGAACAGACTGTCCAGCATCGAGTCGGGGGCTGGGCTTGACTGGGCCACTGCTGAGGCACTTGCATTCGGTTCTTTGATGAAAGAAGGTTTCGACATCCGCATTTCCGGACAAGACGTTGGTCGAGGGACCTTCAGTCAGCGACATGCGATGCTCGTGGACCAGCGCACTGAAGCCGTTGTTGTCCCACTCAACGACACTCTCAATGCCTCGGGAAAGCTGGAATTGGCGAACAGTGCGTGTGTCACGTTCCTTGAAGATGTGTGCTTATCTATCGCCAGGCTCACTTAGCGAAATGGCGGTGCTCGGTGTACGTTCTCGTGTGCTCCAGAAGCGGCTTTGCTGACGATACCAGTTTGAATATGGAGCGAGCTGGGAAAGGCCTACCATTCTACCGATATGGGAAGCTCAGGTCGGTCTCATTCCTTCCAATGCATTCTTCACAAGTAACGTGCTACAGTTCGGAGACTTTTTCAACGGTGCCCAGATCATCATCGACACATTTATTTCATCAGCTGAAAGTAGGATGGATCATCGGTCTACTGAATGTTAACTGACAATGTGCAGCGAAATGGCTCAAACAAAGCGGAATCGTGCTGCTTCTTCCTCACGGCCTGGATGGTGCAGGCCCAGAGCACTCTTCATCTCGTGTGGAACGCATGCTCCAAGTAAGTTGTTTCGAGCCCTCAAATTGGTTAGACTAACGATCCCGAAGCTCTGCAATGACCGGTACGGTAGTCAGGAGGATGATCCAAATATCAACATGCATGTCGTGTTCCCGACTACTCCGGCGCAATACTTCCATCTCTTGCGCAGACAGATGAAGAGGAACTACCGCAAACCACTGGTTGTCGCTGGCCCGAAGGCGCTTCTCCGACTCTCGGTGCGGCTCCCATCCCCACGTTGTGGTGCGACATTCTTGTATCTCAATGATCATTACAGGCGGCATCTTCGTCTCTGAAGGATATGGAACTTGGTACCAAGTTCCAACCTGTTCTCGAAGATCCAGCCGGTAACACAACGACCGCAAAGCGTGTGGTGTTCATCACCGGCAAGATCCACTACGAATTGATGAAAGAACGGCAAGTCCGCTCGCTGGAGAATGATGTCGCCTTTGTCCGCATCGAAGAATTGGCGCCCTTCCCTTTCAGCGAGGTCCAGACAGTTCTTAAACAGTACAAGAATCTTGAAGAAGTCGTGTGGCTGCAAGAAGAGCCCAAGAATCAGGGCGCCTGGTCTCATGTGGCTCCGCGACTGGACAGCGTCTTGCAGGACCTGGGATTGAATCAGAGAGTCGGATACTGTGGCAGGAAGCAGAGTGCACTTCCTGCTCCTGGTATTGGGAAACTGTATGCAGCACAACAGCGGGCGGTCATCGAGTCCGCATTCAACGGTGTTTAAGTAAAAGTAAAATTGATATGTCGTGGTTGAGAGTCACCTCGGTCCCGTCGTGCTGAGTCGGTCAACAAAAGTCATCGCGCCGCCTCTTTCGAGGACTCACTACATGGCCACGTTTGTTGACTTGCCTCAAGAGCTCGTTGATCAGGTCGTCGGGGAATATGCCCAAGACAGAGCCTATTTGAGAGTTTGCGCGCTGATCTCATCCGCCTTTCTTCCGCCGAGTCGCACACATCTCTTTTCGTCACTTCGTATCACTCCTGGCAATATCTACCCGTTTCGATCACTCATCGCATCCTCAACGTCCGTCGCATGGTATGTCCAGCGGCTCGAGGTCCCTGGGACGACCATTGGGCCACCGACCATCCTCCCCGTCGAGACGATCGCGCGACTCCCGAACCTCAAGTTCCTTGTCTGTCAAGCGGACCCATTTGACTTCCGACAAATCCACTCACAACCAAACGTCACGCTCGCGCCCGCACTGCAGAGCCTGACTTCCTTGCAAGTGTCCATTGACCGGCTATGGACGATACCCTACTGGGTCGCGCTCCTGGATGCGTGCCCAGCGCTGACGGATCTGACCGTCCACGCTGAAGCTACCGGGTGGGGTCAATGGACGTACGACGACCTCACATTGTCCATCCCACCGCCCCCGCCCCCGCCTGCGCGCGCGCCTCGTCTCCGGGCGGTCAGAATCACGGGCGACTGCAAGATCCTGGTCCCGTTGAACGCGTGGTTCCTGTCCCGCGGGTCGTTGTCCGCTGTGGAAACGCTCTACGTGGATCTGCTGTACATGCTGGAAGACTACGACGCCGCGGACCAGAGGCTCCCGATGCTGCGAGCGGTCATGGCGACGGTGAGGGACTTGACGGTCAACCTGGACCCGCGTACGTCTTAATATATCTACTGCATTTTGCGACTTCCTCCTGACTTGGGACCCAAAACCAGCGATCTCTCTGGAGGGCGAGCCTGGAGTGAGCGCTGCTCGGATGCCCCACTTGCGGACGCTGCGCATTCGCGATGGCTCCGACGCGCGACTGAGCGAATCCATCGACTGGCTTGCTGGGTTCCTCAGCACGACACCCGTGCACGGGGAAAGTCTTCTGGTCACCGAGAGCCCGTTAGAGGAGCTCTCCCTCGATCACCATGTTCGGCGTCAGGATCTGACGGCGGTCAACCCGGCCAGCTGGGCTGCGATCGATTCTGCTCTCAGCGCGTCACATCCTGGCACCGGTGTGTCGGGCGACTGCACGATTCGCTACCCTTCGTTTCGCGCGTTTACTTTTTCCGGGTTCCAGAAGTATGTGGGACGGACAATCCATCGCCATGACAAAACCGTCTTTGCGCATTTTCTTGGAGAGATACAAGATCGGCTGCCGACTTTGGTAGAGCGAGAACAGTTGCGTGTAGAGTCGTAGACTCGTCAGTAGATAGGCTACTGCAGGGTGCGTAGATAAGATAACAGATAGTGGGAATCAACAATCAGCTGTCTATCAACGGATAAGGATAAGGTTGATCAGTAGATTATGCTTAGCACCGGCCAAGTGTGTCCTTCCAGTCTACTTTCTTTGAGACCTCCGGCGCCGAAACCAATGGGCTCTTCAGCCTCCACTCAGCGTGTTCCAACAAACGCGACCTTTGACGCGACTCTGGGTGGTGGAAAGGCGTTTCCCATTCCCGAGGGCATGTCTCTTTCCCACTGGCTCCAAGGCGTTCGCGGCTCCCCACTGATTGACCATCGAACGACGGTGGACCTGCCCGAAACCGCAGACGTGGTCATAATTGGGTCTGGAGTACGGTTCAAACATTCCGCTCCCTCTCGGTCGTAAATCTCTTACGCTGCTAGATAGATGACAGGGACTCTGGCGGCGTATGAGCTTCTGACGCGCCCGAATGCGCCGGGACGGATCGTCATTCTCGAAGCCAGGGAGCTCTGCTCGGGTGCAACGGGGCGGAACGCGGGCCATTGTAAACCGGATCAGGCGCGCGTCGAAACGCGTTGCTTTACGCGATACTTTGCTTATAGTATCCTCGCAGTTTCGAGGATTTGCACGGTATGCGGAACGATTCGGTGAGGCGCAGGCTAAGAAGGTGCGGGGAGATTAATGCGCAGAATCCCCCAGGCTGACCGGCTCATAGCTTCTGGAACATGAGTTTGAAACTTGGAGTCGACTGGTGGCTTTTGTGGAACGAGAGAAGATGGACTGCGAGCTCTGGGTCGGGGACACGGTCCGCACTGCTGCTTTTATTCGGAAATGCGTGCTATATGCGACTCTCTCCCCCTCAGCTCGATGTTGCCATGTCTGAAACAGTCGCAGCAGACGTTCGAGAAATATTCGGCGCATATAAATCCTACGGGGGGAAGGTGGATCACATCAAAGTTATCGATGATCCTGCAGAAGCTGAAAAGGTTCCTCTTGCTACCCGATAATCGTGTCGGAGAGCGACTGATCGTCTCCAGATTTCCCGTCTGAGAGGTGCTCAAGCTGTCTGGGCATGGCCTGCGTCGACCTTTTACCCGTGGAAACTGGGTATCAGTGGTGTTTGACCTGTCGAAACATTGCATCTGAGCTGTTACATGCAGTGGCCCATTTGATGAAGTTGAATATCGCTGCAGGCGCCAATCTGCAAACATGGACACCCGTGCAAAGTGTCACGCCGTCCGCAGACGCCGAAGGCTCGTGGAACGTCAATACAGAACGGGGGTCGATCCGGACGCCCACAGTTGTCTACGCGACCAACGCATACACCTCTGGCATCCTGCCATCGTTCAGTAGATACATCCAACCGACAGCACACATGTGCGACAGAGTCATCCCTCCGCGATCCTTTGCTGGCAGCAAAGCTCTGCAAAATTCGTACGGTGTTCTGATGGACGGCGGCTCGATGTACAGCATCAATCCGCAAGCAAACGGCGACGGAATCGTGCTATTCGGTGGCGACAACCCTAATCAACGGAAGCTGAAGGCCTACCTCGCTAAAGATCCTCTGCGGCTCTTCAACGACAGCCTGAGCAATTTCCAGCCGGTCACAGAGGCGGTCAATCACTTGACTTCCACATCGTTCGAAGGGTGGAATGAAAATACACCAGCACCTGGGGTTGGGCCTGATTATTCGTGGAGCGGGATTATTGGGGAGGTGAGCGCGATAATATATCATGCTCCTCTCCATTCGAGTATCTGATCCCGATGCCCAGAGTGCAGATGGTTTGCCCTTCATTGGACAAGTGCCAGATCGCCCAGGACAGTGGATTTGTGCTGGATTTCATGGACATGGAATGGCACATATATTCACATGTGCACCCGGGCTGGTGACCCTCATGCAGGGCGGATCTTGGGTGGACACTGGTCTCCCCGAATGTCTCGAGCTCACGGGAGAGCGCCTAGAGAGGATTCACGACATCTCCGAACTGTTGCGAGTGACCGCAGATTCACTCGTAACTGGAGTTTTGACAGAACCTGTCAAATAGGCTCATAGGGACCGGCGCCGGCGTATGGACGCGGCGTCTCGACGCAAAGGGTTTTTTCCTCAGTACTGTCACTACGTACTGAGGTAAGCCCAGCGCTCGTTTCTAGTATCGAGGACGCCGGACTAAAAGCACACCGTAGTATATACTTACACGGTGTCTAGGTACCCTGATCTCACCTGAGTACTGTCACTACGTACTGAGTATATACTTACACGGTGTCTAGGTTCTAACACGAACATGCATGGACATTTGTGTAACAGCAGTATAGAGTGGTGTCCTCCATGATCGTGTTCCAAGCTCAGTCTGAGGCATCTTCGCGTTTTCAGTTGATTCGAATTTGGATGAAGTGCTAGGCCAGGAGCTGAGACTCCTTGATAGAGACCGGAGATATGTAGCCTTGAGTTGGACCCATGCTTTGAATGCCCGCGACGGTGGTCATGTAATATCCAAAAGTGCTTACGCTATTGCAAGTAATACACTCAGGAAACATGCAAGTCACAGAAATAAGATTTCTGTTATCATAAAAGTCCCTACGCGTTCCATGACGCGGACGCTGGGAAAAGGCACGGGAGCGCGCAGTGTTTGTTCGTATTATAACGGCGGCCAAGCTTGATCACGAATTACTACGTGGAAGGTTGTCTGCGACACCTCTGACTTTTACGCGACACACACAAGCACAGCAACAACATCATGGTCGATTTCGAGGACGTTGAAGAGCGCGATGGTGAAGTCTCAATGTCTACGCCTCTAGGGCTTGGAGCTCACACCTCACAGGTGTCCGCCTCTCCTGGAATGTATGGCCCTCGTCGCGTATAGAGGCGACCAGAACCGTCGTTCCTATCTCAGCCCTATACACACCCCTGAAGCAGCGCGAGGATCTGCCCCCAGTCTTGTACGAGCCGGTAGCGTGCAAGCCTCCGTGTCGCGCTATCCTCAACCCTTACTGGTGCGTCCTTCGACTACTCCTCTCTAGCCATTCTCAGTCCCTGCAAGCCAAATCGATATTCGTGGCAAACTCTGGATTTGCCCCTTCTGTCTGTCTCGCAATGCCTTCCCTCCTCACTACAAGGACATATCCAACACGAACCTCCCTGCCGAACTTTTACCAAAATACACCACCATCGAATACACCCTTGCTCGCCCAGCCCAGGTTCCGCCGATCTTCCTTTTCGTTGTGGATACGTGTCTGGATGAGGAGGACCTGAAGGCTCTGCGTGATGCACTGGTCGTCAGCTTAAGCTTGATCCCTCCGTATTCCCTCGTGGGGCTCATCACCTACGGTACAATGGTACGCAGGTTTGAACTCTCATCATCGTATATCCACTGACGGGGATATCAGACCCAAGTCCACGAAATTGGATATGCCGAGTGCAACAAGTCCTACGTGTTCCGAGGCGGAAAAGAGTATCAGCCCAAACAGATTCAAGATATGCTCGGACTGAGCTCCCAGTCGCGCGCTGCCCCCCGTCCAGGACAGCCTATGCCTACACAGTCCTTCGGCGCCTCGAGATTCTTGCTCCCGGTTCAGCAATGCGAGTTCCAGTTGACTGGCATCTTGGAAGGCCTTGTGCGCGATCCGTGGCCCGTTGCAAGCGACAAGCGTCCTCTGCGATGCACTGGTGTTGCGCTCAGTGTGGCCGTCGGCCTTCTCGAGGTGAGTTATTTGGCCAAGCCGTCCTTGTAAGCTACTGATCAAGGTCTAGACTACTTACCCCAACACGGGTGCTCGCATCATGTTGTTTGCTGGTGGTCCTGCCACAGAGGGTCCCGGAATGGTCGTCAGCAACGAGCTCAAGGAGCCCATCCGGTCCCATCACGACATAGAACGGGACACCGTCAAGCACTACAAGAGGGCGATCAAGGTGAGGCACGCGTACGTTCGATCGAAAGGTTTCTCATCTCCTACTAGTTCTACGAAGGCCTCGCCAAGCGTGTTTCGAACAACGGGCATGCGGTCGACTTGTTTGCGGGATGTCTGGACCAAGTCGGTCTGCTGGAGATGAAGTCGCTGCCCAACAGCACCAACGGAGTCATCGTCTTATCTGACTCGTTCGCCACGTCCATCTTCAAGCAGAGCTTCCTGCGTCTGTTCAATAAGGACGAGGAGGGCCACCTGCAGATGGGTTTCAATGCTACGTTTGATGTCCAGGTATGGCCTACGCAACCAGCAGTTTCACTTCGAACTCAACTCGAGATCAGACCACGAAAGAACTCAAGGTTTCTGGCCTGATTGGACATGCCATCTCGGCTGGCAAAAAGTCTGGTTGTGTCGGGGAGACAGAAATTGGTATCGGCCAGACATCGGCCTGGAAGATCAATGTGATCACACCGCACACGGCTACGGGTGTCTACTTTGAGGTGGTAACTCCTGCCGGCCAGCCATTAGCACCAGGCTCGCGTGGTCTGATCCAATTCGTCACCCACTACCAACACTCGTCTGGCTTCCAGCGGCTACGAGTGACCACTATTGCTCGTAACTTTGCGGAGGCTGGTTCTCCCAGTATCCCGGCGTCGTTCGACCAGGAGACTGCTGCTGTCCTCATGGCTCGCATTGCCGTTTTCAAGGCTGAGATCGACGACTCACCTGATGTCCTGCGGTGGCTGGATCGTATGTTGATCAGGCTGTGCCAGAAGTTCGCCGATTACCGCAAGGAGGACCCGACTAGCTTCAGGTTGACGGACAACTTCAGCATTTATCCCCAATTCATGTTCCATCTGCGGAGAAGTCAGTTTCTGCAGGTGTTCAACAACAGTCCGGACGAGTCTGCATTCTACAGGTCAGTCTTCTGCCTCTAATATGTTGGGTATCTTTGTTTCTCATGCCGAGTCCTCAGGCACATCTTGAATGAGGAAGATGTTAACAACTCACTGATCATGATCCAACCTACGTTGATGTCGTACACCTTTGACCAGCAGCCCCAGCCCGTGCTTTTGGACAGCGTGTCGATCAAACACGACGTCATCCTGTTGCTGGACACGTTCTTCCACATCCTCATCTTCCATGGAGAGCTTGTCGCCCAGTGGAGGAAACAGGGCTACCAGGATCAGGAGGGCTACGAAAACTTCAAGGAGTTGCTCGAACTACCTGTCGCTGATGCTCAGGTACATAAGTCTGCTCAGAAACCTACATTTTCGTTGACTCTGACACAATCTCCAGGAACTGCTCACAGAACGATTCCCGATTCCTCGGTACATTGTGTGTGACCAGGGAGGCAGTCAAGCGCGATTCTTGTTGTCCAAGCTGAATCCGTCGACCACCCACATGTCCAACACGATGTACGGATCGCAAAACAACGCTGCAGGACAGGCCATCTTCACAGATGATGTGAGCTTGCAAGTGTTCATGGAGCATCTCAAGAGACTGGTGAGTGGTCAAACTGTCGTCTTCTCCTGCGTGTGCTGATAATTTGCGTCCAAGGCTGTCGGTGCCCAGACGAATTGATTTCAAACTTTCGAGGAGTAGATACTTTCGTCGCATTTATTGCCAGGAAACATGTTAAATTATGCGGTTTCATTCATCTTACACAATCTGAGCTTGAGTGCAACCCAACACCCATGGTTGCTTGTGACAATGACACGGACTAGCATCCATCTCTCTTCTGCGCCATGACTTGCCCATGCTCGCATGAAGTGCTCTGTTTCGACTGCTCCCCCCTGGCTTCAGAGTATGGATATTCCCGACCATCACTGCAGCAGCGGCAGGCTGCGGCAGGTCTCCCGATGAATGGCAGTCTGGAGGATCATCGGTTCTGCGCACCTCTCGTCCTTCCTGGCGACGACCTGGCTGAAGATCCAGACTATCCCGCACAGAGCATCCAAGAATGGCGGACGGATGCGGACCGGAATCAGGTGGAGACGTCTCGCCGCACACTGTATGTGGTCGCACCGCCTGCGGTTGACGACACTGTGCCTTTCATGGAGTCGTGGCGCGAGCCGAACGGTGCTGAGGGCGTCGCGATTGAGCGCCCCAAAGTCGAGGACATGGTTGATTATCTACGCGCGTTCTATCACGGGATGGACGTGAGACGATTGTCGAGTCCGAGTCTGTGTTTTACGAGTTGGAGTGCGCCCAAACGCGCGTCTCGGACACCGCGTTATGTTGGGCTCAAAGCGGGCGACGAATGCGTGCGGATTCGCACCCGCGCATCACACGACGGGATCTTTAGCAGGCAGCTCAATCTCGACGATCTGCTCGACGCCGCGATTGGGGTACTCCCCTCTGACGCGTATGCCATGGTGCTGGTCGTCCCATGGGATATCTACGAGCGTGCAGACGATGATTTTGCTTGCGGACGCGCGTATGGTGGAAGTCGCGTCGCTGTCATATCAACAGCACGGTGGGTTGCTTCTTCTGGAATTCTAGGTGTGGGGTTCATCTATGCTCCAGATACCACCCCGGGCTGGATCGGATGCAAGACGTCGAAAGGCTTCATGCGTGGCCCGCTTCGCATTGCCAAGCCTACATGACTGCTTGTTGCTCCGAAGCGCGACCGGCGAAACGGCGCAAAGGAAATGGTCCTGGGTCCCTGTCAAATTCGCCATTACGTGCAGCAGTTGCAGCCTATGCTGCCCTCCCTTCTCTGGTCAACACGAACTCCGCGGCTGCACTGTCGTCGCTGTGGCTTGCGCGGGCGTGCCGCACCGCAAGTCACGAGCTGGGACACTGTTTCGGAATCGATCACTGCGTTTACTACGCGTGTGCCATGCAGGGCACTGCGTCGCTGCGAGAAGACGCGCGCCAGCCGTTGTTTGTGTGTCCCGTTGATCTTGCGAAGATTCTCGAAGCCACCGGGACCTCGTCCGAGCGTCGAGACGAGGCTCTCCTTGCCTTTTGCGCCAAGCACCCGCAAAATCATTCCTTCGCGTCGCTGGCAGCATGGATTCGAGTTGCGTAGCGTCGTTTCCACGAAAAGTTGTACGTCTGTTACATTGATTGTTGTGCTAAATCTACTCCACTTTTTGGTTGACCTCTCCTACACTCCTACGATTCCGGTGTCTTTGGTATCCTTCTCCGCGAAGCTTTCGATCACTTCCTTGACCAGGTTGATGTCAGCCCTTGGCACGCTGATGACATTCCGTTCCTTGTCCAGTAAGCCCACGAATTCGGTGGGGAGGACGTCCTGCTCGAAATTGAAGGACGCATTGTTTTTGAGCGCCAGATTCACCGCCTCCGAGAATTTGGCTGGGTGAGCCGTCGACAACATGACTTGGCGAACGGAGCTAGGGCTGGGGAGAGGCGTTGAGAACAGATCGATTCCACAGGACTCGAGAACAGATCGTACTTTTTGGAAGCAACGATCTTCCCAGCCGCCAAACCAACGGCGGTGTGAGGATCAACCACGTAAGACGGAGAGGCTTCAAAGTGCGAGCGGATGGTTTCCAGAGTCTATTGATCAGATCAACTCAGTGCAAACGAGACATGCCAGGCTATGGCACGGACCAGCTCATCCGAGATCCGTTCAGCAAAGAAGTCCCGGCGAGCCAGCTCGATGACGGAGGTGGGAATATCAACCCGACCATCAGCCTTCATCTCGCTCATCCAGCTCGCCAAGGTCGCACACGCTTTCTCGTGCTCGGAACCCACAGCTTCGAACGCGAGGTACCAGAGCAGCCGCTCAAAGTTGCTAGACACGAGAATGTCCATGGCGGGTGAGAGGGTCTCCCGAACACCGGCCGCCGCCGTTCCCTGCTTCCCGTCCGTCATCGGTGCGGAATCCACCTTTTCGTACCGTGCAGTGTTCCAGAATCGCGCGAGGATGTCATTCGAGTTGGTGGCAACGACCATTTTCGACATGGGCAGCCCCATGCGTTTGGCGTAGTATCCCGCCAGGATGTCGCCGAAATTTCCCGTGGGCACGACGAATTGGACTTCGGTCCCAGGCTCGGGCGAGAGATGGAAGTACGCCAGGAAGTAATACACCGTCTGGGCGAGGATGCGAGCCCAGTTGATCGAGTTGACGGCACCGAGACGGTGAGTCGCGTTGAACTCCGCGTCGCCGAACAAGGTTTTCACGATGTCCTGGCTAATCGTCAGCACAGAGCGGACTGGATGCCGGAAGCACAACCTGGCAGTCATCGAACGTTCCTCCGACAGAGATGTTGTGCACGTTCGCGTCCGTCACTGTTGCCATCTGCGCTTCTTGGATCGGCGACACGCGCCCAGTGGGGAAGAGGATGAAGATGGAGATGTCTGCTTTGTTCCTCAAGCCATAGATCGCCGCGCTGAGTCGTGTCACAAAGAGCGTAATGCTTGAAGGGCGAAACGACTCACCTTCCTGTGTCTCCACTGGTTGCTCCGACGACGGTCAACTTCTCCTTCTTCTCTCCCTCCGCTTTCCTGCTGTTCCTTCTCTTGAGGAAGAACTCGAAGAGGTTCCCAAGCAGCTGGAGAGCAACATCCTTGAACGCGAAGGTGGGGCCGTGGAAGAGCTCGAGAACGAATCGTTTATCATCGAGCTTTTTGAGCGGTGTGACATCTGGATGTCGGAACGTAGAGTAGGACTTTTCCACGAGTGCACGGAGATCGGATGTTGTAATTTCATCGGGAGAGATGTAGAGCGATAGAACAGCGACTGAGAGATCGACGAAGGAGTAGGACTTCCACTTTGTTTGCCAGTCTGCTGGTAATGCTGGGATAACTTCAGGGATGTACAATCCGCCGTTGGGTGCTAGACCGGTGAGGACGGTCTGGGTGGGGGGCTAAATGAGATGCGGCTAGAGACAGGCAATCGATTAATCACCTCTTCGAAGGAGAGTCGCTCTTTGCCACCCCGGGTAGAAAAGTACCTCATTGTCGAATAAAGTTGGGTAGGAGAATAGAGTCGATGTTAACGAGTCAGTTCGGAGATCGGTGCCGATGGCCGATGGCCGATACATATCCTGGCATGACGGGTGGCAGTGAGACCAATGAAGAAGCGATCAATCGTCGAGTAGTCCGAACTCCGCCCCCACTCTTACTCCGTAGCACTCTAGTCAGGTTCGACGTCGGCAGCCATGCTCAATTTGATCACGATGAAGGGTGTATCGGATGGTAGTTCTAACCAAACACGGATGTATGAGCTTTGCTCAGCCACTGGTCCACCAATGCGCAGTCTTGCCAAGTTACGTCCGATTGTCGCCAAACAGTGATGACACAGCAAATCACTAGGTCATGGCCCAACTTCCTCACTCACCATACAATCCGTTCTTGTCCCGCGCAGAAGTAGCCCCGACTCCGACCGGGGCGAGCTATCAACCACCCCCAGGCCCGCCTCCCCCTGGTGGCTCTCAAGTCCACACAGCAGCACCATCATCCTCTGGCCCCGTACATGCCGAATCAACACCAGCTTCGTCCAACTCGGACGCAAGTCTCGAGCTGTTGAGCGAGGATATGCCTCCAGCGTACACTCTCGGGCCTGACATCTACCAGGGCGAAAGATCTCTTGAATATGGGCCTGCTCGCCCGTTCCAGCCCCCGCCGCCGCAGCCTCAACTGACTGCCGGAATGTACTCTCATCCACCTGGGCAGCAGCATCAGCAATATCACCCTCCTCCTCCCCACGGCTGGTCCGGCCCTGCGCTTCAGTATCCGCCCCCTCCCATGCATCCATCGCAAGCGCCACCCGGGCCGATATCGGATTTCGCGCGAGATTTTTACGCCTCGGGCGCAGGTCCTTCGACTTCGGGCAATCAACAGCAGCATGCGCCACCTCCTGGACCTCCTTCGCTGCAGCAGCAATATGCACCACCTCCCGGCCCTCCGCCTGTAGAACAGAAAGTGCCATCAGCACCTGATGACCAGCGACCGACCACCATGCCCACACCTGGGCACCCGTTGCTTAGAAACGGGAAGACGTTGGTATATCCACGGGGGTGCGATGTTTCGAGCGACCTTGCTGGCGGCCTGTGCTCACGCAACCCAGATATCAATGTCACAAGTGCAGCAATTCGGGATACAAGAACTTCGACCCGACTCGACCTTGTTCGAAATGCTGGGATCATTATGCGCGACCCTACGCTGGCGCTCTCGTCTATGCCCCGGATGCTTCCTCCGGATCATCGCAGTCGACGAATCTACAACGTCCCCTACCGGTGCGGATCACCAATTCACTGCCCCCAGCGATCCGCCCCCAAGGATCCTATCCTGTACAAACGATGTACAGTTCGATGCCGACGATGATGTACCCGACCGGACCGCCGCCAGGGGCTGTAGTCTACTCCCCAGGAGACACCCGGTTGGGGGGTCAGCGCTGTTTCCGATGTGATGGCAGGGGAGTGAACACTATCTTACTGGTGGACGTCCCTTGTAATCAGTGTCATGGAGTCGGCAGGGTCTATTCTTGACCCTGCATCCAATCCAAACATCCAATTCATAAGCAGTGTAACTTGTAAACAGCAGTGTCGAGCCACAAATGCTGGTCAAGTCACATGACCGTGAATTCTTCTAACCCTAACCCCTGATGTGCCTTCGCCTAATTTTTCCCGATCAGACACACTCTTTCCCTCCTCCCAAAATGCCCAAATCGAAGCGCTCGAAGATCGGTAGCCTTGTTTCTCGCAGACATCAACGAGGCGATGTTGAACACACCCAGTGACACTCTCCAAGGTCGGGAAGAAGACGAAGGAGCAGAAGGGCGCGATGATCCAAGATGTATGCATATGGCACATGGCCGGGGAACCTCGTTTCTTACTCGTCCGTCCAGCTGCAAGCCAACTGCGAAAAATGGAAATACTGCTGGCTGTTCCAAGTCGGTTCCATGCGCAACACACATCTGAAAACCGTGCGCAAATTGTGGAAAGAGTGCGCAAGCTGCAAATCTTCGCGATCGGCACTAACCCAAGCTCCAGTTCTGCACGGATATTCTTTGGGAGGAGCGCGGTTATGGCAAAAGCTCTCGGGACAACACCAGAAGAAGAGCATCGAACGGGAATATCAAAATTGGCCAGTGTGAGTTGGGCTCTCCCCCATACGACTCCATCAACTCACTCGTCCAGAAAATACAAGGCCAGGTCGGCTTACTGTTCACCGACTCCGAGCCAGAAGAAGTGCTCGAATGGTTCGCAGACTTCCAACAACCCGACTTTGCACGTGCAGGCAACAAGGCGAGCAAGAGCGTCACAATACCCGCCGGGCCTGTGATGCGCCACTTCTCCGATCCTCCTGAGCCGTTCCCCCACAACGAGGAGCCACAGCTGCGGAAACTCGGTCTCTCGACGTACATGGACAAGGGCGTGCCGAGCCTGCACAACTCGCACAAGCTGTGCGAGCAGGGCAAGACGCTGACCGGCGAGCAGGCCCAGCTGCTCAAGCTCATGGGGCACAAAATGGTTACGTTCCGCGTCGCGATGGTGTGCAGATGGACGGCCGCCACCGGAGAGTTTGTGGAGATCGAGGGTCAGCAGCTGCCTGCCGACGAGATCGCAGACGCTGATGAAGAGGGTATGGACGACGAGTAGATGTTGCGCTCTGTGTATTTTTCCATGTTCGTCTCTGTAATACACCGGTGATAATCGATAAACCATCGGCTCCGTAGACGATCCGTTCTGTCCTTCGTCCAAACGAACGTCCCGCTTGTTCGTGAACGAGTATACACACTCTTTCCAATTCGGGAAACGTAAGACATCTGCTTCTCTACTGCCTCCATGCGGTTCGGATTCCCCGCGGCAGCCACCGTGGGCCTGTCAGCCCAGACCGTTCTCCAATCCCCATCTACTGGCATGGCGCGCAACAACAACACCAGTTTCGCGCTCAAGCAGGCCTTCAACATCTTCTCGCCCCAAGACTTGATCGAGCTCGGGCGCCCAGGCACCGGCGTCGCGAATGAGGCGGGGGATCTGGCTCTCGTTGCCTACAGCCAGTACTCCTCCAAGGAGAAGAAGTCAGTCTTCTCCGATGTGTTCCGCCGACTCGGAGGGCTGAACAGGATGTCCGCAGGAACCAGAAATCGGTGTATCTTGTCGCCCTGGAGGGCGAGACCAAGACGCTCGAGATCCCTGTGAGTCCAGTCGTTCTTTGCCTATTTGACGAAGCATCTTAACAACGCGGCGTGTCGGGCAGCTAGCCAAAGGCGGAGAGGTATTCTGGCTGGACAGTCGCACCATCGCGCACGCGGTGGAAGGCGACGGGAACACGGAACTGTACACGCTCGACCTCAAATACGACTCGGACTCGTTCGTTTCGCAATCACCAGCTCTCGTTGGATCGTTCCCAACCACGTCCCCGACTAATTTCATCTACTCGCTGTCTGCGAGCACGCTCGTGTTCTCGGATGGCGTGTACCCCGACGGCAACCTCTCGTCTGTCAAGGAGCAAGACGACGCCTGGGAGAATCGCGGGAACACCGCCCTTGTCTATGATGAGACGTACGAGCGACACTGGGACACATGGTGGGGACATCAGCCGGTCGATCACGCGCTGCGGGCTGCTAATCGGTCGTCAGGATCACACCGAAGTCTAATTCGCTATTTTCGGTCGGCTTGTCGCGTGGGACCGATGGCAAATGGACTCTGGGCACGCAATTCAGCAATCTTCTGCAAGGCACCGGTCACGTCAGTCGTGTGCATCTCTCACACTTGCGGGACTTCTGACCGGAGCTTGCAGAGCTCGCCTGTGGAACCATTCGGTGCTACAGATGACTTCTCGGTTGCGCAATCTTCAGTGCTGTATACCACCAAGGACCCCATACTTCCGAAAGCATGGCACACGAAGCAGAATGTGCGTCCGCTTTTCATTGGCTGGGGGCCGGAAACTGATCGATCTCAGGTCTATCTCGTCAGCACGTTGGAGCCTGGGAGCCCCAAGGAGCTTACCTCCGGCAAACAAGGTGCCATCCATAGTCCCGTTCTGAATTCGGATGCCACCAAAGCTGCATGGCTGGAGCTCGCTGAAGATGGATACGAAGCTGACAAGTGAGTCGTTGATAAAATTGGAACGTTTGACTCAGACTCACGGTGTCAAGGGCCAACATTGTCATCTACGACATCGTCAAGAATGTCCGCTTCACTTTGACTCAGAAATGGGATCGTTCTCCAGACGCTTTGAAGGTTCGCGCTTCTCCGTCTCGATATTGCATCTCGAATATCTCTTCCCCGTCAGTTCTCCCTGGACGGAAAGTTGATCTACTTCACGGCTGGTGATCATGCGCGCGTCAAAGTCTGGGTGCTACCAGTGCCTCCCACACCAGCCGAATCCACGGAACACCCCGATCTGCAGCCGAAATACTACACGCCTGTCCCGATCGTCTCGAGTGGCGCATCGTCCGGTATCCAACTGCTTCCCAATGGCCGATTGCTCTTCTCCCGGTCCTCGCTGTCGGCGCCTAATGATCTATACATCATCCGGGATCTGTCCCAATTCGAATCGCTCGTCGCGACGAGCGAGGAGAGTATCGCGTTCGACGGCAAGATCGAGCAGCTGACGCAGTTCACTGTCGCTGCGCTTGGAGGGAAGAACTTGCACGAGGGCGAGTCTTTCTACTTCAAAGGCGCCCTGGACAAAGATGTGCAGGGCTGGATTGTCAAGCCCCCGGGATACAAGGACAGCGATGAGAAGAAATGGCCGGTTGTGTTCCTGATTCACGGAGGACCCCAGGGTGCTTGGGAAGAGCAATGGTCGTGTCATTTGATCTGTCTTCAGTTCCCGTGACTCACTGTCACACAGGTCTACGCGCTGGAACCCGAATATCTTTGCTCAGCAGGGTTACTTTGTCGTCGCCATCAATCCGACTGGGAGCACCACGTTTGGACAAGGCGAGCACTATTCTCTTATTCCCCTGCGTCGACTGACATCGGGTCAGAGTTCACTGATGCCATCACGGGTGATTGGGGAGGAAAGCCTTTCGTCGATCTGCGCGCTGGATGGCAGCATGTGCTCGATAACTATCCTCAAATCGATGCAGACCGTGCTGTGTAAGAAAAGACCGATGTCTCTACAGCGGGCGTTTTTCTGATTGATATCTTTACAGAGCTGCTGGAGCCAGTTGGGGTGGATATGCCATCAAGTGCGTGTCCCTTCGTCTCGTTGATCGTCAGTTCTCATGTTCCGATTGCCAGCTGGATCCAGGGGCATCCCGAATATGGCTTCAACTTCAAGGCTCTTGTCTGCCACGACGGTGTGTTTGACTCGACTTACAACGGCTTCACGACCGAGGAGCTCTACTTTGTGAGTCGTCAGTGCAATTGCGCGCGGAACCTCGGCTCACCGGTGCAGTTCAATCATGACTGGCGCGGCCGTCCGTGGGACCCGGAGGCGAAAGAGCTGCTCGACAAAATGAGCCCACATAGATTTGTGGACAAATGGAGCACCCCGCAACTGCTGATCCATGGGAGCAAGGATTACAGACTGGCCGAAACCGAATCGATCGGAGCATTCCATGCCTTGCAGCAGTGCGTCAGTTTTGCGCTGTTGGCGTGCTGTTACTGACGAACGAACGAATAGATTGGGCGTGCCGACTCGTTTGGTGATATTCACGACCGAGAACCACTGGGTGTTGAACCACGGGAACAGTTTGAAATGGGTGTGTCAGACTGTGATTCCCACCTTGCTCCCCACTGACAGAACGTTCAGCATTACGAGGTCTTCAAATGGTTCGACGAGTTTATCGGTCCGGTATAAACGAAACAAGTGGATGGTATCTATTGTATGGCAGAAATTTGCTTCTCGGCCCATTCCCACAGCGCCTTTTGGGCCTCGAGGTCGTTCCCTCCTTTGGGTGTGTTCCCGATTCTTGCCCATGGGATCAGGTACTATAAGATGGGACGACGATGAGTTCAGCCGATAACATAGGACGAATTGCGTGCCTTTCCGTTCATGGACGCGCCCTGCTCGGATGTCCCAGCCCAGAGCTGCGTCAAAGCCCCGTACGGAGCCGGATACAGAAACAGGAAGTCCTTTGTTAGAATCAGCCACGGTGAGCGAATGCCGGGAAGCCACTGACGATGATCTTCGCTTGAACGCTCGGAGTGTGGCGCAGAAGTTCTGTCCTGAGGTTGCCTGGGTTGAGGGAGGTGGAGACAATGCCCTTGTCGCCGTAGAGCCGGGCCAACTCGTTGCTGAATAGCACGTTGCCCTGTGGATCTGAGCGAAATTCTCGTTCTCAAGTCGGACGTTCTTACAAACTTGCTCTGGGAGTACATGCTGGACATGCCCATGCGCTGCCTGGCGGGTCCCTCCGTGAATGCTTCGTATCGCAGCTTGCCACCGGCGAACTCCGACGTGCTGGATGAGGTGTTGACGACCCGCACTGGCTTGCCGGCCTCAGCGGCCGTGGATATCAGCGTAGGGAGGAGCAGTTTCGTCAAGTAGAAGTGGCCTAGCGATCAATTAGCTACCCGTCCATTTTTAGAACTCGTGCGGCCATTCACCAAGAACATTGGTGCCAACTTGTAGATCGTATCCCTGTGCTGTAAGCAACTCGTAGGGCGCGTTCTAACGAGAAGATCGATATCTGTTAAGATGGCATGGTTTAGAGCAGTGTTTGACCAGGTGACGCCAGCACCCACGTACAATCATTATGCAGATCCGGATCCATCCGTACCATGACACCGCTAGCAATGGGTCAACGATGACCGGCGAATGCAAGTGCGCAAACACCCACGCGTTGTTGAACAGTACGTGCAACTGCGTCTCTTTCCTGCGGTTCATCAGCGCGAGGAGTCATGCACATTCATTCGTGCACGCACGATGTGAACTCCTCCACCGCCCGCTTGATAGAATGCAGGTCTGACAGGTCGAGCTGCAGAAAGAATGCCTCCTTCCCGGTGGCAGTCTTGAGCTCCTCGATCGCAGCTTTGACCTTCTCTTCGCTGCGGGCGGCCATATACACCTTGGCGTTGTGGCTCAGGAGCGCTTTCGTCGTTTCCTTGCCGATCCCTGCATTGGCACCAGTGACAATCAGGACCTGCGGCACACAATCAACCGTCGTGCCGCGAGACACGGGGGAGGGTGCAGGTCGGTTACAGTACCTGGCCAGTCAGGTCGGGGATCTGGTCCACGGAGAACTTGGGTTTGGGAGGGTACATTTGCGTGAGGGTGGACGCGACGATGCCCATGATCAGACTAGGGGAGGGTGGGATTCAGAAGAGAGTGTGAGTATGAGAGGTTCGATGGCGTGCGAGCGTGGAGAAGGACTGCATGCTCGGCTTTTTGAGGTGGTTACGTAGCTACGCGCAGCGTTGCGCGTCTACCCTTGCCGAGGTCCCGAATCGAATGTGACATGAGAGAACGACTCGTTGCACATAGGATGAGGGTCGATTTCAGAGCAACCTGAGAGCCCTTGGTCCAGAGCCGTCTTTCCGGAAGTGCCGAATGACGCACTCGACTCGGCCGTCGATTGATGGCCATCAAACACTTGACCCTGCACCTGAGCACCTGAAGGCGTTTGCTTCCGACGCAAAAAAGCACGAAGAGTCGGTGATCCTGGAATGAAGTACTAACAAAAGCAACAGTGACGTGCCGCCGGCCGGAAGAAAATGATTTGCACTAAAGTACATTAGTAGGGACGGTGTAAGCTTCAAAAAGTTATCTCGCGATGATTTATATACCAGCGACTTGTTCTTCAGCCCATTCCCACAGCGCTTTCTGCGCAGCAAGATCATTGCCACCCTTGGGAATCTTTCCATATTTTGCCCAAGGAATGAGATACTGAAAGCCGAGAAAGTTGGTTTGTGCTCGAAGAGACAACGTAGATCAACACACCTTTCCATTCATAGTCGCACCTTCCTCCGACGTGCCGGCCCAAAGTTGAGTCAGCGCGCCATAGGATGCGGGATAAAGCATCAAGTCCTGTCACACGGTTCAGATCGGCGTGGGAGACACCCGAGGAATCACGCACGATGATCTTGGCCTGGATGCTCGGAGTGTGACGCAGAAGCTCAGTTCGGAGATTGCCTGGGTTCATGGACGTAGAGACGATGCCCTTGTCTCCGTAAAGTCGGGCCAGCTCGTTGCTGAACACGACGTTTCCCTGGGAAGTTTTAGTCAACGACGAAATGGCATCCAATCAGTGTATAAATCACCAGCTTGCTCTGAGCGTACATTCCCTGCGAGCCCAGACGTTTCCTGACCGGGCCTTCTTTGAATGACTGGAGCTCAAGCTTCCCCCCTGATAGCTCTGCGGCCAGAGAGGCTGTGTTGACAACTCGCGCAGGCTTGCCGGTCGCAGAGGCTGTAGAAACCAGAATAGGAAGGAGAAGTTTTGTAAAGTAGAAGTGACCTAAATGTGGATCATCATAGGTCAGCTTGGATGGAATCGAAGTGCTGAGGAGATTACCGAGAACGTTCGTGCCCACTTGGAGATCGTATCCTTGAGCTGTGAACATTTCGTACGGTGGATTCTGGTGACGACGTTCATTTCTGGAATTGTGGTCAGAGATGGGCTGATGCGATGTTAGACTCATTTCAACGCACTATGCCGAGGCCCAATCTGAGCTTCTTCTTACCATGACACCCCTGAAACAAGGTCAAATTAGTCTAAAGGATGTACGAATCGAGTCTTACGCGTTGTTGAACAGAACATGAAGCTGCGTCTCCTTCCTGCCCTGCGATGAAAAGACGCATACAGCCTATCTGAGATCTCGCTCACGAAAGGAACTCCTCGGCCGCTCGTTTGATTGAGGGCAAGTCCGAAAGATCAAGCTGCAGGAAGATGGCCGCCTTGCCCGTCGAGGCCTTGAGCTCTTCAATTGCAGCCTTGGCCTTGTCTTCACTACGCGCCGCCATATACACTTTTGCGCCGTGGTTCAGCAGAGCTTTGGCAGTTTCTTTGCCAACTCCTGCATTGGCACCAGTGACAATAATAACCTGAGACCCGTCAATCAGGACCGTGAAGATGTCCTGAAAAAGAGATTGGTCGCACCTGACCTGATAGATCAGGAATCTGGTCCACGGAGAACTTGGACGCGGACGGGAAGCTTTGTGCGAAACCAGAAAGAACGATACCCATGCTTGCAGTGAAGGTGGAAGAAGTTGAAATTAGGTCGACAGGGGGTGCGCTCGCGGATTCTTATATATTGGTCGTCTCTGAGGGAGAAACGGGGCCTAACGGGGCTTTACCGGTTGCCGGCGGCCTGCCGCCGCGTATTTTAGTGCCGACTTCCACAAATTGCAAGCCTTATCATGACGATGCCCCGGGCATTCAAGGACTTGGCGCTATGGACCAATTGAACACAGTCTGGAAAAGCGTGGTGAGCCGGGAATGACGACGGCAACCCGGCCATCGCCTCGTGCGAAGGCAAGATATCTCGTAAGCGGCGCACGATGACGCGTTGCGCCTGTAGTGTACTATTGATCGCAACTGACAGGTGTTTCTGCACCATAGAGGTGTTTTCAGTCGTTAGAGCCATTTAATGCATCTATTGCCTTCGGGTTTTTTTCAAATCATTCCTTATATACTCTCAAATGATTGTGCAAAGTCCGAGAGCAATCGGGCAAGTGCAAAGAATTGCTCGGCGCTGCCGGCGCATCAAATGAGGTGTTCTCAAGCTCATCTCTGTAATTCCAAGCCTCCCGTTGGTCATTTCAGGCCGGGTAAAGACGAGCAATATATTATTAAGTATCTAAATCGTATTCGATACACGCTTTGCTATTCCGGGCTTGCAATGGATGTGAGCAAGAGGAATTACATGTGTGGTCACAATTGTCACACTGACACAGTGATGACAGTGTGATGGCCAAACCGGCAATTGATCTTGTGCTCCCCGAGTCGCGTCAACACTCACAGAAGAAAGAATATAAGTGTGAAGTAGATACATTACATGTATTGACGACATGTGAGAGGTGCTAGACCCAGGTGGAAAGGTCCTCGAGCCATTAGTAGGTGTATAGTTTTATAAGTGTGATGTATAATGTGGATTTCAAGTCCATTGGAAACCAGATGTGTATGGTACAGGAGGCAGGAGTGAGAAAGTCGAAAAAGGATCCAAAACCAATGTGTAAGGTAGCGTAGGCTGCTGAGGAGCCAAGGACGGAGCAATCAGAGGTTGAGATGATGGGCCAGGAATAGGTTCCGACGCCAGACACACATGGCTGTCAATCAACGTGTTTGATGCGCGGAGCTTGAATTGTCACGCTTTGGCTGATCACCCTTGCTCACATCCATTGCAAGCCCGGAATAGCAAAGCGTGTATCGAATACGATTTAGATACTTAATAATATATTGCTCGTCTTTACCCGGCCTGAAATGACCAACGGGAGGCTTGGAATTACAGAGATGAGCTTGAGAACACCTCATTTGATGCGCCGGCAGCGCCGAGCAATTCTTTGCACTTGCCCGATTGCTCTCGGACTTTGCACAATCATTTGAGAGTATATAAGGAATGATTTGAAAAAAACCCGAAGGCAATAGATGCATTAAATGGCTCTAACGACTGAAAACACCTCTATGGTGCAGAAACACCTGTCAGTTGCGATCAATAGTATTCGTGTGTGCAAATTCAATTGATCGGTGGTAAAAAGGATCGAGTGGCTGGATCAAAAACGGATCAATCAAGTTAGACCCCGCAGCTTGTCACGCAGCTGACGCGACATGCGTTCGAGACGTCATTCCCTCTCACCTGCACTCCCATGAACATGGACTCCCGTGTAGGACTTCGAATCTATCAAGAGTGAGCACACATCGCGTGGAAAGGACGTTATTTATGGAATTGGGATCAGAATGCATTTCGGTGTGCAGCGTGCATTCCGTGCGCTGGTGCCTGAACCCCAGGATCGTATTCCGCTCACATTGGCAAACACACCGATCGTTCTGGCTTGTTACCTGCCATTCGTTTTTCTCGCCTATCTCACACGAAGACCCGGGACATATCTTATACGACTTCTCGTATTGCCAACTGTATTGGTGGCTCTAATAACAACAGGGTGGAGGTTTCGGTGGGAGGTACCAGGTGTGTGAGTGCTCGTCTCGTCTCAATTAACTCAGATACGACGACTAGGCTGAACAGAGCTGAACGTTTATAATTGGGGAATGGCGCTTCTAGCAGAGGCACTAATAGGGAAGGCACTTATGTTTGCTTTCACGCCGGAGGGGATGCTCAAGCTTGGGGAATGTTCCCCAGGACAGCTCAAAGGCAAGGGGAAGGATGATTCCGAGGGCCACCTCGCGTCTAAAAAGTCCTCTATATTCCCGCTGTGGCTACGCGACGCGACAGAGATCATACACACTCTCCGGGGCATACGCTGGAAGTACGGGATGGGGACATACATTCCTCCACCAACTCGACCGCAAGAGCGGCAGGCTTTCTTGCGCGCAACATCGTTATCCTTCGTTCGGAACTTTTTGTTGTTGGATGCACTGGAAACTTGTCTCAAGATCTTTCCCGGTGTCGGACTTCCATCCGGGGGGAGCATATTCTACCCCCAGCTTCCACCAATACCACGGTACACAGTGTCTACAACAATCCACATGTTGACTGGCTGCGCGCTGCTGGCAGGCTTGGGGATGGTGAGTGACTTCGTTTGACGAGCGCTTCGTGATCACGGATGATTCCCAGTGCTACGATTTGGCCACTTTCGTGGCGGTAATGTTCCTTGGTGATACTTCCTCATCATGGCCCCCGGTTTTATACAACCCATGGGGATCCGATTCCCTTCACTCTCTCTGGGCCAAACATTGGCACCAACTGCTCCGACAAACCTTCTTAATTTTCGGAGGTTACCCGGGCCGATGGCTGGCTGGGGACGTGGGTCTCGTCCTTGGGACCTTCCTCGCTTCTGGTCTGTATCACGAGCTGGCCATCTACACAATGGGACGAGGACTCGACCACACTGTCACATTCTTTTTCGCTATTCAAGGACCTTTGTTGATTCTAGAACGAGTGTGGAGACGAGTTACCGGGAGAAGAGTCGGTGGCCTGCCAGGGAGATTGTGGGTTTATTCGATCATGTTCCTCGGTGGGCAATGCATGGGTGCGTTCTCTCTTCTCCTATTGACTTGAGCTCATCGGCACCCAGTCGACTCGTGGCACCGCCGTGGCTTGGCTGGCTGTTTAGTCATTCCGCCAATGATCAGTCCAGTCCGGCTCGCGTTGCTTGCGATGGGGTTTGGCCGTCGACGCTGATATTTTAGTATAATATACAGGCCAGATAGTCTACAGATACCTTGCAAATCTAATCATGTTGTATCATCTCCGACCCCGGGAGGCCCAAACAGAAACCGCACGGTCCCCTCATTCCGACCCAACAGTCCAATGTCCTCTCCGCTGTACAGTGCACTCGGATCGGAGCTTCCTAGCGGTTGTCGGGTCCGGGGTGTGTGCTCTGTTGCACGCATGGCGATTTTCAAACGTGTCAGGCGGTCGGCCTTGTACATCTCTGGCGGTTGAGGCTGGGCTTCGGGACGAGGTGTTCGTGGAGACGGGTTGGGAGATGGGGAGGATGGCGTGCTGGGGGAAGTATTGATGCCGGTTTGTGAGAGCTTACTCAACAGGTCGATCACGGTATGAGCGATGTCTGGCTCGGGCTGAGAGAGGCAACAAAAAAACAGGCCATGACGAACGCACTCTCAAGATCATCCACCTGCGCCTGATATTTTTCCTCCCATGGTCCGTTTGCGCCCAAAAGCTCTGCGACTTCATGCGGGGACTTTGTCGCATCGTCCTCCCGAACGGCAGGCTGCTCGAAAGACAACAGCAGCGCGGCAGTGTAGATCGATGCGAGCGCAACGACGTGGGGTGGATACTGGATGGGCACCAGCGTGCGGTGACTGGAAGCAAAAAATCGGCGACTGCATCCGTTCGCAAGGATGCCACGCACCAGTCAAGCGTCAGCCTCCAAGCCAACTTCGTTAACATTTTACCAGCTGCGTTCCGTGGTTTAGGCCCTTCCACGCACTATTTTCTTTGGGGGGATCGCTTACCACCAAAAGCTCTTCCTAATTTGATCACGTAGGGAAAGGGCATCCGCGATGTAAAATTGAAGCATATCGTCTCAAGCAGCAACCGTTCCACTGAAAGTATGCGCTGGCGATCTCGCTCAACGACTGCTGGATCCATCGAGTCTATGTCGATTTCTCCTCCTGGATGCTTCGACTTCGCGACGAGATCCGGGAAGCGTATAGCATACGATGCGGCCAGCAACTCTCGTGGCTTCTTGAGGGTGTCGTGCATCTTCGTGGAAACGTACAGGGATGCCAGGGAAACGTCCTTGGAACGAAGTTAGTCTGTGCGGAGGGCATGAAAGATACTCCACGTACCACATAACTGAAATCTTTACGAGGGAAAAACAGATGGAAGCGGTGGTAGAGGTTTTGCGCTGTCGCTGTCGTTCGTCTCGGGCTGAAAGTTCGCGTAAGCGTCAAGTTGAAGCGAAGGGTGCAAGGCTTACAATCCGATGCGAGACCCCAGCGCTTCAAGAAAGGTGCATGCACTTTGTCGAACGCGTTCCTCCTGGGTCTCAGAGAATTTCCCGCGTTGCTTTTCGGAAAGATAGGATACTTCGTCCGGCGTAAAGTAGGGATGATGATACTTGCTGGAAGAGTGAGGAACTAAGGGAGCCCCTGTGTAGTTCATGACTTGCGGTAAAGTAGTGGTCTGGCTTGAGTTCAAGATATTCATTTGATGAGGCCGCGTGACGGTGTTTGAAACAACACAAACGGATCTCAGAGGAACGTATATACGTATCTGAATTTGAATAACGGTAAACCCTGCATCGACAGGCCGGGCGGCCAACAGAGGCGTCCAGGACTCGGAGGCGGGTCAAGTGAATCTTGGATTACTTGTAAGAAGTGGCGGTGCTAGCATCATGTTGTGACCTGTTGTCATACATACGCGCGTCGCGTCCACTCATTTCTTGCCCTTGACCATGTCCGCCGTCCCACCTCCCAACGACCCTCCATCGAATCCGGAGAAGCAAGACGGAGCCGCGCCCTCTGCCTCCGCGCAAACAAATGAGGCATCAATGGATACGACCCCAGACCAACCCGCAGAAGAGACATGGGCGGACATCCCGGAAGATATCATGGAGCTCAGCACGGACGACATCCTCACTAGAATCAGGCTGATTGAGAACGACATGAAGGTAGATCTATAACTCTTGGGTACTATGCTCTGGTGTCGAGCCACGACAGGTTATGCGTTCGGAGACCCTTCGATTGCAACACGAGCAGAGCGTAATGAAGGAGAAGATTCGTGACAACGGCGAGAAGGTTAAACAGAACAAGCTTTTGCCCTATCTGGTGTCCAACATAGTTGAGGTGCGTTGGGGCTATCATGCGGTAAAATATACGCGTTTCATACCGAATAGATTCTGGATGTTGACCCTGAAGTCGAAGAGGACGGTGCAAATCAAGACCTGGACTCCATGCGCAAAGGGAAATGTGCTGTTATCAAGACCTCGACGCGACAAACTGTCTTCCTGCCACTCATCGGCCTGGTCCCCTCCGAAGATCTCAAACCTTCAGACCTGGTTGGTGTCAACAAGGATTCTTACCTTGTGCTGGACACCCTTCCCGCCGAATTTGACTCAAGAGTGAAAGCGATGGAGGTTGACGAGAGACCTACGGAGACATACACAGATATCGGTGGTCTCGAGAAACAGATCGAAGAGCTTGTGGAGGCAATTGTTCTGCCCATGGAACAGGCTGACAAGTTCAAAACACTGGGAATCAGGCCGCCGAAGGGGTGTTTGATGTATGGTCCGCCAGGTAGTCGTTTCCTGATGTTCTCGTCCAGAAACCCGGGTTTATGCAACCACTGTAGGAACTGGCAAGACGTTATTGGCTCGGGCTTGCGCGGCTCAGACCAAAGCATGCTATCTTAAGCTTGCTGGTCCGTCTCTCGTGCAGATGTTCATCGGTGATGGTGCCAAACTTGTGCGAGACGCATTCGCACTAGCGAAGGAGAAGGCGCCTGCTATCATCTTTATCGACGAGCTGGATGCCATTGGCACGAAGCGATTCGATTCTGACAAGAGCGGTGATAGGGAAGTTCAGCGTACCATGCTCGAGCTTCTGAACCAGCTGGATGGTTTCAGCAGCGATGAACGAATCAAGGTAGCTGAGATCGTCGAGGCTGTCAACTATTTTCATATCCCCTTCCAGGTTATTGCCGCGACCAACCGAATCGACATCCTTGACCCTGCCTTGCTGCGTTCTGGTCGACTGGATCGCAAGATCGAATTCCCTCTGCCCAACGAAACCGCTCGAGCCCGCATTCTGGAGATCCATTCGCGAAAGATGGCTGTAGCAGGTGATGTCAACTTTGAAGAGTTGGCGCGTAGCACGGATGAATTCAACGGTGCCCAACTCAAGGCTGTATGCGTCGAAGCTGGCATGATAGCGCTTCGAGAGGGTGCGACCAAATTGGGGCACGAACACTTCTTGAGTGGTATCGCCGAGGGTGTGTTTTCGTTGTACTTGCGGCTCGGGGCATTTTCGCTAATCGTGCTCAAGTGCAAAGCAAGAAGAAGAACGATCTTATCTATTTCGCTTAGCTTTCAGCAATGCATTCTTTTCTATCATTTTGCGGGAAGAGTCCGATCGAATCATCGATCCACCTAGTCCCTGGGTGCGGAGTCGTTCGGAGTTGGTCACGTTGTCAGCGCCAGATGACTTTAAATATAGCATGTTGGCACCTTCGCACGCGGCGTGGTGCTGTCCGTGCCAAGACGTAAGAGAGGAGATAAAAGACTGCCCGAGGTGAAAATATGCAGTTGCAGCCGAATGTTCAAGTCGCTCCTCCTCGCTTCGTGCCTTCTTGTTGGTGCATTGGCGTCTCCCCTTCGCCGTCAGCAACAGGACGCGTATCACGCTGTCATTGAATTGCCTGCGGATGGGACTGTAATTGCACCGGGGGCGTCGTTCCCCTTCCACTACAAGGCCATGGCGGACTACTCACAGTCGACCTACAATGTTCGCCGGATGGGAGAGTTTTAGAGCCCCGTGTCTCTGATCACCCCCACAGTTTTCCGTCTGGCTGTTTACCGACGCCCCAAAAACTTTCGCCCCGTCGGCAGACTTTGCACGAGGCCACTACTTTGGCCGCTTTGACGTGCAGAACTATCCTGGTACTTACTCCATACGGGGCATCCCGGAATTCGATGTGATGCATCTTACCTTTCTCTCGCAGGTGTTCCCTACGCCCAGCATCCGGCGCCTGCAACTCTCACGATGCCTAACTTCTCCATCAACCCTGGAGGATTCGGCGACGGAGCCAGTGCTGCCAATGTCAATTGCACCCTTGTCGTGCTCGAGGAATGGGCGAACGGCCCTGGAACAGTGGGGCTGCGGATGGCCATGGCCATGACCAATATAATGTATAACGGAACAGTGGCAAGTAGCCATGTCTAGCCCCGTCTCGGACTCTTTGTAGATATGGACATTGGACATCGGACGTAAATAGTATAGTATGTAGGGTGTAGATCGGACGATCAATGGACTAGACTTTCTTTCTCTACGCCCATTCGCGAGGTGTGACTAAGACCTCCACGAGTTTTCCTTCCTCTGTTCCTTCGCCACCCAGATCGGTCATGTATTCCCATCGGGCAATTTCCGGGAGACTGATGAAGATGCTTTCGATCCTCGCAGCCGGCGACATCAGACCAAACTTGGTGCCTCGGTCCACGATAAGATTGAACTCTACATAGCGTCCCCGGCGAACAAGCTGCCACCGACGTTGCAGAGGCGTAAATGTCATGGCGCTTCGGCGCGTCAAGATGGGAACATAGGATGGGAGGAACGAGTCGCCCAACGCCTTGGCCAACGCGAAGATATCCGCCTGAGTTCGCGGTCGGCCCTCCGAGTTGTCCAGACGCAGGTGGGATCCTTCGTTGAGATCATCAAAGAATATGCCACCGATCCCACGCGCCTCTTTCCGGTGTGGGATGTAGAAGTACTCATCGCACCATTTCTTGAATCCGGGGTACAATCCAGCTCCATGCGCGTCGCAGGCCGCTTTGATGGTTGTATGGAAGTGTTTCGCGTCTTCCTCGAACAAGTAAGACGGGGTCAGATCTGAGCCTCCTCCAAACCACCAGGCGACCAGCTTCGGAGCCTCAGTGCTGCCCTCCTCGACAGGTTCGGAGATCTCGAAATATCGGTAGTTTGCGTGGACCGTCGGTGCATTCGGGTTGCGGGGGTGGATCACGAGGCTGATGCCCGCAACGAAGTACGGTAGACCACCTTCCGGGTTTTCTGGGAGAGGCATGGATGTATGATCGGCGCGCATTTGCTTGATCGCAGCAGGCGGGAGGCTGCCCTGGATGATGGAGATGTTCACCCCAGCCTTTTCCAGAAGAGACTCGTGCGCGATGAGCCCATCTTCTTGCTGCGGCATCGAGAACACGCAGGACTGGCCGATTCCTCCGGCCCCGGGTCGGACCCAGGAGTCGCGCTTGAACGGAGGCGCGTTCGGATCGAGGCTCTCGAATGTCGTCACGATTTTCTCCTGCAGCCCCTGGACGAACTCCTTGAACTGCTCACTCATCGGCCGCGTTTTCGAGTCCGTCATGGCTCTGGTGACGATTGAGAAAGAAAAAATGAACGAGGACGGCGGATAAGATGCGCATCGCAATGACAAGCCGAAATTTATGTAAACCTCCCGCGCTTGATTTGATGTCCAGACCGGCCCGCCCATCTTGTTCCAGATCGTCTCGACCCTCACACTGGAAGCCACCGGTATGTACTGGCCCGAGTCTCGTCACTACGGGCTCAGGATGTCTCCGCTAGTTACCCGGACAACTTGTGATTGTAAATAGCGAACGGCTGCCCGTGAATGACACTGGATCATATCGTCGACTTGGTCCGGATGAACGTTTCGAATCGTGTCCCATGCACCAAAGCTCGGAACTCCTTGCCCGAGTCACCCGAGAAGTTGGCTGAGTATTGCTGGCAATTCAAGACGTGACCTCCCAGTTTTTCCGACGGATCTACAAGTCCTCTCGTCACAAGAGTGCGATGTTCGCAGGGCGAATAACAAGAGCAACAACCTCGGGTCTTTAGGCGCTCAGGATGAATCTTATCTTATCGATTTCAGAGCCCATGATGCCAGACAGAACACCGATCAATAACAGTAGCAAAGCAACACGGTATGGGTGATGTTCCCTCTCTCGACGACAAGGCGCGGTACGAGGCTTTGAAGAAGGATCTTCTCCAAGCCCTACCCAAGAAGCGAGCAATTGATAAGCAGCTCGTTCGTCTCTGTCTATGATTACTCCACGTTCCGTGACTCACGACCACTCCAGGCAGAAATCGAGTTCCAAATCCACGACCTTGAAAAGACATACCTCACCGAGACCGCGTCCAATAATGGCGGCAATATCATCACTGGCTTCGACGGGTACCTGAAGAATACGAACGCGAGCCGAAGGAAGTACGACGTTGCCGAACACGAACGCCTCTTCTCGAACAGCAGCTGCACGTCTGCCAAAGTGAGCGTCCAACTGCCGATACGTCGTTGGTCTTCATTGAGCACTAGTCCCTTGAGCTCCTCCGCGATGTCGACGATGGTCCCGAAGATGCATTGTTCAAGCAGCCCAGTACCCCGGGAATCACGACGGTTCTGGTGCCACCTGCGACCAGAGGGGACGGGGAGGGGACCCGAGATTCGGCAAAGAGGCAGAGGGACAGGGAATATCAGAGACGCAAGAGGGCTTCTGCGAGTGTCAGTCAACGCAGCACGAGTGACGATGAAGCCGTGTCGACAAGTTCTCGTCGACCCAATAAGAAAGCCCGTACGGGCGATGACTGAATTTTCAATCGTGGCATGTAATACTGATACCCCCCTTGTGACGAAGCGCGTGCTGACATCTCCTCAGTGTACTCTGTGTATCGTAAAAATGTAACTGCAACATTGATAAGTCCAAGCCTACAAACCCAGTTCCTCCAGGAACTTGGTCACCCCGTCCTCATCCATCCCGCCGCCATCTGGGTCAACGAGCTCTATACACCTGACGATTGCGATCGTCTGGTCTGCCTCTTTCGTACTGACCCATACTCGCCCATTTACGCCCACGGCTGTTTCAAGGTGAAAGCGCCTACCAAAGAGTGGGAGAAGGAAGTGTTTGGGGTCCAATAGGCTACGGTTATTCAATTGGGATGATGTTTTCGGTAACCGGACGACAAGAACGTACAGTCTGCACATCCCGAGACTACACCGGGTTACGAACCCACCCTTCAGTTCTCCGAAGCCGGCAGATTTACGCGTTTGCGCATCAAAACACTCCAGTTCAGGTTCCATGTCTTTGTGCGCTAGAGACACTCGAGCGTAGACCAGATTACCGATCTGAGAGAAACGCCTAGTGAGTGGATGGGCAAGTAAGCGAAACGCGCCAGTCCGTACCCTCAAATTGGGTCTACTCCTTTTCGTAGCACCTTCGAACGCGAGACCATCTAGTGACGCCGAGTGTGCTCCACCGATGTCGACTCTGAATCCCTCGCCCGCTTTTTGCACAATCACACCGATGACAGATTCTTGCGCTGCCGGTACATACTGAAAGTCTCTTTAGAGCCAGAGAGAGATGCTGGAGCGTTCGTGCACAGACCCGGCGTGCATTGCTCTCGACCCACCATCGACTTCGGTTCGCGGAATGGTGCAGGGTTCCTGCTCGTGTTGCGATCACTGAGGATGATAGTTGGGTGCTGCTGCCTGGAGACGCGGACGTGGTTTGCAGAAGCCCGGGGCCGAGTTTGAGGTTCACATGCTGTGCAGGGACTGCTTGACCAGGAAGAACGAGTTGGGACATGATCCTGGTGAGTAGAAAAGTACAAGCTCGAGCACAGTCCTGCCAGTGATCGCAAGATCATTCACGATCAGGTGATCTCCACCGCGAAAAAGACATGGATTGAAAGTACGATAGATTATTACATACAAACAAAACTGAGTTGTTTCAATGGTGGTTGTTTCAATGGTGGTTGTTTCAATGGTGTAATCTACGACAATTTACCCATTGCTCGTCGCTCGGCTGTCAGCTGAGCTCGCCGATGCGGTGAAGGCGGACAGTGGTACTTGCAGCTACCACTTGTTCTGACCGCATCACGCAACATGTCACAGAATACAGCCTTGGTGAATCCGAGACCTCGCTGAAAGTGCACCCGCTTGAAAAATTCAGGCCAGGTACCGACTACATAGATCGCCTTGACCTGCTGGACCATCTTCATGGGAATGTCCGGGTCAGGGAAACCGTAATTGTCGTCGAGTCGCGATATATTCGAGGCATATGTCGCGGAGAAGAGATCGAGAAAGGCAATTTGAAACATGATCAAGCGCAGGCTTGTCTTGGACCGACTGAATGTCTCGTTGAGTCGGTAATCGCTGGGCCCCTGTTCCAATACCTCGAGATGCGGAGAATCTCTGAGGACCCAGCGGACGTTGCGGACTACGGCTTCGCCAAGAAACGGGCCAACCAGATTGCTCCAACGAATCTGTGCTCCAGAGTGAGGCTGGCAGAGAACGACCATGATCAGAACAATCAGTTCGCCCAGATCTGGAACATGCAACTTGACGCGCTTGGCCTTGTTCTCGATAAATTGACGCAGCCGGCGAGACGCACTGGAAAGAATCGACGGGTCTTTGCGGCAGAGACACATGAGGAGATGGAAGAGATGGCAGTATGCCGTGATGGCTTTTTCAGACGCATGCATCAGAGTCTGCGCGTGACCGCGGTGGTCCTGGAGCTCTTGGTCGCAATTTTTCATCAGCGAGACGACGATGTTGTTCATCATCCGGTAAACAACCTCGACGATCTCATCGTGTCTTGCGGGTCCCGTAGGTCGCCAGCGAGGATTCCTACTCATCTGCTGTTCCGCAGCTCGGAGCTGCTTGTCGATTTCGGCCAAGCTCGTCCAGATAAGAGGGTAGGCACGCTCAAAATGCGCTGGGGAAAACGCGAGTGGCAAGAAAAACCCAAAGTCACGCTTTTCGACGCTTTTTCGAACGCCATGGACAGTAAAAGCTCGATGGCTCAGCCAGTCGAAGTCGGATGCCAGTGTACGCGAGCGGGGGTCGAATGCGACGCCGATACCGAGGACAGAGCTGTGAAGAGGGCTGCGGAGAAAGAAGCAGCGTAGTTCGCGTTGAAGGAGGATGTGCATTGACTCTGTAAGCCCATGGAAGCGGGGATAAGCTGTCCCGAAGTTGATTATGGATTCGGAGGGCATCCGTTGAGCCAGCTCATACAGCACGTCGTCGTTCAATGTGTCGAGGAGACACGACGTCGGAGGCATCGGACCGCTCATTCCAGTCTTCTTTATCTCCTCAGCAGCTCCGGCAACGGCACAATGGGGAATGCCGCGACCGTACTGGCATCGATCACAGGTCCAACGTTGAATAGTTCGAAGAGTAGGGGCCCAGCGAGAGTTCTTCACCTCGATTCGATGTAAGCGATGGCTGGAGACCCGGGGGTCCTTGACAGTGTCACGCAGAGGTCCGATCTCAGACATCTCGACGTTAACGGCAATCTCAGGGCGATCGTCTGACTCCCAACGCTCGTGGAACGCGTGCCAGGAACTGGGCGAGGCCGAACTGTCCGGAGTGCCGTTGCGCGAGACACGTCTCGACGCCCGAGTGGGTTTCAAGTCAGCTTCTAGAACGTAACGCACGATCACGCTGTCCCCGACGGTCGTAGATCCTCCGTAATCCTGATCGATCTATACGAGAATGAGTCAGATTGAATGAATTGGGAGACTGCGTTCTGACCGAGGGAGAGCTGAAGAATGTGAGGAACTGCAGGAACAACCCGCGGAGCGTCAGCGCAGGGGTGTAACCTCCAATGTAGCCTTTTTCCCGCCAGATCTCGTCCTCCGTCTTCAAAAGGTCGCAGCATACATAGCTCCCAAAAAGATTGGGGTGATTTATGCCATTGACGCTGCATGAAACCCGAGGAGGCAATGCAGGCTGTGAACAGTCAGGAGATGTTTCGCGCGCAGACACAACGCAGCGCACCCATTCGTCCGGCAGAAACACATCAAAATGTAGAGCCCTGTGTCCAAGAATGAGAGGGAGTGAGCAATTGGGTAGACGAACACAGACAAGTTCTTCCAGGGTCCGCTCGGCGGCGTCAAGATCAAGCAAAGCCTCCGAACGTCAGCATCGTCAATGAAGACGTCTACCCCCGGATAGGGAGAGTCATGCAGTTCAGCGAGATCCTGGTAGAGTCTTGAGATGAGGGACGAATGGCCCATGATCAAGACATCGGTTCATGCTGCACTATTTATTCGGCTGTTAGATGACTGAGTTTGTGTCTTAGCCAGCGCTCTCGGTTGCGAGCGGAAGTCGAGTCACTTGCACAGTGATATGAGCTGTCGGGATAATTGTCGGCCGTAGTCAGAGCGCATCGACACTTGATAGGGACTTGTGGTTGGATAGTACGCGCAAACCAACAGATCAGTGGTGAACGCGTTTCCAGTGCGGCAAGCCCAATGGATGATCAAATTTTGATGGCCTCAGCCACTTGCGTCTCTTCGGTCCCCTTCATGACCTCTACCATGGGCACCCATGATACCCAACCTACGGACGACCCGTCGTGCCGGATCCTCACTGTGTCGACGTCTTTGGATACTGTTATCAGCTTCGTTGACCGTGAGATAGCTTCAGAGTGAAGGAATCATCGAACACCAATGATCCACTGTAACAGAACTTTGTGCCATGCCCAACACCTGGACGACATCGCCAGCAAATGGGATGTCGCTAGGGGAATCCCCCCCTCCTGAACGCTATGCCAATGAGTCGGGGCTTGGCGAACGAGCACGGATCCCCTGGAAGATCGCGAACAAGTACTATACTGCCGATGTGCACTTTCTGGCGCACACAGTCACCGGCCTCAGCCCGAACACTCTCAATGACGTTCCCGCAGTTGTGTTTGTCTGGTCGAGAGGCGAGGTGTGTCTTATTCACGCGCTCTGACGTCCGTCTTAGCGATGGTGTTCGGCACCCAGGAATACAGACAATATGTCGAGCGCCTGGCTTCGGATATGCGTGGCAGCGAGTCAGAAGTGTGTCTGGCAGTCAGGATTTCGAGCTCTGCATCGACGAACTCGACGACTGGGACTGTGGATGAGGAGGATGACACAGAAACCGACGAGTTCCTGTCGTCGAATGGCTTCGAGTTCATCGATGCTTCATCCGATGAGGACGTCACCTCTGCAGTGAGACAGGAGGAGGATCTAGCATCCTCGCAGGGTGAGTCCTCCACGTTCCATCTCATTGCGATGTCATCATCGGGCCGTGAGTAGGTATTCCTGGTCTACCTCGTGTTCACGATGCCTTGAGCACGATTATGTGGCCCTCGATGCAAGCACGGGAATCTGGTCTAGGGTCATCGACCCGCATTAGACCTGATTTAGACTGGGTGAACAACTCTATCGACGGCCCCAGTCTTGTACGAGGGGCCGGTCGTAGCAAGGAAGAGGAAATGCGAGAACTATCGCGTTGGTTGGAGGAAGACGATGATGCATTCTCCAACGACGATCCCTGGCGACCATTTGTCGGAGCTGCCTCGACTGAGGCATCTCAATTGCCGATTACCAGTGCACCCGAGCTTGGTTTCGAGGACGACTTCACGGTGTTCGTGTCAGCACCTCCGGAGCCAGATGATGACGAGGACGAAGACGATTCGTTCGACGGTGGACCGCGGTTAGGGCCTCCGGATTCGAGTCCTCTTTACTTGTCGCTGGGCTCCGGACTGGACCTGAGTGCGGTGGACAGCGGCGGGGAACAGGCTCAAAATAGAGACGATGAGGAAGCTGGCGATTTGCCGACCGATGCCGAGATTGAAGAGATGCACAGTCTGATATTTGGATCGGCGGTTGCCGGGGATGATTTTGAGATGGCGCCGTTCGACCTGAGCAAGGTTATGACTGCGCTGGAGGGAATGAAGGCGGAGATTGCTAATATGGGTGACGAGGGTTCTCGGAGAAAAGCTGCCGCACAGGTCGCACTGGGCCTAGTCTACGGGCTCGAGCAGGCTGAATAGCATGGATACCCCGATATTCAAATACGCGTCCAAGCGCACGTGGTTATTCATGTCGTATCTGATTGATGGCAGACCAGGCACGAGCGTGATTCTGCATTCTTGGCCAACAAAAAGTCAGACTGCTTCGCATCTCCGAACCCGCCTACACCCGCTGAACCCTGCGATGGGCAAAGCATCCGCAGTCTACACCACTCACTAGCCATCCATCCTTGTCTCAATCGCCGCTCCTGTACTTCATCTGTACATTCCTGACACACACGACCACCGAGCCTACGCCGCTTAGTTCATGTCCTCACGGCGACCTGCCACAAGTCCAGGCCCGGGAGGCAATCCCGTCCCCACAAAAGCCGCTAGCGCTGATGGCACACCAAGTTCCGCCATGAAACCACCACTACAAAAGCGTCACTCGACCTATACATTCACTACGCCCACACTAGATCACCCTTCTCCAGCCGTAGCTCCGCCTCGTCCCCCGCGCAACCCTGCCCGGAGCCCCGTCCCTGCATCCCGACAAGTCAAGAAGCCGCAGCGGCCATCTACAGCCACGGGGGGCCGCGAAGAGGTGCGTCCTTTAGGAAATCGTTATCCTCGGTTCGGCATCTCATTCCCCTTTGGCCAGGTCACGCCCTGGGAGTTCTTCCCGGCGAATATACCCCTGGACGGTTTACCATTGAACGGGTCCGACAACATCGTTGAAGTCGCAACAGGGAAACGTGAGGACGTTTTGCCTTGGGAACTGTTTCCAGCCCCGTTATATGATGTCGGCGCCGCTTCTAAGCCGATAGACAATGCGTCACACGCTCCAAACAACGGCACCCCCAATGTCCACACCCCCCATTACCGCCAGGTGCGTCACAGTTTTGGTGGCGCTCAAGTGCTCGCTGACTCGCTACTTTTCCAAGCCGCGGCCATCAGGATCCTCTGGCCATGGGTCCATACTCTCGGATATATCGCGCATCCGGCGCCGCAAAAGCACAGGAGCGAAGCCACCGATTGCAACACCTGTTGCCACACCCACTACGAGCCACTTTGCCTCTCCTCCCCGCGTGTCTACATCGGATTCTTCGAACGGCCACCTACAACGCAGACGCGAATCCCACTCCCCGAGACTCCTCCACAAAACGCCCTCCGCAGCCACTGTTCGACCACCTGTGTCAACAAGCACCGTCAGCGGTCCGGAGTCCGTATCACATTCCGCCGACATCCCTTCTGCCGAGAAGACTCCCACCGTGGATTCGCATCTTGACAAGCCACATCTGGCAGAAGATCTCAAGTTCTCTACGGCTGATCGAACCATTCTCAAGGAACTCAAGAGGAACATCAGTGCACGCGCAGCTCAGTTCGTGATCAAAGGCGGCCTCGATGACCGCAGCGGCTACCAGCCGGGAGGGGCGAGCTTCATGCGGATGGGCGCGAAACATCACGCGTTCGACCATGACGAGGTTCCCTATCCTCGCAGCTATGCACGGGAGGTTCTCGACCTCGATGTCTGGGAGACGATGGCCTGCCAGCGCATCTGCAACAGCCTCACCTGGCATGTTTTTGAGGAACCACCAACCCGAATGTATGCGCTTTTTCTCTTCTTTCTTGCTCGCGTCACTCGCTGAGCATCTCTAGATTAGACATCGGTTGTGGGACTGGCACCTGGGTAATGAACTGTGGTGTTGCTTGGAAGGTATGCTGCTCGAATGTGTTGTTTTCCCGCTTAGCTCACTCGATACTTCCAGGATTCTCATTTCGTTGGTTGGTCCTCCGTCTTGTTTTTTGAACCTCGTTGATTCGAATCAGGTCTGGATGTCGTGCCTCTGCATCCCGATCTCGGAGCATCTGAACTTGCGACCCGGATAACTTGGGTGCAAGCGAATTTGTCAGTGACATCCGGTTATTTTCTAACTTGCACTGATCCCTGTCAGCCTCGAAGGACTGCCATTCCCGAATGACGAGTTTGATTTTGTGTCAGTGACTCTATTCCTGCCGTAGCCGGTCCGCTGACAGCAGCAGACATATCAAACGCATCGCGCTCGGAGTGCCGGAAGACAAATGGGATTCCTTGTTTGAAGAGATTGTCCGGATATTGAAGCCAGGAGGAGCATTCGAGGTCCGCCATGCTCCTCGTGTTTGGGTATCCCGTCTCACGCCCTAGAAAGTTCATTGAGGAGGACTTGTTTTTCCCTGGCAAGACTTGTGAAGACGAAAACGCAAGCGATAACGACGATGTTAGGTCTGATACTGTTTCTGAAATGAGATATGCCCCGCCACCGTCAGACGGGTCGGATCTCGAAGACGATGCGTCGGTCATAACTGGCTCGGGCGGTTCTCGAGTCTCATATGATGGAACGCCAAACACAAGCGTGGGAGCAATCCCAGAAGAGGATGAGGTCCCCAATAGACCGTACCGACATTCTTATCAAGTACTGTCTACCGCTCAAGCGGGCCAGACTTATGGCCCCTCTGGATCGGCCAACTCGCTTGAAACGGACAAGAAGGGCAAACCGCGAGGGTACTCGACTTCCACCTTGCCTACGTCCGCAAACTACCGGCACCCATCGGAGCTTTTGCCTCCTGCCCGGCCCGCGAATGTCCCTTTCTTGCACCGACCACTGGCCCAAGCACCTCCCAATCCGCGAGATCATTCTACTCTGGAGCGGATCTACAATGAGATGAATGCATCGCGGTTCATCAATCTGTCCCCGTTGTCGCTCTTGGCCAATTTGGTCGGTCTGTACTTCAAGGGTGAGTCTCGTTACTGTCTGTGGGAGCTGCAGCTAAGCTGTTGTTGTCAGATGTTCGGACCCATCCTCCATTGCAATTTGCATTTCCTCCAGCGGCAGCTGTTCCGGCAGCTGAGTCGGATTCTTCCGACTCGGACGACGCGCGAGATGCGATTGTCGCTCGCCCTCGACGCGAGTCATTGCCTGCGCCAGCGCCATGGGGCGAGGATCGATTTGTGGGGACACGAGATCTGCTTAAGCGGGAGTCGCGGTACATTAGCTTGGACGACTCTCGGATGTCTGCGCTCTCTCCGGCTGCACACTCGTCGTTTGCGTCCCGGTCTCCTGTGGCGCGGCCTGCTCTGAATCGGCTGCCGAATTCGACCCTGAACATCGATGTGCAGAGCCTCAATATGCATCTCGGGCTGCGGATGGCTGAAGTTCTCGCGTGCTCGGAATCCATGTGGGAATGGATTCTGTCGTACCAGGTGGGAGTTCGGCGTGACCGCGCGGCGGGCAGACCCAGGACAGGGTCGCTTGCTAGCGAGATTGGGGGCCGGCGCTCGTCTCGGCTTCCTCTGGTTGTGAGCGACCCGGAGACGGCTGCATTCAAGAATGACGTGCTCGACCTTACCCGGGAGGATTTCGATGCATTGCTAGTCCGGTTCGAGATGTGCGTGTGGTTTTTTCTCTTGCTTGGCGCAGTGGCTTGATACACGATGCAGGGATATGAAAGAGCAGATGGCCTTGGGCTCTGTGCTGCGCAACGAGTTTGGATGGCCGTGCCAGCCGCTGGCGCCTTCTCAGGACCGAAAAGTGTTTATTACATCCTGCGAGCGATGGGACCAGTGGCAGCAAAGGAATCAGCGCAGGTCCAGGTCTCCATATCAAGTCGACGGCTGGGACGTCGCGAGCTCTCCTCCTCTGCCGCCGGAGCAAAGACTCAGCCGCTCCATGCGCGTGTTCGTTGCCTGGAAACCGCTATGACAGTGCACTGCCACCCCCAAAGCAGTACGACCGGAAGTATCTCGCCGACAGCCCAAGCAATCGATACTTTCCTTTTCTATCATCTGGCGTTGAGGCTTCTATCCTTATTTGTATCTGCTATGTAGCGCATACTCAAAGTGTTACTACTAACTTGATGACATCTCACGACTTGTTGTAATCTTCCCCATGTAATAAGTAGTAAACATCTGAACCCGCACCCAACTCGTGTCCTGTTCGATTGCAATATCTGTCGAATGTATTCGCGGAGCACCCCATTTCCAAATAACTGTTTATCCGCGCGTGGTAAGGTAAGACCCCGAAGCAGGAAGCCCAGCCCAGACTCTGGGATTCTCCGATTCCGGCGCGTACAGGGCTGTGGATATTCTCTATTGTTCTTTTTCGGGCTGGAATTCGGGATGCACCTTGTCACGGGCATCTCCGATGTGTAGTGTTCATTCATTCGCACGTCGCCCTATAGGCCCACAACGCTAGCGTGCGATCTGTCCATCATGGCCTGCAACTTCCCCCGTTCAACCGACGGCCACGCGAGAAAGAAAATGGATGAGATCACATTCCCTCCCTCCCTCTCCGGACAACAAAGAGAAATTCTCTGTTTATTTGCACAAGCGATACATGTGGTGAAAATACATACGACGAGCTGTCTCAGTTAAACTTGGATTTCAATAGCGCGACAGGAAGCAAGAGAGAGGGGAGGGGGAAAAGACGAGGCAGCGATGCAAGAACTAAGGTTATGATGAGATACAGCAGACGCATCGGAGAAAGTGCATAGGATCGTGTGGGCTATTGTGCACTTCCCAGTCAACACACGCACAGGATGAAAGCAGGGAACGCACGCACACTCATTATCGTCCCCGCTCCTCATTGTCGTCGTCCATATCCTGCACCCTGCACTGGACCCTGGGGATTCTGCCAATGGGAATGTTGGGCGGCAGCAGCAGCCAGTCCAGTCAACTGCTGCCCACCGGCTTGACCCTGAGTTGGCGGCGCACCACCTCCGGGAGGATACTGGTACGACGTGGGGTTCATCATGTGCGATGGGTACATCTGGTTCTGGTCGTGCTGCTGGTGGTGCTGAGGCTGCGGCTGGTGATGAGAATACGCTGTCTGCCCAGACGAGTACTGAGCAGACGGGGGAGCTGACGGCGCATGGGCTTGTTGGGGTGATGTCGGAGAGCCTATAGATATCTGTGACGGAGGGCCCGCGTGCTGCGGGTGCTGCGACGGCCCGCCCTGTGGTGGCCCGCCCGACGGAATCGACAACGGTGGCGGTCCTGTCGTCGGATGGGGCGATGTTGCCCCACGGCTGTTTGAGGAGGAGGCGCCTGGACCGGTGGATGAGGCACTGGCGGCAGAGGAATGGCGACGGCGTTTGTCACCTGTATGCGCGGACTCGTCCTCGTCGTTCCCGTCGTCATCATCCTTGGAAGATGAGGTGTTCGCTCCGCCGCTGATCGACAGCCCACCTGGCAGGTTGTTCGCCACGGGGGGACCACCGGGCCCACCCATGGGACCAGCCCGGCCAATAGGTGGGCCGACAGGCATCGCGGAGGGAAGCGTACCATGCGGGGCGTTCAGGCATGCCTGAATAAGGTTCTTTCCCTCGGGCTGGGTGACGAGGGGCTGCAGTTTCGCGGTCGTAAACGTGTACACGAGACCCGTCTCAGACACAACGAGGAGTAGGACTTGAGTGCCGGTGAGGGTGGAGAGTTCGTATGCCTGAACGATATCAGTTGGTAATGGACGAAAAGGGAAGAAAACTTGCCTTTTTCATGATGCCTTGAATAGGAATGTGAGACCGGAACAGGACGCATTGGGCAACACATTGCACTCACCAGCTTTCCGCTTGGAGAAGGTGATATGGCGCCTCGACTTGTCCTGAATAAACTCGATCTTAATTTTGCGCCGGCCCTGCTTCTGACCGCTCTTGGGCTTGTCGTCGTCATCATCATCGTCGCCGGCAGAGTCCATGGCATCATGGTCGGCGATGAACGCGTTGTCCGAGACACCGCTCTCGATGGGCTCGGCAAGGTCGACGCGAGCGCGCTTACGCATTGGGGCAAGGGCTGGATGAGAGTCAGGAATGATCGCAGAGACCAGAAAGGGAAGGGACAGAAAAGGGAAGAGGGGCAGATGTGGAGCAGAATGCGTGGATGCAAAGGAGGAAACGACGCACCGTCAGAGAGGGTGGAAGTAGATATGAGGGGTTCGCTCGTTCCAAGAACGAGGTCGACAGCAAGTCGGTGGGGGCTGGCGGACGCTCAATACAACGGTCCTTTTCCTTTTGTGGACGACACAGCCTTGGAATTCACAACAGCTACAAATACTCAAGCTTATTCGAGGAACAATCAAAACGGTGTTGATGAAAAAGTTGTCAATAAGGGTCCCTGGGGTCCCTGGTGTTCCCATGTCAGGGAACGTTCTGTCCATCGTGACCTGGTCCCACGAGATCCGATAAGAGAAATTCTATTTCCTATTCAGAAAACATGCTATCGTCAAAAACTGGCGAGCGCCAGTCTCACTCGATCTTCCAGAGCAAGAGCGTGGTCCGTTCGTGCCAGGGCCGCGGTGATCCCTGCAACGGTAACTGCATGTGCATGGATCCAATCCTGGGAAAGAGCTCTACCCAGGTATTCGGCCGTGTCATCATCTGTAGATTGACATTCAAATGAAGAATCAAGACAAACCCAGTCACATACCACTCGGCTCCAGGACATCCGGTCCTTTCTCGCGACCAATGCGGCTGAGATGGATATCCTTACACTCAGCATCTCGGCACACACCGCCACCTGGAAGCTCGTATTGGCATATCCTCTTTCCTGGATCGAGCGTCCGGTGGGAAGTCTGTTTGAGCGGCAGCAGATTCGGCACAGATGGTATAGACGAAGAGAACGACGGGTTGGATAAAGAGAGTGTAGAGTGGCCGCCAAGGAGGGGGTATCTGGCGAGCGAGGACTCGTATTGGGTAAAGTGCTCATACTCATCACAAGCTCCGTGGCCTTCACCGGGTTTTGGAGGGATTTGCGTTGCTAACCGAGTCTGAAAGCGAAAATCTTACGTCAGGGCCCAACCTCGTCTCCGAAATACCAGCGGAACGCTAACGAACTCGGAAAACGCACCTGCGTCGATGCTGAGTTGACATCGACCGGGCGAATGGCAACTCGCCCAGGGTCCTCATCAACTGTCGACTATACAGGCAAGTGTCGGTTTAACAGCAAAAGCAGAAGAGAAAGGGTGGAAACTGGTCAGAGAGTGCCGGGCGGACGAGCGAGAAGAGTGATTCTTGCCAGTTGTGCTTGCGACGGGGTCACCATATCTGGGAGTTGCCAGTTTGGGATAAGTATGGAAGATGCGCGTCAAAGAGGATGTTGGAAGAAGCAAACAGGCGACAGATCGGAAAGGCAGGGGAAAGATTGTGCCGAATACATGCACCGAATCAGCGAGCAGTCAGAACGTGACATCAAGAGCGACGCGCCTGGGTCTTTCGTGTCTTGGAGGTCATCTAGATGGCAAGATGAGTGACGCAGAGAGCGGTCAGTAATGAACGTGCCAGCAGCAGCGTTATCTTGATACTCAACCGGAACAGTGGACGAGGATCTTGACATCTGAACAATACCGATCAGCTTCACAAACGCCGACCAGAGCAGCCTTCACGCACCTTGTTCAGCCGATTTCGTTCCCTCTGGGCAATCATCTCCCTCATCTTGCGAATCTCCTCCTCTTTTTCCACTAAAGTCATAGTGCCCGCTTGCGGTGGAACAGGTGGTGAGCCTCGGCCGGAACTAGCACTTGCCGGCATACGACCCGGACCCGGAGACGAATAACGACTCGCAACTTCAGCGTCTTCTTCGCACGCTGGCCCTGCCTCGTCATCTCCGTCGCTTTCGTCGCTGAGATCAATAACGAGTTTCCGGTGCCCGCTGATACTGGCAAAACTTGCAGTTTTCCGAATCGGGACAGGCGCCTTGGGTACGCTCCGGCCGTTGCTGTGGCCATTGCGGGGACCAACATCGAGGTCGACAAAGTCGGCAGCACTGGGTCGTTTTCCATTACGGCGCTGGCTGAAATCCTCTGGAGGTTCGGTGGTTGGAGGGCCCATCGAGTCCGTCGGTGAGGTGACAACTTGATGGCCGGCGACGTTACCTTGCATGTCCACTGGCGAATTGTTTCCTCCAAGACCAGGTATGTCATCAATTTCCATCGAATCCATCGGCTCCGTCTTAATCTCCGGCGAAAGGCTCTTCTCCCCAATAGTCTTCAGGAAGTCCTCAACGGCTTCGGTGGGGATTGTAAGCGGCATTTCAACGTCGTAATCTGCCGACGACGACGCGATTGATGAGGCGTCGGACGAGGGCTTGACTTTGCGGGTTACTTGGATGGCTTTGCGAGCAAGCAGCTCCTCGCGGCGTTGTCGTTCAATGTCGTGCAGGGTGCCATCTGTTGACTCGTCTTTCGTCGCGCATGATAAGACAGGTGGATCGGCGACGACATCGGCGGCACCCGAATAATCGACTCCAGGCTTCTGCGGTAAACTTGGATGCTGCGATCGGGCTTCAGACCGAGGTGACGAAGAGACCACTGAGAGCGGACGGGAATGGGCGGCTACGTAAGCTGGAGTATACGGAACGAGACCAGTGACATCGAGGTTTTGGGGGAGTCGCAGATTAAGCTCGCTGAATACATAGAAGATGAGTTCGCGACTGAGATTACAGTCCACCAGGTAGTCAGGAGGAACGCCCCAGCCTAAGAGGTCAAGCACGATATCCTTGGCAGTATCATACTGCGTCTGGTTCACTGCACGATACTGTATCAGAAAGCAGGAATGGGGACGATCATACACACTGTAAAGACCAGGTCGGACACGATCAGGGCCAATGATGCATGCGTCATTGAGATTTGCTTTTGTCGCTGAGGGCCGAGGCGAGTCGACTTGTGCAGAGCTTGTTATTTCTCTGGCGGTGATGGGAGCTGTTTTTGAGGCAGGGTCTTCCGAGTCACTTATTTCGCCTTCTTCGCGCGATTGACCGTCCAGTTCGACGTCAGACTTGGGTACCTTGAGCGACGCTGCCAGAGACATGTCAACGTCGGAAGATGGGGGTGGAGCAGGATCCATTTGGCCATAGTCGAGTTGAAAAGAGTTGTCAACACGTGGTGGAGGACGAGAATTGCTGGTATCAGGTTTGCGACGCTTGGTTTTCAGAGTCAAGAGAGCAGCAGCACGTAAAGACGAGGCTGGGTCGGATATACCGGGAGCTTCAGAGTTATTTGGCCTTTTGTCCGCCTCAGGAAAAGAGTCGGACATGTCGTGATAGCAAGGAAACAAGAGGAACAGGGCCAACAAACGTTGTCGAGAGCAAAAGCGGGCTGACGTAAAAGATTGTCACGTGCGACCTTCCTTGCTGCACGGACCAGCTTGATCTTATCGTTCGCGATGAAGAAGTTGACCTTGTTCGGACGGTCTGTGCTGCTGATGGGATCCCTTTCGCTAGCCAACGCTATGTGTTGGATTGCGGCAGGGATCTTGTTTGGGCGTAAATCGGAAACACAACCGATCCTGAGTCTAGCGCTCTTAGCATGGGTTCGATTGTCCCCTCTTGATCCCTCGAACGTTGAGCTCATAGGACGCATGTGCAGACTCTCGGACTTAGGCATGGTGCGACTAGGTCGCATCTCAAGCTTTGCATTGCTCACATCTGCAAGCTCTCGACGCCGATCACATTAGGTCTGTCACTATCCAGTTCTCTATGGAACGCCTTCGACGCCTTATAGTGCAATCGACAACGCGACTCGTGGACTGATCAACACCGGTCAACTTCCTATCACCTGCGGGCTTTTCTTTTCTCTAGGGCACAGCACAATTGTAATCGCCGTTGTAAGTCTGCACAGATAGCATCGTTTGAGCTGTATATCGGTCTGATTTTGATGCACAGAATGTCGCGATCGCCATTTCGACGACTATCTACAACAAACTGGATGGCATAGGCACAATTGGAGGGATAGTCGGTCGGGGCATCCGCACTTTCTCCGATCCCATTTCAACTGACACCAGGCTCGGCTGTGAGCGGCTCGTTTCTATTCATCGTCGCTCTCGCAAACTCGATCATTCTGTATCAAATTCTGAGAAGGCGCAGAGCGGTATGGGTGGCTCTAACTAACGCCTCCTACTCTCATCGAATACACTCCAGGCTAGCAAGCGTGCAGAAGAGAATCACACACCCGAAGTCGTCGAGGCACATCATGATCACATGCTTATGTTGCGTATACTGGGTCCAATCATTAACTTTGTCAACAAGCCGTGGAAGGTCTGATTTACATCTGCACGCCATTCGCAATCTTTCTAACTGCTGAGATAGATGTATCCCGTTGGAATCCTGTTTGGATTTGGTCTATATGTCGTGATCGCTGGTTTCCGCTCTCACGACTGGCTCAGGATTCGACACAGCGTCCTCCATCGCTCTGCTCGCCGTTTCTGCATTGGCTGTGAGGCAATCAGACGGAACATCAGTGCCGCGAGGATATATTGTCATTCTTCCTGTAAGTCAGCTTCAAACTTCCATGACAATGGGCCAATCTCGACATAGTTTCTCTTTACATTCGCCATGGCTCTGCTTGACTCAGCAGATTCGGTCCTGATGTTGTATTCCTATTCGGGTTTTCCTGAACATTCCTGGGCTCTTTTCGAACCCAGCGTCACAGAAAGCGAAACCGTTTCCGGCCCTCCTCGACTTGACGACAAAGCCCCTGAACCGGATGTTGCACAATTGACTCGTGACCAACGAGTGAAGATGAACGTCATGTCCAAGCTTAGCATCGTGCTGACCATAATGAGCATTCTCGTGGCATTCAGGTACCAAACCTGAATACTTCCTGAATGATTATTGAAATTGTCTCGATCTTTTACAGCATCTCGCTCATCACAATCATGGGCCTCATAGGAGACCAGTGCACCCCGTGCCAAAGGGCCGCAAATGCCCCCGATGGGGGAGGCCTTGCAGGAAAATGGTGGCGTGGTTGGGCTAATGTACGTCATTTTCTGATCAAGAGCAAAATCGACCAACTGATCTCTAGGCCAATGATAATTCTGGCTACATCGGTGCTGCGATCGTCGGCGGATTTGTTTTCCTGGTTGCGTTCTGGTATCTTGTCCGCCATCTGCGGCTGCGCGGCCAAGTGGGTACAATACAGGCAGAAGGGACGAACGGCTAGGTATCGCTTACTTACGAGTTAGAAAGGTCGGAAATACAAGATCTGTAGCATCAATCCAGCGACATGGAACGCGCTTTGACGCGTCGTGTCAACATCGCGTGACTCGCTCAATGTATCCACGTGACCAAGAAAGAGCCACCATGTCGTCAGATGAACCGTCTTACCCTGCGGACTGGGAAGCACGTTGCACGGCCAGAAAGATGGCCCAGTTGGAATCGATACCATCCGAATGGCTTATCCAGGCACCCCCCGTGTCTCAAGTGAACGTCACAGACGTCCCACGCCAATGTGGACTGTTGACCGCTTTAGAATTGGAAATCACGGAAACAACAGATGTTCCAGTCATTCTTGACAACATCCGGACTAGTCTGTGGACGTCTGTTCAAGTAACGACTGCATTCTACAAGCGAGCCGTCATTGCTCAGCAGTTGGTGTGTTCATTACTGTTGCGCGACGTCAGTTGTCATTAGGCTTATCTGTGTCAGACAAACTGCTTGACGGAAATATTCGTTGAGCGTGCGCTAGCTCGTGCAAAAGAACTGGATGAATATCTTGCCACAACCGGCCGCGTCGTCGGGCCGCTCCATGGACTGCCCATCTCCTTGAAAGGTAAGAATGATGTCAATCGTTTCTGGCTATTCTGATGCGTCTAGACCAATTCTCGATGAAGGGTCTCGAAACAATCATGGGTAGGTTCGGGAAGTCAGCAGCGGACTGTCGTTCAGCCCAGTGGCAGGATACGCGAAATGGATTGGGCGCGTCGCAGATTCTGACTGCGTTCTTGTTGAAATTCTGTACGAATGTGGAGCAGTCCCCTTTGTCCGCACGAATGTTCCCCAAACGCTTATGGTGCGCGCTGTGACTCATGCCAACAGATCTCCAACTGACTTGACGGCCAGTGGGGCGAGACGATGAATCACGTGTTTGGGCGCACCCTAAACCCGTACAATCTATCGTTTACCCCAGGCGGCTCGTCTGGGGGCGAGGGTGCTCTCGTCGCCATGAGAGGGAGCCCACTCGGTGTGGGGACTGATATCGGAGGGTTCGACCCGGTCATTCTGCTCTTCATTCGGAGAATCCCAATGCTCTCCACAGATCTTTGCGCATACCGAGTGCTTTCTGTGGACTTTATACTCTGCGACCTTCTTATGGACGGCTGCCGTATTTTGGAGCCATGAACACACTGGAGGGCCAAGAATCCATCTCATCGGTGCTCGGCCCGATGGCCAATTCGCTCTCCGGGGTTAAAGTTTTCACGAAGGCGCTTCTTGATGCACAGCCTTGGCTCAAGGATCCTCTTGTCGTCCGAAAGCCATGGAGCGAAAGCGAGTATCGGCTGGAAGGACACGGGGGCGGCCAGCAGCTTTGTTTTGCAATCATGTGGGACAATGGCGTCGTCAAACCCCATCCACCTCTCCACAGAGCGATGGGAATCGTCAAACGCGCGCTCGAAGCTGCCGGGCACCGAGGTATGTCACCGAGATCTTGATACCTGAACTGTTTTTCAATGGGCCGTAGTGATCGATTGGGAACCACACCGTCATCTCGAAATATATAAGAATGCGGTGGGTCATGCATGGCTTGTTTTCCCGAGACAGTGGTTCATCCGCGGTAGGAAATCATTTTCGCAGCAGACGGGGGACACGACTTCCGCGAGCAGTGCGAAGGGAGCGAGCCTTTGATTCAGACGATGAGTCCGATCACAGACTCGCGCGAGAAGGCTCTAGACGAGCCATTGAGCAAAGCTCTCGTTGGCACACCCTACCATCGGACGGCTTATGAGGTGAGTCCATCCTAGACCTGCTAGACGAGGGCTACGGTACCAGATCTATCAGTTATGGCAACTTCACAAGGAGAAACGAGAATTACGCAAGTCCCACCTCGACCACTGGCGTGCGACCGCGTCCAAGACGGGAACTGGCAGACCTGTCGATGCCATCATCTCCCCTGCAGTTGCGTATCCTGCCGTCCCTCACGGCCAGAATACGTTCGCTCCCCGTTCTTCTGATCCGTGCCGCTGGCTCATGCATGTTCAGGGATTCGTTCTACACCACATTGTGCAATGCTCTCGATTATGCTTGCTCGGTCTTTCCTGTGACGTTCGTTGACCCAGAGCTCGATGATCCTCATCCTCCTCACGAATTCTACAACGAGGAGGATGCCCACATCTTCAATCTCTGTGATTTCCATTCCGTTCCTTCTCCCGCACTGATCTCAACGCGTTCATTAGATGCGGCAGACATGTTCCCAGGATGTCCCATTGGGTTGCAGCTGATTGGAGGCACGCAAGAGGAGGAGGCTGTGATTGCCATGACGGAGATTGTCGATAAAGCTCTGCAGAATCTGAAGTGAAACCGAGCAGAGAAACAATAGTATCACCCAAATGTACTACTAGATATACAGTCGAACGCTGGACCCTTGCCTTTTTGATACAATGTGTAGAAAGAAAAGAGCAGTACATAGCAATGAAACAGGAAGACTAGATCCCGTCTTCGTCGTGGGCAGCTGCCTCGGCATCGGCTTCGAGCTGGGCGATGTCCTCCAGTTGCGCGGCAAGAAGCGCAAGCTGGCCCTGCAGCTCGGCTCTCGCGTGTTCCGCCAGGGAAAGCGAGACGGATTCGCTTTTGACAGGCGACATCCGTCTGGCTGCCTCGTCTTCCAGACTGAACACGGCGCCGAAGTTGATGGTCTGCAGGATTTTTTCCGCGGCCTGGTAGGCCGAATTTGGGGGGACCGATGGCTTGGGAGGCGGGACTTCGGTTGGAGGGATCGGTCGCGGAGGTTCTGTGGGCGCAGCTGCGGGCGTTGGTGCGGGTGTCGGCTGGCTCGCGGGATACGGCGACACGGGTGGCGGAGCAGGCACAAATGCTTGCGGGGAGGGTCGTGGGATGGGAGTGAACGGACTGGCGCCGTTCGGCATCCGTGCTTGTTTTTGCATCACGATCGGAGTCGCGTTATGTGTTTGTGGACGGCGAGTCGCGCGGCGGGTGGAGGACTGGGACCGCTGAGGATGACTATCGAGATCGCAAAAGAAACGGGACGCACATTCCCCCCTTCCCAGCTCGCGTTCAACCGATACCTTCCACTGGCGTTCTTTTCAAACCGGCCCCTTCTATACGCTTTTTGCAGTGCTTGACTGGCGGACGGCCGGAAGTTCGCTTGGACCGGATATCGTGCGGATATCCAATTGAATAGATCCTTCGGTGCCATGCCTTCAGGATCTGCAACAGTCGTTAGTCCCTCCACGATCATATCCTCATAGCTCGGGAGGTCTGTATCTTCCGATGCAGGTGCAGGCACAGGAATAGAGGCATCTTGCTGATGCGGGGCGGCAAAGTACGGATTAGGTGCAGGATAACCTGGCGCAGAAAGGGGAGGAGGCAATGGATACGGGTGGTGAGCTGCACTGGACGGCCCAGCGGCATATGGAAAAGAAAATGGAAGATATCCCGGTGGGAGAGGTTGGTGGTAATAAGGTGTGTGTGGATATGCGGATGCGGGCTGAGACGAGAAGTTGAAAGGTTGCAAGGACGATGTATTGGGGGTCGATGGACCTGCAACCGGTGATTTATCTGGCGGCTTCCGTTCGGTGGATGTTTGAGGAGACTGATCATCAGATGCTGCCGTAGGATGGGCTTCATTGGTAGTCGATGAAGCAGCTGGTGTTGACGAGGGAATTTTATTCGGCGCCTCTTCTGCTTTTGGTGGGTTCTGCATGGAAGCAAGAACAGCTTTGAAATCCGGCGGCCAGATATTCCTCTTCAGCGCCATGGGCACATGTATATCGAGAGCAAGGCATATCTCAATGACCTGCTGAGGAGGGAGTAAGGCGAGATACTGTCGTTTGAGACTGTGGTCTGTAATAGAGCGAGAATAAGGACGGGAGGCATGGTCATAACAAAGTTTCGAACCTTCGGGAGGTGCATTGTAAGGAAAATGGAGCTGCCCAGAGGTGTCGGCAACCATACGGTGCAGCACTGTGCTCAGAAGAGAAAGCAGGAAGCGAAACCCGGTGTTCAGAAGCATTCCGGCCATCATCAATACTTCGGCAGGATCCGACCACGATGATAAATCCCCCTCGGACCCTCTTGAATCCCAGTGCTCCGTTTAGCCTAAATATCCCAGCTACTTTCCGTCGACTCAGCATTCGGCAAAGGCATACGCAATCTTTAGATTCTATATCACCTTGTGTCTAGGTATATAAGTCGCAGGACTTAGCTCGAAGATGGAACTGCAAAACATCGTCTCCCATGCTCAAAATATCTATTGTCTCGCTCGTCGTCAGCTTCGGTTTCATATGCTCTGCATACTCAAAGACCGTTGTTGATCTCGGTTATGCCAAATACGAACCGGCGTTCGACTCTACCTCGAACCTTACAACTTTCCTGGGGATTCGCTACGCTGCTCCCCCAGTCGGTACGCTTGTCACCTTGGTTGCGTTTTCTTGCCTAGTTTGATCGAATTACAGGTGATTTGAGATGGAATGCGCCCGTTGCCCCTGCGAAGGCGAATGGAACTCAGAATGCAATCAACGCTCCTCCGCAGTGTTACCAGGGACCCTTCGCTGGTCAAGCTTCTACGAGTCTGTCTGCTCGGACGAACGACTACGCCGGGCAGTCTGAGGATTGCCTCTTTCTCAGCGTTTACACGCCGGATCTTCGACCACAGCGCCTTCTCCCGACCATCGTTTGGATCCACGGAGGAGGGTCAGTAGAAGGATTATCAACCTGCTTCGTTTTCTTGTGATTGATTGAGTCATCAGGTATTCGTGGGGCAATGAAAGCACGTACAACGGTGCTGACCTGGTGAACGAATCGGGAAGCAAATTTGTTGTCGTTACCATCCAATACCGGCTAGGGCTCTTTGGTAACGTCTTATGTCTCTGATTGATCAGGCTTATCAAGTTCGTCCACCAGGATTCCTCGCTGGGGAACAGGTCAAAAAGAGTGGGGTGCTGAATGCGGGACTTCGTACGAGCTCCCCTGGCGTTGAAACAGGCTGATGATGACAAATGCCGTATAGTCGACCAACAATTCGCTTTGCACTGGGTCCAAGATCATGTTCGTATTGTTGTTGATCTCACCGTGTTCATTGCTTACAAGGCCCTCAGATCCACAAATTCGGGTTTGTTGGAGTTTCTTGCAGATGTTTTTGTGCGCTCAACACGGTCCTAGCGGTGATCCAGCTCACGTTGTGATTTGGGGACAATCGGCTGGAGCGGGTTCGGTCATTCAGCATGTCGTGGCCAATGGTGGAAAGACGGAGCCCAAACTCTTCAAGACCGGAATCACCAGCTCGCTCTTTCTTCCCCCTCAATACGGATATGGGGATGTCATTCCCCAGGTATATGCGGCGTGTCTTTCTCAGCTGTTCCCCGGCTCACCTATGTCCCAGAGCTTGTTTGATTCAGTGGCCGGCCAAGCAGGGTGTGTTTGTCCTTTCTGCTCCGCAGTGGCGAATTCTGAAATGCGTGAATCAGATGTGCTTCGGGAGATCAGCTCGACTGCCTGCGACGAACGGATGGCGAGGTCTTGCAAGGGATCAACATAGACCTGGCTTCGGCTGCTTTTGAAGGCACTTTCACATTTCTTCCCGTTGTCGACGGATCTCTCATCACGAAGAGCCCCGCCGATGCCCTTGAACAGGGCGAAACAAACGGAGTATGGTCGAACAATCACTGCACAAATATCATCTGATCCATTCCAGGACGAATTGCTCGTCATTACAAACAGCCTCGAAGCTGCTGTGTTCGTCGACCAGACCGTTGGGTATAACATCACACAATTCACAAGAAATATGCTCCCACTTTTGGACGAGACGCAAGCAGAATCCGTTGCTGCCATCTACCATTCCGTGGGCAGCACAACAGAACAAGTCAGTTGCTCACAGCTGCCCCCCTCTTGATGCTCACGATATTCATTAGGCCACCGCCATCATGACCGAAGGCGTGTCTTTCTGACGCAGTGATCTTTCGCACCCAGCTGATCTATCGTAGCCATCTTCGTCTGCCCATCCTATCTCGCTGTGGATGCTTTCCCCGGCAACGCTTGGAAGGTCGGCCAGCATGAATCACATGCATCCTGGTGCCTAACCGTGAATTACAGGGAGAATACGCAGTCCCTCCTGCCGTGCACGGTGAAGATATATTCTACTATTTCCAGTCAATCAGCTTCGCAGGCTTCGCGCTCGCATACAACAATACTGACTTCATCACTGCGTTTCAACAAGCATTCTTCTCGTTCGCCGCCAATGGCGACCCGAGCCTGAAGTTGCAGCCCAGCATTGCTCCCTATTGGCCTCGGTGGTCAGATGGCGGGAACCAGATGGTGTTCAATCGCACAGCTCAAGCAGTGCCTCAGCTGACAACTGCCGCCCCGCCTGCAGACCTGATGCGCAGATGCGCGTAAGTGCTGTTCATGCAATTCTCATTAGCCAATTCATTGAACATCTTCAGGCTCTGGAAAGAATTGCGGAGCGCTCTAGAATAGTGTACTCTCGATCAGTTTATCCACGTACTCCGTATCACGTATACTTATAGAATAATACCACGGGTGCGACCGGAAGCTGTCTTCCGTCATAGCCGATATATGTGTCCCTAGATCTGGCTCAGAGCACGCGACGCGTCCAGCCGGCATTAAGTCACGCTGTGACTTCTACACTCTACATAGATTTCTTCCACTTCCCCGCATTCTTTCCCTTTCTTGAAGCCATCTTCGTTCCACCGAGACAGAGTCTCGGAGTATGAGAAGAGATGTCAGGGTTCTGCTCGTTGGCGACGGTCGGGCCCGTTTACGCGACCTTTCAACCACATCTCATCGCATTCACAGAGGGTGTCGGGAAAAGCACACTGGTCACCACTTTGATCAAGGAGTCCTACGTCGCCCATGTGAATAAGCGTTGCATTGTGCTCCAGTCGCGTCGTAGCTCAAATCCCGGCCCGCGCAGGTTCAGCATATCGTTCCCGAAGTGACCATCCCGCCCGAGGTCACCCCGGAGAATGTGACGACGTATATCGTGGACTCGGGAGGTGCGTGGACCCAATGGACATCATTTCCATTTCGTTTCTAATCTGTCTCGTTACTGCCGCGCAGCGGGCCCCCAGGACCGGCCTCACCTTGAGAGCGAGATTCGCAAGGCACATGTCATCTGCGTCGTGTACTCGATAGACAACGCCAATTCGTTCGACCGGATCCCTACATTCTGGCTCCCCCATTTCCGGCAATTGGGTGTCAACGTCAGTCGGTGCCGACTGGCTGGGCTGGGCTGGGCTGGGCAGGACTGACTTTCCACCAGGTACCTGTCATTCTCGTGGGCAACAAGATCGACCTGCGCGGAGATGACCCCGCAAATGAGACGCTGGCTGAGGAGATCTTGCCTATCATGAATGAGTTCAAGGTGCGTTGGTTCCCGTGCAGACCGACTGTGCTAAACGCGCAGTGAAGGAAGTCGAGACGTGCATAGAGTGCTCCGCGAAACAACCCGTGAATGTGTCAGAGGTCTTCTACTTTGCCCAGAAAGCAGTTCTGCATCCGACAGCTCCGTTATACGACTCCCGCGACCATGTGTGTGTATTGCAGACGTCGTACGCTAGACTCTGATAACGTCCAGGTCTTGAAACCTGCATGTGTCAGCGCGTTGCAGCGTATTTTCAAGCTCTGCGACCTGAATAAAGATGGGATTCTGGATGCTGCGGAGTTGAACGATTTCCAGGTCCGTGTCTGTCGCACCTCACGACGCGTCCCCGCTGATAATCTCTGCGCAGCGTAAATGCTTCGATGCGCCGCTTCAAGTCCAAGAGTTGGAAGGGATTCGGCAAATGGTTTCTGCACATACCGAAGGCGGCGTCAAGGACGGAGGTCTGACTGAACGGGGCTTCCTCTACCTACATACGACCTTCATCCAACGAGGGAGACTCGAAACGACATGGACGGTTTTACGCAAGTTTGGTTACGCTGAAGACTTGAAACTTACGGAAGGATTCCTGCTACCCAAGTTTGTCCCGAGCTCTTGAATCAGTCGAGTCTGACATGCCGCCCACGCAGATTCGATGTTCTACCGGACTGCTCGGTTGAACTGAGTCCCCTGGGTTATCAATTCTTCACTGATCTGTTCGAAACTTTCGACAAGGTGTGTCTGGTAGTCTCACTTGATGTTTCTGGCTCGAACTGGTGTAGGACCAAGATGGGGCGCTGAAGACACACGAGCTGGATGAGGTCTTCAGCACGTCTCCTGGCAATCCTTGGGCCACCCAGAAATTCCCAGACACCACCCTTTCTGATGATTCGGGAGCCGTGACTCTGCAAGGATGGCTTGCCCAGTGGAGGTGTGATCGCATCTACACAATTCTCCACTTCTCTGATGCGTGTGACAAGTATGACGACTTTGTTGGACCATAAGACGACGCTGGCTTACTTGGCTTACTTGGGCTATCCCAACGAACCACGAACTGGCGCACTTCAGGTTACACGCCCGCGGAAGACGGATCGGAGGAAAGGCAAAGTCACGCGGAATGTGTTTTTATGCTATCTCTGCGGAGCTGCTGGGTCTGGAAAAACATCTCTTCTGCGCGCGTTTGCTGGAAAACCTATATCGTCTGTCTACGAGCCTACGACAAAGGTTGTGAGCGTGGTCAATTCTGTGGCAATCGACGGATCGGAGAAATATTTGGTGGTAAGATTTGTGCGTTTGGTGGTTGCTGCCGCTGATTGTCGCCCAGCTGCAAGAATTCGGTTCCAAGTACGAGGCAGAGATGCTGCGGAACTCCAAAAAGCTGGATTTGGCGGATGTCATCGTCCATGTCTATGATTCGGGAGATACCAACTCCTTCTCTTACATTAGTAATCTTCGGGCAAGTCGTCACCGGTGCGGTTCTGTTCTGTTCCTGATCTTCTGTGCAGCAACAGTATAGTTTAGATAATATCCCCACTCTCTTCGTCGCCACCAAGTCGGACCTCGATCTGGCCCAGCAAGTGAGTGCGAGGAGTCGTGTTGGGCATATTTGCTTACGTTTTGCAGCGACACGAAGTTCAACCCGATGTCTATTGTCGACGGCTCGGCCTGCAAGTTCCTGTCGCCGTAAGCGTGAGAACGGGTCAAACAGCAGATGTCTTCCACGAAATCTGCGCAATAGCGTTGAATCCGTGCGTCGAATGATGGGATATGTGTTCCCCGGTTTCTGACAGTCGAACAGACATGGTGCTATCCCTGGTGGGCTGGATCGCGCCCGAAGTGCTACGGCCCGGCTGAGGATGTACATGGCTCTGACCGCGCTGTTCGGTGGCTGCACTGCAGGTTTGTTTATGCTTTATCGGACTCTTCGGCCTGGTCGTGGTGCGTTTCCCGGGCTTGACATACATAGTTGGATAGCATGGATTGTTAGTGGCGGGAAAAGAGACTTGTGATTGCAGGCGATATCAGATGACGCAAGTGCCAAATGGGGTAAAGGGCGTGCGGAGAACTCGTTTCTGCACAGACCACCAAGTCATTTGAGAAGCTCAGCCAGAGCCGTACGCCTGTTCACCTGCACCGGGCATTACAGCCGACATATATCTAGTCCATCGTTAATCTTCGTCTGATCCTTCTCCAAACTCAGTTCCATCGATCCGCTCTTACCCTCAACCACATTGCAAGCATGGATGCCGACATGGATTTCGACGGCCCATCTGCGCCCTCTGACGCTCCACCACCCCAGGCATACTCGAATCCGATGGGGCCGATGGATGGCGGACGCAAAATGCTGTCAGTGCCTGTCCAGTACGACAAATTGTTTCGGCTGATCTCCGCCTCCACAGTGACCTTGTCTTCATACAAGATTGCACCGGCAGCCAGGGTAGCTATATATCCTCCGCAACGAAGAATATCGAGCAGATATGCGCGCACATCTTTGAGTCCGGAAAACTGCAAGCGACGGAGGATCTGCGCGTTGGGCTGGTCGCATTTCGGGACCACCCCCCGCAAGATCACACGTACATCACGAAGAACTTCGGCTTCTCGTCGGACAGCAGCAAAGTGCAGAAGGACCTATCTGGTTTGTATGCGTCTGGCGGGGGAGATGGTCCGGAGGCTGTGACGGCTGCGATGCATGAAGCCCTGAATATGGAATGGAGAGATGACGCTAGCAAGATGATCGTGCTCATTGCCGATGCACCCCCGCATGGGATCGGTGAATACGGGGATGGTGCGTCCAGTTCAGCGACACATCTTCATGATCTGAGCAGGATCGCAGGTTTCGATGAAGGCTCGCCTGATAACAACGATCCGCTGCAGCTCGCTCGAGTCATGGCCAGCCGGGGCATCACTTTGGTTTGCAGATTCTCCGCATTCAGGCTCCTGCTCATGGACCGATCAGTTCTTCGTGGCCTGTGAACCTGCCTTGAGCGGGTATTCGGTGGGTTGGCTCAGCCATGCCATGCCTGCAACCAGAGTGCTGATCCACTTTCAGTACGCTACTGATTTCTATCGAGCCATCACTAATATCACGTCTGGTCTCATGCTCCCTCTCACAACCGCTGACCTGCTGGCCCATGCCATCGTTGGGAGCGTCTTGGAGAATCTGGACATGGACCGACTGGTGCGCGAAGTTGGCAATGCGGTCGCACAACGGATTCTCGGGAACAACGAAAGTGTGGATGATGTTGCCCGCGAACTGCACGAAAAGCTACTTCTGCGAAACGAGAGCACGAAGAAGGTGGTCATCGAGAGCATCTACAAGGATTCAGAAGAGTCCAAGCATAACGTGCAAGTGTACATGCATGCGCCGTCGCTAGCGGAGGCGAGGCCTCAGTTGAAACGGGTATGTTACCCGGACTTGGACGCGATCTTTTTGACTATCTTGATGAACGCCTAGGTCAACGGAACTCGTTTCACGGATAAGTATCTCGAGTCTCGGTCGACGGCGCGAACATCCTATGGGACAAGCCACTCGTATCCATTTGCGCCAGCGACACCTCCTCGGTCGCCGATCAAGGCAGCACCCTCTTCATCGCCCAAACTTGCAACTGGCTCGCCGCCCCGCAAGGTCGTCACCGACTTTGCCGCATTCGGAGCCCCGGCCAATGCCAGTGTGTTTGGCACGGCAGTAGCGTCAACACCGTTCTCCCTTGCTGGTGGTAAGGCAGCGTTTGGGGGGATACGGGCAGGAGGTGTCCGGGGTGGTATGATCGACGAGGACGAGGACGACGAGGATCACGGGCGACAGAAAGTCGAGTTGCGAGAAGACTCGATATCCTTGGACCAGGTATATCTTGCTTCTTCTCGGCTATTTGGTTTTGCTCATCAGCTCTAGGCCCGCCGCATTGCCATGCAAAGCGCCTGGAGAAGTGCCAGGGTGTAGGAGAATCATCTATCATTTCCGGTCTTGTTTTTGTTCATCCAATATGTATATTCAGAATACCTGCATGTCAACCGTTTATGAGAGTACCTAGTACCAGCATACACCAACACTTGTTCTAGTGTAAAAAAAAGTATACCTCGAATATTGCACAAACTGCTCAGTCATCTTTCCGCCGTCTCCGCCTCTCCTCTTTCTTGTCCGGGACGACAGTTTGCTGTGCTCCGATGTCTTCTCGTTTTCGCTTGCGTGGTACTCGCTCTGCATCCTGCTTCGACGACTCTGCACCAGATGAAGAACGCTCTCGTTTCCTCTCCTGCTTCTCTTCAACGTTGACATCCTCTGTCGACCAGCCTGGGTTCGTGATTCCGGCTCCCTCGTCCTCCTTCCTCCTACGCGATTCTTTCTTCTCCTTCTTCAATCGGCGCAACTCCTTCCTTTCCTTCTTCTGCCTCCTCAGCTCCTTCCTTTCCCGTTTTTCCTGCCGCATCCGCTTCCGCTCACGCTTGTCCGAGTCGTCCTTCGCATCCGCGTCGGACGACGTCGATTTCCGTCTGCGCTTCTTGCTCGGCCGCGCGTCGCTGGGTTCCGCGACCGGCGCGGCGGGCTGCTGGGCAGGATCGTCGGAGTCCGGGGCTACGATGGGCCCGCGGAAGAACCTGGAGTACAGCCCGCGCTTGGCGGCATCGCGCTTGGCTTGGGCCAGCAGGCTCAGGCGCGCGTGAGCCGAGTCGACATCGGGTGTGGAGGTTCCAGAGGTGTCTGCGCTCGTGCCGACGATCGGTCGGCGGTTCGAGAGGATACCTGTGCTCGTGCGCTTTAGATCGGCATTGGAGGTGTCGTCGAGGTCGGAATCGTTCGTATCCTGAGTGGACACACAATGTATCAGCTGTGAAGTTCGACATGAAGCAGCCAGACGACGTTACACTGTCGGCTCCGGATAGCTTGATCTGGATGGCCTTGGAGGCGGCCGAGAAGAGGCTGCGGGGCGGGTATGTGAACCTGTCAAACGAAGACCAGGAGAACAGACGCACTGGTCCCAGAACGGAAACGCTTCGTCGCGGTCCTTGCCCAGGCCGGCGAGATTTTTCTTCTGGGGGATGGCAAGAGGCCGGCTGATAGCGCCGTCACGGAGCCCTGTGCCGCTCCCAGTCCATCCTTGAGCGACGAGATAAGAGTGGCCGTCGAGAGGCATCGAGGGAGAGAAGAAGCGGCAGCTTTGATGGAGAGAAATTATTAGATTTTAGGGTTAGGCTCATAGCACTGCATTGCATTGCTACATGTCCTCTTCGCACCGTCGCGGGGGTTCTCGGTGCAGCCCATTCTAATGTCATGTCCAGTATTTCTCTCACTCTCAAATGCCCTCTATTCGGGAAAATATAGTTTCCCTAATTTGAGGATTTTCGACTCGAATTCCTCCTTCGATAACGCCACAGTGATAATTGGCAGAATTAGGATGCTCAGTCCAAGTTGCACACCTCACATGGATGAGTCTGGCTGGACGGTGTCTTACGCGAATGTCGTCCAAAGTGGGTCCATAGGGGGATGATTTGACGTCATAAAGAGTTGATGGAAATGTGCTTACACTGCTCTGAACATGCTACTCGAGTGCTACTGCAACTATGGCGGCGCGGGGAAGTGGCTGAGCTGCACCGCTTGACCGGTGAGGGTGAAATCATGGGTCAGACTCTCAGGCACATCGACGCTGAGGCTGTAGCGGCCGGGATACAACCAGAGATTACCACTGTCGTCGGTGCGGGCGATGCTGCCCAGGGTCACACCGATCGACGTAGCGACCGTCCACCCTGCCTTGAGCGCAGCCACGCGCGAATAACCGATCAGCGATTTGTTCGGGAACGGCGCTGGTCCTGCCGTCGTCTTCACAAACATCAGAGCGACAAAGTCCGAGACCGTGCTCCCGGCGTTGTGCACGTTGACTTTGAACGTATCGAAGACCGCCAGATCGGGGTGTGCGGCGGATCCGGCCTTCTTCAGCAGATTCGAGATCGAGTAACTCGCGACCGGGGTCGTCTGCCAATGGACCGAGAACGTCGTGTAATGCAGCCCAAAGCCAAACTCGAAGACGGGGGAGCCAGTGTACCATTGGTATGTCCGCCCTGGGTTCCCCGAGGTCTTGTTCGGTCGCAGGTTCATGTCGGTGATCGGGACCTGGTCGATGAAGGCGGCGGGATATTGCGTCACCGGCAAACGACCAGCAGGAGCAACCTTCCCGCTGATGATGTCGAAAATAGCCGCTCCTCCGCTCTGGCCGGGGTATCCCGCCCAGAGAATGGCCCCGACCTGTAATTTATTCGATTGGGAGCACTCGCAAGGGAGGTCATGTCACTTACACCTGCGTTGGAAAGCAGTGACGAATCGTCGATCTGACCTGCACCGCACTGCACCACGACGAGAGGCTTGCCGACAGCCGAGAGTTTTTGGATCAGCTCAAGCTGAACGCCAGTCCAGACGATGGTCTTTCTGTCAAGAGCTTCTCCCTCAACAGTAGCATCTGTAGATAGGGTCAGGTGTCGATTTCCCAAATAAACATAACGAACACACCAATGCCACCAACAAAGACAACGACGTCGGCAGCATGAGCAGCAGCAATCGCGTCGGCAAACCCAGATGTAGACGTATCCAGAACATCCGCCATGCCGGGAACATAAATGACTTGGTATCCAGCTGCGCTGGCTCCCATGATGGGCGTAATCAGGAAAGGCGCGATGCCAAAGTAGCTGCCTTGCATCTGAGTGGTAGCATTGGCCCATGGGCCGATGACTGCCATCTTCTTCAGATTTTTCTTCAGCGGAAGCGTGCCATCGTTTTTGAGCAAGACTAGTCCCTCCGCCGCTGCGACGTATGCCAATTTCTGGGCAGAGGGAGTGTTCACTTCATCCCATGTGATCTGCCGATACGGCTGTTGGGTAGGTGGATCGAAGTACCCCAGACTGCGGAGGGATCAGAATGGCACACACCCGCGACGGCTGGACATCACTCACCGGACGAGAGACGAGTACAACCGCGCGACGGCATTCTCGACATCAGCACGCTCTGCCAAGCCTTGGTCGATGGCCGCCTGGAGATAGAGAGAGAAGGTCGTCCCACAGTTGACGTTTGTGCCCGCCTTGATAGCCGCGGCAGCTGCAGCGGGGTAGGAGTCGGTATAGCCGTGGGCATCGAAGATGTTGGCGACGGCATCACAGTCACTGGCAATCCAGCTGTTGTTGCTGAAGCCATAGGAACCGACCAGCACGTCCTGGAGCAGGTACGGGCTGGCGCATGCGGGCACTCCATTCACTCTGTCACGTCGAGTTGTCTGCTGTTCTTACGTAAATGGAGAGCATACAACTCACGCGTTGTATGAGCACATGACCGCATTGACCCGGGCATCACGGACACAAGTCTGGAAGGGGCGCATGAAGTACTCGCTCAGTTCTTGTGTGGTGATGATAGCATCGAATGCGAGCCGGTTCGTCTCAATATCATCTGCGCGCCATGAGGAAATGCACGAGGAAAGACGGAAGCGGACTCACACCCAGCCCAATGCTTGCAGACTGCCGTGTTTTTGATGTACGGTTTTGGATCAATCCCACCCTGGAAGCCGTCGATGTACTGGTACACGTACTGTGCCGCACGGAACGCATCCTCTCCGGGCGTCTCCGGGCCCCGGCCCCACCGTGGATCACGCCACGGGTTTATGTTTGGCGCAAACCAATCCAGCCCAGTCCGCGCCGCATTAGAAAACGCACGCGCTTCAGTGCTGATGGTCGAAGCGACAGTTTTGATGAGCTGGAATAGAGTGAGGTCACGCAGAGGCGAATGTGCGATGGAAACTCACAGCATCGTCGAATGCAGCACTCATGACGATAGGCTGCGGAAACTGCGTCTCATGGCGTCAGAAGCCGTGCGATGCAGACAACGCGACAGATCGCCACTCACCGAAGTCGCGTAGCTGAAATTCCCGCTAGCAGCAAAGTCGACGCCATGGATCGTCGAAAGACCGTGCAGCGCTTCGCTCCACCAGTCGTAGCTGGGTATTCCCAGCCGTGCCACGCCCGGAGCCATATGCACCGTGTTGTTGATGAGCTCTGTCGTGGTCATAGCCGCGACAAGTCCTCGGGCTCGCGTGATAGGGTCTTTCGAGGTGTCGCATACGGCGTTCTTAGCCAGCGGCCCATGCACGCAGTCGGGAAAACCCTGCCCGCGGGCAAGAGCCTGCAGCGCGGCGAGAAGTGTGAGTAGCAGAAACATGCGCGCGCACAACAGCAAAAGCTGTATCCCATGATCTTATAAGTGCACGCTGGGGTTTCCTCGGAGCCACAGGCGTTCTGAGTCCCGAGATGGGGTTCGCCGGGTCCCAGAAGCGTCTGAAAGAAGGGGCGGAGGCAGTCGGACCGACAGAGGAGAGCTGAGCAAGGTCAGATGAGCCGTACGCGCGACGTTCGACACCCCATCGATCAGAAATTTCAGGTTCTCCTCCCAGGTCCATCTCGAAGATCCACTGACGTTTGCCTCGTAGGAGTCCGAATGACAAGACGTGCCGAGACAACTACGGCACTTCTGTCCGAATAGTCAGCTCTATAATACTTCAAGTGTCGGCATTGGGATGAACACTGCGGCGCTTCGTGATACATATGTCACTGACTGCGCTCTTGTAAAAGCATACCCGTGCACGTGCAAGTGTCGCTGAATCGCAGTGACACCCACTGTCAAACAATTGATCAATGATTGACAGTCTGTCAAATTCTCACACAAAGCGAAGATTTTCGTAACTCATCTTGGGGGACTTTCAAGGCAACATGCACAGGTCATCGTCACCGAGTGGACTCTGGACGTAGCTGACCTCTTTTTCCAGGCCCCGGAATGTCTGTTCTAGACCTCCAGGGCTTGCTTAACTCTCGAACCTGGTCATGACACATTTCAAAGTCGTAACTTTTGTCACGTTTCACGACCCCGTGATGTGATCCCTCGCGTGGAGTGCGTTTACGCGTGATTAGAGGCTGGTTCGATGCGGGCTTTCCATCCCATCTTGGTTTCTCGTGAATACCCGACCCGTGTGCTTCTCAAGCTCCCCGGATTCTCGCTTAGTGTGTTCACGAGCGAGTCCAGCATTATGATGCTGTAGTCGCAAACTACTCGCTGCTGTTTGCCCGGCGCTGAAACGGATGATGACGTGATGATGGCTGGAATCGAAGCCCTCTCTGCTTTCTTCCACACCTACTTCCAACTGAACGGTCCCGCTCTTTCCTTCTAGCGGACGACTGTGCGACCATGGCCCTGGGTCCCGCCGAGGTCGCTCATGGTCCGATGTTCATTGGACTCTTCCTGAACGTTCTCCTTTTCGGTGCGCGAGACCAACTTGACCGACGCGCTGCTCGCGAGCGTATTCTGACCAGTGATCCGCAGGTATGGTCATCCTGCAGACACACACGTACTTCACGACGGTATGGCGGAAGTCAGTGGTCGCCCAGTTGCACATGCGTTTGAGACCAAACCATGTAATCTGTCTACTCGCAGAGACTCTCGCTGGATCCACTCTTTCGTCCTTCTTGTCCTGCTCCTGGATACCTTGAACACCTTTTTCGACTTTGCGTATCTCTACATGGCGCTTGTCGTTCATTTCGGTGAAGGTAATCGTAGCTCTGCGGTCTCCCGAGTGCTCAATTATTGTCAGGCGACCTGCAATACCTGCAATCCGCAACTTGGCGTGTGTTTCTACGTGGTGCGAGTATGCTTTGTCGCTGAATCACGCTGTCTGCAGTCTTCATGACAGGTAGAGTCTCGTACTCATATACTGCCTGATTATATGCATTCATATCTCGCAGACCCTATAATGACGGTATGCTGTGCTCGCGGCCTAGGGTTACTGTCAAATCCAGTCTTTACAGGCCAGCATTGCGTGCCTCGTTCAGATCTTCATGGGATGGAGGGTGTATCTGCCGACGAGGAATATCGTCTGGTGCGGTGTTGTGATCACCGTGATGGCACTCGCTGGTCTTGGTTAGCATTTGCCCCAATCCCTGTTCGGAAGCTCTTGCTCACCGATTTTAGCGGGAGGGCTGGGTGCGGTGGAATTGCTGACGTCGAGTCCGTGGACTGACTGTGCTTCTGCACCGGACAGCAACTGCTGTCGAGGGATTGCGCAGACCCCAGTTTCAACAGTTCCAAGCTGCTAAAGTCAGTCGGCGACAATTTCCGCAGACGCTTGGTACCTTACGAGTGTCTCAGCCCTACGTGATCACCTGGCTCGCGTGCGAGGTTGTGGCGGATATCTTGATAGCAAGCATCCTCGTCGTCCAACTGTAGGTCCCCCGGCTCGCTGACATGGAGCGCACTGATCTCCTTGCCAGAGTAGGAATTCCGACCGTGCCGCGGGACTTGCAAATGAAGTGATTCACAGAGGCAACGTCGCACAGGATTTGCGAGAACCGATGCTGTTGTGGACCACATCGTCACCAGTGCGTGTGCAGCTTCAATCAAAATGAAGGCAGTTAACTAACTGTGTCTGCCGGACAGTGTCGATACAAACCGGATCGATCACCTGCCTGTTTGCTGTCTTGGACCTCAGCTTTTATCTCGCTACTGTGAGATCGGATTCATTCTTGGATTCCATAGTTGACTGATGGGCCTGCGCCAGAGCTCAGGAATGTGAGATTGCTTCCTTGTATGCGTTTGCGACAAAGTCCCGAATTGCAGTCACCTGGCCTTCAACTTTCCGCTTTGCAAGCTGTATACCAACACTTTGTTGAGCAGCCTCAATAGCCGGTAACGGATGGTGGCTGTCATATGCTGTTTGTCGTAACCGATTCTGTTGCAGAAGAGGTTGGGGATATGACGAAGAGGACGGCAACACCGGCAGGACTGAGGAGAGCGCTCTGGTCGACCAGGATATCAGATTTGTCGGTCTCCAAAAGGTGAGTAGCCATCTTTCTGTCTGTTCAGAGCGTCATAAGTCAAACCCGATGCAGAAACCAGTGCCACCTCCGCGAGATTCCTTCGTGCCTGTGATCGATGTTGAGATATTGGCTCTCTTGAATAACGAACCAGGCAACGAGGCGGATTTGACAAACACCTTGGTTGGTTCGCATCACACAGAGTCGAGTCAAAAGATAATGGAGTGAGCAAACGCGCATGTACACAAATACAACAACAACAACAACAACAACAAGGAGCGGATAGGCATAGTACAGGGACAGGCATAGGCATAGGCATATAGGCATAAACATAATAACAGAACTTCAGAGAGATAACGAACCAGTCCGAGCCCAGTTGTGTAATCGCTGATTAGCAGCGATGTTGCCATTGAAATAGGCATAAACGAGCAGGCCCCAGGCGGCAAGCAGGATGTTCGTCACTACAGCCTCCCAGTCGATGGTGACGGCGGCCAGACGCCGCTTTGACCTCCGCAGGTGGGCGATGAGTGTCGTATCGGTCTCGAGGCACTGGTAAACGAGGTCGAGCCAGCGCGCACAGATCACGTAGAGGACAGTGACGGTCGCAAGAATGGCGTGACGCGTTTGTCGCTGTATCAAGGTGGTCTGCGATACAAATGGTTCTGGAGAGCAGGTGTCACGAAACTAGAGTCGAGTTCCGAGCCATACACATACCTATGACTTTGATGCACCCGTCTTGTTCCTCCGACAAAACACGCAGGGCCACCGGCGAAAGGTAGTTCACGTGCGTTGGCTCAACGGGTTTCCATCGTAGAGGATCGACCGGCTGCCAACTCGTGACTAGAGTCGGCGGTGTGAAAAGCAGAACTTACCGTGCAGGTTTCCAGACCCCAGGCACCCTTCACCAAGTTGACGTCCAGGCCACCCCGAGGACACAGTGGAAAATCAGCGGTCATGTCTGGAGGCGCACCGTCGTACACTTGATACAAGTGAGAGTAGAAATGGACGCGGATGTGTCTGTGATTCGATCAGCAAGAGACGGAGTGTTGACAGAGGAAACGGCTTGTGCCCGGGTGCTGGCTTCCTCGGAACGCGCTGGATGACGAGCTGGAACTCCCGCTCTGCGTAACGAGCGGTTTCGGAGGCATGCTCTTGAGGGGACTTGACGAGTACGTTGCCCATCGTAGGGAGAGGAGAGAATCTGCGGAGCAGAACTAGGTAAACACCTTGGGCGTGAGAAGGCGTGGTTTATATAGCGTCGCGACCAGGCGTGATTTGGAGACGAATACAAGGTCGTGCAGTATGTCCGGATCGAGAAGAAAGCCAGTACACGAGAATGCCTCATTCCAGCAGAAAAAAACTCCAAGCGGGCCGGAATACAAGGGGTGCCGCGAAGAAAGTACAAAGGCAGAAGTACAAGGGGTTTGATGGCAGATGGCGGGAGGCTCGCAGAGTCGAGCGCGAGGTCTTGGGCGCGGTGGGACGCTTGGGGTCGATTCCTGAGTGTATCTACATCGGAAATGGCTGGTTTGCGAGGTGGTGACGGCTATTTTCAAGTGGCAAGTTCGTCCTATTGTTCGATGCACGCCAAATGGGGTAAGTGCCACGTTTAGCACGCGTGACGTCATATGACGCCGGCATCCTCATCTGATCATCACAACAGGTGCTTGCATCGGCTCAGACGTACTTACTACTTCACCTCGAATGGCTTCCTCGACGAGCTCTCCCACATCTGCCATGTCCTTGGAATGTGATGCACCGTGTCCGGTATCAGAAGGCGAGCATCCGGGTTCGGCATCACTGGCTCTGGTTTACGACGATCACGTCTGCAGCGATCTTCAACGATCTCGTCCATTATTTCAAGTACGCGTGCTCGGCATACATCCCGGTGTGTCCCCGGCCAAATGGACAGAACCTCGTTCTGGAAGTATGCTTTCCGTCAACATCTATACCGTGATGGACCGACCCTGTCGTCAGTTTGGCAACTTTATTACCGACATCCAAGGGTTCATCGCACGCGATGACGAGCGCAAGGAGTTTGTTGTCGCATTGAGAGGAAGGTGGGTCGGCGGATGAACGTTTACTGTACAGAGACCCAGTGGGGCCAGTGCATCTGTTACGGACGCATTGCTCGACATGAATATCTTGCTGGTGCCGTTCTTGACTCCTGGTGTCCAACTGCCTTGTGCGTCTACTCTTGAAGGTCCCAGGCTGCTATTTATGAGGCTAACACAGCCAAAGCCCGCGTTCATGCTGGATTCTTGGCTGCGTACGCTTCCCACCTTGCGTGTCCTGTGGTCATTGTCGGAGCGAGCGTATAGATGGGACTCGGTCGCGACGCAAATCACCGCCACTCTAACTGCCCAGCGCATGGTACACTCCGGCTACCGGCTCGTGACTGTTGGACACTCAATGGGCGGTGCACTGGCCACTCTCGCCGCCGTCTCGCTTCTCCAGCTCTTCCCGGCGTCGCCGATGTTGGACCAAACGCGCACTTACTCTTACGGTGCCCCTCGTGTCGGAGTCTGTCTCGTTCCGCAGCCGTCAAGTCTAAGCTGAATCGCTCGACTAGAACGAGGCTTTTGCCCACCACGTTAACACGCAGCTGGGTCACAGAGCATTTCGAGGTAATATCGATTGGCTCTTCTGGTCTGCGCTCCAGGCTCAAGTTTACCTACTCAGTGGTCCATGCTGATGACGGGTATGCTCTAAAGTTATCCTGTCCTGTCTTCCACGAATCTTCATAGCGTTCCGACGATGATCCCGGTTTCTCTCGGATATCATCACCACGGGATCGAATACTGGCAGCAGCGCGACCCGCCGTCACACTTGAACACGGTCCAGTGCTCTGCGAGTGGTGAGGACGTCTTTTGTTCTGCGAGTATACCATCAAAGGGCATCACACTCGCGCATGCCACGGTGATTATCCTCGCCCCCCCTGCCTGAGAACGTCCTGACCAGTGCTCACTTGCTGTCAGTATCTCGGTATCAGTATCGGCACCTCCTTCTGTTTTTGAGCACATTGCAGTACATAATTTTAATCCATCTGTATGAGACTCAATGACCATGAAACACCAACTTGGGATACTTTCCGGTTGTCCGGATCGGGTGTGGGAGCAAGTTCTGATTGGAAACCGCTTGCGTCCACGCCATCAGTTCGCATCTTTGTCCGTCGTATTTAACACTATCGGGACCGTTTATCATGGGCTCGTGGCCCATGTCTGTGGAGAGAAACAAAAAATCAAACGCAAGGGAAGGAGAAAAATCAAAGGAAAAGGGAGAGTATATTATGATTTAGATTTGAAGATGGGACTGTCGGAACAAATAATCTTCCCTGTTGTGGGCCGTACAGGCTGTATTGCGAGAGTGGCTCAAGGTCGGCAACTTTGAAAACACCTGATGTCGGAATTGATGCGATGCCCCGAGTCTATTCGGGGCAATATCCTCATTTGGGCTAAGGTCCAGCCAATGAGAATCAAACAATTCTCGCAACAGGCGGGTCGGAAGATGCCGCCTCCGAAAGCACCCGTGATTGCCCTCTTCGGGTGATGACGACGTCATCCCGTGTGGCATTGATCACTGTTAGAGTTCGAATCCTGGAATGACTTGTGCCTCGGGGGTTCCCAAGAACCCCCGTGGCAGAATTGTATATGTTTTACTTTTTTTATACCACGATCTTTGCATAAGGCTGATGCGTTTGGATCCAGCTGCGGAAGGTGCTGATGATCACACCAATTGGCATAAGTAATCATAAGTAATTGGTGATTATGTATGAGTACTTAGCGTACTACCGCTCACCTGCTAATTAATGAAACGATTCAAAATAATACAATTCTGCGTTTGTACAGTTTCTAACGATCTGTACCAAAAGGCCCAAGTAATCTGAGTTGTGCGAAATTTACAACTGCTCGGACTCGAACGTCCGAGCTTCCTGCGTGACTGCCGAGATGCCGAATACACAGCCACATAGTCTATGTCCATATCGGGTACTTGCGCCCCACAGACATGACACACGAGCCTTATCATGACTCGCAATACTATCCTTTGCAACTTCCTACTCGAAACAGCGCCATGTCTATCGGAGCGTGGACTTACGCAGCGGAAGCTGCACCGTGCTTGATCGTCTTCATGATTCTGGCTTACCGAGGCATGTCTGCGTTACCATCGCCGCCATTCCTCCCAGCAGTGCCCTTTCTGCGCGCGTTCCAGACCGTTTTCACACCTTTCATCGGATTGGAGGAGGCAGAGGGACTGAAGGACCCGTTGAGCGCGTCGCAGGCTCTCGCCCCGCCCGCTCGTCGCACGCTCAAGACCAAGCCGTACGTGCTGACCTTCCTGCTCGTTTTCGTCGGCCTCGTGCAATGCCTGGCGTGGAACATGCTCGGCACCTATCGCCTGGTCACTGGGGCTCTCCCTCATCTCATCTGGCACGATATCCTCCTGGCCGATTTCGGCAGCGCATTCTGCTGGTTGTACACATGTGTGCGCGCCGGGCGCCGCGTCCTCACGACGGTGCCTTACGATCTCCTGGCTGTCTACCCCCTGATATTGCTATCCGCCTTCGCTCGACTGCGGCTCAGTCACGGTGGGATCCTGAGCGTCGGGACGTTGAGCTTGGCCGGGGAGGTGGGGATGGCGTTCGTTGGGATGTGCGCTGTCGTAGCGCTGCCTCTGGCGACGCCTTCTGGACGGGTTCCCGACGAGAAGATTGTGCGTCTGGAGGCAATCTTGCTTTGCTCGACGTTCCAGCTGATTCGACCAGGGTCAGGTCATTTCCCCGGAGGATTATGCATCTCTGTTTAGCCGCATAACGTATGTAGATGCCTCGATGACCCTTCCCCACTGCTCACCCGTCGTGCAGTCTGAATTGGGTCTCCCCACTGATCCAGCGGGTAGCTCTACAAAGTTAGCTTTTTGCTACTTGGCGTTTAACTCTCTCCGGCAGGGGAAACAAGGAAGACTGGAAGAAATAGACGTCTGGAAGCTCAGTCCCACTATGCAGAGCGGCGTCCTGTTCAGCAAGTTCAAGACTTTATCGAGCGAGGCTTCCCTCATATACCGACTCTGGCAGGCGAACTCGTTGGATCTCATGTGAGCTCGATGGTCGGCTAGTCCGAGGCCATTTCTTATCACACTACAGGATGGATCTGCTGGGAACATTGGCTGCGGTCGCATCGACGTATGGCGGCCCGTTCTTCATGAAGTAACTCCTGCTGCCTCCGCGTTCCTCCGGGTCTTACAACAGCCCCACCAGCCGCTTGTTGAACTCGATCGATACCGATCAGTCCAAATCAGAGGCGTACCAAAATGCGCTGATGATGTTCCTCAGTTTTTTGCTCAAAGTGAGTGTCATCCAATATAATATAATCGGTCAGGCATGACAATCTGCTAGGCAGTATTTGACGCGCAACACTTGTGTAAGAGGATGCTATTCATTCTGGGTGTGTGCAAGATTGAACTCTTTGCAGGGTTTGGCCAGCATGCAGCGATGCGGATCCGGTCCGAACTCATGTCGGCGATCTACGAAAAGTCGTTGAAGCGACAGGACCTCAGCGGCACCGTCAATGCCAAGGACGGTAGCGCCGGCGCCGACACGGGAAAGATCGTGAATCTCATGTCGGGAGACGCCGAGAACGTAGCGAACGTAGTGAGCTCGATGCACAACGTCTACGGTGCTCCTTTCGAGTTCATCCTCGGGTTCGGCCTGCTCTATCAAATCTTGGTGAGTTTGAAGCACGCGTTTCAACGATGATGGCTTATGATATGTGGCAGGGAGTGAGCGCATTCTCTGGATTCCTTGCATCGTTCATTGGGATGCCGCTGAACGGCTATCTTACAAACCGGCACGCTTGGATCAACCGTGGACTGGCGGAGGCCAAAGACAAGCGGATGGGACAAGTGAATGAGCTGCTCGCATCGGTGAGAGCGTTGGGATTACCGTGATCGGGTGTTGTTCGATCAGTTCCATTTACCATCGGACAGATCAAGTTGATCAAGTTTTTCGCCTGGGAGGAGATGTGGCTGAAGAGGGCCATGGAAGCCCGCAATGAGGAGATGGTTTGGAGGCGACGGGGTGCGTTTTTTCCTCTTTGGCTGACGAGCCGTTCTTTGTTGATTGATTTTTGCCGTACTCAGGTCGCATGAACAATGTGCTGTATCATTAGTGTGTACGCGCTTCTGTGGAGGCGACAGTCTGGCTCAAAGAGCACCAGCGTTTGGTCCATCCCCCCTGCACTGATCTCCATCATCTCTTTCACGACCTACGTTGCACTGGGTAACACATTGACCATTGCCAAGGCCTTCACCGTGAGGAATTTCTCCGACTGCTGGCTTCTCTCTGAACACGTTGCTTCAGGCTCTGCAATTGTTCACCATGATTCAGTAAGTGATCTCACTCTGTTTTAACTAGTGCACCACTGACATGTCGCACAGATCACCCTTGAACGGTGCGAGCGGATTCTTGAGAACACGCACAAACACGTGACCGTTTGATCAGCCGCACCATACTATTTCGTAGAGATGATTCAGGCTCGGATTGCCATCAACCGCATCGCAACCTTCCTGGAGGAACCAGAAGTCACATCGCAGGTCTCTAGTCTCAAAGCCGAAGATCCTGACGTGGTGGATCACGGCGGAAAACTCGGATTATTTGAAGCATCCTTCCGGTGGAACGGTATCCCGAGGGAGGTTCTTGATTCATTCGAATTGGACAAACTATCGGTCGTGTTTCCTGAGGGGGTATTGAGCGTCATCACGGGACCGACTGCCAGGCACGTGTTTCTGCACTCCAGCTACGCTTGAATTGATCGCAAGGTGTGCAGCGGGAAGACGGCCCTCCTCGTAAGTTGCCTGGGTCTATATCACTGATTCACGAGACTAACGGCTGATTCAATCAGATGGCCTTGCTGGGGGAAATGACTCTTCTCCCCGGTGGTCACATCATTCTGAACAAGGACCCAGCCCGATTTGACCGGCACGGGAATGCACATGCGATATCCTATGTCGCACAGATCCCTTGGCTCGAAAATGCGTCCATCCGGAATAATATCCTGTTCGGGACTCCAATGGACGAGGAGCGATATCGCCGGGTCCTGTTCTCCTGTGCGCTCCTTCCTGATCTGGAAGTCCTCGAGGACGGGGATGAGACGGAAATCGGCGCAAAGGGCGTGTCTCTTTCAGGCGGCCAGAAAGCCAGGTATGTCGTTAGATGTTCTGTCTTCTTTCATGTAGTTGATTATGTCTTGACAGGGTCGCACTCGCCCGAGCTGTCTACGCTAGAACTAAATATGTCTTGCTTGACGATCCGTTGAGTGCTGTTGTAAGCCGGTTTGGGCAGTATACTGTGCAGGAAGGAGTGCTGATCTGCCGTGCAGGACAGCCACACAGGACGCTTTCTCTATGACCAGTCCGTGCTTGCGGTTACTGTGCTGAAACGAACGCTTACACGTTCGCAGTCTTCTTCGAGGTCCACTTCTTTCGAACAGAACTGTTGTTCTGGTCACTCACCATGTGCCACTGGTCTTGCCTTGTGCGTGCACCCCAAAGTTGGATTCGTTGGCTGATCTTGCTCCCCAGGCGCTAAATATGTGGTGCAGATGAAGGACGGCCGCATCGACTGCCAGGGAACCGTCCAGGATCTACGTTCTCGAGGCCTTCTTGAGCATATCATCGAAGACGCTCTGCAGGAAGGGACATCACGCATAGCACCGGACGATGAGAAGGAAGAAGACAAGGAAGCAGACAAGCCGGAGATCAAGATTGCCCGGAAACTCGTTGAGGAGGAGCGCCGGGTCACAGGCCGGCTCCAGTTTTCTGTATACCAGGAATATGCCAGCGCCGTTGGTGTCCTGTTCTGGACAACGTCCCTCGTTTTCGTATTCGCCTCACAACTGATCGGCTTGGGCGAGAGGGTCTGGATCAAGTTCTGGGGCGAAGCTTACCAAAGCAGGATGTGCGTGGTTCATCATTGGCGTACCGACTCTTTTCTTTTTTCTGTTACTGACGAGACTAGCGCCCTCGACCGACCGCTCTTTTATGTTGCCGTGTACACCGGAATCAAACTTTTCGGGGTTTTGGTGAGGATTGTTTCGGCTCTGGTGGAGCATTTCGGTGCTTTGAATGCGGCCCGAAAGTTGTATGAGTGAGTGCAACTTTTTGCCAGCGGAATCTGTTCTCGCTGAGAATTGATCGAGACGGATGCTTTTTTCTGTCATGCACGCAACATTCCGGTTCCATGACACGACGCCCCAAGGCCGACTGCTGAACCGCTTCGGGAGAGATGCGGAGATCGTTGACAACGAAATTGCATGGTAAAGTCTCGTCCTAGGGCATGTAGATGTACTCGCGTGACATGCTCTGCAGGAAAGTAGGCGCGCTCAACTCTGCCGTCGGGGGTCTACTCGTTTCTGTTCTCACTGTGATGTGCGTGCCCCTTGGGTCTCGTGCCCAGATGGCTCTAACTATCTCAAAGAGGAATCTTCCCTGCTTTCCTGGTCATCGCAGCCATAATCGGGTACTCTTACGTCCGCATCGCCGTAGGATACATCAGCTCGGGCCGAGATCTCCGGCGCATGGAGTCCAACAGTCGCTCACCCATATTCTCCGATTTCGCGACTCTCATAGATGGGATTGTGACTGTGAGAGGTGAGTTTCAGGGCCGTCAGTGTCGCATCGGGCTGATCAGCGCTCCGCAGCGTTTGCTGTGGAGAACCGGTGGCTCGATGGCTTCTATGAGCGCTTAGATGCTTCCCTGCAGCTTTTCTACGCGTTCTGGTTCGTCACAAGGTTGGAGATCTCTCTCTTGCCGCTGAAAGACGTCCTAGGATCGTCAATCGCTGGTTGCTCTTCAATTTCGATCTTCTGGGCGCTGCGGTATGCTGTGCTGATACGATGGACGAGCATTTTAATGAGGCTACTGTAGGCTGTTTTCGCCACATCATGCTTCGCGATTGCCTTTCTGGATCGGGATCCTGGTCTTGCTGGTGTAGCCATCACGGCCCGTCAATTTCCACTTTCCCGTCATGTGTCCAGCTGACGAAGACTTAGTCCGCTTTGACCTTCAGCAAAGGAGTGTACAACACTATCAGTTTCTGGACCGCTCTGGAACTTGATCTGAAGTGAGTCTTGTCAACAAGGTCCTGTGGCGCGCCAAGTGTGAATTCATCAAACAGCTCTGTCGAGCGCGTGACCGAGTACATCGACCTTCCGCAGGAACCGGCTGCTGTGATAGAATCTGCGCGACCCCCTGCGTACTGGCCTTCGTCATCGAGCTCTGATCTAGTGCGGCTCGAAAATGTAGCGGTCAGATATGCTCCAGATCTGCCCCCAGTTCTGCGCGGCGTTTCGTTTGTCTTGCGAGGTGGAGAGCGCGTCGGACTCGTTGGCAGAACGGGTGAGTCCCTGCCCCGACTAACAAGTCGCATGCAACCATCTGCCTGCCCAGGGAGTGGGAAGTCGACTCTTGCGACGGCGATCTTGCGATTTGTTGATCCTTGCGCGGGAAGGATCTTGGTCGACGGATGGGACATCTCCCAAATTGGAACTTATGGTTCGTGTTTCAGTTTTTGGCTGTATGCATCGCAAATCATGGCCCGGCAGATCTCCGCTCCCGTATAACATTCATTCCACAGGATGCGGCCCTGTTCTCGGGGACCATCAGGGAAAACCTGGATCCATTTGGTGAACATGTGACTATGATTGATTTGCACATTCAATTCGACGCCTGACAGCTCATTTAGGATGATCTAGCTCTAATTGATGTTTTGCGTCGGGTTCAGTTGGGTCCAGAGAACGTCAAGCTCGACACCGAAGTCGCTACTGCAGGCGCCAACTTTTCGCAGGGACAACGTCAACTCGTTGCCCTTGCCCGTGCGCTTCTTCGGCGCAGTTCTATTGTCATCCTAGATGAGGCTACCAGCAGCGTTGACTTTGAGGTGTGCTGTCTTCGAAAGATCTGTTCCACGCACTGCTGAAAGCCCGGATGTAGACTGACACGAAGATTCAAACTTGTATCCGTGAAGAGTTTGGCAGCGCACTTTTGATCACAAGTGAGCCATGATCGAAACTATCCATTCTTTTTGTTACTGACCCTCTTACCAGTTGCCCATCGGCTGAAAACAATTGCGGATTACGACAAAATCGTTGTTCTCGATCGAGGAGAGGTCGTTGCTATCGGTGGGGTCCTGGAACTCATGCAGGAGAACGAGATCTTCAGGGAGATGTGTCTCCAGACCGGGTACTATGACGATCTCGAGGCGATGGCCCGGGTCAAGCAAGAAGTAGGATAATTACGCTATCACTATGCGTAATCTGTGGGGTCGGGGCACAGCCACGTATCCTCTTACGAATGACCCCCGACATCTATGGAACGCTTCTGTGGTGACGAGTTGCTCAGTGCCCTCACCGAGCAACACTCCCTCTTCTTGATCGCTTCATTTCGAATACTGCGACGGTCGTCGCTGTCTGCTTCAGCTTCCGTAACGCTATTAGACGGTGTCACGATCGAGGTCGAACTGACCGGAAATAGCGGCTACTCAGTCCGTCCTGTTTGCAGTTCCAAGTCCGATCGCCTTTCATCTTCTCATCGCCTAGGTCGTTTCCGGTCACAAGATTGCATCTTCCCCGAAGCAGCCCGAGCCCGAGCCCGAGACCTTCGAAAGCATCGAGCAGCTGCTAAGCTCCATCAGCACATTGTATGCACAAAAGAGGCAGGATGCCTTAATAGCTGCGTTGGAGAGGAGGATATCAGATTAATGCAAGGCACGCGCCCGCTCCGTGTGTGTGAGTCATCGCTCGGTCGACAACGGGCTCGGCATCGCACTCAAGCCAATATGCATGCACAACAGGTCCGCGGCATCGCACGGTATCGCTATCTATCCATAACATGCTCGCGATGACACAAAACACGACGAGTCTGTCACCAGCCGTCCATCTATTGCAGCTCTACCTTCATCTGCTCGTTACGAAAGCTGCCCGTCTTGGCCTTCTGCGCCAGGGCCGCATCGTACATCTCCCGCGTGAAAACATATCCATCTCTGCGCCGCACCTTGGCGATGATGCCTCCAAGCCACTCCCTCTCCTCTTCATTGCGGATGCAATTAGCCCACCAGCGATCCATGCTGGAACACAGCCCAGAAGTGTCTAGCTCCTTGTGCTCGCTCTGTTCGTTCAGGACGTGCAGAAGGAACGGGGTGTTCAGGCGCTCGAAACCGAATTCAGAGAGGCATTTGAGGATCCGAGAAATGCGGAGATAGTTGTGAGATGATCCTGGTGCATCCGGCGGCATGGCATGAGCACACGGAGTCGGAAGGACTCATACGGACTGAGCTGGACTCACGGACGAGGTTCTCGTACCGCGGCTGGTAGTTGCGTGGCGGCAGGACGCGGTCTATGGCCCCAGTCTCCGCGGACACTAGACGCATACCGTAGAACTCGAGCATGAGTCTGTATGAAGCCAGGAGGCGCTCCAGCGCACGTGGGTCAGACGTGAGCGCGGCCAGCTCGTGCGGTTGCAGCGGTTGGGACTCGTAGTTCATTCCGTGCTCGCGGATGGGGAAGAGCCATTGGATAAAGCCGTGTTTGCGCTCGAGCTTGGTGTAATCGCCTTGCCATCTTCATGGGAAAATGCCATCATGGGTTGTGAGAAAGCGGGCGAGAGGCTGCGGGCGCACTGCTCATGGATCTCCTCGACCAAGAGGCCGTCCGGCCGGGAGCGAAGCGTGTTGGAGTAGAATCCCAGGTTGTCGGACTGGCGCGTGTCATCGGTGCCGTGGGGATACCCGTCGAGAAATTCCTGGACGTCGCGAGGGAGGGATGCCATTTTTGCGGGTGGGATGTTATTGGACGAGGGGATGGCGATGGAAGATGCTGATGCGCGGCGAAATGCGCGTCTGATGAGAAACATACTTACCGCCTACTTGCATACTTAGTACTTACCACCACGACAATCACGCACTCCCGTGCGAGTCCACCCGTACCCACGCTCACGCTTCCGGGTCCGCTTCTACTGGGGTTGTGCTCAGTGGCCGTCAGATGACTGCTGGCTGGATCTTCTGCGCCAGTTTCCTCAGGAGTTCTGTCTGATATGCACGTCGAATAATGATAATTCTATGGTCCCTGCGGGCGCTTCCAGTCGTTTGCCGACAATTTGGCACTCATCGTCGAAACTTCGGTTGATTATGCCCCGGACCGGGGATGAAACGCTCGATTTCCTGGCGAGTTCCGACTACGCGCCGGCAGCGACCAGTTCTAGTGCCAACGAGGGAGGGATCAAGCCACGAATCTGGTGCCAGTGACAGTGTGTGTGCTGGTGACCCCGCGGACTGGCCTGCCGATCCCCTCTGTTCCTTAAAGAAGTGGAAGCTCTGCCCGACGCGGGGTTCTTAATCCCCAGACGTCAAACTACCTTCGCGCCCCAGTCCTCTTGGATTGCACTCGACGGGAGCGCAATTGCCTCGCTCGGTGCACACGTCTCCTTGTGTCGTCCCAGCTCGAGGTGCTGCCAGCGGCATTTCTCCGGCGGCCATGGAATCACGTGCCATCTCCTGGCGCTTAGGCGCGGCTGGTTAACCTAATTTATCCCCTGATTTTTCAGGCATGGGATCAGGGACTTGCCGCGGGCCGCGGTGTTTATTGAGCATGAAAGTATTGCGTGGGGGGCGGCTAGCCCGGGCCGCCGACTACATCCCCAAATGTGCGGTACCCAGATGGATTTCAGACGGATGGGGCTGAGATATTTGTGCGACATTCATCGGAATATAATACATCGCAGCCATTCCGCGGTCAAGGCATGTTGCTTATACAACACAACTCTGTGACATGTATGTAACCGTCCGTCAGTAGGTACCTGGTGGTCCAGCGGTGAGCTTGCGCCGGGCCCCGTGACAGGCATCAGCGCCGCTGAATTACATACGGTCTGGAGGATTTGTATTGCGGCAGTCGAACAGCGCGGAGACTGACGCGGGCCTTGTACTCGGGACAATTCATCACGCCAGCGTGTTTGTTAGGTGTCTGAGTGTGGGGTAGCCATTCCATTTATAAATGCGGGGTAGTCACAGGCAACGAGTCGCATGCTTGCATATCAATCCACGCCGAAACATGCGTGGACCGGCCGATGCGGGGTAGTATCACCCCTGCCGCTCAATCGCGACAAAAATACATCCACCCACTGATATCGGACGCGCAGCCAGTCAAAGCCCAGGTCCCCCACTGACAAAGAACAAAGATATTTTGCGCGCATCGAAGGGGCGTCTGTGTTGATCGGACTGAGCTTAGTCGACGGAAGAAGATGCAAGAATCGATGCAGCCACGGAACATACCGTTTGCCAGGCCTGTTTTTAGCGAGCCGCCCATCCACGTTCATCTGCTGGACAAAGGCACTGATGGATGACAAGGCCCCTTCAAAGGGCAGACGGATTTAATGATGACGACGATACCATTGTCATACAGAGCACTTTGTGCTCTGCATCCAGTCCGCCATGTAGGAGCCAAGGCTGATATCATCATCTCGATCCGCCGTGGCAGGCAGTTTGCGCAATCGCGAGAGATCCACAGAGATTCAAAGCACCGCTTCCATCAGGAAACAAGGACAGTGCCGGTGTAAAGGCGGGGGCTCGAGATGTTACGCTGGCCGGTGTGACACGGAGACACGGATCCGGAGGATGTCCGACCATCGACCATCGATTCGATAGGAGATCAGCAAGTAACCCATACGACAAAGCAGACGCTGAAACGTCGTATGGGTTCCCGTATGCAAACGAAAGTTCGCAGATGATTCCAGGAGGCGGAGCACGGAAAGCGATCGATAACCGAACCCGCATCAGTGCTGTACCCTGATCGCATCAGCATCGGGATTTTCCGCTATCTCTCCAGTTTACCATGTGCAACTGAGGCCCGCCACCGTCGCCCACGACAACTGTTTCCCCTGATTGAGCTGACTGGCTGCTGTGTGTCGTATCGTATCGTGTCGTATCGGGGCCTCGGCTTTGCGCGGTCAGACGCTCTCTGTCCAGTCATGACACCGGTTGTACGCCGATTGAACGTGAGATTGATTCAGACTAGGGAGATATGTGTTGAGCGACGCAAGACTGATCGCTTTGTCACGGTGTCCGCGGTTGGCGGGCCTCTGCGGACCGCCGTTCATCCATAAGCATCCACGGTCTTCCCCCATGCAACCTCCCGCAAGTTGCCGAAGATGGCGTTCCGTGGAAGTGACCACCGCGGCTTCCCATGCAGCCCATCACTTCCGCTACCGGACTGCGATAGGCTGCATCCGACATCGTATCTGCCTGTAACTGTCACTCAGACTGGGATGGGCCGGGCAGGGCAGGTCAAGGAACGAGGACTGCCTTTGCAGAGCATTACCGCCGTGTGCGGGAGGCTGATGCCTACTCGCGAGTCAATCCCAAACGCAAAACGACCTGACCTGTTCGGATTGGCATGGGTTGCCAAGATGGCCGACAGACTGATGATCCCCCCGCGCCGGGCTTGATTGGAGATGATCACGGGCAGAGGGTTTGGTTTGGACCGTGCCTCCACGCGCTGCATCGCATGTTATCTACCCGGGATGGCTGATGGGCAGTATTTCCGCGGTCACAGAGAGTTGTCCGACATTAGCCCATAGGCGTTAGAACTGTCAACGCCCATCTGAGAGGAGAGGACGGCGCCCCGAGTTGGGCAGTCGGGGTGAAGCACCGGAGACGGAGAACAGGTGAGCTCACCTCGGATGAGATGCTGATTAAGCTCGTGAAGCCAGATCAGAGCTACGCAGAATGCGGGGGATCAACGCGTCGTCGTCGGGTCCCAGCAGGGCCCGATCGAGGCGAGCCTGAATCCAGCGTCAGCGTCACAGAGCCGGCCGATCGGCCTGGACGATCAGTTGTTGTTCATTTTTGAAGCACCAAGCATCGAGCCCTTGACAATGCGTCTTTGTCTTGATCGTCATGGGGCGTTGATTCTGTGTGCATTTCCGGAAGCACCATCATCGAGGACAAACACTAGCTCGAAACGAGAACAATAATGGGGACAAGACCTGCCTGCCTGTCACCTGTAGATCCTTTGAACCTGCAAGCCATATCCAATGCCATGTCTGCTCTCGAGCGCATTGTTCTCTTCTAAGTGGGGACTGGCTGCAGCTGAGACAAATCGGGCCCTTCGATTGTTCTCCAGTCCATGACGACATCATTTTTGACCGTCCCAGCTATGCTTGCTCGATGGTGGATTTCTGGCATCGACGCTCGTCGCCTAGCCACACATTATTATTGCTGATGACCCTGTGGGGTTGAAGTTGAGCATGACGAGCAACCGTCGCAATTCAATTAATCTCGGTGCCGAACCCCACAATGGTGCATGACATCCGCGACGGAACCTAGCGCTGGCTCGAATGATTGTGTCTTTTTCCCCAAGAACAGCGAGCGTGTCGCCCGAATTATCCACCCGGCCCGGGGGGCATATTTTGGCGCAGTGCAGGGCCAAATGTTCACGGCATCTGCTGCGGGGTGACATCGCTTGCCGGAAATATCCAACAGCGCTTGTCGGGAAAACACATTAGGTGGACGATGCGGCGACTGGCGGCGAACTCGCTTGCTTGTCCCTGGTCGCCACCGGTCGCAATGCGACGGTGATGGGGGTGGTCAGAGGTGGTCACATTCCGAAGGGTCGGCAGCGCCAAGTTCCCCGTCGTAGTGATTGGCCTGCTGCAGGTTCTGCTTACAACAGATAACATTCGTGTACTACACCAGAACTGAGCTTATCGAGTGGATTTAGGTAAATTGCCAGGTTGGGGTGGCAATGTTCGGGCAGGGATTTGCGTTGCAGGTGCTCGAGGTGGCGGTGGCAACCAAGGACATGCAGTTCGCGGGCCTGCAGATGTTCCCTCGCACCCCGGGTCTCGACAGTCTGAAGATACTTTCGGATGCCATTCGTGACGTCGTCCAGCATGTTTGTTGGTCCAGCCAGCGTCCCTTGTGGGTGCCAGCCACCCTCGATGTGCCGGAGTGCCGCTTCCGCGGGGTTTCAACTGGTGTCTTCGGACGGAAAACACGCAATCGCATCATGCCCGCCGCTCATGAGACCGCCGTTCCTCCCCGGATTCCAATTTCCGCAAGCGCTTTCGAATCGGCCCTGACCCCAGCGCGTCCCCAGCTTTTCCGAGGACCTGCCTGCACCGGCATGGTCCTTGGCGCGTTCTGTGTTTTCTAGCCCTGATTATTTACGTGTCGATTCTGTGCGGATGTCAGGTGGTCGATATGCTTAGAACCCCGGTCCCAAAGCGTTTTTTAACTCTCCCAGTCGTTCCGGGAGAGACTATATGTAATAACAAGCCCGCAGAACCTCACGGCTCGTAGCCGATCAAAATGTGTTTTTTACGCCAGAGATGACACACACAACTTATCTCTCTCTCGCGTGGCCTTCTGTGGGGAATTTTCATGTAGCGAGGGTTCGGCGAACTGGACATCTCGGGCAAGCAGGGGCAAGCAAGCTAGTCATCATCCGAGAAAATCTGCGCGCGCGACAAGTGTCTGCACACTAAGTACTGAATTGAGCGAGAGGGTCGAACGTGGCTAGGCTGAGAACGCAGAGCGTTTTACCGAGGAAGACCTGGAAGCCTTAGCGTGTTTGCCGTTACCAGAGCGGGCCTTCCTCCCTCCTCCGAGATATTGGCGACTGCGGGACGTGTCAACCCAACGACGGCTGCTGATGGCCACCAGTCCGAGTACGACCTGCCTTGTGGGTCTAGAGCCAAAGCGTGCGTGCGTGATGCGCTATGTCTCGCGAGAAATTCTTTGATCTGGTGTTTCAAAACAGCTCTCTCCGTCTTTACCGAGATAGAGGAAATGAGATATCAGACGCGCGTCGACGGATCCAGAGCGAGAATGAGCGTCGAATGAAAGATAGTATCAAGAGTAACCCGGTGCATGGTGCAGTGCCAGCGAGGCGGGCGCAGGCGGAGGCACTGATTCTCCGAATACTTTGACAAGGACAGTCCAAGAGCCACGGTCATGAGACGGCAGCTGCGAGCCGTTGCGTCGCAAAAACCGTATCGGGAATCCCGGCATTCCCTTTTGTTGATTGGTCCAAACAGGAAAATACAACGGCGGTCCGGGTGTGACGTGACACCGCGGCCCCTCGGTTGGCCGGACCACAGGTGCTCAGATCTTTTCGATCATCTGCCCAAACGAGATGCTCGATGAATCGGGAAGGGATCTGGGAGGGTGAGTTACAAAAGCAGGTCGCCGGATTAACCATTCACCTGAATATTCGCCCTCTCCACACCTCGTCGCTGCCACTATGGACCAGCACGACGCCAACTTCTGCGCCGTCTGCAGCAAGATGATCGAGCCCCGCCGCGCTCTCGTCCCCGTCAACCTCTCCCTCCCCCTCCGTCTTCACCTCAACACCCAGATCAGGGTGCGCTATCTTGCGTCTTTTCTTTTCTTTTCTTTGCTCATTCTCGATCCCTTCCTCCCCCAGCGCGCCACAAGGGCCGCCGCAATGGACTTGTCCACGGAACGGGGCGCGTTCGTCCCAACGGTTCTTTAAAGCATCCGCCCCAAGAGACCGTGAAAACCCGTGTCGAAATTGATCAATCGCCTGCCCCACTATTTTGCTCTGAGGCTTGCCGTCAGCAAGACATGCAGTACTTCCACAGCTCGTCCGCGTGTCGCGGCAGTGCCTCAAGTAGCTCATCGCACAGTGTCTCCTCCAATGGGCCTTCAGCACATACCTCGCCCCCCAGTCGGGAATCTCGCCCGAGCACCCCCGAGTCGCGCTCCCTGGCAATCCTTCAGCGGGAGCTCAACATCCCCGACCTGCCACCTCGGACATGGGATTCGATGGATATCCTCCCACCTCGCTCTCAAGCTCCGAAGAATACCAACACCGAGTTCCAGCAGGGTGTCATGATGGCTGCTCGCCGCATGGAGTCTGTCTTCCCCAAGGCGCGCAAAGCCGGCGAGCCTGTTAAGCCGATGGAGGTCATCCCCGGCTGGAACGACGGCAGCCAAGCGTGGCGCCAGAGCACCTACAACTTCGCCCCGCCGCCGAAGACAAGAGCGGATGTGTTGGATCCCAGGAGCAAGGCCTATGGCACTATCATCGCCACACCTCACCGCAACAGCGGCGGTGTCGTTGCGGAAGACCCGCGCATGTATGATATGGAGCCTAGCTCGCCCACCTGGTCGACAGCCCCTTCGAATGCCTCATCCTCTTCATCTTCATCCTCATCCTCTAGCAACTCTGCCCTCTTGTCCTCCTTTGAGGACTCCTTCACGCGTCGCTCATCATCACGCATGTCTGTATTCTCGACGTCATCCTCCGGCTCATCGCCTTTCCCCATCTCCTCGTCTCTGCCGACTAAGACGCGGCCTTTGTCTAATTTGTCTGCCGGGGGTATGTTGCCCGTACCCGATGTGCTTATGAAAGCACCCGGGCGTTCATCAACGTCTTCTTCCCTTTCCTCCTTGTTGGAGCCCTCCACCGGCCGGTCGACTCGTCGCCATTCATCAGGAAGCTTTGCCGGCTATCGCATGCGGAGTCCGCTATCTCTGCCCTCATCTTCCGTGACAGGCTCGTCCAGCGATGATGAAGAGCTAGAAGGTGACGAGGACGCGTGGAAGCTCCCGAGACGACCTCAGATCGAGAGTGCGCCCCCTCTATCGCTTTGGTGTTTAACATGCTAACGTTACTGCAGCACGCTCCTGGTCATATGACAACCAGCGCACTTACCCAGTGATGCCCATGCCTCCTGTCAAGGAGGTGCGGATCGTCAACGGGGTTCAAGTCGAGGTGGAGGTTCCTCGCCCGCTGAAAAAGCTGTTCACGTTTGCGGAAATCCCGGTGAACCCTTGATGCGTCGGCTGTGACCACGAACCGACACGAGCTACTCTATCCCCGAGCGTCACGACCCATACCCAGCGCGTCTAGTCCGTTGCATTCCGCATTGCATCTTCACACCATTACCCGCATTCTTTCTGCCACAAACACATCAGCATCCATCCGCATTCGCATCCATATTTTCCGGGTTTCGGGTTCGGTCCGTTCTGTGCATTGACACAGACTTCAATCCATGTATGTACGACTAGGTACTTTATTCTTACTTGTTTGGTACTTTACTCGACGGTTTTTGGGGGACTATTGTACGTACGATGAACTAGTTTTTCAGGAGAACAAAATTGTACATAACACACACTTGTATCCAATGTCATATCATAGCCTTGTAACTTGCTTGTAACCGTGGTTTCGTCTATGGGGCCCGTCGTGCCATTTAGTCTTTCATCTCCTTGCGCCCAGCCATGACGCGCGAGCTGAATCGAGTGGGATACAGCAGTGGATCATATGCTTGCATGCGACGTCATAGGAGCAGCGACCGGACCGGATGCACAACGCGCGCGCAACTGCTGAGCACGAGCTGAGCATGCGGATAAACGACGGGGCCCGTCGGTCGAGGATGAGCCGCTTTGCACTGCATGCACCTCCTGCTCAGGCGCGCGACCACATGCTTTCTTAATCTACGGGCAAATTGACTCGGCGCGCCCTTGAAACAAGGGGCGAAAGCACCAAAAAGGAGCGCCGGATGTTGTGACGGTGGCGGTGCTATGAGCTCCGATCCGCCCCGACTCGTTAGCGGCAAAATGTCGCTGATGGGTCTGATGAGGCCCACGGGGAGCCGGGGAAAGGGCTCGTTCCGTGACACCCGCGTGCGGGGTCGGGATATCCCGGGAGCGTCCATGTGTTTCCACGTGGTTTTCCTTTTCGGGGGCTGACCTCGTATCTCCGGGTATCCGGGAGCGGCCCGCCGGTCTGAGCACGAGCGTGCGTCCTTTGTGAACGGGATTCGGTATCTGGAGTCATCGGCTCAAACAGGAGGAGTCACATTCTGTGTGTATGTTGTTGGGAACAGCCGGCTCCACGTGCACGTTTTTTTCTGTTTCCGTTGAGCTGCTGCACTGAGGCGTTATCGCAAGGTCTGCCATTTAAGTGTGCCTCACTGCAGAAAGGATGTGCGCTGTCCGCATTGGCTCGGCCCAGGGTCAGCCTCGAGGCATCTGCGTGTCGGCTCGGTTGACTGGGATCGCAGCCCCATTCAAGTGCGCGCCACTGGCTCTGCGTTCACAGCCTATCACCGGATGCACGGCGAGAAACTAAGAATGGGATCCGCCTCCGAGCGCTGCAAGGTCCATCAGCGTCCGTCCGACATTTCGCCGCTGAGTCACAGTGGCGGGCGGACACGAAACTAACCCGCGCCCGCGTCTATTCGCGGGGACCAGTGGGCAGCTGAGAGCTTCGTAGTCTAATCTGGGCATCGATACTTGATTCCCCGAGCTTATCAGCCTCGCACGATGAGATATGATCCCGGGCGATCGAGGCTTCGTGGGCATAAACCGAGCTAAAACCGAAAGCGGTGCAGTTGTGGGGAAACTTCGAAATGTTCGAAGGCGACCGTGTTTTGACAGTCGATGTACTGCAGAAGACGACAGAGATGTTCTTGGTCTTGGGTCGTCGGAGAAAGTATCCCATCGGCTGCTTGAATGTCGGTCTTTTGATGCCCATGATATGCTGTACTCCAGCCCCAAGCCAGCTCGGAGACAAGCGGAGATAGCCTGCGCGGCCCACCATCAGCTAGTGCGCAGCATTCATCATACAGCGGCAGGTTATATCGTGCGTCTATGCAGTAGTAGTGCAGTAGCCTCGATCGCAATGCGAGACAGCGCAACAAATGTTCCAGCTGTAACTCAAGCTTGATTGTGCCGAACTCTGTCCCGATTCGCACAATTCATATATCAAGGCCCACTAACTCCGCGAGCGGGGCGCCGTGCCTAGTGGAAGAATGTATTCCTGGATTTCAAATCGAGTAGGTACCCCCAGTCCACTTCGACTTCGACCACACCTCCCCTCACGTGACTTTCTTGGAACGGGAGTTTTTGACGGCTTGGATTAGCTGTGCATTTTGCATGGCTTGCGCAGCGAATTGTTCTACCGACACGCAATTTAATCACCTGCCAGTCGTCGCGAGCAATTCGGGAGAGCTCACCTTGACAAAAGGCTTGCATGTTGTTCATGTGTTGATAATGAAGGCTTTTCACGCGTGCTGAAGCAAGATGCAGTTCCGATCGAGCCTCGCCTAATTGACCAGCCCGATAGGAGTCAGTTGGCGCTCCGACGCTCGATCCACGCGCACCACATTCTCGGCACATGTCGATAACTGCCAGTAATTTCCCCTTCACTTCGGCCTCAAGTTCGAGATTTTCCCTGTCATCTGCCCCATTCATTTCGAGCTCGTGACACTCCGAAACGCATTCCGCATGTTGCGCCTCCAAGAGAAGCTTGAGCGTCTCCAGCTGTTCACGGAGATCTGACCGCGACATCGACACACTTCCGTCCAAGAAAGCTGTGGCTCTCGCACGTGAGGGGGAATGAAACCTTGGCGCGTTCGCGTAACAGTGTCACAATCAGACGGAATGGTATATTCCAATGGGGCAAACTGTCCATTTACTATCCAGAAGGCGCCAGCCCGCAGGCAGCTGCTCAGCTGCGACGAAACCCTCTGCCTCCGACAAGAAAGGAGTGTCTGGGGACTGATCGTCCTCGGACGCTGCCAGAAGCGAAACAAGCCGTTCGTGCATCACATTGATATCCTCCGGCGTCCAAACAGAACTGGAAACCACGCCCGGTACTGGGCGCAGGAGCGACAGTGCAGCTTCCATGTCAGTGTTATCACCGCACAAGGCCTGCAGCAAAGCCGATGCACTATAAAATGATGAGGATGCGCGGCTTAGCACCACAGCAAGGACTCACGAGACACAGTTGTGCGCTCGATCGGGACCGATGCCCACGATTAGCGTGATGGCGAGGTCTTTCCTCAAATCAGCATCGTCAGAGTCCACTAGCCACATCGCCCAACGGGCGATAGACGCGTCGAAGCTGGCTTCCCGGGGAGCATCCGTAAGCAGATGAACAATGATACGGTCGGAGAGAACCGCGAAGAAGATGGGATGGAGTTTCCGGATCTCCTGGAGAAGGGGCGACCAGATCTCTGTCGCAGATGTCGGGGGTAAGAAAGCATCAGTGGGCAGCTCTCGTTTTCTGGGCCGCAAGCAGGTCAGCCAAAGAAAAAAAGGCAAGAGATAAGCAATGAATCACTTTTTGGATAGAGGGACAAGTCCGCCCTTCTCCATGAGAGCATCGGATAAGCGTTCGAGGGCCCATTTCTCCTTCATGTCCTGATCCGTCTTCTCCAGATTGCCCCAGCCCAGCTCCCCAATCGCGATGTTCGCGGTGACCATCGCCTCGGCTATCCAGCGTTCGATATCTTTCAAGATTACTCGCACCTCTTGGTGATATTGATTTTTCAGGGACTTGTCTCGTATGATGGTTTTCTGCAAAGCCTTGAACTGCTTCAAGACAGGACCGAGAGGTCGCAGGGGCGTGGCTTGAGCGACGGGCGTAGTCGTTGGGTTGAGGGTTGGATGAAGTAGTTGTGCAGGAGCCAAGACATGGACTGACGAACGCGCAGGTCACAATCCGGTCGTACATCCAGAGGAGCGAGACTCACTTCGCGGGACCCTTGGCGCAGAAGCTCGAGACTGGGAAGGTCCTCGTGCGTCGCGGCATGTCGCAGTTCGACGAGCCACCCGGAAGACCTAGCTGTGCCGCAATGGAAGCTATGGATCGCGCGTAGGCACCCAGTTGCAGTGGGTCGACGAATCCATTCACGAGTCGATCAGAGCTGCGGAGTAGCTGTGCCGCAGAGAGAGGTAGTTTTTTGGACGCGCATTGTCGTTGTCCTGCGCTTCGACGGCGAGAAGGGACAGCGTTGACTCCAACGCGTGTGGTAGAGGCGTGATCATTTTCCAAGCAGACAGCTGGGGCGGATAAATTACAGCGGAGGGGTATGGCATTAGACTTGCACGATTGATAGCGCGGATTCTGAGGTCGTAATCATTCTCGTCGGTGTATATCCATGAGCACAGTTCATCTAATTCAGCGATCGTTGTCCAAGGCACTTTGCGAGGAAGCTTCATAGTCGCAGGAGTTGAGCGCAATAAATTCGGGTCGAGTTTTAGGGCTCCGGTCGAAATCAAGCCTCACGTCCAAGTCCAAGCACAACGGAGCGAGCACAAATTTTCAGCAGAAGAATCGAGAGATGATTGATGGGTGGCTGTGATTTTGACGCGTGCCTCCCTTGATTCCTAACTGCGCTTGCACTGCAGTCTGCAGTCGGTCCATGATCTTCTGAATCCGGGCCCCGCACCTCACATAAGATACCCATTTCACCGAGGCGGGATTCACTGCGACCTCTGCGGTCATGGACGTCATCAAAGCTGTTGAGACTTATGTCTCGAAACTTGTTTCGACGCCGTCATCCATGAAAGTTCTTCTCCTAGATGCACACACCGTACGTATCTCCTCTGTTTCTAATGTTATTGAGACCCACGCTCCGTTCAGACTCCCATCGTCTCGCTGGCGTCCACGCAATCCACCCTCTTGTCTCATCAGGTCTACCTCACAGATCGCATCGACAACCAGAAACGAGACCGTATGCCGCATATGAAATGCATCTGTTTCCTCCAGAGCAGCGAGGAGAGTCTGGAGGCTCTTCAAGTAGAACTCCGCGAACCAAAGTACGGAGAGTATTATCTCTGTCAGTGGGTGAATCGCACCTGTTCGACGCGTAACTGAATCCGCCACTGACGTGATGATAGACTTCAGCAATGTCCTGAGCAAAGCGGTTATTGAGCGGCTCGCGGAGGTTGATGAATATGAAGTTGTGCGAGAGGTCCAGGTGCGTCGTTTCAAAAGCACCGAGTAGGACGCGCTATCAACATCATCCAGGAATATTTTGCAGACTACTCTCCACTGCTACCAGCACTCTTCTCGTTGAATCATATGCCGACGGTGCAAAAGCCTCTGTATGGTTCCACGCCCAACGCGTGGGATTCAGCAGCATTAGAGCGTTCGGTTCAAGGCCTGACAGCCGTTTTGCTGAGCCTGAAGAAGAAGCCACAGATCAGATATGAGAAGATGAGTGGAATGGCGAAAAAACTGGCGGTCGAAATGCATGTACGTTCTCCGCAAAATGACACACATATCAATCCTGATGTTCTGCAGCATCGCATTCAGTCTGAGTCAGCTTTGTTCGACTTTCGACTGACTCAAGTTGCGCCACTATTGCTCATTCTTGACCGCCGGAATGATCCAGTGACTCCTTTGTTATCTCAATGGACTTATCAAGCCATGGTCCATGAACTGTTGAACATACAGAACGGACGTGTCGATCTCAGTATGGTACCTGGCATCAGGCCAGAGCTTTCCGTATGTCGTTCTCTATCAGTATCCGTGCTTCCGCTGAGGCGTATGACAGGAGATCACATTGACGACGTCCACGGATCCGTTCTTCCAGAGTCATTTTCTGGACACCTTTGGAGACCTGGGGACATCGCTGAAAGACTATGTGCAATCGTACCAGACACGATCACTTGCCCAAGCTCCGTCATCCATCAACTCTATCGGAGACATGAAACGATTCGTCGAAGAATATCCCGAGTTTCGCAAGCTCGGTGGCAATGTCAGCAAGCATGTAGCCCTAGTCGGCGAACTGAGCCGACTAGTGGAGCGGGACAAGCTACTCGAAGTGGGAGAGATTGAGCAGGGCCTCGCAACAAGCGCCGGATCCGATCTGCGCGTGAGTAACTGGTCTCCTCGCAGCATGATTTCGGGTAGCCGACTCTTTCTCGCAGAGCGTGCAAGCCTTAATCGGGAACCCGGTCATCAATCCATGGAACAAACTGCGACTCGTCATGCTGTACGCTCTGCGCTATCAGAAAACCCAGGCGGGCAATATCGCTTCCCTGATCAATCTGCTCTTGTCGAATGGGGTCTCGAGAGAGGATGCCCGAGTTCGTCTGACCTGAGTATTGCTTTAAATCTGCTAACATCGTACGCAGCTCGTATATGTGCTTCTCAACGTTGCAGGGGCTGACCAGCGGCAGGATGATCTGTTCTCGAATGAATCGCTCTTTGCCAAGGGTCGATCCGCGTTGAAAGGCCTGAAAGTACGCCGTTTCTGTTCTTGACTGGTTTGATGCTAACGGACTACAGGGGGTGGAGAATGTGTACACCCAACACAGGCCTCACCTTTCGGAAACGCTTGAGAACCTATTCAAAGGCCGTCTGCGAGATGTGAGCTATCCATTTGTCGAGAACCCGGGGCCTAATGCCTCGTTGCAACGGTCCGTGCTGTGCGGCATGTCCTAGGCTATCAGGTGCTTAAACCTTGCAGGCCTCAAGACGTCATTATATTCATGATCGGGGGAACCACCTATGAGGAAGCTCGGGTTGTGTCTTTGTACAACCAGGATCCCGTTGCTGCATCCAACGGGGCAATTCCTGCGGGCTCTGGGACGAGGCTTCTGCTTGGAGGCACTTGCGTGCACAACTCGTCGTCATATGTGGAAATGCTCCGTGCAGCGGCCACAACCTTCTCGTCCTCCGTTTACGACCCACCTCCCGAGTCCGCCTCCAATGCACCGGCCTTGAATCTCAATCTTGGTGGTGTGAATGTCAGCCTAGGTGGATCTACAACCGGAGTGTATCGCTCCAGTGGAGAGGGTGTCCCAGACTGAGGGCCTCCGCGACGGCGTGATGAACTTGATAGGGAAAGTAAAACAAGGAGTAGACCGCATAGCTATCCCATAATCGTCTGTATCCATCTCCCGCATCACGCCCAGGCAAATCTTCGGATAGGGAAAGTGACACGTAGTTGCTACGTGATGAGTGATCACGCGGTCGTGAATATTCTATCACTCCTTGCTTCGCTATTCGACCGTCTGGTTTCCTTCTCTCTCTCTTCTTGCTCTACTTCTTATAACTGCGGACGACACTCCGCCCGGTCAAAATGGCAAAGGGACTTTTCGCTGGTCTTAAAGGCGTTGATGCCTTCGGCAAGGTCAATTCAATTTGTCCCGATCCAGCTACCCTTTCCTGACCATCCGAAAACGAACATGTAGACTTCGGACGACGTCAAAGTTAAGACTCGCACAGGCGCCTTCCGTGAGTTCCTGTCTTTCCACTCAGAAAGCTGCTTCAATTTGCCATAGTAACTCTTCTCGCAAGTGCCATTATACTGGCATTCACCACGATGGAGTTCTTGGACTACCGACGGGTCAATATCGATACCTCCATCGTTGTAGACAAGAGCAGGGGAGAGCGGCTCACGGTGAAGATGAATGTCACATTCCCTCGCGTTCCCTGCTACTGTGCGTGTCATGCTTCATTGCCATGTGGCCACGGCTTATGGTCGGCCGACAGTGCTCAGCTTGGACGTTATGGACATCAGCGGAGAGACACAGCGGGACATTACACACAACATCCTGAAGGCTCGTTTACAGGCCGACGGATCTGCTGTCCCCGCGGCGGTCACCTCCGAGTTGTCAAACGAGGTCGACAGACTGAACACCGCGCGCGGTGCTGACTATTGTGGCTCTTGCTACGGCGGTGTCGAACCGGAAGGCGGCTGCTGTAACACGTGCGAGCAGGTCCGACAGGGATACATCAGCAGGGGATGGAGTTTCTCTAACCCCGATGCCATTGAACAAGTGCGTTTGTTTTCTCACTCTAGTTTTGTAGAAGATGAACTCACTCCTTCTACTCAGTGCAAAGAAGAGGGCTGGTCTGACAAGTTAAAAGAGCAGTCGAACGAAGGGTGCAACATTTCAGGCCGGGTTCGGGTCAACAAGGTCATCGGTAACATCCACCTGTCACCTGGTCGGTCCTTCCAGGCCAGTGCACGGAACATTTATGAATTGGTCCCGTATTTGCGTGACGACGGCAACCGCCACGACTTCTCACACACCATTAATCACCTCTCGTTCCAAGGTGAAGTCCGGTCTACTTGCATCCTCCGCGCTCTCCTTCTCAACCCCCTTAGGGGACGATGAATACGATATGTACAAGGCCAAGATCGGAGAGTCGATGAAGCAGCGACTGGGTATTGGCCAGAATCCGCTGGACGGCAGTCGTGCTCGGGTTCGTTGACCTTTCAATCCTCTGACTGTTTGTCACTGACCTTTCTTCAGACTTCGAAATCCCAGTATATGTTCCAATACTTCCTCAAAGTTGTATCTACACAGTTCCGCACGTTGGACGGGAAAATTGTGCGTTTCGTACTGCCTAATCGTGTTATTGCTGGCGCTGACTTGCGAGGAAACAGATCAACACCCACCAATACAGCTCGACTCAATTCGAACGAGACTTGAAGGAAGGTGTGCAAGGTGACACCGCTCAGGGTGTCCACCTTCAGCACGGTGTCTCTGGTATCCCCGGCGCCTTCTTTAACTTCGAAATCTCCCCGATTCTCGTGGTGCACTCTGAAGTGCGACAATCATTTGCTCACTTCCTGACTTCGTAAGTCTATTTTCCGGTGCTGATCATCCTGAGACCTAACTTCTTGCCCAGAACCTGTGCCATCATTGGCGGAGTCTTGACCGTCGCCTCGCTCATCGACGGCATTCTGTTTGCCACCGGCCGTGCCCTCAAGGGTTCTGGATCGGCGAACGGGAAAATGATGTAGTTTGTATGTCGTGACACTGAATATCTATTACATCGGGTTTGGGCATGAGTACAAAGTCAATTCGACTTTTAAAAATAAGGATACACTATGTTGATACAGAAGACAGGTCAAGTGAGGCGCAGATCATCGTCTCTTAGCGGGCGTTTGATCTCGCAGCGCGACCTTTCGACGTTTTGTAGGGGTCACGTCCACTGCACCTGCGTTGCGTTTTTTCTGGCGCACGCTTTGAGCACTGGACCGACTGGCGGCAGAGGGGCCCTGCCAGACAGATGAGCACCTTGACAGGATCCAAGCTGCAGTAAGGCACTCACTGTAAATGCAAGCTCGTCGCCGCTTTCCTCTGCTCCATCAAATGCCTGGTCAAGAGCAGCCTCATTATCACTGCTCTTGGAGCTCAGGTCGTCGCCATCGTCATCTTCGTCTTCATCCTGAATGACCCTGCTCCGGCGCTTCACAGTCCGTATCGAGCCCAGATCCTCCTCATCTTGGTCTTCGTCGTTTTCCAGCGCAGAATCCTCCTCCTCCTTGACTTGAATCACGGCCTGTACGCGGCGTACGAAGATTTGTCGTGGCGGTTGAGCTGAGGTCTGCGCCTGTTTTGCGGCGGCGCCCTTGGATGGTTTCTGGAAAGATAATGCACCGTCGGCGTGATCAGGTCTTGAAGCAGAGGGTGGCTTGGTAAGGGGGTTACGGCGAACGCTCGCGCTTTCCGCGAGCAAGGCCGTATTTAATGGACTAGGCGGGAGAACAGATTTGTAGGCCGGAGGGCGCGTTGACGAGGAAGAACCCTTGATGTATTCGGAAGCATTGTGCGGCTTGGAGGGGGATTCGGAGAATGCGGAGCGGGATAGCTGCAAAAATTGATTGTATGGAAATCAGAGACAAGGCGATTTGAACGGCACTCGACGCACGGTTAAAAGCTCCGTAGACAGCCCGCACCGGTCCTGCTCAACACGAGTGTAATGATCTTGCCAGTTTTTGGCCTGTTCTTTCCAGTGATTAACTTCACGTCGAAGGTTGTCAATCTAGAAGTGCCTGGGGTTAGAGGAAGGTCACCGTGGACTGTAGTTAGACATGCCGTTGCCCTCATCTGTACGAGCTGTCGTCGAGGGCTATTAGTGTTCTGCAGCGATCACGGAGGACTGCAAATCTCACTTCGCGTTCGTACCCGGTCATTTGCAGCTCAGATTCGTGGAGGTTTTTGCGCACGTCGTCACGTTCAAGCTTCGCGTCTTGTAATTCGGCCCTCGAAGTGTTGAGTTCAACGCGCAAGATTTGCAGCTCCGAATTCAGCGCTGCCACCCTTGCCAAAGCCTCCTCTTCGACCTCCGTCGCCTGGGCAGAAGGTGAGCTGAGAAGAAGCTGACACAATTCACTGACCGCATTCAGTACAGTCTTCTGCACTAATCCCAAAACTTCAGTGATCGAATGTCTTGTCGCGGTGGACAGCATTGTGAAGTGGACCAAATTGGTAGTAGGTTACGGTGGCTGTCCGCGCGCATGTGCACGCGCTTGCTGATCGGATCAAACACCCAAGCGGCAGCAACAGTCGCCACGAACCCGCGTTGAGATTCGTATAAGCGCAACCTTACGTCTTGAGATGCGAGCATCGTACCCTGTTGATTTTCGCTACGATCGAAGAACAATATGCTAGCCAAATATTTGTCCCACTTCTTATCCTTAAACGCAGTGTCACACCGCCACCCTCGGGCTCCGGAGTCCGGGGACCGACGGCAAATAATGCGATGAGGTTAAACATCGTTCTTCGATAGAATCGCGGACTGCAGCTCCAGCATGGCGCGTGTAAGGAGGTGCATGTACATTCGGAAGTTGGACAGAACCATGTGTGGTTTAGCTTGGTTTGTGGGTGATGGGTTGCCGTTGATTTGGCCAAGTGCTTTCTGAGCGATCTCCCGATTTTGAAATTGTTCCGAATTTCGTTTCGCACAATCTCGCTCGGCCGAGTGGGCCTGTGTTGCTAGTTCCGCTCCCTCTCTCCCTCCCCCCACTTCGGGTCGAATACCCAAGCTCTCCGCTGGCCCCTTCACCCCTCGCCCAAGCGTGGTTACCCCGTCCCCCTACACGACCCCGTGGATAGCTCGCTATCCTTGACGACCCGCACGACATTGTAATCAAGGGACATATTCTGCTCTCAGAAGGTGCGTTGCTCCACTTTCCTGCCCGGCGAGCTCTTTAAAGCTCTTCCAAACACAGTGTTCCGACGGATTCAGCTATCCCTACCCATTATGACCTCTTCATCTCGGCTTCAAATCGACACTTCGGTCTCGGCAGCGCCAGTACCGTCGTCCTTGAATGCCAAGCCGTCGACAAACACTCTCACGGTCTCCAGTGCTAAACGTTCGCGACTCAGGAGCGCATCCAACGCCTCGTCCACGTCCTCCATCTCCATATTATCGCCACAATCTTCATCTACCAATGCTTCCGCTTCCACATCCTCCCTCCATCTTCCCATCAGAAGCGTCGCAGCTTCAGACCCGCAGTCGCGTCCCACGAGCCCGTCGGAATCGGTTTACGATGAAACCATACGCATGAATGTTCCCGAATACGTGCTTGCGATGCACGATTACGCTCCACAACATCAGACCGCGACTTGTCTGTCTTTTCGTGCTGGTCAAGTCATCCATGTCCTCAACCGCGACAATAGTGGATGGTGGGATGGAGAGTTAGAGGGTAGGAGGGGTTGGTTTCCCAGCAACTACGTGAATACGGACATCGAGACTTTTGCTGAAGAGGAGCACGTATCAACAGCCTCGGTGTGTTCCCTACACTGATCCGTTTACGTGCGCTGACTGGGCGATAGATGTCAAGAAGTCGGGGTCATGCGCATACACTCTCCGCAAGCTCTGCAGCATCTCATGACAGCTCGACGTCCCGCAGTGCTTCACATACCCGACGACCGTCAATATCAGAGGCTCTCGGTCCCGACATCGATTCATACTGTCCTCCGATCATGGTCCCCCTCCTCCACGGGCTTTCGTTACTACAGAGTGCCGTGCGTTCAAATCGAATATCTCACTTCCAACCTTCCACGGCGTGCATCATCTCCTGCGTCCGATCCGTGCTCTCCGCAACAGACACGCTTGTTCGCGACGCGCCGATACTCAGTCGGTTCCCAGCGCTCGCCCAGGAGCGACGAAGGATATTGTCTGTTTTGGCGTCTCTGGTCGCTCAGGCCAAGCGTGCTTCTGAAGATGGTCTCGATGAGGCAAGTCAGGAATCTCAGGTCGACGGAATGGTCCGTCTCGGGGGGCAGGTTTTCGCTAGCGTTCGGAGATTTCTCGCCGTCGCTGTTCAGTGTGGAATAGAGCTGCCGGAGAGAAGACAGTCGGTCGGGTCGCTCGCAGGTTCTACCGATACAGAAGCTGCATCGTGGGATAATGTGGACCCGGCTGAAGCTGAAGCATTGGATCCCGGTTTCAACCACTCCAATCGCGTGACACCAAGGAAGGAGGGCAGCGGACTTCGTGCTAAAAGTCTAGTCGATCTCAGACGTTCCACAAGAACATCAGTGGATGATGTGTCAACTCCGGTTCCCTTGCTGCCTACAGGAATTAAGCTTCCGTCGAAGAGCAAGGCAGAGCAATATCTGTTCAAGGAGCGTGTTCTTAGGCACCGATCGAATGGACACTCTGTGGACAGCACTTCTTCGTCGTCTTCGTTTTCGTCGTTGGAGGCTCCGCCAACGCGACCGTCGTTTCCTGTAGGACCCTCGACCACCGCACAGGTGATGGATGCCTTGCGCTCCACCCATGACCAATATCTGTCGTCAATTGCCGCCTTCATTGGACACGCACATTCGCATTCACGCTCCTCGCATGCCTCCAGCACCGGTCATATGTATGAGCTGGTCCGCGAGATCGTGGAGATGGTGTGCAAGCTTTTGACTATCGTCGACGCAGTTCTCCAGCATCGGGATATCCCAGCCAATAAGCTGTCGAATCTGCAAGCCGCCAAGGACGGACTCTACGATGTGACCAGCACGCTCGCAGAATCTGTTCGGGTGCTCACTGTAACGGTGGCACCGACCATGTCTGAGGAGGAAGAGAAGCAGGCGCTTTTGCGGTCAGCAACTGGGGCTCTCAAAGTCGGTGCTGATTGTGTGGCTGCAGTCAAGATGTGTCTGAGCCGATCGAGCGGGGAGCGTCCATTCATCCTCAATCTACCCAACGCTTCAGAAAGCATATCATTCACCCCCAGCAAGTTCTCGATCAAGCCTCCTCTCGCGAGATCAAGCAGCATGGGCGCTTTGAAGTATGCTTACGAAGAGGAGTCTACCCAGCCGACGCCCTCCCGAGCGTTGGCTGAAATTTCGTCTGGGTCGGAGAGCAGCGGGTTGTCCCACTCGAGTTCAGTGCAGTCGCAGGACACACATGTCACATCACCGGACAGCGGCCTCCACAGTGATGCACTGAGCGAGCTGCCGCCTCTCTCGCCGACGTCTCTCATGAGCGGGGACGATGGCACAACCTGGGAAGGCAGTCGTAACCACGCAAGTGAGGAAAAGGCACTGGAAGAGAAAATCTTGCGCGGAGAGCTGCCCTCTGTTCCACCCGAGGAGGCGGGCGCGCTGTTGCAAGATCCCGTTGCATGGATGCTATCGCATGACTACTTGACGGAAGATGTGGCGTACAACAACGACGGCCTCCTTGTCGGCGCTACACTCGATGTCCTGGTCGAGAAGATGACACCGCATGACAGCATAGTGGATCCTGCTTTCTCTGCTGTCTTCTTCTTGACGTTTCGGCTGTTCTCGTCGCCGATCGAGCTAGTCGACACGATTATCCGACGGTACAACCTTGTTCCGCCAGCGGGCATCTCGAACGAAGACATCCAGCTTTGGCAGCAGCGCAAGGGCATCCCGGTGCGGCTGCGCGTGTCCAACTTCATCAAGCTGTGGGTGGAAATCTACTGGCGGGCGGGTGTTGATGAGTCAGCCCTCGAGCCTTTGATCAATTTCACGCACAATGGTTTGGCTGTGATGTTCCCTGGCCCTGCACAGCGAATCAAGGACCTTCTCGATCTCCGGGTCAAGTCAGTTGTCAGTCCCAAGAGTGAACGCACGCGCGACCCAGGGATGTCGATCAACCCGCCCTTGGCGCCTCTGGTGGTGGGCGAGATCCCGCGGCCGTTAATGACCAAGACGCTCCTCTCGCATCTGCGGTCCAGGAATTTTGCAGCAATCGCTATCACGGATTTCGATGCGCTGGAGCTTGCGAGACAGCTGACGATCATGGAGTGCAATCTCTACTGCGCAATACAGCCCGAGGAGATCTTGGAGACTGGGCAAGAAGGAGCCAAGCCGCCTCTTAACGTCAGGGCCGTCTCTTCGCTGAGCACAGCCATCACTGGCTGGGTTGCAGAGAGCATCCTCAGCGAACCTGATGCGAAAAAGCGCACGCTGCTCGTCAAGTTCTTCATCAAAGTCGCTGATGTGAGTGCTTCTATTGATACCAGCTGTAATCTAACCTTCTCCCACAGCGGTGTTCGTCGCTGAACAACTTCAGCACCCCGAGATCGATGTTGGCTGCTCTAGATTCCTCAACCATCTCGCGCCTGCATCAGACCTGGCTTGTGAGTCTGCTCTGATGTCATTCCTACCAGGCGCTCATCCTGCGCAGGGTCTACCGCAGAAAAACCGTGCGCAACTCGAGACATTGCGACGTCTAGCAGACCATTCCCGCAACTACCACGAGTACCGTTCAAAACTACGGAGCACTGCTCCCCCTGCTGTCCCGTTCCTCGGACTATACCTGACCGACGTTACGTTCTGCCGAGAAGGCAACCCATCCCACCGAACTTCTCCTGTGAATGCATCGAAGAAATTAATCAACTTTAACAAATACCACAAACTAGCTCGGATCGTGCAAGGCAAGTCATGGTATCGTTGAGTCACAGGGAGCGCCACTGAACCTATTCTCAGACATGCAGCGATTCCAGGTCCCGTACCATCTCAGGGGAATTCCTGAAGTTCAACAGTACCTCACTGGCGCGTTTGAGATGTCCAAGCACCACGGAGATCTCCAAGATCTGTATCGACGAAGGCGAGCAGTACCTCCTTTGCTCACCCGATCGAGACTTATCTGATCACAGCCTTCTCGTCGAACCACGGCAGCCGGCAGACAACTCGGCAGCCCCGGATATGCGACCTTTGTTCGGTTGGGCCAGCAGGTCAACGGCCCCGACACCTTCATGAGGATCCGCGTCGTCTGTTCCAGTTGTGTCCTCCTTTGCTCTGCATGCCACATCCTAGCCTCTTCTTTCTGGATTCATCTCGCATATGTCATTTGTTCATATCTGTCCTGCATATTAACCATTATTGTTGTTATGTCTGTATCCATACATACTGTTCATCCATGTCATTTCCGACGGACGATTGGTGGCTGTGCACTATCTCTTCTCATACATTAACCACCAGACCAATGCACTTGTCGCGTTTACGTTCCACTTTGCCTCGCGCGCCGCGTCGGTTCTTCGCGTCAACACAAATCTCGCGAAATAAAGCGAGCACGAGCGCGAACGCGAATGCGAAGCTTCCGGCAGGCTCTCCGTCAACACCGAATGAACCAGGCGGTCGGGGCGATTTCAGAAGTCCTTGGTTCTTCAAAGCTGTCGGAGTCGGTAACTTCATTGTCATTCCAGGTGCGAATAGCGAATGACACTCCTGCGCTCACTTGACTGAATGAGCATACACCAAGCTGTCGGCATCTACGCGTTGTTTTTCTGGGACTGGGGAAACGACGACAGAGAGACTGTCGTGCAGCCCGTGCGCTACGTCTTGATCTGGTCATTCTTCCGCTGAGAGTTCTGTTCCAGGCAAGAAGGTGGCTGCAAGAAAAAAGGGACGCCTTCTACGGTGTTTCGTCCGAAGCGGACGGCTCTTTGGATGCCCCTCCCCTCGACACATCGAGGCTATCGACTGCTGGGCTGCCGAAAGGCTTTTTCAAGCCGTTCTTCCGCGTTCTTGGAATCCAGCCGGGAGGGCCTGCGGAAGTCGCGGTGTGTTTCAGTGTCGTCTGGTTCTTCGAGGAAGCTGAACTCTTAATCAGGGCTTGCATGAAGAAGACTTGGTGATGTCGTTTGGAGAGACTCCGGTGAGAGACATGGCGCCGAAAACGTACTCCCAGATGATCCGGGCCGCCACGGAACAAGAGGTTTGTTCGTTTTCCGAAGATGGAGCGGAGGGCTTAGAAGCGTGCTTCAGACTCCCTTGGAACTACTTGTTCTGCGAGACGGAAAGCATCTTTTGCTCCTGCTGACACCCACACAAGAAGCTGGATTGGGGTGCGTTATCCTTGGAGTTCTTACTTCTATCTGCTCACGAACCACCGTCTCAGATGCAATTTCCAGAGATACCAGCCCGGAGAAGTCACGCGCGATCGGAGAAGCTAATATACATTTGGTTTACGAGGCTGAGTACATACTATGCTGCCCGGCGACGGCGCCACTAATCAGATATAGTGCAGCCCGGAATTCAAACAGAGGGTCGTCGGACTCGTCGATCCCCTGTATGCGGGGGATGGGGTCGAATATGATCTGCTTTTGCGCGACAGCATTGTCTGGGACGAGCGTGTCCAGGGAGAAGATACCTAGCACTATCTTCTGTCTGTCTGCAGGCCATGCTACCGTCGTGTCATCAACGTTGTCGCCGTCCTGTGCGACTTGCAGCAGGATCTCAAAGGAGATAGGGCCCCGCGCGATGCGCGCCTGAAGCTCGTCGAACAGATAGCTCTCGCCCTTGGCTTTGGCCGTCACTTGGTCGAGATATTGCGCGCCTGCGCTTGGAACGATCGAATATCTCCCGTAGCGTGTCTCCCCCGTCCGGCTGGTGAACTTGAAAGCGTGCAGTGCGTAGTACGCCTCGTTAGCGAAACTGGTCGAAAATGGTTTCGGGGTCTCGACAAACGTCTTTGCCGCCGGATGCGAGACCAAGAAGTCTGCGACTGAGCCCTCAGCCGATGCCCTCATGAATTCGAGGAAGCCCCGGCCGTCGTGAGCGGGAAATGTGGGGGTGGAGATCCCAATGATATCCGTGTGTTTGTGCTCGGCGAGATTGAAGCGGAGAGCGACCCCTCGTGGGTTTGCGTTCGGATCGTTGTCGGGAATCAGAGGCAAGCCCGTTGAGCTCGAGAAGCGAGCCGTCACAGGCGTGGAGGCTTGGTGAAAGTGGGGCGCAGCACTGAGCGCAGCCGCGTCGGGAGTCGGTGTGAATGATCCCGTCAGCATCACTCCACGAGCATGGCTGGGTCGGAACCCAGGATGCAGCTCAAACATCTGGTCGAAGAGCGCGATGATTTCCTCGCTGGGACATGTTCAGTCTCTTCTTGAGATGGCCAGCAGGCGGATGCTTGCCTGAGAGTCACAAGCTTCTGGTCAGAGGGAAGAGGCATGTCGAGGTGTTGAGCTGCTGAGTTAATTCGGGTTTATAAAGACGCTCCACATCGTGATTCATTCCTATTCCATGGCCAATGGATGGATCGCACATAGAGGGGATGGCGTCAAGAGGATGAGATCATCCGCGTTCACGCGACGCGTTCATTCAATCGTGATCTACTCACGTGCCATGATTACGCTGCCGAATGGGGAAACCAAATTTTAAGCTTGATCTTCCTCCTCCCATGGCACGCAAACGCAAAAACCGAACCCATCTTAAGGGCGCACAGCCTGACACCAACACACACGAAGGCGACCCAAGTCGTTCATCATCAAGCATGGTCAGGTCGGCCACTCCATCTCTCAACTCGTCCGCGATTTGCGCAAAGTCATGGAACCTAATACGGCCAGTCGGTTACGGGCACATCGTTTTCTTTTCACTCGGGACTTGCTCTGAAACGAACCGCAGGAAAGACAACGGAATAAGCTGAAAGATTACCTCACCATGGCACCCGCTCTGCATGTCACACATCTGCTAGCCCTCACCGTCACGGATGTTGCGCCGTCTCTGCGAATAATTCGATTGTCCTCAGGTCCAACATTGAGCTTCCGGATCGAACGCTACAGTCTGATGAAGGATATACTCAACTCATCGCGGAGAGCACGGAGTATCGGGATGGAATACTTGAGCCCGCCTCTCGTGCGTCCCTCCTCTTCGTGCGTCCGGCGACACGCTCACAGTGAGCTTCTAGTTAGTTCTGGCCTCATTCCCGCCTCCTGGACCAGGGACACCCCCGCATCTCACTCTCGTGATGAAGTCCTTCCAATCGCTCTTTCCGTCACTCTCCCCGAAGAACCTGGCTTTATCATCCGCTCGACGGATAGTCCTGGTCGCTTACAATCCGGATAGAGGGACCGTCGACATCCGACACTACGTCATCACTGTCCGTCCGTACGGGATTTCTCGCCGTGTGCGCCGCGTTCTTGAGGGCGCGCGTGGCCAGGAGGTGTTGGATCTGGGCAACGAGCGCGACGTCGCAGACTTCTTGTTGCGGAAACGAGGAGAGCTGGGTCCTGACGGCGGATACGAGAGTGCCGCGTCGTCAACAGAGAGTGTAGCAGGCGATGATGCTGACGCGGTGGATCTGGCGGACGACTACGTCGGTCGGAACAACAAGAAGGGCCAGAGGAAGGCGGTCAAGCTGGACGAAGTTGGCCCGCGGCTGGAGCTGCGTCTGGTCAAAATCGCAGAGGGTGTTCCAGGAAAGGAGGGTGCCGTGATTTATCACGAATTCGGTGAGTTGTGTGCTGCCGATGTTCGAGCCTGGATTCACAGGTGCAACCACAGTGAAAAAGTCTAAAAAGGAGGTGGCTAATCTCCAGGCTTCCCATCTCGCCAAGGAGAAATTGAGGAAAGAGCGACGAGAGCAGCAAGAGCGGAACGTAGCTGCCAAGAAAAAGGGCAAAGCAAAGGCAGGAGACGAAGACGACGAGGAAGAGGGCGAGGACCAGGAAAACGATGAGGGAGACAGCGTCGATGAGGCGGACGAAGTTTATGACGATGAAGATGAGGGCCACTGGGATGAAGATGAGGAAATAAGCGATGGAGATGAGGAAGCCGAGGAAGAGCCTGACGAGAGCAGTGAGGATGAGCAGCCGGTCAGGCCAGTCAAGAGGGCTAAAATTCGGGCTAAAAGATAGCAGAGCGTGAAATGAATATGTCCACCTGCAGCGATACCCTCAGCTCGCGCACGACGCGTCTGATCGTGCATGCACATGGCCTGTGACCGTGGGAATCACTTTCCTTATTCTCACAGTCTCACAACAAACCACGCCTCGCTTAAATTTCTCTCGCTCTGCGTCGAAATGCCCACACCGGCGAGCACGCTCAAAGCGTCTCTGGAAGCTCACAACTCAACATTCGAGTCCCTCCTGTCCCTCATCCCGGCAAGATATTATATATTGCCGGAGTTGACAGAAGAGCAGGTGCCTTGTAACATTACCCTGCCCACACGGCGTGCTGACTATCAGGCTCGATTAGGCCGCGTCCAAATTCCAAAAACACAGCAAGAAACAAAAGGCACCCAAGCAAGCTATCAAGGAGGCCTCCAAGAAGGCAAGGCGCGAGAAGGTGCGTTCACAGTCCCATGGCTGCGATCTGTCTGAACACCAACTGTAGCTTGATCCCGAAAACCACAAAACCATCGTCGAGCTCCAAAATGAAAGCGCTTCCTTCAAGTCTCTTACGAAATCCTCTGCCAAAGGAAAGCGCAAAGCTGCAGAGGACGATGACGATGATGACTCGGATGAGGATATGTCTATGGCCGTAGATGTGGATCTGGGCTCGGATGATGCTGTGAAGAATGACGCAGACGCGGAGATGACGGATCTTGTGCCCATGCCTGCTGAAGGTGGTATCGAGGCGTTGCGGGAAAAGCTGCATGCACGCATGGCAGCACTGCGCCGGGGTGGTCAGCGGGTGCTTGGGAGTCCCATGGGAGACAAGGATGCACTGTTGGACGAGCGTAGACAGCAGAGGGCAGCGATGAGAGAGCGCAGGAGGAAGGAGACCAAAGAGAAGATACGGAGAGAAGAGGAAATGAAGGGCAAGGGCAAGGGCAAAGAGAAGGAAAGAACGAAGGGAAACATTGCACAGGTGGGCAAATCGTCTTGTTGCAGCTCCGATGCATGGATCTCATCTGCCACATCTTAGACGCAGTTACTCGTATCTGATTCCGCATCCTCTCAGCATCCGGCGCCTGGGTCTGCTGCTTCAAAAGTCACAACAGTCGCGTTTGCCAATGTTGCTGGCTCTTCCTCCAAATCGCACAACCTCAAAACATCTTCGAATCCCACTCAAGCCCTTGCGCAGATCGCCTCTCGCAAGGAAAAGCTAGCCGCGTTGCCGGAAGACAAGCGCAAAGCCATCCAAGAGAAGGAGAAATGGGAGAAGGCTGCAGCGCGACTCGAGGGAGTCAAAGTTCGCGATGACGAAGGCCGGCTGAAAAAGGCCGTGAAGCGGAAAGAGAAGGAAAAGGGGAAAAGCAAGCGCGACTGGTGTGTCACATTGGTCCCGGTATTTTTTGTTGTTCCTTACCCAGTTGATAGGGACGAGCGCAAGGAGCAGCTTACAGCGTCTTTGGCAGCCAAGCAGAAGAAGCGTACTGACAACATTGCTATGCGAAACGAGAAACGTAAAACGGGCGGTAGCAAAGGCAAAACAAAAGCTCGGCCAGGTTTCGAGGGCAAGTCCTTCGGCAAAAGTGGAAAAGGCAAGGGCGGTAGCAGTGGAGGGAAGAAATCCAAGTAGTGCACAGGATAATGCATCCCATACCCATATGGTCTAGTGATGAGTCCCGTTGTAGTCAAGCTCGGTTACAGCAAGGCTCATTCTGAATCCAGCGGATGGCTGCTCGGCCCGATCAGACCCATGTGAAGCCAGGTGAGGGGGGAATCTGACCTGGCCAGTGCCATACTCCTCGACAACTGCAAGGTAGACCTTCCTCTGTGCCGGAGATCCAACAGCCCATCCGCCCAGCTTAGAGAAATCGGGCATTGTCAGTGTGGCGGGCACCAGATTGGTAGGTGATGGATTTGCTGCGCAACATGGACAATCGTCCAACGGCTGAAGATCGAGACGAACCAGGGTAGTTGGCAACGGAATAGCGACCGAAGTAATAGCCCGTGGCAAATGTCTCCGAGGGATCGAAGAATCTGGAGGTCTTCGAGCGAACAATTAGATGCATTGGGCGACGAACGCTTACTTTGGCGGAGACGTGAACAGCCACACTGTGAGTGCGAAGCTTGATACACCGTAATCTGCGATGGACTGGTAGTCAAAGTTGAATTGCGTATTCGGTGAGATGAAGGAGTGCTTCTTGGGAAGCAAAATCGCAGGTGTAGCCGCACAGACAGCCGGAATGGCTAGAAGAGTGCAGCAAAGAGTCTTGAAGAGCATTGGTCGTTGCTGGCCCTGGTTCAATCATGAGGTATTTTGTAGTCCTAAGAGCAACGAGCGCATTACGCTCATCGCTTCGCACGCGGTTGATCCGTGAGGTCGAGGAGCAGAAGCCAGGGTCAGGCGCCGCACGCCAATGGAGCGAGACTTGCCTCAAACCAACGCGGTCAGGGACCGAGCAGTCATGGCTCACGAGGACCAGTCAATTGGATGGCCGGATGCTCGTACAATGCGAGGTCGCTATTATGTAGTGCAGTACAATTATTCAAAAGTGCTGGGTATCCGGTCAGTCACAGTCAAGTGAAGAGCAGGGCCGTTGGAATTCACCGGATGCATCTCTAATCTGGTCGTGGATCAATCGTCTCTCCAGTTGACAAGCCCCGATGACCATCTATCCTCCCATATGGCTCGTTTGTGATAAGCCTTCCTTGATTCCTTAAACTCCCGGATGAAGTCATCGACTTCCCGTGCAGCCGTTGCCGCGTTTTGTGGGTCAATCGCGGATTGCTGAACAAACGCAGACGCAAGGGCTTCAGAGGCATCATCTTGTGCAACTTTGCTGTGCTTAAGCCGCATAAGGAGAAACTGAGGACTAAAACGCTGCGAAGTTGGTCAACAGGCGCTTCCACTGAGATGTATGCACACGAAACGCACTTGATACACCTCATGTTGCTCTTTCTCCAGCTCCTTCCATCTCGCCAGAAGCCGCTTCGCTTCATCGAATGCCGCCTGCGTCTCTGCACGTAATTGGTGCAACGGATCTTGCAGCGACATATTATGTTCTGACTCCATCAGTTCGCACCTACCAAGGGTTCCAGCGTACTCACTAGCAATAGACTCATTAGCCATCCCCAGCTCGGCCTGAGATTCATACATGGCCTTGACGCGTGGAAGCGAGTGGAACATGGCTTGGAAATAGACGGGGTCGTTCAACATGTCTTCAAGATCCTCTCGGCTGGAGTTGAGAGTTGGGTCAACCCATTGAAAACGAGGGCATAGTAGGTTCCGCACGATAGTCCCGCAAGTTCTGGAAAATCTCTGACCAGAGGTGAGTTCATGCTGAACTGAACCAACTTGGCCGGCCGCAACTGTGACTGGGAGGCGGGGAAGCCAGATAGCACTCCACGTGCTGACTGGTATTCGATCACGCTGACTAACGGATGCGCCGCTGCCCAATAAGTTTCAGTGTGCAGCCTTGGTACAGTCCCTGTAATTACTCACTTTCGTCCTTCGTCACCTATGTGTCTATGCTGCTCACGTTTCTTACGCTTTGAGCGAGTAAATTCCACCCATTTACGTATTCCGCATTGCGATAACCCTGCTTCAGACTCGAATTCACGAGCTATCGGAATCCATACCGCGATAATTGTGACTAGCGTGACACTCCCTAGACTTGCACTACGACCATGGCCACCACGGCCTATACAATCAAATCCCACTACGACCCCGTGGACCGCGAGCGCCTGGAACAGGAGACGGGCCAGAGTGGGGACATCACGGACTCGGCTGATGTATGGGACGTGGAGGCACAAGCGACGTTCAAGCGAAAGCTAGCCCCACCGCCTCATTTTGTCCCTGCAGGGTCCTTGTCGACATTACAGCCATCCGAGCACCTGGAACTTCCATCGAGCTCTCTGGGAATTGCGGGTTGGTACAAGTCTTTACCGCGCGCTGTTGAGCCCACCACTGTTCCTAGTAAATCTTTGGCTTCCGACACCCATCCACTACCGCGATCATCTATAAAGCCTCCCCCACCCGAAACGCGAACTAAGAACAATTGGTTCATCCAAAATGTCCTTAGCACCCAACCGGTTGCGGCAGTAGCCCCGCCGCCGACACTCGCGGACATCCTCGCGCGGGACCCACCTCCGTTACCCCACGAGCCTCAGCACTCTCCGCCGATATGGCTTGCAATCGGTCCGTCCAACAAAGGATACGAGATGCTGCAGAATAGAGGGTGGAATGAGGGAGAAGCTCTGGGCATCGGTGTTCTTAGGGCGAATCGGATGCGGCCAGAGCCGGAAGTCATCGACTTGACTGAGCCCGACCGTGACCCCGAGTCGGATGATTACTCAGAGCCAGAAATCGCGTCAGCCTCCGGGTCCTCATCGCGCACTGCATTGGTGACACCGATCGCCACGGTTCTCAAGTCGGATCGGTTGGGGATCGGTCTGAAAGCCAAGACTGTCGGTCCGTACCGCGCATCGCAGAAGCGCGTCACGCACAACGCTGCTGCCATGCTTGCTCACGTGAAAGCTGCGGAAGAGTTGAGGAAACAGAAACGGAGATATGGCCGCGGATATCGTGGACATGCGCGCCAGGAGAAAGCACAGAACAGACAGCGACGGGAGATGCTCGCATATCTCAATGAACCCTGAACTAGAATGCATCCGGCTTATAATACAATTAAGACGTTATGTTTCTCCCCATCCCCCTTCCCTGCATTTGACTTCTGATACAAACATCTGTAACCACTGCATCCTGAATATGAAAGCGATTAGAACCTTGGGATTGACAAGGGCACAGCGGACTGACATCTCTTTGCTCAGGTTGCAACGTGTGACATCTATGGATCGTAGGCGCACTGGGCCCAGATACACCGCAGAATGGGACCCACGTCCAACAGGTAATGCGCGTAATCGAGCATGCTCTGCTGCCGCAGTCGACGCCGACGAGACCGCCGGGAGGGAGTGTCTGTGGGAGGGATACGAGACCGTGTTGGCAGGCAAACGGGATTCCACAAATGTTCGAAGCGAGTCCCAATCCAGGGAAGTGCAGCCATCGAGCACGAACGTGTCTAGTTTGGGACAAACCCAGGGTTGAGGAGATGATAGTCCCTGATCGATGCTCAGTAGACTGCCATGCGACGGAAGGAGAAGACTTACTCGAAGTAGACCAGCAGATGCGTCCTCGACATCGACTAGTTCTAGACATACCAGCGACGAAAGCCGCCGCAAGAGACTGACGAGTTTGAGCTCGTTGAAAAGCGATGACTCGATCCGTAGCCGCCGTAGAGGTAGCCTGGTCAACGCTTGAACGTAGAGTAATTGAAGAATCGGCGTGACATTTTCGAGATAGCACAGGTCCAGCGATTCGAGGTTAGGACTCGAGAATTGCGCCATCAGTTGCTGCGTCAAAGCAATGCCCGCGTAGTGAAATGAGGCTTTCCTGAGCCGGGGAAGATGGACCACCTTCGCTAAAGGCGGCGGGTCGAAGTCCTGCAGACCAGCGCAGGGAGCGCAATCTACATCCGATAGATTGCGCAGAGAGATTTCCTCCAGCTGGGGGCTCTCGCAAAGAATCCCTGCCGGCGTTTCAACGACAAAGCATCATTCAGGTCGGGAAAGGTTCGAACCGAGCAGAGTGTTCGTTGATGGAGTGTGAGCATTGAAGTATCCGCCTAGCCGCAACACTCGCAATCGACAAGCAAGCCCGACATCCCACCCGAAGTTGAAGGACGTCATAGAGCATGACCATAGGCGAGGTGTACGGCCATTGAAAAGCGGTAGGGGGGATGCAGCTCTTGCATTATCCTCACCTATCGCATGGTATATCCGTATCGAGAGCACTTCTAGCATCGGTGCATCTTCCTTGCACCGCAATAAAACCGCGTTGGCTTGCGGACGAGTGGGCACATGCAGTCGAAATGATTTCACCCGCCACAGAGCTGGCCGGAAAAGGTCCATCGCCCGCACCACCTGCTCGGTCACCCCCATGGTATGTTCCATCCGCAGTCCGAATATGATCGATATGTCCAAAGGACATGACTTTGAGCGACCCAGCTTCCGTCGGGCCTGCTCAATAGAGTGCAGGGGTCCGACAGCGATCTTGGCCCATAATGACGGAGTGCCAAGCACGACATCCTGCCAGTGGCGGCTGCCGATGCGTCTTAGTCTGAGGGGTAAAGATGGACAGGGATTCATGAGCACGTACCAAACAAGCATTAGCGTAGGGAGCATCACAGCGGTCTTGTCCTCCTCCGGGTGCTCCTGCACATCATCCACATCGTTCAAGACCCCAACGACAAAGATGGAGGCGAGCAGTTCCCCCGGTAGACGAAGGACGGGAGACTGCAGACGCACGGCTTGCTCCAGGCGTAGCTCAAGTTCGCGACGCTCTCTCATCAACAAGGCCATTTTCGAGTCCAGGGAGTTGATCGCCTCGCGCAGTCGCGGAATCAGCACGTTGCTCTGCACTACGGGAGGGGCGCGTGGGGAGGCATGAGTCTTGGGCGTAGGCGTTGGCAGCGAGGAGATGGAGTACGGCCGGACCGGACCGCGGCTGCGGGGGCCACAAGCGTTGGCGGGGACGCACAGAGGGTAGGTGCTCATATGATGTGGCGCTCGCAAGGTACGTTGATGTCCTAAATATCGTGAGTGCCGCGCCGCGTCGATATGGGGATAGAGCTCACAAACGAGCCTCGAGGTTCTGGCGGCTGCATTTCATCCATATCGATTGTCAAGCCCGGAAGTGAGTATGCGTACCTTTGCCCGGAGAACGACGAGAAAGCGCTATCGGACTGGTAGAGAGGGCACGACGAGGTCCGAAGCTCTGCACGAGGCGGGGCATGGAAAGGATCCTCGAATCTCCCTTTTACGGCGGGAATGGTGACCTGCATCGTGGGACGAGGATTCAACGCGTGTTCGCGAATGTTGGCCTCGAGGCAAGAAAACAAATGGACATTGATTGGATTACATCAGCGCAAGGTACACGAGGAGGCTCTGCCGACCCAAACTTCCGGATGCACGACAGCTTCGAATCTTGGTATCTCAAGATGTTGACCGGCTTTGGTTCCCAAGTGGTTCTACTCTAAGTTGTGAATCAGAGAGATGCGACATTACGGCGAGCGGCGCGGTAGTAAGTAAACTGAGCGAGGACCTTCCAATTGGGTCAATCGCAAGCTCGGCTGTTTACATGCATTGACTCACAATGAGGTCCAGAAAAACAGTAAGCGCACTTCCTATGAGATACAAACCACTTCAGCCGGAGCGACACATTGCAAAATGAATGCACTTGCCGGCGAGCCAGCTAGCATTCATGATCAGATAATCGCGATCGACACTTTTGGCGATAATTGAGCACGAGTAGGTCAGGTTGCCACTAATGGCAAAGAAGAACAGTGCTGATTAGATGCATCAGTTGCTGTCCATCTCGCCCGATGGCTCTTTAGCTTTGTCGCACCTGGAGAAAGACCTTCACACTGTGTCTGGATGTTTTTGGCTGCGAGCTAGAGTCAAAAAACATATCAAAAAGCGGCCCATAATTACCTATTTGGGGCAGTCTCGATCCTAGCTGGAATTCTAAATTTCGTGCAGGGTCCGAAAACACAAGACATACATAAAGCACTGCGCTCGTCCAGCCAAGGATCTGGATTGTCCATTGCAGCGCCGGACTCGTGGGCGACGGCGCAGGGGTTCGTCCTTCCCGCCGTTTCGCGATATCCACCAAGCAAGAGTTCCCGTCGCGAGAACAAACGAGAGCGCCCCGAGATAACGAATGACTACGGCCATCGCCGAGGACTGGGCCGGGACATCGGCTCCGTCTCCCGCCAACAGAGGTGCCCGCTCGTCAGATGCCCCTTGAAGGTCAAAGCGGCTTCTCTTCCACCGGTAGTAATATATCTGAACCATCAGAGTGATGTCGCAGAACGTGTACTGATGGGTGTTCAGTTGATGCGCCCCGTGGATCGAAATCGCGAAGCTTGAAGCGACTCACGTAGCAGGCTATAATGATAACCGTGGGCAGCAGATTGGCGAGTGCGGCGCCGACCTGCAGAAGTTTCAGAATTTCCAACAGACGGTTCCGTCAAAAGCTGATATACCCACCAAGTTACAGATATCCCCTAGTAGCCTTACATAATGGATTCAGAGATTGATCTTTGGTCTAGAGGCCCAAGTTGGCATTACCATATGGCGACGAACATCACACTCAAGCCCTCGCCGGATTGAAGTTCTGGCCCGTCGTCATTTCCACGTGCGACATTTGGCAAAAGAAGAGTACTCACTATAGTTTTCATATAGCTGGGGCGAGTATACGACGATCCTGGAGTAATTCTATGAGGAGGGTCGAGAGCATGTCAGTCAAATAGGACACACCAGCACGCGATGGAGATCCAGCCGAGCTGCATTATGCGTTCAGCTAACCATCTTAAAGCGGATTCCCCCTCACGGCACTGCTCAGCTCCTCGTTTCCCTCCGACAGCATTGCAGATGAACCAAGAGAAAATGGCAAGAAAATGGCAAGAAAATGGTGCAGAGCAAGTCCAGAGCGATTGGGACTCATAATATCGCTGACGTGAGGCATTGTGACGCGACGTGACGCGTCTCTTCCTGCCGAACTCACACTCACCTCACACACAAAATGGACCAGGAAGCCATGCGCAAAATAGCCAACCAGCTCAAGAACGCTGGTCGAGGCGGGCCTGGCAGGGGCTTCTTTACTGGTTCCGGCGCACTTCTTGCTCTAGTTGCTGGTGGTGTCGCTCTGAACTCCAGTTTGTTCAACGGTTGGGACATATCAAGCCATTTCGCAGCAGTGGTTCTCATTAAGACTTTCAGTGGATGGTGGACACCGGGCTATCAAATACACGCGGTGTGTCCAATCCGAGAGGTCGCTTGCGTCGAACTGAGCGTTTGGACAGACTACACGGTGTGAAGAACGAGGTGTATCCGGAAGGGACCCATATAAATGTGCGCTCCCGAAGCTCCGGCTCGGACATGCTCTCAAATTAAACTCACAAGATTCCGTGGTTTGAAACCCCATCATCTTCGACATAAGAGCGAAACCGCGAAACGTCGCTAGTTTGACTGGAACCAAAGGTCCGCCCACTGTCGTTCAGCCCTTCTGAGACTCACCGCGCGTGCCTTTCAAGATCTTCAGATGGTCAACATCACCTGCCGTGTTCTGTCCCGACCATCAGTGCGTGACCTGCCTCAAATCTACCGCGACCTAGGGCAGGACTACGACGAGCGCGTGCTTCCCTCAATCGTGAACGAGGTTCTGAAGAGTGTGGTCGCTCAATTCAATGCCAGTCAGCTGATCACCCAGAGAGAAAACGTGCGCCTTGATTCTCATTACAACCGGTTTCGTGCTCATTGGTTCGCTCTAGGTCTCTCGATTGGTCCGTGAGCAGTTGACCGAGCGAGGAATGCGTTTCCACATCGTGCTTGACGACGTCTCCATCACACACGTCGCATTCTCTCCTGAATTTACACATGCTGTGGAAGCTAAGCAGGTGCGAGTCTCTCTCATCTGCTGGGAGTGTCGATCTTATGGCATCAAAGGTTGCGCAACAAACTGCTCTCCGGGCTGCCTTCTTGGTTGATCAGGCTGTACAAGAGAAACAGGTATGTTCCGCGTACCTCTGCCACTGCACATACTAAGATTGTTTGAAGTCAATCATCGTCCGTGCGCAGGGAGAGGCGAAGAGTGCGGAGTTAATCGGTGATGCGATGCGTGCCAACAAGGGTTTCCTTGAGCTACGACGACTGGAAGCGGCCAGAGAAATCGCCACTGTTCTGTCGACGTCTGGAAATAACGTCATGTTGGACTCGGCCAGCCTGTTGTTGAATGGTGTGTCGATCAATGCCACATAAACATCGTTCCTGACAGTTTCTCAGTGGCTGAAGCTAAAGAGAAAAGCAAGTAGTCGGTGATACAAAATCTGTGGTTCACAACCAAAAAGAATTAATCCCTTGACTGGAACGGAGCTTGGGCTGTCAATGGAACGACCGAAACGCGAAAGGTGAGCTAGGGGCCATTCAAATTGCAAAATGCTGCATAGCCATGAAGTTTTCCACGTGACTGTTCATCCGCACCGAAACTGTGTAGGAATCGAGCATCGCCCGGAACAGGTGATACACCTGAAGGTGCATTCATCAAGGAGGTGGCAAGGGGGCGGGATCGCGCCAAGTGCAACGTCGGGGCTCAAAAAGCGCGATATACCGAGGCCCGACCGGGGGCAGGTCTCGACGGGAGCGGTCACTGATGCCCGTGCGGTGTCGCCATTACGATTAGGCTTGGCAACCATCCTCGGGCTCCACTAGCCGACACATCAGCGACGACACATCTACCCGAGCACATATAATGGGCGCCACACGAAACATGAGTGCAACCATCCGCCGCCCATGGCACTCCCACTTTTGCTCTCCCTTCTCTCCCTACTGGCGGTCGCGTCCGCGTCGCCGTCTGCACGACCTAATCTCGAAAAGCGCGTCTCGGGCATTACAACGTCCTCTGCGGGCATCAATGGCAGCACGTTTGACTACATCGTCGTCGGTGGAGGCCTCGCGGGGATGACCGTTGCATCGCGTCTGTCCGAGGACCCCAACATCACCGTGCTCCTCATCGAGGCGGGTCAGGACGACCGATCGAACTCCCAGGTGTATGATATCTACGAATACAGCGCTGCCTTTGGCGGGCCGATGGATTGGGCCTGGACGGCGGAGCAGGGGAAAACCATCCACGGGTTTGTGTAGTGTTCCATCTGCCCGACCGCTCTCATGTTTTCTGTCTTCATTAGGGGGAAGACGCTCGGCGGCAGCACTTCGATCAATGGCGCGCATTGGACTCGTGGGACCAAAGCGCAATACGACGCGTGGTCCACGCTTCTGGAGCCTAGCGAGGCCAACGTTGGATGGAACTGGACGGAATGCTCCCTATATGCAGAAGGCGGGTACAGCTTTTTTGCGTCGGCAAGATTGTACTTATCCGAATTGCGTCCAGGCGGAAGGTTTCTCCGCTCCGAACGACCAGCAGGCCGCCAAAGGCGCACAGTCCATTGCTTCGTATCACGGCACTTCCGGCCCAGTCCAAGTCACGTATCCAGACTTGATGTACGGGGGCCCGCAACAGCCTGCTTTTGTCGATACGATCGTTGGCCTCACCGGGATCAATCACTACAAAGACCTGAATGGAGGGACGCCCAACTGCGTGTCCATCACCCCTCTGTCGCTCGACTGGCACAGAAACGACCATCGCTCCTCTTCGGTCGAGGCGTATCTCACCCCAGTCATCAATCAGCGCACAAACTGGGTCACCCTCGCGCGTCACATCGTGACCAAGATCAACTGGGCCAACCCAGGAAGCACGCCCTTGAAAGCATCGGGTGTTGAGTATGCGTACTGGGTCAACCAGCCTGCGAGGTACAACGTGAAAGCGAGGCGGGAAGTCATCATTGCCGCGGGTGCCATCCAGGTTCGATTCTTATATCCTCCCCGCTATTGTTTGGTACTGATGGCCTCGCAGACCCCGGTGTTGCTTCAACAATCCGGTGTCGGGGACCCTGCAGTTCTGGGGCCGCTTGGGATCACCACCCAAATTCCTCTGACCACTGTCGGCCGCAATTTGCAAGAACAGGTTCGTCTTACTGAATTTGGTGCTGGGTGTATCTTATCTTCAATAGACTATGAACTCCCTGGGCGCCAATGCTGTCTCTAGTTTCGACCCGAACGGCCAAGGCCCATCAGATGCGATCGCCTTCCCGAATATCTATCAGGTGTTTGGCGGCGACGCCAGCACCAAGGTTGCCCAAATCCAGGGCAACCTGTCCAACTGGGCTGCGTCTCAAGCGGGCTCTGCGCTCTCAGCTTCTGCGTTGCAGCAGATCTTCCAGGTTCAAGCGGATCTGATCATCAACCAGAACGGTATGCCATATCGCGATGTTTATTTCCTGGGTCGTTGAACGACTTTTTTAGCCCCCATCGTTGAGCTCTTCTACGACACTGGTTTCCCCGCGTCAGTCGTCTTTCACCTACCCGAGACGTTCACAGCTGACTTCTCTGCAGTGCGCTTGGGATTGATATGTGGCAACTTCTTCCTTTCAGCCGAGGCACAGTCAAGATCAAGGTTCGTTATGCTATTGACATCCCGAATGCTTGTAATGAATGATCTGCAGTCCACTGACCCTTTTACGTATCCCAAAATCAATGTCGGCTACTTCAGTGTCCCTATGGATCTCGACATCCAGGTGGCTGGCGCCCGCCTCGCTCGCCGGATCTTGTCGAGCCCGCCTCTCAGGTCAGCTCTTATCGCAGAATCACGTATCCGATTCTGACCGTATCGCAGCGGTCTGAGTGCTGGGGAGGCTGTGCCCGGGAACGCCGTCCCCGATACGGACTCGCACCGCGGCTCCGATGCGGACTGGAAGGCATGGATCAAGGGCGGCTTCGCGAGCGTGGCGCATCCGATCGGAACCGCTGCCATGATGCGCCGCTCGCTCGGCGGTGTCGTCGACGCGCAGCTGAAGGTCTACGACACGGCCAACGTTCGTGTCGTCGATGCCTCGGTTGTGCCGATGCAGCTCAGTGCGCACCTGAGCTCGACGTTGTATGGAATCGCAGAGAAGGCCGCCGATCTGATTAAAGCTGCTCAGTAAAAGCAATGCAAGGCGAAGGACTGACTGCATCTTGTTGTATATTACTCTCGGACTAGCTGAATACTAGTGTCAAGTAAATACCTCCTGTAAATTACCCACAGGCTCCTCATAATACGAGTACTAATGCGCGCCGCGGACTTTGCCGCGCCTGATCAAAACACCTTGCTCTCCCCGACCACTGATGGCGCGTCAACGGAAAGGCGCGAACCCACTTAAACGCAAGCGCAGCCCATCTCGGCTGCCCGAGTGCCAATCAGGGACCGGTTCTACGCCCAGCTCGCCAGAAAAGAAGAAAGTGAGATGGGAGTCCAAAGCAGTAGATTCGACCGTCGACGGCACTGAAGAGGACGACGATTCAGAGACCGATTCCGAAAAGGTGAGGATAGGAGCCTGTAGATACACCCCGTCTCTCTCAACATCGCCAGATTTGTCTGGCAATATCCTGCCAAAAGTAAGTGCCCAGTCGATCTGGTTGAAGCTGCTCGGCCTCAGAATGTGGCTCTGCTAGTGGACGAGTCGGCTGCGCCTATTATGACCCGGTCAAGTGTACAATATATGTCCTCGAAGACACTCAAGACTCGAAACATTTCGAGTTGGCTCTCATGGGCACGCAGCTCTCCTTCCTCATTCCGCGGAACTCTGACTGCGCGGCCAGTTCTGGAGCAAGCGAGTCCCGACGTCGTGATCACCACTTCGCGCTCGGACGACCAGTTTATGGACATTGCGCGCGCTCACAGTGAGCAGCGAACTTCTTTCGCGTCCCGGCACGCATATACTGACCGATTCCAGTGGACGCATCCGGGGGCGTCTTCCAGATCCGGCCGCAGAAGGAATTCGTGCCCAGCAAAGGCCGTGAGCGGCTGCTGTCCCTGCGCCTCCTCGCGCACATTCCGCGCAGCAGCTTGGATCTCCCCGCGTCGTCGGACGACGACCGGGACGGCGTGTCCGTCGTGTCGCAGACCCGCAATGCGTACGACTTCATGCGCCGGAGGCACGAGGTGCGCGGCGGGGACCCTACTGTCGCGCGGTGGAACGCATGCATACGGTTGTCCAACTACACCGCGGTAGAGTCTTCTCCGCTTTCTGTGAGTTGTGCGATCCCAGTCGTGTTCGTCTCAGTCCTCACTCCTGCGCAGATATCGTGTATCGGCGCACTTCTAGATTATCTGGTGCGCGATAGAGCTGCGAACGATCTCGAGGATGAAGGGATCGGGGGCTTGGAAGTTAGAGGTATAGAGACTCTCGCTCTGTGAGCCTGACGTCTCTCGTTCATTGATTCACTCGTGGACTCGCTTCTGCCAGAGACGAAGTAATGCACATGAACGCCGACGCCTTGTTGTAGGACTTCTTCTCCGCTCGTTCGTGCCGGCTTGCTAAGTGGCTGGCAGTTCGCTTCAAGTCTTTGAGAACGAAAGCCACGCGTCGATGCACTCGGACAAGACGAAAGAGGGCTTGTCGCTGTTCGGTAGACATCGCTTCCCACACGCTTCTCTCCGATTGATTGTGCCCCAGGGACCTTGAACCATACGAAAACGACACTCGGGCGTGCTCTGCTGCGTACCTGGCTTCTGCGCCCATCCCTATCATTACCCGTCATCAAAGCGCGACATGATGCCGTAGCGTGTTTTCTTGCCGCGGAGAATGTCATTCCCGCCTTTGCGATGCACGGCCATCTGAAGGGCATCAAGAATGTACCCCGCATATTGGAGATGATGCGGTCGGGCAAAGCCAAGCTGTGTGATTGGCAAGGACTGGTGAAGGTGTGGCTGAATCGGTTCCCTGCCACGGAAATGGCTGCTGAGCCAGTTCAAGTTCACTTTCCACGCTGCCATGCTTCGGGATAATCTCTCGGAACTCCACCAGACCGCGGGAATTGAGATCCTCCACAAGGCAATCTGCAGGCTACGTCTAGGACCGCTGACAGAAACTGACGTTACCTAGCTCGGTGAGATATTGGACATTGCCAGCTTCAGAGACGTTGGGAACAGGATCAACGGGATAGTACGGGATTACAGCGTGTTGTGCAGGTTCGACTGATGCCTAGACCAGGTCGATTGGGAAGAGTCTGCCTGTGCTGGGAGAGTCTGTGTGCGACCGCACATCGATGAAGAACTTGACAACCGAAAGCACGTTTACCACGGGATCGACGCTGTCCTGGTTTGTCCTTTCCTGCGCTGCAGTGCACGCTGTCTATAATACGCGCACAGTCCAAAGTTGCCGAGCAAGTCTGCGAAACAGTGCCCCAAGACTTCACGACTTGCTTGAACATTGTCTATTTCCCCCAACTGGGATTCCTGGTGTGCGTTCCGATGCTCGAAGCTTGGAAAGGACCGGACGGAATCCAGCTGATTGAGGGGTGGACATATCAGGTGATCGCGTTTCCTTGCTTGTCACTGTACACCGCCCCCTGACATGCGTCCACTCACTCACCCAGTTTTCGTCCGACTCTCACGTATACTTCAAGTCGCAGGAGATGACCGATCTGGATATCCATGTTGGGGATCTGCACCCCTCGATTGTCGACCGCGAGCTGGAAATCGTGCAGGAGTTGCTGGAGGAGATCTCTGTTCACTTTGAAGCGATGGCTGAAGCTTGTGATGTTTGTGCGGAACTGGACTGCCTATTGTCCTTTGCGGAAGCGTCGCGGACGTTTGACTTCCGCCGACCTCAGATGGTCGAAGACAATATCATCGATATCAAGCAAGGGCGGTATGTCGGGTTCTTGCGGCTCCCTATAACTGCTGAGCTTTCGCGGCAGACATCCGCTTCAGGAACAAGTTGTCGATACGTTTGTCCCCAATGATGCGCATCTTGTCGGTGGGTCTGGTAACAGGTCGGTGCTGGTCGGCGATGAGACGACGTTGGAGGAAGAGGAATGGAATAGTATAGTGCTGTGCACCGGAGCCAATGCATGCGGCAAGGTGCGTCCATAATGCGTGCAGGGGTTCAATAGCTAATTTTACAGAGAAGAGTGTCTACATCAAACAGGTTGCCCTCATCCAGTATATGGCACAGGTGCGTCGCATTCTCTGCGCATCTCGATCATGACATTGTCCGCCTAGATTGGCTGGTAGGTTCTATGCATGTTTAAACGACAACATTCACTGTCTCCAGCTTCGTGCCCGCTGAATCGGCTACTCTGGGCATCGTCGACAAGAGTAATATACGCTGTCGCCGGTCATGCCTTCAAGATATTGACGCCATCACTCAGTCTTTACGCGCATCGCAACAAGAGAATCCGTCTCTCGCGTGCAGTCGGCGTTCATGATCGACCTCAATCAAGTGTCGTTTGCTCTCCGCAACGCAACATCTCGTTCTCTGATTCTGCTGGATGAATTCGGCAAGGGGACGCTCTCAGCAGATGGTGCTGGGCTGTTCTGTGGTGTCCTCAAGTACCTGCTCGAACGCGGACCTCACTGCCCCAAAGTTCTCGCTGCGACTCACTTCCACGACGTCTTTAGAGAAGGCCTGCTTGATCCAGACGCTGTTCCGATCACTTTTCTGCATATGCAAGTCCTGTTCACTGCAAATGACGGCCAGATCCTCGACTCGGACGCCTCTCATGGACTTGTCAAGCCTACTCTTCGAAGCAACGCTTCGGACAATGACGACGGCTCACAGAAGATCACGTATCTCTACAGGTATTGTTTACAGCAGCCAGCTCTCCTGCTGGGTCTCATACTGTCATCCAAGAGTCTGTGAAGGGCTTTCTCTCCAATCTAGTGCAGCCAAGTGCGCCGAGATCTTCGGAGTCCCGACGCGCATCGTTCAACGCGCTGAGCATGTCAGGTGACCGCGATAACCTCTACTATGTCACAGCAAATCCTGATGATGGCTGCATAGCCACTTGATCTCGACGCACGAGCTTGGGCAGCTGTTGGACGAGGAAATGACTGACGCGGAGAGAGAAGATCTGGCCGACGCAGAGGCCGTTTGTCGTCGATTCCTGGAATGGAAACTCGAAGGCGACGGCGGTGGGCATGTCCAAGCTCGACTCGGTTTTGTGCTGGGCGTCGATCCTGCCGAGGCTATGTCGTAAACGTCGTTGCAGACATGAAGAAGCATTAGACTAAGGTGTGCCGCATTAGGAACCAGCACCCATGACTAAGCGTCACACCGTGACAAACAGCGACGGAAGATGACGGCGGCCACGGAGAGAATACAGCTAAAGTACTCACATGGGGTGGAGGCCTTTAGGGCACCTTCTATGTGAGCAGAACTCTTTGTAATGCCTCCAAGAGAGCGTGATGTGAGGCTCAAGAATTTCACATCAAAAGTTTTCTTTTATTGTAGAAAGTGATTTATCACTGAACTGAGCATCGTAAGATTTGAGCATTCACGTGACTTCCTAATTGTGGCAGTGCTGTGGGCCTCGTGAAGCCCTTCTATAGTCATAGTAGCCGTACAAAAGCTCAATTATCCTTCGGACGGATCACATTGGTGTCCATATTTATACCAAAAAAGAGAGCTACATTTTTCGGACCGTGGATTTGAGCATCACGTGACTATCACGTGCTGCTTACTAAGGGGTGCTGGTTCCTAATGCTTATGTAATATACAGGGTGTGCAAGAGCGTCGGGGTATGCCGTCTAAGTCGTCTAGTCTCTAGTCCTCCTTGTGGATCTCGATCCCGGGGGTGCGCCAAGTGCCCGCTTGATCTCACCATACATCAGGAATTGGGACGAAACCAATCCGGCTGTCATGATCATACGCGGTCCAAGCTGTGAATCGCAAGTCAGCTGACGCGGTGATGCGCGGACGGGACCAGATACGTACGCCAGCAAAAAGACCACGGAATCCTGCCTCACGAGCCAGGGTCGTCAGTCGGAACATCATGGACCCACTTGGGCCATGTCCCTTGTTGATTTGGCTCAGTAATGTGTCCGCAGGCTGGAAAGAGTTATAAGCATTCAGCCAGACTGCAGTGGTCGGGCGTACATGGCTCAGCACGGCCGCAGCGAATCCAGCTAGAACTCCACTGCCCAGGGATATGCCGAACTTGGATGCACCGGAGAGGTTCTGTTTCGTCTCCTCGGTCATGGAACGGAACACGAGCTCATGGCAGTATTCGTTGACGGTGAACTGGCCGATAGCGTAGGGAATCTGTCTGGGAAGCCGCGAGTGTTAAGATGCTTGGCCGGAGACGGGACGCGAAGCGCTCACTTGAAGAGGAGAGGGACAAATCCAGCATATAGCTCGCGCAGGCCGCCTTCCCTTGCCATCCGCGTCAACCCTGTGACAAGACCAGTGGCGTAGCCCTTCTCAGACACAAGTCGGATACGCGTGGCTTCTAATGGGGCCAGCAAGATGTCTGCAAAGAACCTCGAACCGGGATTGAGCTGGGGTTAGTGCGATGGAGATGAACAACTCACTCGGCAATACTGGCACCTCCGAGGTAGATTGCCGTGCGATACTTGACGGCGGTATCCTGGTCGCCTGCGAGTTGGACGAAGGTCTTCTTCCAGTACTCGTATCCCGCGAACTTGGCGCCTCCCTGCGCGAGGTATCCGATAGCGGTGGGCCCGAACCCGGTCAACAGGGCACCGGCGCCTTCTTTTGCAATGACATATCGGGTCCCTGATAATATGCCCAGCCCTTTGTGCGGAAGAGTGAGTCGGTGACGAGAAACGTGGGGTTGATGGCGCACCTTTGTACGCCGGGTCGATCTGTATGCGCGTCTTGACCACGTCAATGGCTGGTATGTCGGTTTAGAGAGCCGCACGGGTACCAAGCAGTGTCTGTGCTACTCACGCGTCATACCGCCATGGCTGATGCTAAAGACGAGTATTAAGCAAGCGATAACGCGGAGGGTGCTTGTGTGTCTTACGTGCAACAGAGGGCTCCTGCCGCGAAGAAGCTGCTGTAGTCCCCCACCGTGAACCTGGGCACGGCGAACGGGTGATTTTGGTGTACTTTGGGCGTGGACATGAGCGGGCAGAGCGAGGGTATTTCGGTGTTCAGCGGAGTTGCCAGTGCGTGCCATTTTATCGTCGGCTAGATACGACGTCACTTTTGATGGCAGATCCTTCATCAGTGCGTAAGGACACCGTTCCAGTCGGACGTGATCGGAGTGGAACCGGGCTCGACGACGGACAGGCCGGCGTCGTGGTTCGGAGCCACAATCATGGCTTGCATCTCCTCCCTGACTCTCGTGTGTGAGCAGCGCTTGCTGTAGGTGGAAAGACCCGCGGCAGTTCAAGCGATGGCATCTGCCAGTCGTCAAGGCTGTACTACTATTCACTGACTGGCAGGTAGCGCCGGCAAGGTACAGCAACTCGTGTGCATTGATAAAGGCCATCCATAGATTCCCCACACTGCCCATGTACAAACCCCACTATCGTCTTATCCTTTTCTTATTGTGCGCAAGAGCGGTGTGCGCGTCGGTGGACTTTGTGCAGTGCTTTGCTGATATCAAGAACGGCTCACACGGGTCGGATGGAGGCACGGACAACCAGGGGAATCCTGTCCCCCGCATAACAGAAAACACTACGTCTATAACCTACGAGCTCTGTCTGAGTGCGTGCGGTTCCGGGGGAGGTGCGTTCTCATGGAGCTCCTTCTCGCAGCAGTTCTCGGCCTGGCTCCTGCCTTGGATCGCCCTCTTATCCCAGTTCCCCTTCGGATGCACGTACAAGATGGACAACCTCATGTCGGCCGTCCTAGCGCTGGGCAGCCCGTGTCTGGCTGCTTACTCGCTCGCACTGACTGTTCTGAACACCAAATGGGTGAACAGGCTGTTTGCGACCGTCCGATACCCCAACAGCAAGCGCGCAGCACTGATTCTGGGAAGCCTGCAACATGCCCCGCTCAAAATCGACACCGAGGGTGGCCTGCTGGCGTCGCTAGTCGTGCTACCGGATAACGACGACTGGTGGAGAGCCTTCTCTGATTGGCTCGACTATGCCGACACTCATGCGTGGTCAATCGCAGGTGCGGATCCTTCACTACGTGTCGTCTGGCGGTCTGTGAACGTTCTCTTGTAGCGGCGACATCCGTCGCTTGGGTTGTGGTCGCATTCATCCTGACGATCATCGACGCATTCAGCACTATCTCGACGGATCCTAACAGCAACGGGCAGGGTCTGTCGGGGGTGGGCAGCATCTGGTTGTGGATGCTCCCTGTCACAATTGGTACAAATCGTCGTTTGCCGATTGGTGGATATGTCACGCTGACTTGGCTGCAGGCTATCTGCAGATCTCCCCGCGCTGTGATACTCCCCGCGTGACACGGGCGATTGAGCGCGCAAACGAGGTTGCTTTCGTGGCAGGCGTCAACGGCCCCGTCAACGCACGCGATATCAGCGACGCCCGAGCGGTGTCTGTTCACTCCTACCGGGACACACTCTACCGCGACCAGGAGGCGACTGCCCCGATTTATTCGTACGCCCGGTTTCTCTCTTTTGTTCAGAACACCGAGGAGGTGTACTGCGCGTTCAAATATGCGTCGGAGAAGGCGCAGAAGCGGATTCCCGTTGCTGCGAATGAAAGATGGACACCGGGGGATGGGCGAACTGTGCATGCGGCCAACAGAACCGGAACCGCACAGGAGGTGGAGGCGTACTGCAGTCCGCCGGCTTATGTCAGACACAGTCTCTGGAGAGAGGATGTCCTATCCCGATTTCTTGTGGCTTCTATCGCAGCCCTTGGTCTGCAATGGTCCACTTCTGGCGCCTCAATCCTGATTGTTTATTTTACCCCAACCATAGGTATGTCGCAGCCCCCCCCTTCAGATTGCGTTCCGTTGTTGATCTGCGGCACAGGTCTGGGGTGCAGGTCCGGGGCGTATCTGCTGTACGCCGCAGTCGCTACCCTGATCTGGGTCATCTTCGTCATCAGCAGTTTCCTGGCGCACTATGCGACGACGGTGCCCGAAACGAGCCGCGTCTACAGCTTTGTGGCGACTCTGGCTGTGTTTCTGAGACGGCTGGGGAAGGTGCTGGCGACGCTCAACGCCGCGTGGATCTTCACGGCGTTCTTCCTGCAGTTCGGCAACTTCTTCGACCGATGCTATTGCAATTCAGACGCGCTTGGGTTGGGGAAACGGGCGCATGTGGTGATGACGCTTCTTGGGCCTGACATATCTGCGATGAGGGGAGCCTGGATCGGCGGCGTTGCTCTTGGGATTGTTGGGTCTATTTTGTTCTGGGCATTCATCAATTTGATGCTCGTGGAACCGCTTGCTTCCTGAGTTTTCTTCTTACTAATAATATTATGTATGTACTTCTGTCGATACCCACTAATGTAATGTTCAAGTAACTTAATTGTGCACTATCATAACGTTGTATCTCGTAATCACTGATTGAAGCGCCCGGAACAAGATGATAAGGGTGGGATGTTTGGAGTGCCTTGTGAGCGGCTTGCAACATACTTCCCCATGCCTTGCGTTCAGATCCTCGTCTTCCCTATATCCGACACTTTCGCCTCGTCTCCCGAGTCCTTCAAGGTCCCCTTGGACGTTGTCGCATCGGCGAATGGTCATCTCGGGTACATCGCGCTTAGATCATCGATCGATCGACCTGGCCAGTCGCTAATCTCATCTGCAGGTCGTTCTACGGCACCCAAGTCGAGAATAAACTGACAGGCTATCTCGTCTCTGGTGAACTTCCATCCCTTTCCCCTTTCGCCATACAGAAACGAACCATTCACAGTCTGGGAATCCGACGCGCACCATGAGACCTTCTTGAAGAGCCCTAGCTACAGCACGCTCGCCGAGACCCTCAAGGCCGCCGCTACATCGACCCCTACCGAGCGGCACCGTATCGTGGTTACCGGGGATGCGACCACTCTGCTGGCATCGCCTGCTTCTGAGATCGTCGTGTTCACTCTGAAACCGGGCGCTTCTGCGGAGACACTGGAGGCGGTACTGGGAGAGCTCGCAGCTGGGCTCGACCTAGCACTTGGAGCTCATCTTCCCTGCGCTTGGGGTCAGAGCCTGGATGACAAGAGCAAGTATGTGCTGGTCGTTGGTTGGGATACCGTCGAGGTACGTGCTTCCATCCGCTCTTACTAGGGCTTCCCTTGTGAGGTCGCTTACCCCTGCCACTCAGGCTCATTGGGAAGCTGTCAAGGAAGGCACTGAGTTGCACAAGATAGTCGCGCGCGTCGCTACTGTGGCGGAATTGTCGATCGCGCACTCTCACTTGACCAAGCACGAAGCGTAATCACTGCTCTATTCCATGTATGTACGTATGTTTAGCAAAGGTTGTGAAGCAAGAGCCCCCTACCGCTTCCACGACGCTGCCTTTTTGTCGAGATAGATGCACGTGAACGCCTGGACTTGCGCACTGATCCAGGGAATACACGCGGCTTCGATCTTCGGACATCCGTCTGCCGCGATAGTCTGAATCCGACTGGTGACCGAATCCGAATCATTCGATGCGAGGGGCGGGTTCCTCAGCTTCAGAAGCGTGATAATTGGGCCGGTTCTGACGTCCGCGCAGTGGGAGACGTCCAGATTCAACAGGGCAGGGCAGAGCACTGTCTCGCTTCGTCGGCCCAAGGATTCCAGGATCCCGTTGACGGCCTCCAGTCGCGTAAGCCGTAACGTATGGAGCAGGGGTGTCGCCTCCAAGAGTTTCTGCAACTCGCCTCGGGCTAGAATACAGCTGGTGATGCTGAGGATCAAGAGGGGAGGTGTCAAGGTGATCAAAGGACTGAGATCCAGTCTCCGAATACCAGAGAGCTGGAGGACCTCCAAAGATGGCATGGTCCCCAATCTCAGAATGTTGGGACTCCAATTGGAGCCGCTCAGTTGTAGATTACGCAGACGAGGTAATGCGATTACTGGCTCAGTTGGGAATGTAGCGGAGTCGCCCATTCTAAGCTCGAGGACAAGCTGTTCGAGTTCATTCTGATTGGCATCCAGGAGCTCGATCAGTCGCTGCGTCGTAAGAACTGAACGCGGAAGACGGATCTCCAACGAGGAGAGGCCGGTCCTAGCACACAGTGTTTCCCACGAAAAAAGCGCCTCGTAGAGCACCAGTTTCCGCAACGGTAGAGCAACCAGTGCATCGCAGCTGCGAGCGATTCTGACCACATGCAGCTCCTCTAGTTGTGATATAGCATGTGCCTGCGCGATAGCCAGTTCGATCCCAAGCAGCGACTCATCCAGTGTCAAGGTTCGCAAATGTGCCCAGGAGAGCCCGTTTAGTTCCACGGTTGTTAAAGAAAATGTGGGGTCCAGCGAGAGGCGCCGGATTCTTCCTTTCGATCGTTCAAGCCACTTTTGGGCATGCTGAGCGGGACGGTGTTTGCTCAGAGCGAGCGTCGTCCAGTACCTCGGGGTCTCCAGAGCGATTCCATGCCAATGTTTGCATACCCGCCACAAGTCCAATACGCGACCCCATTTCGTTTCAAGTACCATGTCGAAGATGACAGTGATCATTTCCACCGGCAGTTTGTCGAAGTGGCAGACCATGCGTCTCTGAGCTTCCCCTGCTTGGTCCTTCAACTCATTCAGCTTCCTAAGCCGTAGCGTGTCTGTGGGGTCGAGTCGGGATATGGCCATATTTGCCATCGCGATAGCCTCCTTGGGCTTGCAGACTTCTTGTAGTAAGCTGGCTGCGCGCGCGTAGCCATGCCAATCGTCCGGGACCAGGCTTATGGCTTTCTTCACGTCCTGCAAGGCACGCTTGTGCTTCTTCTGGCGTTGAAACACGGAAGAACGGGTATTGTAGACAGCGGACTGGTCAGCACCACCGGCACCGACCGCCTGCGTTCGATGGTCAGAAAGCTTGCAATAGGGCACGGGACACAAGACGCACATGATCGAGTTCGTTGAGTGCTTCATCCAGTTTTGAAACTTTCAGGTAGGCTTTCGCTTTCCTGAGATGGTCACTCCAGGACATGTCACTAGAGGATGGTTGAATCGACGCGTCGACGCGTTGTTTGGACGCGCTTGCCCAATGATGTCTGTATCGATTTCACTGTACTTGGCCTGCACCGTCATAATCCTGCTCAGGGCCCGCGATAGAGTGGGGTGTGAAGCAATAGCAATCTCCCATTCTAATTGTCTCTTGCCTTCGGCACTCGAGCAAGTTCCAGAAGGTTCCATCCACCGCCACATTACTGCCACACTTTCCGCACTGCTTCTTACCACTCAAACATGCCTTTGAACTACAGCAAGTGGGACCAGTTGGAGGTACGCTGATCAATTCGTCCTCTTGTTACTCGTATAATTGCCCTCTCAGCTTTCGGACGATTCGGACATCGAGGGCCACCCGAACGTCGATAAGCGCTCTCTCATCCGGTTGGGATGCTGTCCATCTACCGTCAACCTGGCTTACTGTCTCTTAGTTGGAAACAAAGGGATATACATGAGAAGCGAGAGTTGCGCAAGAACAAGATCGACCATCTTAATGCCCAGATCGCATGCAACAAAGTCCTCTCTCCCCGAATTGAGGACATTCACGCGAAGCTCACATCCGCGGACTTGGACAAGCCCCAATCTGTTTACTTCAACTCGCTTGTTGAACAGCTGGAAACCAATCCGTCGAAAGAGTGTCCTCCAGGAAATAATCCGGACAAGCTCGAGCACACGTACGATGGAATGATCCTTTCTCTTCTCCGCCAGGTCGCAGATAGCGCGAAGGCAGAGGTGAAGAACGCTGGCGTTTCTGCGGACGAACGCGAGCAGCGGCTTGGGAAGGCGCTTGCCAACGGGTTGGGCAAGCACATTGTGCAACTCAAGGAGACCATCGCCAACGATGAGAAGACGGTGAAGGAAGAACTTGCAGAGCAGAAAAAGCACATCACAAGTGAAGATATGCACGATGGATTCGATACCAAGGTGCGTGGCGCATTCTGAGACCCAGGACTAAGCTGACGGCCGTTCAGTATGTGCCGCCTAAGCCGGCCCCTGCACCGCATCCGATCGCGGCCAAGATGGATGCGCCGCCCGCGAAGAAGTCGACTACGACTGAATACGAGGTAATCAACTCACCGAAAGGAAAAGAGAAGGAGGACACGGAGGACGAAGAGCTTGAAGACGACATCGCCAATCTCACACCATCACTCGATGCTTTCTCTCGCATTCCTCTCCAAGACTTTGAGAAGTCTTTCCGCTTCATCCAGGAGCACAGGGATGTCGTTGTTCCCGGTGCTTCCGATGCTCTCCTGGGAGCCGGTTTCAAAGCTCAATACGAGAACCAGCCCAAGTATGCTAAGCAATGCGTTCATCAAAGCTTGTTACTGCAATATGGCGAGAAGCTGGGCGCCGATGGGTTGGGTATATTCTTCAAGAAGTGCGTTCATCGCGCACACACGCCGATCGCAGTTTACTAATGGCTCTCCAGAATGATATCTGGGGACAAACGAGCACAGATGGTCTTTCTTGATGATGTCGAGAAGACGTACGCACATCTCGAGAACCGCGTCAAGACTTCCAAGGAGGAATCCCAGAAGGGGAAGGAGACTATCATGCTGGCCACAGAGAACGAGGGCGACATCTCATTCAACGTGCCGTCCGGTCCGCCGCCCGACGAGCTTGTGCTTGGTGAAGGAATGGAGGATATGGACCTAGAGCAAGTCCGGGCCGCACTCCAGCTTCGTTGGGACGTCTTCCAAGGACTGCCTTTGGACCTTCAGAAAGCCCTGCAGACTGAGCAGCTCGCTGAGGTCAACAAAGTCTTTGGAGCCATGGAAGTGGAGGAAGCCGAGGACATCCTCCAGCGGCTGGATATGTCTGGTATCATCCCATTCTCCGAGAGTGGTGTGCGAGATGAAACGGGAGCCGATGTTGATTGAAATTTACAAAGTCAACGTCTGTAGTCTCAATCTGTACTGTATTTGTGGTCTGAGTAGTATTCGAGCAGTTATGTAATTCTTCTCATCAATGATCAAATCAATATGTTCCCACGTGGTACTGGTGCTTCAACACCCTTCCCTCTACCAAAATGTCCGTTTCGCTGACCCCAAGCCACTCGCTGGGATTCAACCGTGTGTCTTCCCGGATCTCTTCTAGCGTGTATCTCAAGCTCTTGCAGGGCCGTTGACACAAACTGTCAAACGTTCGCTCACTTTAACCAATCATAACCAGCTTCCTCTCGCATTCAAGGTCAAAACAACCGCCCCCAAGGTAAGATCAGGTGTTCAGCGCATCTTTCAACGCTTCTCACCGCGAGAATATAGCTTTATACAGTACGGCCGAACACCGGGCGTGTAGAACCCGGTGAGAGCGTCGATGTTGCGGGTACGTCATCCCACGTATTCCAGTTCAAATACTAATTTTCTCTCCCAGTTATGCTTCAACCGCTCAAGGAGGAGCCTCCGTTGAACGCCAAGTGCAAGGACAAATTCCTCATTCAAAGCACGACAATCAGTTCCGACAAGGATTCACTTTCGGTGCAGGACATCGTGCGTCTGCCTCTTGATCCTGTTGCACCTCATGCCGATTGCACTATAGTGGAGCAGCGCGGATCCGAGTAATGAGGGAGTTCATCAGCAGAAGCTTAGAGTGGTGTATCTGCCTGCGGAAGGCCAGACTTTGGTCGAGGAGGATGAGGAGGTTCACGCTAATCCGAGCTCTATGATCGCTCCCGGAGGAGACACAGTGCGTCAGATCAGCTTCTTCTTGTCTGACAGATTCTCAAGTCTGAACAGCATTTCGCCACTGTCCGCCAGCATAATCCACCTGTCAATGGGGAAGTCGCAACCGAAATCGAACGGCCTTCGTCGCCTCCAGGCGACTTCAGCAATGCAAATGAAGTGCCTCACGACGAACATCCCTCCTTTGAAGCCCCTGGTGTCATCGTCACACCTCCACCAGCCGATCCTATCACCCTCAAACCCGAGCAGGAAATTAAGTCCGCGCCGGAGCCCGAGCCCACACCTGTACCACCTCCAGTTGCCAAGCCAGCCGCTTCGACTCCGACACCACCCGTCGTGCGAACTGCCTCGATCCCGACACCGGTCGTGGAAAGACAGCCTCCAGCGGAAGATTACGCGCTCAAATGGACGCAGGCTCAGGCCGAAATTGAACGACTGCGAGCTATGCTGGCGGCCCCAGCCCCGGCTCCTGTCACCGAAATGCGCCGCAGGACGAGACGTGTCTCGGATACTTCAGCAGGGACGACTGCTGTCGACTTTGCTCCTCAGGAGACCACCATTCAGGAAGGAGTGCCTCTCCAAGTTGTCGTGATCATCGCCCTTGGGGTCTTCATCACCACGTACCTCTTCTTCTGATCTTACAATCCATCCGGCTGTCTTCCTCGTTTTCCCGTTATATAATTCACGGAGTTGATGGACGTTGTATTTGCACACCTTTCGTACCGTCTCTTTTTATCGTCATTGCCGCATAGTGCACACACACTCCTTTGGGATCCGCAAAGTACTTATGTTTTATCCGTAGTCTTCCTCCGTTTCTTATTGCTCTGCAAGTTGGTCTGAGCGATACGTGGAATGAAAACAAGAAGAAAGACTGACCGTGATTTGTCCTAACGGAATTGAGGGTTCCTCAGCTGATCTTCGATCGCGGCAGCGATGAGTTGATGAACCCGCTGCGTCGGATGGCCTGAGTCTGTCCATGATCGTCAGCCGGATGTGGTCCACCACCTAGCATGCAATGCGCGACTGACTGAACCAGAAAAAGCCAGTCGGATCAGCGCATGTGCAGAAACTGCGGAAATCAGTCAACTTCGCGGATTCGCCTTGTGGTTCAGATCTGTATCTACCCCGTGACATTCTTGAACCCGTACTGCGCTGGATTATTGAGGATGTTGTTGAACAGCGTGTTTGAATCGAAGGTCATCACGGTGGCATCTGCACGGATCTCAGCATTCCGCCCCGGCAGCGGATGGGTGGGAACCCACCGGAATTCGCGGCAGCAAACGCAACGACGTGTTGATCCAAATGGTGTTGTATTGCTGGATATGCGTTTTCATGAGAGCAGACTTGGTTGCGCTATTCACGGTGGCCGGGTTTCTGTCTTCAGCGGGAACATTGATGAAGAGATGGGTTTTGAGACCATGGTCGTGGGCTGATTGCTGCGGTTATATTGCTGAGCAGTCCGGCCGGAACAATCAAGGGAAAAAGCTCACGACTGCAGTGAAATATGCCTTCATCTCCGTCTCCCAAAATGCGTTGAAGTCGGTGATCTGTAGGACAGATGAGCGGAGACCCGATAATCATCGACCTGATCATGCGGACCGAAGCATTGGTTAAGGAATCGCCGGTGTCGTTTATGCCGATCCACCATGCGGTCAAGGTTTCGTTCGCAGGATGCGGAATGACGGAGGAACCATAGGTGGCCCATTGTTTCACTTGGTTGACGAGTGAAGTCGTAAAGGGATGATGGAGCGGAAGCCTGGCGCCTGTTAAAGCAGTGTGCGGAATCCTCGTGGTCACCTACAAGTCCCCACTGATATCCGAGCCAGCAAAGGCAAAATTCCACAGTTGCTTGTCACAGTCGAGAGGAGATCCTTGGAAGCATCCAGTCAAATACTCAATCTATCCCAATGTTCAGAATCACCCAACAGACGAGGCAATACGAACCCAGTTGGATCCTTCAGAGCTTGTCTGCTTGCAATCAGACAATGGACGAAAATGGAAGAAACACGAACGTTTTTGGCAATGATCTCATTGGCGAGCAGTTGCTTGGGAGTGAATGCGAGGTTGAGCGCGTCGCCAATGAATGAGAAGTTTGCATGGCCAGCAGTGCCTTGCACGAACGTATACGAATCCCCGAAGGCATGAACGTATCGGATGGAATTCCAATCGAATTGTTTCGCATTTTGACTCGCCGCCACAGAGATCCCCGTAAAAAACAGAGACAACAAGAACAAGAACATCTTTGGGGGTCCACTGGTCGTCGACGACAAGCAAGCGACTTTATACATAGGTAGGTTGGAACTTCTTCGACAATCAGCTGCCGAGGGTCATGCGCACGAGAAGGGACCGTCGGGCCGTCAAATTTGCGTATCTCCCGTTGTCATTCAGCCACCATATGAACCTCAGTGATCATATCGACGAATCCCGAAAGAGTCGCTCGTGCAGGGTGTGAATGCAGCGAGCTCGCGCGAGCCTGAGCAAGGAGGAGATATATGGACATGATCACCGCTTTTCGGGCCGGCCCGTGCGATGTATGATTGATCAGGAAATGTCCGGTACGGTATCTCGAGGCCGCAATGCACAATCAGAATTCAGTGGCAACCATCCTATTGTGAACGCCGAGGATACTTACATGTAGGTTGGAGACGGCATAAAGATCATGCTGAGAGACTGAATATTGAATGTTCTAGGTCTGCAAACGGAGAACCGCGGGACTCTGGAGTACATGTAATAGTTCTGCCAGTCGACTGCCAATGGCGAGTCGAAGCCTAGGACGATGTACTGTAAATTCAAGGTCAGGTGATCCCAGCAGTTCTCCCGCTCGTCTGATGCAAAGTTCGGCAAGTCTAAAACGCGTAACGAATTTCAAAATTTTCCATCATGCCGAGATCTCGCATACTTATACGCTGGCCATGATACACGCCTTGCGTTTCCCGTCCTTTCCGATGCAAGGCTGAACTATGGGTATCAGAGCATTCTTCCAGCAACAGACCTGATGTTGAAACGTATCCAGATCTTCGTCCGAGCCTATAATCCTACCTTCCTTCCTTTCCTTTCGCACGCATCGTACCTTTTACGTGCTCCGGCCTGGATCATCCCGCCCCTAGTCTATCCTTCGACGTTCGCACCGCGACCTGCACTGGAACCGCACACATCGCATTCGCGCTCCTCATTTTCGATCCTATGATGATCGTCCGCCATTCCTTGACGCGCAGGGACGCCGTTCTCGTCCTTTTGGGGGCGTCCTGCATGCATATATTCACATTCCTTTTCCGCTCCCAGCTCGCGCCGCCAGAGATCTTGATCGACACGGGTGTGGTCCGCGACCATCTCCTCGACGTGCCGCCCGTGGGGGTCCACGTAACCCATATCAGAACAAAGACCATCGTGCACGCTACGACCGTTATTGCCACCGCCCACTCACAACCCACTGCAGATACACACGTCGCAGAGGCTGAGGTGGTGGACGTCGCGCGGGATATCCCAGAGACGACGATCGTGGCCCATGCGCCTGGATGGACATGTGTGTAATGGCCTCGGGCTCTCCGTTGTCCGGGACTGACAGCTTGCAGTGTTCGAAAACTTGTACATGTACAACGATACCCTGGTTTTTGTTTCTGATACCCCCTCCGACTTCCCCGATATGCGACTCATGACAAGTACGCCAATGACGGCGGAGAATAACCCTGAAAATATCGCAGCACGGGAGCCAACGCGATACAGCATGACCTCGCTGACGCCTACCGAGGCAAGGCGGCGATGGGGAGCAGGTCCCAGCGAGGGAGGAGAGAACAGGATATTCTCCGTGACAGGAAATACAGTGCGTGGTGCCGAGTCGTACATGCTACGCTCGCTGACGTCCCGCAGATTCTTGTGAATGAGCCGAGGTATGAATTTCGTTCCACTGCATCGTTGTCCTCTGCTGATCCGATAATGCAGCCAGTTTTTAAGGTGCGCTCGCGAGATGCATAATCGCCGAATAGGCCGCTCATCTACGCTCAGGCATTACTATCATCTCGTAGCCGAACTGCTATTCGGCGTGCAGGCTTTCTGGCATGGTGCCTTATCGGGTGCTTTGGATTCGGACCCCGCTTCGGCTACACATCGGGCGCCACCCCCACCCATAGATCGGATCATCTTTGCTCGATCCGACGCAGATGGCTGGCGAGACGATCCCGGCTTCAATGCCTATGTCGTGCGCGCTGCTTTTCCGGACGTAACGATCGAGGAGGAAGAGGACTGGATCGACCGCGTCATCGTCACCTCAGACGGGGACCGAGCCTGGCATTTCCGCGGGTTCTGCTCACGGACAGAAGTGCCTCGTTCCGCGGTGCGATCTGTGGGTTGAAAAACCAGCGCATAGCAGCGGAGGCGTTCGAAGAGATGCGTTCGAAAGACAAGCTAGTGGGAATCAATGCAGGAGCCTGGTGGGAGCCTGTTCGATCGGCTGTGCTGCGTTTTGCGGGTGCCCGGTTATCCCTTCCTCCTCCCTGCCGCTTCCTTCCCCCGAATCGATATCGAGTGACAATTCCGCGAGCACATCGACCCTCCCCATGCCTGAGAAGATCGTTGTGACCTACATCAGCCGCCAAGGTGCAAAGAATCGCAAGCTGACGCCTGAGAGTCACAATGAACTGGTCGAGAGCTTGTCAGAGCTTGTCCGGCGCAAAGGCGACGGATGGGAGCTGAATATTGTCGTGGCTGAACTGTTGACGAAGGACGAGCAGATCAGGATAGCTGCTCGCACAACGGTATTTATTATTGCTGTCCCGCCCTCGAGTTCTGCTGAGTCGAAACCACAGATTCTTCTAGGCGTCCACGGCAACGGACTAACGCATCTTGTGATGATGCAGCCCACTCGCTTGTCTGCTGTGATCGAGATCTTCTACCCCGGCGGTTTCGCCCATGATTACCAATGGACCACGACTGCTCTGGGCATGAAACACTTTGCGTTTTGGGACAAGTCGTGCGTGTGTTTCTTTATATACTCACGAATGGGTGCTCAGACGCGCCGAAGATACCGCACAGAAGGGGCTGGCGAGGGAACCCCGAGTGTGAAATACCCCGATGGCTTCCAGGGCGATGAGATCCCTGTGCACGGGCCCAGTGTCGTGCGCCTGATTGAAGATCGGGTGGCTGGTCGCGTCTAGTAGATGTATATTGTATGTGTGTATTGCTCTTATTGCGCTGCCCCTGTGTGCAGATTAATCCCGCGGGAGGCCCATGTCCTTCATTTAGTCTCTACAAGCAACAGTCGCTCTCGTAATGGGTATGACGCAAGGCATGAACCGCCGCGGCGAATGGGAGGACGAGATAGCGTCATCATGATCAACAGACGGCTTATTTGAGGCAAATGTGCCCATCGGACGAATAACGAGTTGGTCCGCTGCTGCTCTTCCCATCCCGTCACATCATGGAATATTCAGTCCAGAGAAAACAGCCTAGCAACCGTGGATGGTGGGCCGCAGGCGCCCTCGCGTCGCTCACGCTCTTCGCGTTCTGGAAGCTGTCTAATGTCCAGCAACCTGCCTTCGTCAACAAAGTGCGGCCGCAGTTCTCTCTGTCCACAGTCAGGGTGCTGATGAGTCGCTTGCAGGCCGTCGTTGTGCTCAAGGGCGACTCGACGGCCACTGGGACCGTCGTGTTCACGCAGACGACGAGCGGCGGGCCGGTCACTATCAAGGGTGATTTGACGGGTCTGCGTGCTTCTGCGTCGCAGGGATTCCACATTCAGTAAGCGGGCGTTTGTTATGTCTCCGTCCTCATCATCATGATCTCTCGCAAAATAGCCAGGCTGGAGATCTGACCAGCGGATGCGCGTCCGCCGGTCCTCACTTCAACCCTTTCGCCAAGAACCATGGTGCCCCGGACGACTCTGACCGGTTCGTTGAACGTAGAATGATTGGGCTGAGCCGGTTCTCATGGATCCCTGCACTCAGACACGTCGGCGACCTCGGAAATATACACACTGACCACACGGGCGGCGCGTCGTTCGAGTTCGAGGACAGCGAGATATCCTTGAACGGCCCTCTCAGCATCATCGGGTGCGTCATAGTTCCGTTATTCGCGACCGCTTTCCGTCCACTAACCTTTGGAGCAGACGCGCTGTGGTGCTGCACGCGGTACGACCTAACTGGGTGGGCCCCATCAAGTCGTGCCACAGGACTGATTACCGTTTTTAGGACGCGGACGACCTCGGACGCGGTGGTAACCCCGAGAGCTTGAAGACGGGTAACGCGGGCGCTCGCGCCGCATGCGGAGTGATAGTGAGCGAGCGTCGTCTCGGCTTATATTGTTCGATGCTAATAGAGAAACTAGGGTCTGAGCTAGAGTATGACTTGTGTATCACAGGCACTAGCAAAGACATTGAGCGAATGCTGAGCGGATCGTGACGCGAGGGAAACCAACCTGGTAGTAGTAAGGTGGGCTGATGGCCTTGCATGTGAATGGCGAGGCGCAAGTGGTGGGTCCTGTGTATCCCGTTCCTGGAAAGTTCATCAAGATTGTGCTGGCGGTCTGTGTGGTATGAGCCGCACCTCCGCACTGGCCGTATTGGGTCTGCGTCGGCCCACTGGCGGTCGTCGTCGTCGGTGTCGTTACCGGAGCACTGGAAACAGTGGTCGTCGATGGCGGAGCAGTTGTCGTGCTCGAGTTGCTTGGGGCGCCTGAAAGAGTACAGTAAGTGGCTCGTGTCGACATGCGTATTGGACGACCCCACCAGATCCGATAGCAGTCGTAATGGGCCCGTTCTCGATGTATACTCCGGAAAAGTACCAATCTGCGACCGATTCAGCCTTTTTAGCGTCGGCGGGTTCGCGTGGTCTGACTGACCTTCAGGTGTTCCACCGTTGACGATCCTGAGCACACCGAGATGCCAGTCTGCCGAGTTTGTGGAGGGAGACGTGGCCACATTCTGCACGACCTTGACGAGCGGATTCCCGGCTGTGCTGGCCCACAATCCGACTGTCTTGGCTGTGAACTGGACGATGTCAGCCTTTAGTGTCGCACAGCAGGCTGTACACCACTTACGTCGATGTCGTACGCAAAGTTGTACCACGTCCCGGGAGTGAAGGGCACGTCGTAGTGGCCGACGCCGGTTATCATCCACGTCAAGTGTGTCGGGTTCGCCCCGACACCATACTTGAGCTCCGTAAAGTGGCTCTCGAAGAAGCATATCTGGACAATCCACATCAATCCCAGATCGCTTGCCGGGCAGTGGGGCCACGCACCTGATGTTCGAGTGTCGACTGGAAATGAAACAGGTGAGCTGGGTCCCGTGACTCGTCCAGACCATTAAACTTACGTCGGGCAGATTGGTCGGCGGGTGCGAAATCGAGAAATGGTAGAAGAGGTTTCCGCTGCCCAGATTCGCGGTTGTCTGATTCGCGCGTGGTCGTCAGCAGGGGCCGAAGCCGCGGATTGCTCCATGGATGACGACGAACCTGTGGAATGAGCTCCGCTCTTTCCATCTGCGAGTTCCACGTCGCGTTGGGATCGATCGTCATCCGCAATCCATTCGTCTCGCTCGTGTCCGCAGGGCTGTCAGACGCGTTGTTTGGAATGCGATCTACTTTGAAAAGATGCATGGCGCGACGTACTTTTTGAACGACGGCTGGATCCGGCGGATGAGTTCTGGGTGAGATGTCATGCAAGAGAAAAACCACTCACATCCAAAGCAAGATAATGCGACGTGTTCTGTGTGCCGTGGATGTACCATTGGTACTCTCCGACCTGGTTGCTCCAACTCCCTGTCGTGTCGGTGAGTACATCAGAAGAATCACGAGTGACGAGTGCCAAGCACATTTGTCGAACGCAGCGGCCGTTGGATACGCATTGAAGTTCCCGGACCAGAGTGTGGTGCCGGCGCGAGCGCTACAGACAGCGAGAGCGAGGAGAACGAAACGGGTGGAAAGTGCCATGGCTCTTGAGCTTGGGTGGCAGCTGAGCGCACCCGTGCCACGGTTTTATAGCCAGGCCAGGTTGAATATCGGGCGCAGGCAGGGATAAATATCGGTTTGCGGGTCGCAAGTGAATGCATGTCGTACACGTTCTTCCGGGGTATCATGCAAATAACATAAACAATAAACAGGTCAAGGGATGCTATGCTATGCTATGGAGTCGAAGAAGGCTCGGGTGGCGGCGGCGAATTGGGATGTGTTCCCTTGGTGAACATCCATGACGTGAACCACGACCGCGGTTTGCTCGCCTTCTCAGCCTCCTCCTCCTCCTCTTCCAGCCGGTCTGCAAGCGCGATCTCCTCCTCAACCATCACCTCGTGCGCAATCGCAGTCTGCGCAGTTACATTCGTCGACCTCTGCTGCCGTGACAGCGTGACAGGCACAGAAAGCCCCGAGCCAGAAGCATGCGCAAGCACGAACTCTCCCTGCGCATGCACATCAGGCCGCACTTCGCAGTCCAAGCTCTGCATCCGGGTCATTGTCGGCGACGGCAGGGTCGAGAGGAGCGAACCCGACCGCTCCCGAACTCCTTCCGACGCAGACCGTAACGACACCCTTGGCACCAGGCTCGGCCGTCGCGACCGCGTCGAAATAGTGCTCCGCCGGCCAAACGTCGATGGCCGACGAGGGAGCTGCCATGTCTCCTCCACATCATCTCTGGCTTGCGCCCGTTTGGCAATGATCAGCGGAAGATTTATCTCCTCGCTGCCATCTGGCTCGCTATCGGATGGCGTGACCTCTTCTTCACATGTCACCGATTGAGGTGGTGGTGGCGCTGGCTGTGGCGCCGGCTGCTGTGTCCAGCTGCCCAGGTTTCCTCCGCTTAAGTCAACAGTCAGAGCTACCCGCAGATCGAAGGTCGCGTCCAAATCCACGGGCCCAAACGGATTCTGAGGCAGCCACAGAGCATTGCTGATGGGTCGGGTGTAGTACGGATTGTCATAAGGCAAATCCAACGTTCCATCGTCGTCCCAGGGCGCGCGAGGAGGATGCGGAACAACGAGCCTCGAATCATCCGAAGATTCTGCCTTGACAACCGTTTTCCGCTCCTTGTCACGTGTCACTAAGACAGGACCGAACGGATTGGGAGCGTGGGGTTGCATTGGCCGGTGCTGCCGAATGGTCGCGTATGATGCGTTTACCCATCCCGGGATCCGCATCGAAAATACACCTCCACCTCCAGATTTGACTCGCTCTTCAGTAATCAGATTGTCGTTGTTGTCGTTATCGGGAGAAAGGGGTTCGTTCTCAGGCTCGCGGGCATTCGGAACGAGCATCTGAGCTTCGTAAATGTCGTCGTGCTCGAACTGAGCGCGGATGATTCGAGTCATTCTGGCCCCGCGTCAGACTCATCAAAAATATGAACGCCACTTGGCACGCACAGCAGCTTCGCAAATGCAGTGAAGACGATGAGAAAGGCCGCAAGGCCGACGTTGACTTCTTTCTTCAACACGACCATGTAGATCAAAAACACAACTTGCGCAAGAAGAAGACCTAGGCAGACGGCGTTCAGTGTGTTGTGTGCATAATCCCGAGATGCCCACCATCTAGCGAGTACCTGACCATCCGGATCAAAAGCACCTGACCGTTGTTCTCGTAGTTTTTCGCGTAGACGTGGATCAGCTGGTTCTTGACGACCCCAGTTTCTACGAAGAAATAGATTGCCCCGAAACTATTGCGGTATCAGCTGAGCTCGGTCCCGTCAAAAAGGTCATACGGGATAACAGTCTGGAGCGAAACAAGTCAGCTTGGTTGGGAAGGCGGCGAATCTCATATCACGCACAGGATTGAGGACCATGAACAGCATGAGCACGTGGATCACCAGGAGATGCGTCGGAAGCCAATCTTTAGGCAAGGTGAGTCCAAGTCATGTGATCAATAGGGGGCACCAACAGAAGTAGTTGAATGTCAAGGGTCGCGTTCGGGCAGCTCGCTTGCGTCTTGAGAGAGAAACGGTAAGCCACTTTACACCATCAAACGCAGATGTAACTCACGGAGTCACTTGACTTCTTATCGAGGGATACATGATCATTGGCAGGCCAAACAAGGCAAGCTCGAATCCCCGTGCATTCCCATATTGAAGATCAACCAACCAACATAGAAAGGCCCGGCGGTCGGGAATGAATTTGCGACAATGTTCAGGATGTTCACCGAGGAGTGCTTGTGAGCCGTGATCGAGTCCAGAACAGATTGCAGAGCGGCAGTCCCCACACAGAAGAACACAAGAACGTTGACAACCAAGAACTTATAATATCGTGTCATGATAAGATCGTGCAGGGCAGACATGGTCGTGAGGGTGTGCGCTTTCTTCGCAATTAACAACAGAATCGGAGGGATGGAGAGCGCCAAAAGCGAGACGAGCAAAGTGGGCACGAATGATTGGATCACATCCTCCTCCCAGGGATGGCGGTCCAAGTAGTTTTTCTGGCAAGAAGAAATGAGCATTCTCGATGCACCCGCAGAAATGACACGCACCAATGTTGGCCAGAAAGAACTGATATTCTGGATCGAAACCAGACCGACCAAAAGGGAGACGGGAAAGATCCAGAAGATAGTGAAAGTCCTGAGTCGGGGTCAGCTTCAAAAAGAAAGACAAGAAAAGTCTGTTTGCACTGACCAAACACCCATGTTGACCACCCAGTCTTTGACAAACTGAGCCCCTGATAAGCTACTACGGAAAGAGGCATGAATATCTGATAACACACCTCGCCGTTGTATGAAGACTTCATGACTCGGATCCAATCGATGTCCTGATATGCCGGAGCCATGGTTATCAAGCACGTCAACGGATTGTTTGGGTGGACTGCAAGATACTTGCAGGCCCGTCGCGCATCCTCTGGGTCTGCAAAAGTGACGAAGGCAGTCGAAACCGGATCGTAGTCAGCAAGAGACTTGGCACGGTTCTCGGTGATGAAGGACGATAACAGATTGAATTTGGCCGTGTAATAGTCGATGGACGGGACGATCTTGCCACGGAACAGATGAGAGAGATGGACGAGGGGTTGATATGCGTCGAGACTACTTCGCGGTAGCGTGAGTAGAGCGTCCCAGATGGTCTGGCCTTGAGCGTGACGCCTGACCGCGGGATTTCCGCCTTCGCTGGTATCGATGTCCGAGTCTTGGGACGCCTCTGCTCGCAGTCTCCGGAAATCACGTTTGGAAAACGAAGCGTGAGCCCGGTTGCTGTCTGGGCGGAGCCCAAACTCATCAACAAAAGGGCCAATGACATCGATAAGCTGCTGCATGCGCTGTTCTTCACTCAAGCCTTCATCTTCTATCGCTTTGCCTCTCTCTAAGTCCCCCAAAGGCCGTTTCGGCTTGTCCATCCCGATAGGTTTGTGGGCATCCCTGCGAGCGATGGCATGCTGGACGGCAAGGACAGTCTTCTGAGCCAATCGCAAGTGGGCAGTTTCAAGCAGACGGAGGATCTCCTCCCTACGCTCCAGCAGAGACGACAACTCGGTCATCCTACGACAGATGACCACTCGCTCGATGAGAGGAGCACCGCCTTCGCTCTTCTCGATCGTCTCTTGCCGAGCGGCCAAAGGAATCAAAGGAACAGGCATCCGTTTCGCTTTGTTGAACAAAAACGCGATCGACTTGTTGATGAAGCCGGGCTGAGCAGCGCCTGTGAGGGGGATCGAAGGTTTCTCGAGCTTGCGAGACATGTAGTACTCCAAGTACTCCTGTAAGACCTTTTCGTCACGCAGGGCCGCCGGAACATTCTGTACCATGATTGTGCGCAGCCTGAGGCCAAAATTTGGGTGGTGGCTGTCTTGAACTGGGACATCCGTGAACGCGTACTGAGATATCGGATGTCGATAGGTCGCTGTGTCCGCGAAATCGAAGTCCGCCAATCGCTTTGCAGTGATAGCGATTTTGTCCGCACGAAGTTTAAAAGCACCATGACATATCCACAGAAGGCCGCCATCCATGTGAACGTGAGCCAGAAAAGAAGGGTGATGTGGATCCAGAGAAGGGACAAGCCATTGTGAGACGCCACCAGCGATGTTATGGACGCTCGTGTCATTGATTTCTTGGAGATAGTATCGTCCGAGAATTCGACGTGGATTGGAAACAAGATGGGGAACGTAGTGACCGTGTGCAGGACGACGAACCAAACTGTGGCAGAGGTGAGGGAACGAAGACGGGGAGTAAACACACGCACAGCAAGCACGAAGAAATCTGACGTAGAGAGTCGCATCGACTCCCCGAAGCTCGTTCATCTTTTCCGGAGGGAGCCACACAATCTGTTTGACCCAGGATAGTAGCCATCCTCGGGGAGAGGCCGGTGATGGATATCTAAAGTCCGCGTTGAGCAAGTTCGACAGAGGTTCCACGGATAGAATTAGCGTACCGTGCCCAAGATCTGCCTTGGAACAAACTGCAAAGGTTATGAGCTTGCCGCGTAGAAGGCAGGGAAGAACACGCACTATCCAAACTCCCATGATTCACGACTACCTAGGCTGTCTACATCATACTTCTTGCCCCTCCTCGCACGCTTCATTAGTTCCTGCCCAGTCACAGCTAACACCTGCAAAGACCAGAATAAGAATGTGCAGAATGAGTGGGGTAGATGAGCGAACCGTGATGACCGCCGCAATCACAGACTGGTTGACCAGACCACTAAACGGGAGTTAATTTCAAAATGACGGTGATCTCGGGTCGAGTATTCATACCTGTAGTCCTTGGAAAACGGCCTCGTCTGAATGTCTCCCATCTCAAGCCAAGCTCACAACACAGGGGGTCTTGGCCGACTGCTGCTACTCAAAAACGACGCGATCAAAGTTGAAAGTCGGTGGGCAGAGGGATTGGATTCGTGGGGTCGTTAAAAGGACGTTGCTCGCATGGACTGCAGCTTAACCTCTGAGAGAGGAAGAAGAGAGGCTCGGACTTGAGTTCGTGCGTGACTTGATCGCGTGCACGAATTGATGGGTTCGATCCTCCCCAAGTACTGGCTTCGAACACAGGTAAGTACTGCTAGAGGAGCTCTCGTATCATTCGGTCTCCTTGAAATATTCCCACAGCGCAACTACGAAATTCTTGCAGAGAATTCTTGCGTTTGCACTCCAGAGCAGGCTATAGTCACCGTCCGTGGGACATTTCTCACTCAAAAACCGTGTGGCCCGTTTCGACATGCGTTACGTAATCTTTGGCTTGGCGAAAATCACTCCCACGATCTACTGGGGAATTCCAGTGTTCAGCCACGCGAACGGACTGCTCCACGCAGTCGCTCGAAATTCGCGAATGATCGACCTGGATATCCGATATTTCAGAGCATTTGGGACGAGGGGAACAGTAGCAGAGCGTATCGGATCAGCCTGCTGCCTCACGGAAAGACGCAGCTGTGGACTCGGGAGAGTAACTGTAGCCCCGACGCCTCTCCCAGAGAGCGCGTCCGGATGCCGATCTCAACCTTCACACAAATGAGCAGAAAGAGACATGATTGCGGAAGCAGAAGGCTATCTAGTCTCTTGGAATGGGCTAAGGACGCGTCTACTTGGTCTTCATGATCCTGAGCTGGCTCGACCTGTACAGATAATTCTCCGCGTAGTTCTTCGGTGGAATCTTCTTCACGTTCGGAGGTTGCCTGAGAGCAGGATAAGCAACTGCCAACGTTGCCCACGAGGAACAATATGACGCACACATAGTAGTCCCAGCCTAACAGACATCGCGTGAGACTAGTTGTGACCAAGATGAAAGACAAACGCACCCTGCTTCTTGGCGAAGTGGATAGCATCTTCCTGGGACCTGAATGTCAGGCGCGTTCCCTGCATGTAATCGGCGCTGTGGGCAAGGCGCATAGGCTCAGCACAGAACCAGAAGGAGATAAAGAGCAGACGAACGAGCTAGCGTAACCCATGAGAGGGTTCTCCCAACGACCTGCGCCCTGCAGGATATCCCAGTCGATCCTCCATCGCTCGCCCTTCGCTCCTCCGCTTTGCATAGTGTTGCGTGTCGGCTTGAAGATTCGAACAGCGCGGTGATGCAGTTCCGCTAGGAAAAGAACTCTCATTCGAGGCACAGAAAGAGCGGTGGAGGTAAAGCCTACAAGGTGCTCCGCTGGTAACGTCAGCTGCAACGATGTCGGAAGTTTCAACTGGCACCACGTCGGATGCGGTGGAATCAATAGGAGTGGTGACAGCTTCGGAGGCTACGCCACGGCGCAGGACCGAGCTGGTGACGGTGCGACCGGGTAAAGCGACGGCTCGCGTCGGGATGCGGAACATCCTAGTGATATGGTAGAAGGAGAGCGATGATTACGTAACTTCACCAAGCGGAGGTAAACAGTAGATGCAGACTTGGTGTCAAGTATGGACAAGTACATGGATGATGGTAGTATACAAGTATGCAGTTAGATAGCAAGCGCTGTCCAAGTATATATAGAGCATAGCATCCAAAGCGAGGTCAAACATCAAATCCAACTATGCGGGAAACAGGGCGAAGGTTGAGCACAGGCTTTTGCACTCCCAGTGGTTTAGGAGGTGCTTCGTCGACTTCCAATTCGCCTACATCATCATCGCTCTCGGAGGATCTCCTTGGTCGTCCGAGAGGCCCAAACATGCTAACCCGATTGGTTTCCTTGGAGGGTTTGAATGAGGGATGAGCTTTGAGGGATTTGGCCGCTTCGGAAAGAGCCGAGACCACGTCGGAGTCAAGCTCGATGGTGAAGAGATCCAAAATGTATCTGCGGACAGGCAATCGATAGCGCTGAGTGGAAATCGTATGCAGGGCCCGGAAAAACATGGTCGGCGAAGCAAACACCGCCTTGAATTCAGGCCGTGACTTCATCCTGAAGAAAATGAGGTGATGAATCAGAAGATGCAAGGAGTATGTTACCGAGCCAGTGACCGGGAAGCCGCATTAGCGATAACTGAGTTTGCAAGGTTATGGATGGCAGTTATGACATCCAATTCGGTCTGGGATGTCGGGGGCATCAGCCGAGTTTCGTCCTGATCCAGATCTTCTCCTCGAGGCCAGGGCGGTATCTAATGAAGATGAGCAGCGCAGCGCCGAAGGCATCGATCGCATACAGAGACAAACACATCCAGATCGACTGGGATGCACAATCCAGTAGGGAGTCCCAACGGAGATAGTGTCGCTTCCCATCGGTAGTCGTCCAGGATCTCTGCTCCTTGTGATGTAGATGATATGAGACCCAGAACGAAGAAGCAGGTCCTGCGCAATCTCTCAACGATCGAACGTCTGATAGGTGTGTAACTCACCCCCGCACTGAAGGAATCAGCGAGTTCTGTGCAATATCCAAGACAGTGGGTATGATCTCTTCCTCCTCCAAGAAATGAAGGCCGCCCTCAGTAGCACCGATGTTGCCCTTTGCAAATTTGATCAGCCGCATGAAAAGAAGAAGCTGTAACTCTTACGACGGCCCAAAGGATACTCTTCAGCTTCAGAATGACTTCGCTATCGTCACTTTCACTACTATGGAGGCGAATGAATTCGGAGAATTCCGCAAAATGTCCTTTCTCGTGCAGAATTTGGCATCCAAGATCAGTCTTGGCCATCTCACCATAGAAGTGAGGCAACACGGTGCCCTCGAAGGCTCTACACAAATAGTCAATCCTTGCAGACGACAACAAACGACAAACAAACAATGCGCCCTCCTCGGCAGAGCCTGTGAACACCTTGGATAACAAAACTTCGATTTGGACCACGTAGAATATATTTCTTTCCTGGAATTGTTGAGTTTGGGCGATTGTCGAGCCAGATAACTCACGTGAAACCACGTGTCCATCTCTTGTATGATATAGCCTGTGTCATAGAGATAGCGGAAGCCCACTGGTGTCGAGACAAACTTGAGCAGAAGCGGATGTCCAATCTCGCCAAGATGGTCCAGAGTCGGCTGCATCTCGACGACAAGTTTCAAAACGTCCTTGGACTCGCAGGCATCCCGAAGATACATCACCGCGAGCTCACAGATCTCGGGCTCGGGATCATACAGCTGCGTCAACAGGAGACGCAACATCCATCCATTCGCCGTGGTGGAAGTCTTGATGAGATCACCCAGATGCCGTGTTGCGTCTCGCCGGATGTGCTAGCCACATGTGAGTATCGTAACAAGATTATGAACTAGAACACACCGGATACTTCGATGTCAATGTCTTGGAAAGCACAATCCGAGAATGCCCGTCACTAGACTTGCCAGTCAGAACACGAAGTGATCGATGGCATAGAAAGCAAACAGAGTATAGTCAAGATTCTCGATGATTCCCTTCACGAGGTCCTCGCGGTCCTTCAGCTCGCTGAAGTGATAGAATGCGGTAAAGATCTTAAACTTCTGTAGAAGCCTGACACGGATGAGGGATCGACGAAACGACAGGCCCCGCAACTTACTCAATGCCATCCTTATTCTTGCTCAAGGTACCCAGCATGACCAGATATCCATACGTGAGCTGATTTGCGACACGTCTCTTCGAAAAGATAGGATCAGAGTCGGGAGCAGCATTGGACTACTGGAATGAGTTTTGTCAGGTAAACCAGAGAAAGTGACAGACCGGATCGAGCTGAGCAAAGCTCTTGACTACTTGAGGCAAGAACAGATCTTCCGTCGATAGGTAGCGAACACCATCGTTGCTGGAGGTGAGAGTCGTCATCAAGGAGCAACCCAATTTGATCCACCGCTGATTCAACTAGGGACAGTCAGCAACAGCAATCAGGTCGATCCAAGAAACAAGTCCACCTTATTTCGGGGCAGATCACAAAATTTGGTCCCACTGCCAAAAGGATGGAAGAAGGAAAGCAACCGTCGGATGAATCGTGATACACGAATCGCTTCCTCCAAGCGTTTCGCGTTAAGAAGCGGCCCATCTACAAGTTCTTGCAGAAGATCCAGTTTCCAAACTGTGTGGTCCTTGGTCAACATCACCTGACGATTGATCAACAATGCACTGTGATGAAGTCCTGAAACCAACATACTTGGGTCTCGAGCAAGGATGATTGGAACGTCTTGTCATCCATTTGCATGCTCATCTTCAGTTTGACCTGTTCTATCTGGCGCTGCCCACGACGGATGGCATCCTCAGCGGAATTGGCTCTTGGTCGAGTCCCCTTGACCGCGTTCGGTTCTAGGCGAGTTCGGTTTCGGTTGAAACTGTCAATGGCCGACAGGGCCGAGGTCCCAACAATTCTATTCTGGCCCTGACGATAATCTGCGGCCATCGAAAATATTCGCGGGATGCTCTGAGATATCATCAGCCAAAACAACTGAAAGTGACGAACAGATAGATGACCTGTATCCGCGCTGCGATCGACAGTGGCAACACTCTATTAGCCATTTGCAATATCTCAGCCATCAACAACGTGGCCTTGCGAGATAGATTGGAGCCAGAGGCCGACTCCTCCATCATCCCGGTGAGTGCCTGCCAATCATTGAACGAGAGTACGACAGATGATGGCTTTGACCGACATCTAGCAGACCAGCATTGGTGAATAAGAGAACCAGGAGAGCGAGGTATTGATCAGTCAACTTGAATGCCTGGGGTGTACGATCCGGCTCGACGATGCGTTCGCGCGTGTCGCGTGTCTTGCCATACACTTCATCCGTTCAGCGCCGGCACAGAGCAAAAAATGGAGGAACAGACTGGTAAGACGCCGCCCGTCGATGAAAGTCTGGTACCACTCTGGAGTCTTGATATTCAACAGATCGAAAAACATGTCGATGACAATTTCCTGCATCCAATATCAGTCATAGTTCGGCTGATGACTAGGAAGCGCACTCGAGTTTCCAAGGAAGGGATTCGGATTGTGTCGATCAATGAACGGATAGCTCGCATATTATCCAGGCAGAAGTACATCAATCCTGATTTAGTCAGCGAGGGATGGGAATGATCCTGATCACTTACCACTCCAAGACCTCAGCATCAACTGGATGACTTTGACACATCCTCTCATTCGATCAGCGTGATCAGGCCCTTTCCCATAAGCATCAGTCACAGCAGAGAAAGCCATCTGCAGTGCGGTTCTTCAGTAAAGAGGCTGTTGTATATCCCCGGGAACACCAACCTCGAGGTCAGTCCCGACTTGAAGATAACTTCTTGTTCGTGGTGAGTCAATGACATAAAGGAAAGCCGACGCTAATATCGGAGCCATCTCGAGAGGGCCCTCGCCTAGTGCATGCAGTAAAAATCGCAATCCGCCTGTTCGGGCGACCAGGTTGACATCGATCACCACTATATCGAGGTTAATGCGACACGCGAGCGAGACAAACATATACGAACAGATCTCCGCCAGAGTCTGGATGCAGATAAGTCGAAAGGGATCCTCGGGGTGCTCGGCAACTGCAACGATTGCGCGCATGACTGCGGCAGACAGTGGGACGTTCCCGCATTTCCCCGCGCCTCGAGAGTCGTCCCGCACAGTGCCCACTTCGATGATGGTGCGAACAAGCTTGATCACCTGCTCCTTCTCGATAGCATGCTTGTTGTCCCTCGTCAGGGATCTGATTCCCCTGAGTCCACCGCTTTGGCATCAGAACGTGGACAACGTACTTGATAATGTACCAGTCCAGTGCCTGCTCGCCCAAACGTTTCATCGAGTCCGCGTCAACAAGAACATGCCGTATCACCCGATATGTCGCAGCTCGGCACTTCGGACTCGTTCTGTCCGCTAATCCCGGCAGAACACTGCTGCTCGTTAGACATAGACCTGTCAATAAGTCCTCCCAACTCACGCCGACATGACCTCCGAAAGGTTTAATTCATAGCGGACTCGCAGATTGCGTTGGAGGATAGTAACCAGTTTCGTCAATAATTCGATGCGCTGTCGGTCAGTGTCGAGAGCTGAGGGGGCTAAACCGGGCGCGGAGCTCGCGGGCGCTCCGATGGTTGATGACGTCGCATTGGTCCGGCTCAACGCTGCCAAAGACTTGATGTAACTGGAAGCGTTGTTCAGCGCTGTGCGGAAGTCTTCCCCGCCTGCAGATGAGATTGAGTGGGTGAGTAGGATGCGAGGCGTATAGCACATACTCTTATCCTCTGACTCCTTGGCACTTCGATTCTGCGCTGCCAGAAACCTTCTTCGCGTGGAGCCCGATACAGCAGACGGTTTAGTCTTGTGATCTGGCGACTGTCAGTGACCGCGAGAGTATGGGGAGAGGGATGAATACGTTGTTCGATGCGCTTCTGAATAGACTCGATTTTACCCTGTGCCATCTCAAGCTCAGAAACGACCTGGTCACGGAGTGCATCCTTGGACGCGTCAAGCGAGCGCGTATGAGCTTGATCATCGTGCTTACCGTGATAGTGGGCATATTCAGGAGATTTTGCGCCCCTTCCTTGATTCGATTCTGCACGACAAGCTGCTCATTGAGAGCATCCAACTGTATCTGGCTTCAGTTGACGCATTCGACCGCTCGCGCGAGATCATACGGTGGATTTCGCATCTGCATCCGTCGTATCATCGGGCGGCAAGTTCGTGAGAGTGGTAGAGGAGGACGTGGTGTGAGATCCCGTCGAGGAGGGAAGAGGTAAAAAGGAAGGCATCCTGTGCCCTCCTGCAGTGAATCGCCGCCTGACCGCGTTATGAGAGGATACTGGACGGTCATGTGCATGTCAATCTATGTCAATGACGACCGCACTGCCACCGGATGTCGGAGATCGGCATTACTTCCGGAATGATTCGGAGTAATGTGCCGATCACGGAAGCTCACGTGCTTATGGATAGTTTCAAGGCTCGGCCGTCGCCAGTGAGGAGTAAACAGATTGCAACAAAAATCTGCTCGAAGCACCTCAAGACACACGATGGGTACGTCGTCGCCGCCGGCCGACCCACACTCGCCCTCTAACGAGATATGCAGTCCGTTACGCTGGAGCCGCCCTCGCCACCAACCCCGCCACCAGTAAATCATGCCCATTCTTCGAACGCCAATCGTGGCTCATACTATGTCTTTAGCCTCCCGCGCACGGGGTGAGTACCTCCGGACGCACTTCAAGAACATGCGCGAAGTCGCCGCCGCTCTCTCTGGCAAGTGATGACTCAAGAGTAGTTGTGACCGATTCTTACGGCTATGAAGGGTTGAAGCTCACCAAGGCGTACACCTACCTGGCCGATGTCAAGGAGCACAAGCAGATCATTCCCTTCAGGCGCTTCGCAGGTGGTGTTGGGCGGGCTAGCCAGGCAAAGCAGTTCAAGGCGACGCAAGGTGTGTCAAGATCTGTCTCGGCTAGCGAAATCTAACCATTGGTTTCGTTCAGGTCGTTGGCCCGAAAAATCCGTCAAGTTCATCTTGCGCCTGTTGAAGAACGCCGAATCGAACGCTGACGCGAAAAACTTGGAGCTGGAGGACTTGTACATCAAAAACATCGTTGTTCAGCAAGCCCCGGTACGTGCCCGATCCGCTCTTCTTCGCATTCCGCTGATGTACTGTAGAAAACCCGCCGCCGCACTTACCGTGCCCACGGTCGAATCAACCCTTACCAGGGCCACCCGACACACATTGAGATCATCCTCGCTGCTGCCGAGACGGAGGTGGAGAAGGCCACCGACAAGTCGACCTCCCTGGCGGGCTTGAACCGGAGACAGGTTGCACGGAAGCGGATCGAGGCTGCCCGCGAGTAATTTCCCGATCTTCTGTGTAGTTTCTGCGTCATGCATTCTCATGAATACTATGCCCCATGCTATGATGCGAAGTTTCTGTATCATTGGTCGCCATCGCAATCATCAACTACCGGTCTAGAGAAATCGACGGTCCATGCTGTGTGCACCTACCAGAGGACACCTTGAACTTGACCTGACTGGTTTGATTTGCTGGTCGGTATACTGGGATTCTGGCACTCATCAACGTGCCGATCAATCTAGTTGTGATCACTCTTCTCCACCTGTGCGGTAGGCCACGCTTTGCCACGGGACTTCGATGGGGTCATCCTGCGCCTTTGTTGACGTATGGGTGATGTTTTGACCACTGAGCTGCTAGCAGATACGATTGCATAGAAGAATGGGCATAACAGTACATGGTTGGTTTATAAACATATGAATAACATAAAATGGATATGGGGGAGCAGAACCGAAACACGGGCGTCGTTCAACCAGATCGGCGAAGATTGAGGAACGCTGCAAACTTCTGCATGAAGCTCGGTGGAGAAGCCGTGCGCGGATCGGGAAGCTCAAACAGAGCAAACTGCCCCGACTCGGGAGACCCCTTGATGGTCTGCAGCCACGCCCGCCCTTTCTGTATTGGAGCTGGAGCGCGTCCTTCGAGTTGCAGACTGGATCGATCGGCGGTCAATCAGCAGTCGAGCATTCGAATATCAGAACTGACGAACCTCATTGCATCGAATGTATTCAAAAACGCATCGTGACTTCGGTACCCGTCCAATTGCTGTTGGATGAATGTTTGGACCGTCTGAAGGGGCTGGATATTGTATGGGAGCATGGATGCTTCCATCGCTGTATATGCCTTCAGTCAGAGATAAACTAATGAGTCAGGCCTATGACTCACAGCGGATAGTACGCCGCAATATCTTGAAGGCGGAAAAATGGATGAGCTCCTTCTCCGCTTCGTTCGTCAAGTCCGACAGCTCATAAGCTGAGATCACATCTTGGCGCAAGGCAGCTAACAAAACGATGTCAGACTCAAGACATTGGAGATGCGGTGGTTACTACTTATGAGGGGAACGACAGGAAGCTTGCAGTCGGTGCTCTTGCTCAGTTCCCGGCGGTATGCAGCAAAGTTCTTGTCGTACATAGAGCTGAGAAGACGGTACTGCTCTTTGGACTTAATAGAAAGATTCTGCGCGAGATAAGATTGGATGGAAGAGAGAGACGGCGACGAAAACTTGCCAGAATTGTCACGCTCAATCGCTCCACCGGCCACAGAACCAAGCCACCGAATATCGCAGATGCAGTGGAGAAGTTGCGCAAGCCAAAACAATTCTATGGTGAGTGTCAGTCAAGTAGAGCTGTTTGAAGAGGAGAAAAGACTGACTGCAGCAACATCCAGCCAGAACTCGATACGCTGAACGCGGGCCGTGCGGTTCGCGAGGGTCAAGATGCTGTTCGCAACCCAAACCAGGATAGTTTCCTCCATGACGATGAGTTGCAGCTGTTCATCACGCCTGTTCTTCACCCATTTGAATACTGTGGGCTCGATGTCGATGGCCCGGAATAAACCATGTGCTTTGTGCGTGAGCTCGACAGCAAGCTGTTCACTGCCCCCGGGCGCATCAAAGCAAGACAGGCTGACGCCGAAATCGTCGTCCGGTGTGACGAGCAAGAAGAAATCCGGCGGGGGAGGTGGCGGCCCATCGCGCTCGGTGTCGAAGGTGCGTTGCCGACGAGGGTTGTAATCAGGCTGCGATGCGCGGTGTAGCGCATCCTGCAGAAGGCCCAGAACGGGGGCCGGGATGCCAGCAGCAGGGAATTTCCCCTTGACAAACTCGGAGAGCTGGGGCAGCATGTGTTTGTCATACTTTGGTCGCCAGTAGTCATCCAGCCAGGTGAGGATGAGCTGGGCGATACAGTTGGCGACGTAGGTCTTCTGCTGGAGCCAAACACGCTGCTGGGGAAGAGACAGCTGGTCCAGCGGCAGGGGTGGCTGCTCGTCCCAGCGCTCTTGAACCGCCTCAAGAACTGCCTGGGGCGAGCTGAACAGACGGAAGGCGAGAAAGAACGTCTCTGAGACTTCGTCCATGGTGAACACGTGATGCGAAGTGAGGATGTGGACCAAAGCCGTCAGTGAGGCGGCCCGAACATCACCGTTTTGGTCGAAGCATATGGCTACGGCAGCTCCCGTGGGCAGCGGCATGTCGACAGTTTCCCCATTGCCACCAGGGTCGACTCGGTCATTGATGAACGATTGCCGCGCAGTAGCTTTCCGCTCCTCCAGAGATGATGCCAAGGCTTCTGAGTCGGCACGGAACGACTTGAGAAAGTCCTCTCGGAGTTGTAGCAAGCGCTGAAGAAGTTTGTCCCGGCGTCGAGTACGCGGTTTCACTAGCGGCGACTTGGACTCAGAAGAGACCACCGCCGAGACAGTGGTGGTCGACGACTCCGGGGTGGTGTCGGTTGTACCCAGGGTGGAGTCGGCTTCTGTAGTCCGGGATTGGGAGTCTGAGACGGGGGAGTCCACGATAGGAGAATGCGCAACGGGAGAGCTTGCTTCGGCCTGGGGAGGATTGCTCTCCTCCGCCTCTTCGATCGGTAAGGCTGGTAGCGGCTTCATGTCCACCCGATGAAATTCCTCGACCTTCCGATGGAGAATCAACAGATGGCCCACTATGCCCCGAATAAGACCTTTGATCTCTTGTGCATTCTCCCTAACGCAGGGAATATCGCCGGCAGCCATGCCAGCTACATGGTCACGCAACTCGTAACTGCGGTGGACAATGGTGTCACGAATCTGAGTATGAACAATGCATTGTCGAAGCAGGAACTCGCGGTGGAAGATGCTCTGGAGGACGGACTCGATGGAAGTGAGGAGAACTGTGACGAGCGCAGCGATCTCAGGAATACCCTCAGAGCCCGATTCATGGTTGACGAGCTTTTGAAGCAAGCGCCAGGGCACCGCTACCGAGGAAAGACAACGTCGATGGGACCTTCGGCGATCGCCGTCTGAGGGACAATGCTCGATCGTTCGACCGACGAGCTAGGGCTGTTAGGTTCATCGCTGGATCCCGAGTCAGAAATCTAGCACGAAAAAACTCAAGAGGGTCGACATTACCTGCGAACACCTGGCAATACAGGGACATTGGTTGAAATGATCAACGGTCCAAACTTCTGGTGAACACGGCGGAGGCGCCGCACATCAGCGTCGGAGTGTGCAGGCATGGGAGAGGGTGGCAAGTCGAGGGTTCAGCAGTGCCCAAGAGTAACCCAGTTCCGGTTTATACTCCCGTCCACAGGCCCAAGCGCTAGCCGAGCTTTGATGGCTTTCCAAAACGGGAGGATAATGGTAGATGTTTAACGTGACGACTGGGTAATTGTGGATGTAATTGTGGGTGTAGCCGTGTGCTTCCGGTAGACATTTGGTATGTAGTCAGTTCACGTCGCCCAGTGTGTAGCGTCGCTCCTCGCGATATCCAGATCATCAAGTTCAGGAACAAGGCCGTTCTGCGGGACAGCAACGAATGATGTCCTGTTTCTTGATACAAAGTGCGGGTCATCGAAGGCGGGTCCGCGTCATAGGCCCTATAGCTACTTGACCTGTCGTTGAAAGGTCCAAGAGCGCTCGGAGCAGCCGCCGGGAATGGCCGGAGCAGTTGGCGGTGGCGATGCTGCCCACATGCTACATGATGCCGGTCCACGTGAGGGACTCTACTTTCTTCCCAGCCTCCGCCTGTACCTGAGCGGACCTCAGTCGCTGGTCTCCATCCTTCCGATTTCTGTCGGAGGACGCCTCATACCGGCTACTCTATATCGCTCTCTTCCCCTCGTCTTCTTCGCGCGCCCCGCTCAGAGACCGTAACCTATTCAAGCTGCTTCCACGCAGCTGAGATCACCGCAGCAGCGCAGTCATGTCAATAGCCTCCAGCTCCAGCAGGTTGGCACTCGATTAGTTCTCTGACCTTCGCTGACTCCGCACCAGAATGACTGAACCAGAGCGCCGAATGCGCGTCACTGGTATGTGCGGGCCCGTGCAATGTAGTGTGATCCTAACCTATCTTCAGTTTTCTCCGCCAACGGCCTCGTGAAACGAGATCTCCTCAGTCAGCCTTTCGCGCAATAAGCGCTCATATTCTCACTGTGCATCAGGTCTTCCCGATCCGTTCTGCGTCCTCAGTGTCGATGGCGAACAGGTGAACAATACGCCTATCGTTCGGAAGTCCTTGAACCCCTCGTGGAATGAGCACTTCGACGTGTATGTTTTGAATTTGATCCTCTGTCCTTTCCATTGATACGCGGCAGGGTTGTTCGCGATTCGTCCATGATTGCCCTGCAGATCTTTGACCACCGCAAATTCAAGAAGCGCGATCAAGGTGAATACATACCTCCTCCGATGGCGAAATTTGCCTCATCCTTTCTAGGTTTCCTTGGGGTTCTTAATGTTCCTGCTAGTGAAGCTATCGCTGCTGCCCAGCACCACAGTACGTCGTCTTTCCAATCTACTCCGACAGCTTTGTCATCCCTACTCGCAGCCATGATTACGCGAGACCTCACCATGACAAGCAACAACTTACCCGTTTACGGACAAATCAGCTTCTCGTTTGCCAGTCTGGCCCCTCCCACGCCCACTGAAGTCGGACTGCCGTCGCATGTAAACCATTCGCCTCGGCCGTCGACCACGGTCATGCCTTCGCCCAACTCATCCCTGTCTTCGCGGCCGACCAGTGCTGCGCCAGTCCCAATCAACACGCTTGATCGAGCCCGGTCGTTAAATCCTCCTCCTCCACTACGACCTGCCACGAGCCAAACGTTCCAGAGCAGTTCCCCCTCATCCAGTCAGCTGGTTCGTCCCGCGTCTCTGCAAGCCTCTATTCCCCCCACCCCGATACCGGCCAATCATCAAACGGACGACGATAATGGACTGCCTCTCCCAGCAGGTTGGGAACGGCGTGTGGATCTCCAAGGACGGACGTATTACGTTGATCACAACTCGCGCACGACTACATGGCATCGACCTTCCCCCAACGCACAGTCCAGTATCCGGCCCTCTGCCCCGGCACCGTCCCCCGCGAGAAACCCCGCCGTCGCTGCACCCTCACAATCGCCTAGTCCTGTCCAGAACGGGGTCTATGCCGATGTTCCGCTACCATCGGGATGGGAGGAACGACGAACACCGGAAGGGCGGCCTTACTTCGTCGATCACGGGACAAGAACGACGACGTGGGTGGACCCCCGACGGGCCGGCCTTCCCCAGCCTCAGACGGCGTCCGCGGCGACCGTGGTGAACAGCAACCTAGGCCCGCTTCCATCCGGATGGGAAATGCGGCTGACGTCGACGGGCCGAGTGTATTTCGTGGACCACAACACGAAAACGACGGCCTGGGATGATCCGCGACTGCCGACGAACCCGGACGACAACGCTCCGCAGTACAAGCGAGACTACCGGCGCAAAGTCGTGTATTTCCGCAGCCAACCGAAGATGAGAGTATTGGCTGGTAAATGCGATGTCAAGGTGCGACGGTCGAGGATCCTGGAGGACAGCTACGCTGCCGTTATGGCGCTCCCCGCTGAAGAACTCAAACGGCGGTTAATGGTCAGCTTTGATGGGGAGGACGGTCTGGACTATGGTGGAGTCGGCCGGTGCGTGTTTTTGTCTTTATCTGTGCTCCGCACCCAACCTTACCCGGTGTTGCAGAGAGTGGTTCTTCCTGCTCTCCCATGAGATATTCAATCCGAGCTACGGTCTGTTTGAATACTCGGCGCATGACAACTACACGCTGCAGATCAACCCTGCGTCCGGGATCAATCCCGACCACCTGAGCTACTTCAAGTTCATCGGGCGGTGTCTGGGGCTGGCGATATTCCACCGGCGATTCATGGATGCGTACTTTGTGCCGAGTTTCTACAAGATGATCCTCGGTCGCTCCATGACGCTTGGGGATCTGGAAGCCATTGACGCAGATCTGCATCGCTCCTTGAATTGGATGTTGTACGTATTTTGACATTTGTTTATCGTCTTTCCGCTGAGCTTTGTTCAGGGACAACGACATCACCGATGTGCTGGACGAGACTTTCTCGGTCACAGAAGAGCGCTTTGGCGAACACGTGACTGTAGAACTGAAGCCGGGCGGAGAGGAGCTGTCTGTCACGGAGGAGAACAAGAAAGAATACGTGGAATCGGTCGTGTCGTACCGAATTGCACGCCGTGTGAAGGAGCAGTTCGATGCGTTCATGGAGGGTCTGCTGGAACTGATCCCGCCGGAGCTGATCACGGTCTTCGACGAGCGGGAGCTGGAGCTGCTCATCGGCGGGATGTCGGAGATCGACATGGATGATTGGACCAAGTTCACGGACTACCGGGGCTACGAGAAGACGGACCAGGTCATCGAATGGTTCTGGCAGTGCATCCGCTCATGGCCTGCCGAACGCAAGTCGCGCCTGCTTCAGTTCACCACAGGCACGTCCCGGGTGCCTGTCAACGGATTCAAGGATTTGCAGGGATCCGATGGGTACGTCGTTACTTCGTTGTCGTGACGTACTCGGATGCTTATGTGTTGCGTTCAGGCCGAGGCGATTCACTATTGAGCGCAGCGGAGATCCCCAGGGACTGCCCCGCAGTCATACATGCTTCAACCGACTAGATCTGCCTCCCTACGAGGACTACAAGAGTCTCGAAACCAAGCTGATTTTCGCCATAGAGTTTGTTTTTCTTCGTTATGTCGCAGTGCCTTCCCGCTGACGACCCGCGCAGGGAAACGGAAGGTTTCGGCCAGGAATGAACGCACCGAATCGCTATACATCCGCATTGCAGAATTCGCATTTCTGTTGGACACTGGATCTGTTGCTTATATTCTATCTACTCTACTACTTACCAGTCGTTGTTTTCGTTATTGCATCTCGTGTAAACGCTTGTATCTGTCTCTGTAATCAAGATCTAGAGGCCCAAGCAAGTACGGTGTGCAAAGCATTTATTGTGAAACGATTAGAGGATATGATAATCAAGATAATAGAATTCTGTCGAGCCCAAGGTGGAAATTAAGGATGAACGATCACGTGAGAAAAGAGGCGGCCCAAATATGGTAATGTCGCTGATCAATAGTACGTGGCGACCTGAGACACCTGGTAGGCGGACCCGACAGAGCTGTACGAGGTGTTGTCGTTCCAGTTGCTGCCGCTCGGGACCCAGTAGCAGCTGCCGACATCCGAGCCGTTGAAGCCAAAGTCGGAGGTGCTGAGCGACCCGTCCGAATCGTACATGCTCCCGTAGTGCGAGACGATCTGCTTATCGTAGCCGACCTGCATGCGGTACGTCAGTGAACAAATCGACAGCTGGAGAGAGAAGAAGAAACGCACGTGACGGCCGGATCTGCGCGTGATGTCGTGGGCGTAGCCGCCGAGCGACGCGTAGTATTGCTGGAAGACGATTATCTGGGTCTCGCAGTCGCAGATTTGCTCTGAGATGATCCTGCGGGGAGGAAATGTCGGTGTCAGGTATGGATCGGTCACAGACGATCGGGGGGACAGACTGTTTGGCCATTTCCTGGAGCACGGCGAGACGCTGCTGGACGATGTGCACGGATTGGGAGGAGCACGTGTAGCTGCTGTCGTCGTACTTGGCGTATGTCGGGGTGTAGTATTGGTGCGAAAAGTCCTTGGATCCGTAGAAGTTGTCGAAGCCGTCCATGGACTTGTAGCCGCCCCAGTTGTCAAATGACATATCGTACCCAGACTGTCCATACGAAGGCGGGCTGTACACCGAGCCGTATGACGAGCCGCTGTAAGAAGCGCCGTTGTAAGAGGACCCGCTGTAGGAAGAATCCGTGCTTGAGGACCCGCTGTACGATGTAGACCCGTACGAAGGGGCGTAGCTCGTCGATGGAGCGCTGTACGAGGAGTTGTATGAATCAGAAGATGACGGGCCGGCCGAGTCGTCACGGGCGGCCTTGGAGCGGACGGACAGTGGGCCAGACACGACCCCGGTGGCAAGGGCAACAGCGATGATCAGCTTGGCGAACATGGTTTGCTAGAAACTGGGTCAGTCGTCCGATCGCGCAGGCAGCAAAGGGACTGCAAACCTTGAGAATGTAAATGGAAGGTCGACCAATGAATGTGAACGAAGAGAATGAAATAAAAGACTGTGGGCGACCTGGCCGAAGAGGTGAACGAAGGAGAAAGGAATGAGACTGGTTTGCTTGCTGCCACTTGCCACAGTTCCCCAGCTTTTTATAACGATGCACAGTATAGCACCGATCACTTACCGTTCCACTGGAACTGCGCGAGCCTGAAGGACGGAAGGCTCGATACAGGTCGGTGACTCTGGTGGACATGTGGGCGCACGTCGCGGACAAGTGATTGGAGGCCACAGCCTACAGCCTACAGGTCTCACTGATGACTACCTTGTCCTACACCCTCGATATGAGCCATTCAGAATGGGGGCGTCGCGCCCAATCATCAGCCGAGTGTTCAGATTGGACAGGCGCCATTGGCAGTGCGAAGACTGCCAGTGCAGACCAAAGTCATGCAAGCGTTGTGATTCGCCGAAAGAAGCCATCTGTTCTCAAGCTTCATGTCTCCCGTCAGCCTTCACGTCGCGCAGAAAGATGACCAGCGGTCGACAGAAACTGCGCTGGCTGTAAGCGTCGTCAAGACTTTGAGCGCGCGGCGATATCACACTTGCTGCTTCGACCATATTAGTTGAACGCAAAGAAGATGGGACCGATGACACTCTCAAGGATCTTATCAGATCGGATCACTCTGATGGCATCCGATCAATTCGATTCTTGAACTCATGCCTGCACTTGGTTAGCGCAATGTCTAGGACACTGGCGACTTTTACTTTTGTCAAATATCTTCCCAGGACTAATACAAAGAATACTAATGTTCTGACCCAGGTCCGACATGGAGAGTCAACTGATAACGTGGTCAGTGCAGCACATATGAGTTGCAGCTAAGTCGCATCTGTGTGAAACGTCGTTGAATAGCTCTCGCTTTGGGCTGGATGGCGCGACGCTACACTGACCAACCATGGTTCGTTCTCCACACTCCTCGCGGCTACTTGCTGACTCATATCACAGGAATGAACGCAAGTGCATTCGCCCTGAAATCGTTCACTTCCGTCTCCACTGACACCAGTCTAGCAAGCGCAGGCCGTCGCCGACGCGCTTTCCGCAACCAGATTCACAGCTATATACTCCTCGCCCCTACAACGCGCTTATATGACTGCTCAAGAGATCCAGAAGAAGCAGGAGGACCCCCTTTCCCTGACGACTTCTCTGCTGCTCAGGGAGCAGCACTTTGGCGAAGCAGAGGGAAAACCCTGGTCAAGGCGCGATCCCGCACTGACGCTTCAGCAGCATTTCGTGGCTGGAAGGTTCCCGCATGTCGGACGCTACGATTCGTTTCCGCAGGGAGAAAGCTTACAAGACGTGCTGAAGCGCGCGCAGACGATGTGGGAAGAAGAGCTCTTTCGATTCGTGCAGGACGCGCAGGAAGCCGAGGCCAGCGCGCCCGTGCATATCGCCGTCGTGAGCCACGGTCTGTTTATCAAGGAGGCGATCCGCGCGCTGTCCAAGTACGACCCGACCTTGGACCTCTCTGCCACTCTTTCCCAGAGACTGCGCAACACCGGTTGGGTCAGAGTGGTGTTCAGCGAGAAGGTGCGGCGCCCGAGAGACACGGTTTTGACGAGACTCCTCATATAAGGTAAAGCCCCCAGTCGGTCTCTCCGAGCCGACAGTGCTGCAGGTGCGAGTATCTCACTTCGATGAGTGCAGTCACTTGTCCTCCGTGGTATGTACATTCTCGCGGGGACAACAATCGACGGAATTGACGATGGGATTCTCACAGAAGAGGCAGAGAGGAGGGATAGGACGCGAGGCAAGGGACAGTCGACAGAGGGACATTCGTGGATTTTTCGGACTGAAATCTAAACCAAAATGATACATAGGCTCGGGTGGGCGGGTTCTGGTCTGTGTCGTCGGCAGGAGATAAAGGAGAGGCAGAGTTCGCACGCACCATTGAGTGACCATTGTACTAGCCGGACCCATACGGCAATAGCACCTTCTTCAATTTGTGGGTCTGCGTCGGTGTCGAAAACACGGTGTTGCCCAGCCTGTTTAATCGTGCTGGAGGCTTGTTTGCGTGCAAATGCTGGCGGAAGGCTTGACCCTATAAAGAACCCCACAATCAGAGAACGTAACACGAGTCCAGAATAGGGCGGACGCGTTTGAATTTCCCGGAACCGACAGATGACCTCCATCGTTTCTTTGCGCCGGAGTGGGTTTTCATCTTGTAGCCAGCCTCAACGACAGGAGTTGTAGAGAAAGACCGGAGCGACCATAGTCTAGACGTGCAGTGTTGGAGGGCGCCAAGCATGGTGAAGATACCGAGGATGAGAGTGGGAAGAACAGCAGAGCCTCCGAAAGTGTCAGAGCATTTGGCATCACGTGCTCCTCCATCAGGCAGTCGACCAGAGTTGCCAAAGCTTCCACCTGCTTCCACTCGACCTCCATAATCTAAATTTTCGTCAATTATACACACACGGTGGTGAAAGCATGAGTGATCCGTCTACCAGCACTCCCCAAGAAGATGCCGACCGCGTAAAAGCAGCCACTCGTCCTCTGCCTCACATCCTCTGATGATCTACTCCAGATTCGCCTGAAACGTCTGGCGAAACTCCAAGGTGCCCCTTCAGCTTCACCATTGCCCACCCCCGGCCCCAGCTCCGGCCTTTCCCCATCGGGCAGCTCGACACCCATCAACCCACCCCCGCACCCGTGCAGCTTAAACCCGCGTCGTCGTCCAAGCCGCAGACTCCGGTCGCCCCCAGCCCGGCTCCCAAACGCGTCGTCAGCCCACCGGCGGCGCTCGCGTCTCCCCCGCCCACCAAGAAGAAGGCACCCCAGATCGTCCCTTTGAACGTAGATGCGTGGGAGCGCGACACGATCGGCCAGGTGCTCGGTGTCACACTTGATGTGCGTGCCGGCCCGTTTCCCGTTTCGCATGCAGGAAAGTCAGGCTGACGGTGGGTGTGGCACAGCGAAAGGCGGCAGAGGAATCGGGATACAGCGTTGTGTGGCTCAAGTCGCTGACGACCGAGCTCGAGGCCGAGGGCGGTACGGGATATGATTGGTAATATCTCCGAAGCATAGGCTGACCCTCGTCTCAAGTTTCTTTGGCGTTGAACGGGGACATCATCGATCGCTTGTTGATCGCGCGACTAGAGCTCGATCCGTCCTCCATGAGGTTTGAGCCTTGCCTGTCAAGTTTCTCGGAAACTAAGAAAGAATAGCGACGATCTGGATTATCTTCCCGTACTTGCATCTCTTCCCGCTCAACAAACGACTTTCGAGTATCTCGTCGGGTGTTGGAAGCGACTGAACACAGCCAGGTCCACTTTGATGAAGAAGGTGTGGATGGTATGTGTCGGAGCATGTGATGTTCTAATACAAAATACAGGCTCATCCTCCGGTCGACGTACAAAATGCACTCACACGTCTAGAGAAACTACGTGAGCTTGTGATCAGCTACACGGGGCTCACTCTGCAAGAGCCGCAGATGTTTCCTCAGCCTTCGGGGTATGTTTTCTGATTGCAGCGGTATTCACTAGCTCATGAGATAATCAGCAAGGCTCTGGGCTCTCCCGAACTCGTGTCCGCATTGCTCTCTATATCTGCTCTTTCTACACCTCTCTTTGGCTCGTCGTCGTCTTCTCAGAACACCTTGACGCCGGGGGACATCGAGGCGTTTCTGCAAGACCTTGCGCGACGCTTTGAACCAGATGACGAGATAGACGGGGTCCTGGGGCCTGTTGTCGAGCAACTGCTCTTTCATGAATCCTTGTTCCGACCAGAAGGTCTCGGTGGCGGAGATTCTGGTTGGAGAGGAGTGGTTGGCGGTCTGGAAGCGCTCGTGTCGATCAAATCCATCGCAGTCATGATCACTCGACTAGAGTCATTCAACCCTGCCACAGCGACTGCTCCAACACTAGAACGGGTGTCGCTCATGGGCCCGTTGTGCAGACTAGGTGTATTCGTTCGCGAATGGGTCTGTGCTTTCTTTGCCTCTGTGGACTGTCACTCATAAAGCCTGCATCTAGCCGGGCATCGGACAAACGTATTTCTCGGATCCTGAAAAGAGATCACGCGACGACATTGAGTCGTCACAGGCCAGTCTACGCGGGACGTTGAAAAGTCTTCAGGTGGGTGGGTGTGCGATAGCAGCTGAGACCCATCTCAGCCTCGACAGACCTCGTTGTTCCAAATGTTCAACACGTTCGTACGAGCGTCGCCGACGTCTCGAGAAGCTGTTCTCAGTTACTTCTCGCGTATCATCTCGTTAAACCACCGGCGTGCTGGAATGCAGGTCGAGCCAGACACGGTTTCGTCCGATTCGTTCATGGTCAACATACAAAGCGTGCTCCTTCGTTTCGCAGAGCCGTTCATCGATTCGACGTACTCGAAGATGGACAGGATTGATCCATTCTACTACGCACGTTCAGACCGCATCGACCTCAAAGAAGAGACTAGGATTAAGGCGACCAGCGAGGAGGCAAATGCATGGGCGGAAGAGCATAAGGACCCTTCTGGTGAGTCATACCCAGAGAATGGCCCCGTTACTTGTGCCGATCAAACCCAGGCGCGGCGCAAAATTTCATCTCCGACATCTTCTACCTCACTGTCGCGATGAGCCACTACGGAATTCTTCACACAATCTCAACATACCGGGACCTCAACCGGCCTTACGACGATATGCAGCGACACTTGGACATGCTGAGTGCCGATAATTCGGGCATGGGTGTATGTCACCGCGTCGTTTGCGAGGAAGGCTTTGAATGATTTCGCATACAGAATCCCCTCCGCCAGGCGCAATTGGACAATGCCATCAACACGGTCAAGGCTGAGATGACCAAAGTTCGCGTCCTCCAGATCACTTACGAAACACAACTCCTGGAACCGGAACTTGTTTTCAGGTCCATTGGCTTCACGAATTTCTTATCCACCTGGCTCATCCGTCAAGCTGATCCGAGGAAGAAACATCCGAGCCCCACTGTCCAGTGCGAATCATCGCATCTCTCTCAACTCTTGTCCTAACGTAACTTACGCTCAGAATTCCCTTGCCTCAAGAAGTTCCAATGGATTTCCGAGTTTTGCCAGAGTATATCGTGGAAGACATTGTCGAGTATCTTTACTTTGTGACACAGTCAGTCATCGCTTCCGACTCACGCGACGCAGCCACGTCTAATCGTAGGGATAGGTCGTCGCCGGATAAATTCGAACTTTCGGGCAAGACGGAGCTGTTGGTCTTTGCTCTCACTTTCCTGAACTCGACTTGGTACATCAAGAATCCGTTCCTGAAATCCAAGATCAATGATGTGTGTTACCCAACGACAGCATGAAGAATATGCTCACACTCTTTAGGTGCTGTTCTTTGGTGTCTGGAACTTCAACGGGAGGGATCGCCATGGGATACTCGGCAACATGCTGAACACGAATCAGCTGGCGTTGAAGCATCTCATGCCGGCATTGACGCATTTCTATATTGGTGTGTAGATCCGTTTGCCTTTCCATACGCCCATGGCCGACTGAGCATCGTAGAGGTCGAGCAGACCGGTGCTAGCTCTCAGTTCTATGACAAGTTCAATGCTCGGTGAGCGAATAGATCCTGCTGTGATAGATAGCATACTGATGTCTGTTAGTCGCAACATCGCACACATCCTGAAAGTGGTGTGGGACAACCCAGCGCACAGGCAAGCTTTGAATGACGAAGCTGCGAGGTTGACCTTCTCTGCTCTGCGCGAAAAATGACCGACTGAATGTTTTCCCAGCAATGTCGACAAATTTGTGAAATTTGTGAACTTGATGATCAACGACGTGACGTATCTCATGGACGAGTCGCTGGGGGAGCTCAGTCAGATCCACACCATCCAACAGGAGATGAGAGACCAAGCGACGTGGAACGCACAGCCGCAGCAGCAGCGGAGGGAGCGGGAAAACACGCTTCGGACGCTAGAACGACACGCAGGCGGTTACATCTCTCTCGGCCGAAGCACAGTCGAGCTGCTCAAAGTCTTTACGTCTGAAACCAAGGCGCCGTTCATGATGCCGGAGATTGTCGACCGTCTCGCAGCGATGTTAGACTACAACTTGCACGCCTTGGTCGGACCGAAATACCAGGACCTCCAAGTGCAAGACCCCCAGAAACTTAGATTCAATCCTAAGGCGCTCTTGAGCGACATTCTCCAGGTCTTCCTGAATCTGAGCGACCAGGACGCCTTCGTCAAAGCTGTAGCCAACGACGGCAGGAGCTACAGTGCGGAATTATTCGAACGAGCTGCAACTACCGCACTTCGGCGCACGCTCAAGACGGAGCAGGAAGTAGCTCAGCTGCGGGCCTTTGTCGCCAAGGTCGAAGTGTGTCGGTTGAACATGGAGGCAGAGGAAGATCTGGGTGAAGTCCCAGACGAGTTCCTGGGTGCGTCTCTCCCTCAGGCGCAGGCTCTGATCTGTATTACCTCAACTTGCCTGCAGATCCTCTGATGTTCACCGTCATGCGCGATCCTGTGATATTGCCCAGCTCTCGTGCTGTTATCGACCGGTCTACCATCAAGTCGCATCTGCTTTCTGACTCCAAAGATCCTTTCAATCGGGTTGCGTTGTCGATAGAAGATGTGATTCCTGGTCAGTCGCGCGTGAGGCCATAATCCATCCCGCATGCTGACTGCCATACACAGATGCTGTACTCAAAGCGCGCATCGACAAGTTCTTGGTCGAGCGAAGGGCCAAGTTGGCTCAGGAACGAATGGACACTTCCTAGAGATCTGTATATTCACATAATGTAACATCCAAATGAGAATTTGACACTGTAGCATTACTCCCTCCACTACATAACAGTGCAGTCGCCGTCGTCTGTCTTCTCTTGCTCTAATGCAGTCAAAATCCGTTTCTCCTCCTCGCTGAGCAGCCCTTTCTTCGCTCGCTCTTGCATAGCTTTGCGCCGGCTTTCCCGCTCTGCCCTGGCACGACTATAAATACATGTTGAAGATACGATTAGATGGTGTGGGATAACGTAGAATGAATGAGATAGGTTGGCCGTGAGATTGATACAGTGGATCAAGCCGTCGCGAAGATGGGCGGGGGTACAAAAGACATGCGGATAACGGGTTCGGGTTTGTTAGGCGTTTCCGGTTCGTTCAGGATGGGGAGAGCAGGGGAGGAAGGTGGGGAGCTGGTCGTCATAAATCGGTCGCTGTGAATAGAGGCACGCTGATGGGACGTACCGGTCGGTCTTGGAGAATAAGTTGGGGACACTGGAGGTTGACTTTCCTGTGCTCGTGGTGGCGGGTGATGGGGCCGGTGATGACTTCGGCTTGACTGGAGCTGGTTTGGCCTGAACATTGGCGGCCATACTCTTGACTGCAGTGACTGCAGCGGAGCTTGCGGCAGAGGCCTGCTTGTTCAGATCGAGTAGCCGGCTGTTCATCGTGGCACCTCCAGCACGAATCTGCTGAACAGCGGCGACTGGCTGGCAAGTATGGCCGTCCCCAGGGAAGCGGTG